ATGTCACAGGATAAATAAGTTTATTTAGATAGAAACAAAAATTCGTGTATTATGTACTCTATACAAACCTATAATATAATTATTATTATTATTCTTTATGGTAAATATTATAGTTAATATTGAATTAAATAGTAACATTAGAAGCAGCAGAAAAACTTCGCACAACCATTATATTATCTTTTATCTTTAATATATGTAGAATGAAAAAAAAATTCTTTTGGAGTTTAATATTAAATTTTTTACTGTAAAATAAATAATGGATTATTTCGAACTCCCCACAAGCAGTTTTTGTTTGATTTTCTTTGGCCAAACTTATAACTTATTTTCTTTCTAACGAAATTAAAAAAGTATGCAAGAATAATATTTATATTGAACAGTGAACTTATTTTATTCATAATTTTTCAATAGTTCAAATTGAAAACCATCAAATTCTTACTGTATATTGTTATAATGTAGAGACATGAATAATAAATAAATACCAAATTTATTTTTAAATTTTCATATACGATTTGTTCAAGTAGTACACCTAAAAGAATGATTAATTGAAGTCTAATTATTTAAACGATTATAGAAATTGAACTCAAGGAACAGTTTATTTCTAAATCAAAAGAATAAAGTAATAACGAAGTAAAATTTAATAACCTAAAATTAAATCGTAAAAATTTTTATAATTAAAAAAAAAAAAATAGGGGAAAATAAGGGCAGTTTACTCCTCCCATGCCCTACAATTTTTTGTAGATTATTCTTTTTATTATTTTTAATTTATATAATGAGCTATATTTACAAAATTGAACGATGTTGATTAATAAGAAGATAAAATTTAATGCTACAAAGGTAGATCGTTTAATTTTCATTATTATTAGTTACTATTTTTATAGAATATTGTATTTACCACATATAGAGCACGTTTTTTTTTTTTTATAATAAATATAAAATCTATCACAGAGAAAATATTTTTACAAAATCACTAATCCACATTGGTGAAATAGTTGTCTTTAAAAAAAAGTAGGTATGAAACATCATCCTACCATAATTGGGCTTTTCTAGATGTGGAGAAATACTCCTCATGCACCACTAATAATAAACAATATCGTTAAAATCGTTAGATACGATTATGTTCTTGGGTATCTCTGAGCTCTAATGTTCTGGACATTAATGAATATAGCTAAACTTTTGGAGTAACCATGAATGGTTTATCTAGCTTACGGTCAACTCGGGTCGCGTTAAACCAAGTATCAGTTCAGTTACTAATTTTCTTCAACAGTTCATTACACAGCAAACTTCCAAGTTTTTAGATCAAATGTACCCGATTTTTCTGATTAAAAGGCACAAAGTTAATTCAATATATTCAATTCACTTCATTTCCTCAGTTTCAACTGATAAGAATTTTGAATATTTTGAAATCATCTGAATCTTTTTTAACATTTGAAAGTATAACTGTGTAATTTTTTTATTATTTCTTTTTGCCATTTATTTTTATATACACTTGAATCTCCTTTGTGTTTGTTCTCATTTCATCGTATTTTGTGAGAATATTTGTATAAATGTTTTTACTTAGAGCACTGATTAAATCTAACCATCATCAAATAAATGAAAAATTTCTATAATTACATTGTTTTTTTTTGAAAAAATATCTTAAATACGATATATCTATTCTACATGAAATCTGTATATTTCAAGGTTTAACAGGGAATTACAAAATGCTTTTAAAATAATTGTCTGAAAGAAGTAAGATTTTGTTTGAGACCATTATATCTTAAAAAGAAAGTTGATAAATAATTTGAATAGATTTTGAAAATTTTTTAATACTATTAATAATTAATCTGTTTTCAAATTTTTCATAAATAGTTAATTAAATGGATAAATTATGTCGACCTGTAGTGGAGATGTAATTGAATTATCTATAAAAAATTAATGAGTTTATCAACTAAAACCTAGTATCTATTTAATTTAATAAAGTTTGAATCTCAGCATGTGTCTGTAAAATATGGCACAAGTTATAAATATGGGTTGATAACAAAAGATTGATTTTAGATTTATGAACTATCACCAGCTATTTATCGCTTTCAAATGAAGCCCAATAAAAATTTCAAACAAACGAATTGATTACTATCAAATAAATCCTGATGATATTCAAAATAGGAGAATTGATTGAACTACTTGGACAAAAGCTCCAGTATCTGTAAAATGAAAATCCACCTTCATACAAATGTTAAATACTTCATTTTCATCTAGAAATGGTACAAAGAAAATTCGTTGAAATTCAACTCAATATTTCTCGAGCTGAGTAATCAAGTGATTTATTAAAGTTCTCAACAAGAGATAATAAATATCTAGAGTGCAGCAGCAGTATGTGTTGGCATCAGTATTATTGAACTTGAAATGTGTTAGTTATAAAATATATTGTCATTAGATATATATATATATATATATATATATATATATAGGAATAAAGTATATTTTGGCAAGTATAAACTATCAGTACGACCCTGAGGAAAGCTTGTTCTAAAGCTAAATTGAAATCGACCCCAATTGCAAGTTAAACTGATAGTTCAATATCAGTCTAGTAGCATGAGGGTGATTTAGAGAGCTGACCTTGTTGCTTCACAGAGCGTATCTGACGTGCGTCGCAAGAGAACACTACCGGACATTGGGTGAGGATTTCAATTTCTTCTCGGATCACCTCGTTGATACGAAGGGAGTTTAGAGCATCGTTAAAAGTGTACCTGAATGAACTAGGTCACTCGATGCCTTGAGGAGAGGAAGCAAAGTCATGCTGGTAAAGCTCTTGTTGAGATCGCAGACTTGTGCGAAGTGTACTAAATAAACAGAATCATCTGCTTCTTTTCTCTACCCTCTACCTCTTTTTTTCTTCAGGTTTTACGTCTCTCTACAACTACGTGTAGTTGTTTTCTCAGATTCGACCGAGCTATTAGTTTTTTTGTTTGAATTCACTTGCTTTGTTTTACCTGTTTTCTTCATCCCAAATTTTCCTTTTTTTCTAGAGCTTTTCAGATATTTATTTCACGAGTCTTTGCTTTTTTTACTGCCCCAGGTATAGATACCATCCTTAACTCGTATTTAGACGCAAACGCCCCTTTTTTTTTTTTGTCCCTCTTTCGTCTTATATTTTTTCTAACCACACTCTTCTTCTCCTCCCCTTCGTCAATCTTCTACAAAGACTTGTGGTTATATAAAGACTGTCTTGCGGTTGATATAATCCTAGTATACATTTTTTCTCCATGAAAGAATAGAGTCGAGCGTATACATATAGAGCAATGAAAAGGGCACTGAAAAAAAAGACTAATACAACAGAAGAAAATACTGCTTCATGCCATCTCTTTTGCAATATTTTACCATTTTTCACAACATGTCCCAGAGTGACATTGTAAAAACATTTTGTATTTAATGTTTTATCGCCAACAGTTATTGATGGATGCCTTGGTAAATTCCACATATTGGGCGTGGCAATAAACCAACGTTAACTAATAATATACGTCATTAAATGCGGCTGAGGTAATTTGTTTACAGTTGAAAAATTGAGGCGAAAATGATGTCAATTTTTGAATTCATCAGAATTCATTGTTTTCTGATTTATCGTGTGACATTTTTCAATTATTGGATCCCTTTTGCATGAAAAAGTATTCCAGTAATCGAGTGTTGAATAGAGAAATGAATATGTTTGGTAGTTGATTAAAAATAGCTTTGTTTAATTGTTATAAATATTTAACATGTATTGAATAAATTGATTTTGCGTTTTCTGATGATAAATAGAGTAGAAAATTGAACAGACAGTTAAGGTTAGCGAATGGCTAGTAAATATATTATTTCAACATGAATTTTAACTTTTAAAAGTCATGCTCACCAATTGAATATTCATTTTTTTCCCCTGTATTTAACAATTGGATCTATTGTATTATTATGACAAGAAAAAGTTTTTAGCATTGATTTATTTGAAATAGATTTTTACTTGATAGGCAAACAATAAAGTTTGATTTTACGAGTAACAATTGAAATATTTATTAATAATAATAAAATTATTTTTTCAACGTTGATATTATCCATCTATTTTTAAATTGACCCCTATAAATATTATTCACTGATTAGATATTTTATTATCGATTTTTTTAGAAGTTTCTCTACGCAATATTCTTCTGATTTTTAATAAACTGAAGGTAAAATTGAATAAATGTAAGCATAAAAAAGCTTGAATAGTTGGTCGTTATTATTATTTTATATAATGAGACATAAATATATTTAAAATAGAAAGTACTGATGAATTTAATGTCACTAATTAGTGTATGCAAACATTCAATTAAATATAATAATTTAATTCAAAGCACATAACGGTATGAGCTTATTTGTATTTTGATTTTACACGAGATGGAAATTTCGTAACTTTCATATCATGCTAAATAATTACGATGCATAATGTTATCTACAATATTCCTCGCAATAGACAAAAATATCTTCCAATTTAACCTGATTCACCCACACGTTTACTGGAAATAACTGAATCAAAATTCAATTCCATTTTCAGTACAAACAAGACATTTATTCATCCTACGATCGCTTAATTATTAACGTTGAAAAATAAATTGAAAAATGATTTATTCGAGTGAAAAATCAATATTATTTTATCTTAATGGAAAAAAAATATTTCATTAAATAATTATAAATATTCCACTAACACTCCCTATATGATGATAAATAAATCCATTCTTTTTTTATTAACAAAAAAAAAAAAGAAAAAAATGATAATAATTTGAAACTTTCTTTAGACGTGATTGTACCGCATTATAAATGTCTGACAATGGAGTTCCGTCACTACTAATATGGAGGCTGCAGTCTCCTTTCGTATTATATGTAGTAGGTGTGGACACATGCATTGTAAAATCAACTATACCATGTCTTGTATTCAAGGAAAACTAACTGAACATTTATTCACTAGTATTCATATTCACAGGTATTCAATTTTTTTTATCTTTCTATCATTTCAGGAATTTCTACTTGCAATCGATGTAACCTCTAGCGGCACACCCGAAGAAAAACTTAAATGGGCATTTCGCATGTATGACGTAGATGGCAACGGAGTAATCGATATTCAAGAAATGACGAAAATCGTGCAGGTAATATTATACATTGTACGATGATAAATTGACTACATTGATATTCATAAATAGACGAAAAATAGAGAGAGGAAAATAAATTTGATAAATATCTTACATGTTATAAAGTACTTGACGCCGATACACATATACAGATACATAGAAATATTAATTGTTGTGATGGTACATTTTACACTACAGACATCGAAATTTTGCGGTTACATGGTGAAGCGCGGTCACTTAACCGCATTTAAATCGGTATAGTGTCTCATTACTCTTGCTACCGCCAGTCAATTAATTCTCTCTCTATCTACATTTGAATTAAATTTTCGAGCTTTTTGTATCTCATTTATTATTGATTCGAGTCCAAAGTAAATATGGGATAGATTGTACTATGCATATATCTGGGAAGAATAAATTACGCTTGACTTAGTTTCATCTAAATTTCAAGTAATCGCTTGAGTTAATAGATTATTTTGCTGAATAGAATACACTGCAATAGAAAATTATTTCAACTATAACGTATTCATTTCGAGTAATTCTAAAGTTTGTTAAGATTTTATTTGTTATTGAGATTCAACCCTTCACAAAAACTATTCTTCATTTTTTTTCATGGATTAATGGATTAATAAATATTTTATTCCGTTTTAAAATGAAAAAAATATACTTTTAATGTTAAAAATTAATTCATACTAGTGAAAGGTCTTTTTTTTTCAAAGCTACAACATAGATTATTATTTATAGATTGTAAATCATAATGTTTTATTTCAATGTACTAAAAGTGTTGTTATATGACTTATACTAATATTTAATATGATAGGTATGACATTTCAAACATGATGTTTAACTACACATAAAGTCACGTAGGCGATGTAAATTTGTTTTTATGAATATGCCTTCACATAGGCAGTCTCAATCTACAAATCCAGTTATTTGACTTGAAACTTTTCCTGAAAGATTTTCTTTTATTCATATCATTTTGTAATGAAAAAGTTGTCTTTAAAGGAAGTTTGAGAAATAGAATAAAGTCAGAACATCTATTTCAGATTCAAATGACACAATACATATATTCTTATTTACATAACATTGAAATAATTTTTGTTTGTAGTGTATGATATCAATTTAATCGACTCAATATTTTTTTAATATTAGATATTTCTAAGAATCAATATCGATATCTACACCACTAGTTTGGTGAAATGTTGCTGATAAAATATATGTGGAAATTTTTCATGAGATATATTTTCTCTTCGCAAACCATTTATTTCAATCACCCAGAAAGTAATTAATTAGAAAAAATGAGGCTGACTGCAGGTATTAAGTATGAAAAATTTTATTTCCAACGTCCATAGAGAGTAATTCATATATATATTTTGTGGTTTCAATAAATATTTAGCAATTATTGAATTTATTATTATTCCTATCTTTAATCTTTTTATTACGACTAAGAAAAAATTAATTGATGAGCTATAAAGTGATTAATTTTTATCACGAACATTATTTTTTTGCTTTAAATACCGAGAAGGAAATTTGTTTACTAAAAAATAAACTTGTTTATTCGAAGCTCTTCCTCATAAATACATGTTTGATAGCATAGAAAAATATTGACAGTACATAAAAGAATAAATTTTCATGATAAATACATTTTTGTAACTTCTTTATTTATGTTCCGAATTCGAGTTGCTTCACTGATTTAATTATAAAAAGTGATTGATGAGTTTTGTACTATTTTATGTAAAAAATTGCATTATTCTATACAATTTTTGATTTTTGAAAATAATATTAATTATACCATCGATATACAAGATGACATTTTTTTATTTCATGAAAATTGTGTTTTAATTCAAACATTGATTGATTTAAAATTGAAATTTATCAAGAATGTACAATCAATTTTCATTTTTAAAATCTTTTCTAAGTTATTTTATAAAGAACAATTCTAATCCTGTGATAAAAAATTATCCTATAAGATTACCAGTGAAACCATAAAATACCATGATTAAAGTTTAATAAGAAGATTTCTGTGAATGTATTTTGTTAATGAAACAGTTTATCTTGTAATACTAGTCTTTGAAACGACTTATCATTATTTCATTTTATGATTTCGACCATAAAATAACAGGATAATGTTTCATCAAGAATTTCAATATATTCAAATTAATCTAAAAGGATATTATTAGAATAAAATGAAATTAACGAGATAATTTAATGGTTAATACGTAATAATATCATTTATATAATAATATCAAAATTAATAAAATTTTAAGACGCCATTTATTTGATTAGTTTATCAAAAAATCATAAAACTACTTGATTATATTCGAGAAAGATATTAAGTTATTTTAATACACTATTAAACTTGACAGTAAAATGAAAATTATTGAATTAAATGCGATATTATTCATTAAAATAATGTAACCATTATTATTTTTAAATTAAAGACATTTGATATGTTAAACTTGGTATCATAACATGACGATATTTCTATAGATATTTGGACAGGAATTAATTTAACTTTGAAATAACTTAGTCTGTCTGATGGTGAATTGCTGTCTAACATAAACTTTCACATCTATTTTTTCAAATATAAAAGGGTTTTTTTACTGAATAAAAAAAATTGTAATAAAATATTTGAATAATAATATTAAGATTTTAACAATGACGTAAATCAAAAAAGTGTTGACCAATGCAACGTCTTAAAAAAAAAGTAGCTCATTAAAACTAAAGAAAAGTCGACTGTCCAAAACATCAACTTTAAATGCTACATGAAACGTCTGAGCAAAACTGGGTTATTCTACTTCCAATACTTTTTGATGAGTTGAAATAAAACTGCTTGATAACGAGTTGAGTTTAATTAAATAAAGTATCTTTATGTTCCTTCATAATAATAACATTATTATTATTATCATTTTTACAATAACGGTTTCAAAATTTGTAACCAAATTTATGAGCAAATACAAAAATGGCAATAACATTTTAAAAAATCAGTTGAAACATTAATATTCATAAACACTATTTTCAATCAAACTGTTTATTCCACCATAAAATTATTTACTTTGATTACCGTTTCCAAATATTCTCAACCATTTTTGTTTATTGAAAACATAAAAATATTGATTAAAATTTTTTTTTTCAACTGTACTTTTCGTCCTGTTTTAGTAGTTTGAATTAATTCACTCTAAAATTGTAAAAGATTATCAGTAAAAAAAAACTTTGTCTCTTCAGCAGAATAAAATCTAGCACTTTATTCACGTCAAAATCAATGAATTCTTTTAAATAAATATTTTACTACAGTTTATTTTAATTCAATAATTTAAACATTACTATTTCGTTTTTACGTCACTGATTGAAGTGTATGTTACATTAAACGTTAACGTGGTCAATAAACTGCACTGGAAATCTCGACGGTGCTAGAAAGTTTAATAATAAAAATATTGTAAATTAACAATCGATAGTAATTCGTTATTTTTTAACTAAATCACAGATTAATTTTTATGCAATTAAAAAAATAGTGATAAACAAGTAAATATAATAAACAATAAACAAATTTTCTTCTCACCTTCAATATTCAAAAGCCTCGTGAGAATTTTTAAACGTAAAACGAACGAAATGATTTGATAATGAAAATATATACATTTATATATATATCATGAAATAAATCAATATCGAAGCAATCAATAGTAATTAAACATCTTACCTCGTTAATTATCTATCCCATATTTCTCTAAATACGGCAATATCAGATAATATGTACTGTTCTTAGGCGATATATGACATGTTGGGTGCATGTTCGAGCAATCGACCGGCAGATAGTGCGGAAGAGAGAGCAAAGAACATATTCGCAAAGATGGATGAAAACAACGACGGACAGCTGACGCAAGATGAATTCCTTAAAGGGTGTCTGCAAGATGAAGAACTATCTAAAATGCTTGCACCTTAATTGCCATGCATTTGGTTTAAATCTAATAATAGACATGCATCATACAAGCTACTATCATCATTATCTAATGATAGTGATAAACGTTCGAAATGGCAAAGAATAATTACTGCTGTTGCACGCACGTTCCCTTAGCACTTAATGATTCTTGTGTAGTCGATCAATTCGGATTAATTGACTATGCAATTGAACACAACCATCTCGAAGACCTCAATCGAGGCCGCTATAATCGTCAATAGCTTTGTATAAATCGTGTGTCAACAGCAAATATAAGTCATCAAACTCAAAATAAATATATATATGTTAACACTTACATTCCAATTTTATATATACTTTTATATGCTTTCGTTTTTTTTCTTTCTTGAATTTTAACAATCAAAAGATTTGCTTTTTATCTAAAAGTATTTTTAAATTCATCAACTTTACATCCTTCAGACAGTATTTCTTTTTTAAAACTACTGCCAAATATTTGGTATTGATTTTTTTCTTCTTCTACTGTTTCTTACTTCTGTCTTGACATTTTTTGTTTTTTAGTTGAGCTTTTGGTCTTATCACGTTTTTGTTTATTTCGAGAAAAGTAAACTACTATAAAGACATTCATGAGCAAAAAAAGCTCCTGAAAAATCACCGGAACTAAAGTCGAATTAAAGCCAAAGTTTTCGAATCAGCAGAATAAATTTGAAATATTTTGCACTTTTTTCGTATTATATATTATAATAATAATAATAATGAAATAACGGAATTATGTAACAGTTGAAAAGGGTTTGATTTGATAATTATTGCAAGTTAATATTTAAAAATAATGAAACGTTATTGTGTAGTGTTGTTGGATAGAGAATATTAAAAATAAATAAATTTTAAAAATAAACATAACGACTTAATCACGAAAACTACATGAATAAATAAAAATAAAAAATAATTGACAAATATGTTTTTAATCTATTTGGGAATTCAAAAAATATCCCAAAAATCTTGAAAATAAAAATAATAAAAAAACAAATATATGAAAAACCGTTCAAAATAATCGTAAATCTTTCTCTGCACACTGATAATTATTTGTGAATAAATAAAATAACACATGGAGCTCACGTCATAAGCTTCTTCAATTAAACTACATACTTCGCATTTTCTAGTAATTGCGTTGCCATTGTACAAGCACGTTCAATCGTCACTTCGTGTCTAGTAAAGTAAATAAATATTTAAAAAAGAAAAAATGGAAAAAATTCAAAAATAAAAACTCGATGCAATAAATCGTTAAAGTACTTAACTATTAAGTGTAACCAAATAAAAATTTTTATTATTCTCAATCTGAACCATTTGCCTTAGCGCCTTTTTAGAATATAGTCTTTGACCAATAGTATGATCTAAACTTAAATTTTACAATTACTCAGGTCGCGAAATTCATTTAACATCTCTAAATAATTTACTTCCATTTTTTAATCATTATCTTAATTAATAAAACTCAATTAAACTATTTCGAATTTATTTAATGAATTGATTTTGTTAGATTGTTTAGTATAAAAAAAAACGAAATTAAAATTCGCGCTCTGAGAAACTTTTTAAAGTAGAAAAAGTAGAGTAGAAACATATCATCATCTTCATGAAATATTTGTCTAATTAATGAATAAATGGATTAATTATTATTATTAATTAGATTAATATGTGAGAGAATAATTTGAGACAATTTTCACTTTTACAACTATTAAAAAAAATCTCTTAACATAAAAAAACGCTTTAATCGTACTAAATATCCAGTAAAGTCAATTTTAACTTTTAATTGAAAATCTACTATAATAGATAATTCTTACATTTACCATGTGTACTTACACGAAATAAATTGGAAACTAAAAGTAAACATTTTAAATAAATGGCAATTATAAACAAGTCAAATTTCACTTTATAGAAATTCGATCATTTTCGACAGCATCGACAATCGAAATAGTATATTTTTTCGTGAATAACTGTTTTAAAAAAGAAAGGACAAGAGATTTTCTATACTAAAGAGTCGTTGAGTTAACAAAAGTAACCAATTTGAAAATCGAAATTGAAGGAATTATGGGCAAGTAAGAAAAGTAAAAAGTTGAAACGATAAAAGAGTTTATAGTGGGTTAAGAAAAGAAGCAGAAGAGTGAAAAAGTATTTAAAAAAAAGAAAATAATAAAAAAAAACGAAAAGGGGAGAAAAATGTAATTGTATCGATTTTTAACACTCCTAAATTTGACCAAACTATTAAAAAAAACAGTGATAAATAAAAAAAATTCACCAAGTATCTTCGTATCAGACAAAGTTGTTTATATCTTCGATTCAAAACAGCTGTAAAAAAAGAACAAAAATACCAAATAACAATATTGATAGTAAAATTTTATTTACAAATACCATTTACAATTTACAATGAACGATATAAAAAAATAATGTTAAATTCATTATAAAAACCTATAGAGAAAAATAAAAATGACTGGATAAACGAAGATATAAAACTCACCAGAATATATTCAACAAAATAAATAAAAGAAAGAAATAAATATGTAGTAAAAAGAAAAAAAAAATATACTAAAATGAAAATAAGGACATTTTTATTTTAGCTTACTAATTTTGTATTTTTCTACTTTCCCTTCCGTCCTCTCTTCGATATGCCATTATTCTTAATTTCCATACGTTTATTTTTCTTCATCCTTGATAAAATCTAATCTGTATTTTCTGATCTCATCTATATACTATATATCACGCCTTTAATAACTAGATTAAATATATTTCTGTTCTAAAGAGAATAAGGGAGATAAGTTTTATTATAAAGCTTTTATCATGAATATAGTATTATCTTTTTTTTAAATTACTTGATGTAATCAGTTGGTTAATTTGAATTACCTGAATTATTAGATAGCAGTCTTTCTTTTTAAATAATTGTTCTTGCTTAAGTTATGTGATGTTTATTCAAAACTTTTTAAAATTAATTCAAATAGTTATATAATTGACTTGATATATTAATTATAAATAATTGATTGATTTCTGAATAATTTAAAAAGTATTAAACTGTTTTTCCAAATAATCTAAAAGCAGCTATAAAAAGAAGAGAAGTGATTATTGTCTAAAATAAAGCGATAAATTGTGAATATTAACTTGAAAAGAAGTTCTGCATTACATTAAGTAGTAGAGGGTGAAAAGTTTCAAATTTATAATCTTCTATTTTATACAGTCAATAATTTTCTTATTTATATTGTTGTTTTTGGCTAAAATTTTTGGCATAATTTATCAAGTTTTCGAAAAATATTTCAACTATATAGCGATACAACTACTTTAAAATGAAAATGAATGTAGGAAAAACGTATTTAGAGCAAGCTTTAAAGTTTACGATTGAAAGTCAACTTTTTTTTTTCAAAAAAGTTTTACAAAGTCATTACAAGTCATTTCTTCTTTAAATACTCTTTTCAGTAATGATGTAACTCCTTTAGTTGAGTTAATATTTCAGAAGAAGTTTTTTGAGTGATACCTGCTTATCTCCTTTCTCCACTTTAGAGCAGAATAAATGTAATATATCATAGTGGCGCTCAACGCACTTTTGCATACAACTGAATATAAAGTTCAAGTTCCCTATCTAGTTATAAAACTATTTAGCTATGTAAGTAGAAATTATTATAGTCTCGGCACATAATGGATAAAATCTTGCTCTCTTGTCCAACTATGACTACACTGTCGTATAATAATGCAGTACTATGTAATTAATAACTATGATATATGACTAATTTTTTTTCGAATTTCAGATTTAAGACAAAAAAAAACCTTTCAAAACAAGAATAAAAAAAAAATGCAAACCAGCACGCCATTAAATTTGTTCTCGTTAATATATTTAATGTATAAATATTGTCATTTATTATAAATTATAATAATTATTAAATATTTAATAACAATTCATTAATAATTGTAATAAATTGTGAAATTTTAATATCAATAACTAACAAGGAATCATCCAAGTTGTTTAATTTGCTCTGTTGTTCAAAGGGAGATCTAAGATGAAATTTATCAAGAAAATAACATTTGTTATCGTATAATACATTTTTCATTCAAACAACTTCATTTGAAGATCTAAAAGACAAATATTTATATTGTTATTTTCTAAATAATTTAAGTAAAATGTTAACAATAATATATATACACAATAAAAAAATTTTATGCAACACTTGAATAAATTTCACAAAATCAAAAATATGAGCATAATTTTAGTACTTTAGGATATTTATCTTGGAAAAAAAGAAAAAAAAACGTAATGCTATGGAAAAAGGTAAAACACTCGGATTCATGTAGGTTTCCGAGCTATTAAAAAAGTACCATTTATCAAGTTATAAAATCGTGAAAGATATGCTAAACAATACATTAGACTGTACTTTCAAGTGTAGATAAAAAATTTTTTCTAGTGTTTGAAGTACAATTTATCTTTCCTATTGTCATTGTTATCATCATTGTCCTTATGATTAATTATTATTAACCCAACAAAAAAAAAATAGCACGATCGAAGTATTAGAATTTTTCCTAGTTCTTTCTGTATATATTTCACTTTTGATCTCCCGTTAAGCATATTATGTATGAAGCCAAAAGAAGATGAAGTAATAAAAAAATAAATTGTGTTCAGATAAACGATAAAACATAGCTTTTAATCCTCATCAATAATTCAACAAAAATTCTGAATATTTTTTAAAAAAATCCATTCTCTTTTATAATAACGATAACTATTAGTATGTATTATTATTACATTAATACTTATTTGTTTTAAATAATAATGATGTTCTTTCGTTCATAAATTCAATGACTTAGTAATGAAATGATAGAATAATATATGCAGACATAATATTAAATAAAATAAAAGTTGAATAACACGAATACTTAATGGAATGATAATAATGAGGGACAAGAGTAAAATACAATGAAAATTCAAAGACTTATCACCATATATACAGATATAGTTATCAATGCATATAGTATTCTCTCTCAAAAGTGTCATTTGTGAAACATAAAAAAATGAAAAGAAGAAACAATAAAAACAATAATTATTCTTTCTGTTTCAGTACGTACTTTTTTTTAAGTATGCATTTAATTATTGATAAAAGAGAAAGAAGAGTTATGTTTAAATATAAAATATGACAAATTTAAAAATAATAATATATTTATGATTATTTAAGTTATTTTATTTAATATTTAGTTTTAGATTAAGAATTGAATTGTTTAAAATTTAAATTTAATTAAGAAAATTAAGAATAACAAATAATATTAAAGTGTATTTATATAAATATATTGCGAATCGTAAATGTTATATAAAATGTTTAAAGATATTATTATTATCATTATTATTACTATTATTAGTATTAAAATTATTATACAAAAGAAAGAATAAAGCTTATTGCTATGACATGTAACAATGTCCTACACTAAAGGTATAAAAAATTAGATAGGTTATTATATCACATGTATAGAATCAAAAGTTTGATATCAAATGTTTTGTAGTCAAGATAATACAAAATGTTTTGTATCAAAGTTCCCCTTACACATTTCTCCCTCCATTATAAATCAAGCCGTCAAGTTTTTTCCTTCACAAGGGCAGATTCCCTGAGACGGGGCCAGTGGCTCATAAATTTTTAATTCCTTTCTTTAATTAGTAAACCTCACCTTCTATTTTATTTTTACTCCAAAGGATGATTAAGTATATTTTTTAATTAATTTTATTCTTTTTTTAATTACAGGGAAAGTGCCTGGTGCATAGTGACCGGTCTCAATAAGCTTAAGAATAATATCTTAGTGTACGAGATCTTTGAATAAATTTAGTTAGATTTTACAATTTACCTGAGCTATATAATTAAATAGAAAAAAAAACAAGAACATTTGATATCAATAAAAAAATAATTATTTAAAGATTTCTGTCATCAAATAGACGGAAATAAAATCAACACAAAATGGGTAAACAGAACAGTAAACTCAAACCAGAGGTGCTTGAAGATTTAAAACAGAATACTGAGTTTACAGGTATTTATTTTTAAAAGATCAACTTAAACTATTTAATAAGCAAGTCTCTTTTAATACTTTTTAAATCTCAACCTTCATTTTCATCTTCAATGGAGATGCTGAAATTCAAGAATGGTACAAGGGATTCCTGAAAGATTGTCCAAGTGGACATTTGAGTGTTGAAGAATTTAAGAAAATATATGGAAATTTTTTCCCCTATGGTGATGCTTCTAAGGTAAACTTTGAATACTTTATTAAAATAGTACCTAGATAATAAAAAAAAAATTTTGGATTAAGTGTAAAAAGCTTAAAAGCTCATTTACTTTTCATATATATATAGAAGGATTATAAAACATAGAATAAAAAGAACAAAAATTAAATATTCAAAGCTACTCTTTTATGCTTTAAATTCTATTTAAATGTACCAGACAACTAACAATCCTTTTCATTTTCTGGATGAATAATCTACATGAATTTTTTCTCTTTTTTTACTTTTAAAATTTTAATGGATTTATTATCAATTACTTAATTGATATATAAAAAGGTTGCCAAATTTCTTTTTTCATTGAATTAATATACAGTTAAAGTCTGCTACAAATTAAGGTTAATAGTATGCAAGGTTTTTACTTCCTGGTGTCTGGTGATCATACTAATAATTAATCATTCCGTTTTCTTATCAGTTTGCAGAACACGTCTTCAGAACATTCGATGCAAATGGCGATGGCACGATTGACTTCCGAGAGTTTCTTTGTGCTTTAAGTGTGACTTCTCGTGGGAAATTGGAGCAGAAATTAAAGTGGGCCTTCAGTATGTACGATCTCGATGGAAATGGTTACATTTCACGTCAAGAAATGCTCGAGATTGTCACAGTATGTATACATAAATTCAATCTATTTCAAACTCACTTTATTTGAAAAGGAAACAGGGGATTAGCTTCAGTGACGAATTTTATTCTAAATCTTTGGATGAAAATCTGTTATTTGATATTTATTGTAAAAGTTATTGTCTCGAAACTATTTATTTCGAATGATCATAAATTTGTTTAAATAGGACATTTATCAATTTAAAGTGAACTTAGAAATAGAGTTATTTATATCTTTCATTTAAATTAATGTAATGGTAGAACAATTATCTAAATGGCCTCTTTAACTAAAAAACAATGAATGCATTTTGGAGATCACACTTTTAGTGTAAATGGTCTTGGATAAAATGTATTATTATTTGCTTGAAAGCTGAGAACGTTTGAATGGTAGATAGATCTACTGTTACTGTAACGAAAAAGGCCTGATAATTAAAGCTGACTATTATTTTAAATAATAGATCTAATAAATTTTTTTATATACTATTCAACAAAAATTCAATATTAGATAAAAGTATTTAAACTATAAATTAAAATTAAATAAATTTTTTTTTGAAAAAATTTGTAAAGCTTGATCCCCTTTTTTCAAAATAAAATATAAATTTAGCATAAGTTTTTAAATGGAAAAAAATCAATATTTTGTTTATTATTATTTTTTTTGCTTTGCTAGGCAATTTACAAAATGGTAGGTACTGTTATGAAAATGCCTGAAGATGAATCAACACCTGAAAAAAGAACTGACAAAATATTCCGGCAAATGGACAAGAACAAAGACGGAAAATTATCATTAGAGGAATTTATTGAAGGTGCTAAGAGCGATCCGTCTATCGTGCGACTGTTGCAGTGCGATCCAAGCGCACAGGCTCAGTGAGCCCTTGGCTAAACCGGAAATCGTTTAGTTATGCCGTTTATGACCCCGGCTCGGGACCCGGCCCAATAATAATATCAGACATCTTACTCAAATACTCAATAGTACCATGGGAAAGTCAATTTTCATTATTATCCCTATCCATTTTCCCCCTCAATCGTATCGTAAGCATGAGGCTAACAAAAAAAAAGACTTAATTTTCCTCTGCTCTCGTGCTACGATACTTACTTCCATGTACCCATTCAAACGCAAATTAATAACGATGAAAATAAATTTTTAGATTGAGTGTAAGAGTATATATCATTGATTGTGTATCATGCGAAAAATAATGAAATTTAATTGTAAAGATTTTCTGTGGTTTATTTGTTTAGAAAAAAAAAATTGTATTCTGCAAAAGTACTCATTTTTCCCTAAAACCAATGATATCTTTATTGATAATTTCAGTTGATAAAATATTTTCTGGAATGGGTTATCAAACAGCTATTTACTTATAATTAAGGTTAAATTATTTATCATGATAAAACAAAAAATATATTTATAAATATTATTAACAATTAAAATAAAATTTTGCATTGAAACAATTATTTTGTAGAAAGTATTATAAAAATAACAGAAAATATTTTGTAAGAAATTACTAATAAAAGTATGTATATTTCTAGTCTAAATTATTATTTTTTTTGTACTTTAATAATATTATTGTCTATTGTGTTGATTTGAGTTAAGATTTCTGATAACGATGATTGAATAAATTGAACCAGGACCCGAGAGCTTACAGGGTCATTGGGCCCAGCGCGCTTGCGCCTACCGCAAACTAGTCTGTAAGGCTAGTCCAGTCGCTCCGTCGCGTTCAAAAGAGAAAAACACTGATTAAAAAGAGAATCAACTAAGAGACAAACTTTAACAAATCAATGAAATAATAATTTATTTGGATAATTAAGTTGTTAAAGACTTACCTACTGAGGTTTTTTTTTTCTTAATTTCAAAATGCCAAAAAGCCAATGAAAATTTGGATTTAAATTTTCAATTTTCGGTAATGTTGCCAATATCTCTATACACATACTGAGAATCCCTTTGATTCATTATAAATAAACAATGAGTTAAGTAATTGTTTGGTTAAAATCTAATAGCGAGTACGAAATAATTTCCTAATGTTATAGTACTACAAACAGAATCATGCAAACATAGATTCAGATATTAAACCAGACTCTAGATCTGGGTATGTGAAATTCACTGCTTGCAATGTTTCATCGATAAATAAAGAATTCTGTTTGGAGTATTGGAAAATTCCAGTAAATTTTAATGGAAAATATACAACATAATTTCAACTATTTAAATATTTTGTTTCTTTACTAAAAGTATTTTGTTACAAATATTGAGTTAAAACTTATCGATAACATTGCACAAAACCCTTGTTATTGATTACACATTATATGTTTTGCTCATACATTTAGTTTATACATATATAAATAAGTATGTGGAAAAAAAGTTCAACGACACAAATTGCACAAATATTCTTTATTTATTATTTTATATCTTCTCATTTCTTTAATCATACATTGATGACTAATTAGTGGTAATTCATTATTATAACGTCGAGCATTATTGACACTTTTTCCAATACATCATATACATGAATATTAAATGGTGTCCATCTCAAAGAAATGTTCAAACGAAATGAAACAAAAAAAAAACGATTTAAAAATTGATGAAAAAAAATATATCATTTTGCGATATTCTAGAGATTTATTTTTCTTTATAGACATGTTGTTAAGTATAAGTGAGTGATAATGAGTGATGTATGTTATTATGTATGCAAAAAACAATTGATATAATCATTTACATTCATAAAAAAATAACAAATTTATAGCGAACGGCTAGATGTTAATCGTAATCTATAATAAGGGTTGAAATAAGTTCGAAATTGGATCAAAATTAATTCGATGTTAAATTGAATGAAAAACAAAATTTATAGGGAAATATAAAATATGTCAAGGTATAAACAATTAATGATAAAGAAAAATTGATTGCAACTTTTCATTGTAATGAGATATTTTTTCAATTGAAAATTTTCTTCGAAACTTTCAAAAGTCATTGTTTCTCTCTGTGAAGTTAAAAATGAATTAAAAGAAAAAAATTATCGTAATTGTAATATGTCGGTTAATATATGATCAATGTATGTTCATTATTCTTATATAATTGGCAATTGACCTGTTGAAACTCTACGGGACTCTACATCGTATAAAGTCGATGGGGAATGATATCTTTGATTTGATAAAAAATTTAATTAATCATTAATCTACTCTTCGGATAACTAATTTAACCCATAAGTTATTAATTACGTTAACATACTGTTATACTCACTAAAAAGAAGCTTTGAAAGAAAGGTAATGATGAAAATATAATTAACAATAAGAAAAGAGAAATCTTTGCTGTTGTTCGTAAGATGTAAATTTCTTCGTCTTATGCTCATATAAATAGTTAAGTAATTTATTATTGATTATTATAAAGATTATTCGTATAATTATACTCAAATTGTCATGTAGATAATCGACATAGAGCGAAAATTTGAATGACACAGAAATATTCAATGATAAATTGATAATAAAAATCATTAACTTTATGATACATCGTTTGTGAGGTTCACAAAAATTCATTTTTTATTTATTATTTCAATATTATGTCTTAAAAAATTAATTTCAGTTTTGTTTTTGTTACTTTTATTATTTTCATGATTATTAGTCGTACCTCGAAGTAAACTTTGAAGCAATAAAAGAATAAACTATCTAAAGTCTTTTGAAAAAAAGCTGTAGATGTTATAATATTACAGTAAACTATCATACACTCGGGATTAAAAAAAAAAAAACAAAAAAACAAAACCTCGTTAATTTCTTTATCCTTATTTTTGGTATGAATTTTAACTTGAAATTTTTTTAAGTAACTTCAAGTTTAACAACAAAATTTAATTTAATTTTATGTGAAATATTATTTCAGAAAATGAAACGTTTATTTATTTATTTACTGAAAAAAATATTAATTTAATACATTATTATTATTCAATAAATAAACATGAAGTGACGTAAATTTTTTTGCAAATTTCATTTTCCAGAACAAGAACATTTAAGAGAAAAAAAATTTTTTTCTTTAATAATATAAAAGCTTTTAAAGTACAAGAATAAAATTCTCTATTGTTTCTATGTTATTATAATGATATTTTAATTATGAAGATACAATACACAAGTCCATTGAAGGCTCGTGACCACACTTCTATCCCGAGTGTTTAATTCAACACGATTGTCATCACATAGAATTCTAAAAAAATTTCTTACTATCTCTCTGTGCAATTACTAAACTCTTAAACAAAGGTTCATTAAAAAGAAGTAAAAGAAAAAAGATAAAAAAGTAACTTATAATAACCCCGTTCATCTTTCTCTTATTCCAAAAAAACTAAAATGCATGTTTAAGTAATCTTTTTCTTTTCTCAGGAATTAAAATTGTTATTAATGATACGCTTAACAGTTGCACGAACTAAAAAAGAGAAAAAATATTAAATAATAAAATGCTGTAGAAGCTTTCACTTTTTACTATCAACATCCGAGTTCTATTTAAATTATAAGTCGAATTTTTAAAAAGCCTTCATATAGTTAAAAACAAAAAAACAAAAACAGAAAGGTTGTAAAATTGATTCCGTAAGTGATTAAAATAATTAAAATGATAATTACTCGATGGATTGTGATAAGTTTCCAGGTTGTGAAATATTTATTTATTACTTAAAAAATATATGCACCAAGATAATAGCTGGAATGGAATGATATAAAATAATTTAAAAATCAAGTATATTATTATTATTGTGTTAAAAATACGAGATGAGGTTTTAAGCTGCTACGTAATGAAGTTTTGAAGTGCATAGAGGTCGTACGATTGATTAAAAACGGAATCAATAGTGTCAGTCAGCCATAAAAAATGTGACCTAAAAAAATGAAAATAATATAAAATTATATTCAATTTATGCTTATTATAGATATATCGCGATTCAACGAAAAATTTGCGATTTTTCTCAAACTTTACTGTCAATTTTATTATTATAAATATTATAATTATAATACTACTATGATCTTTAAAAAAACATCTAACATTGTTTGTAAAACAGCTTTTTCTTGCCATCGAATCTCAATGGTAAAACTTTAACGATTTAACTAATATTCTATCTGTTGAATTAGTTCATTTATTTTATTTAGACTATAAATTAGGTATAAAAAATAATAACTTTATTTCATCAACGAATATCGAGTTTCCGAATTTGTCTCTCGATAATGATAAATTTTTTAGAATATTTGTATTAACGTATATTTATTAATTATTACTTATTATGAGTTATTAATGCTCCAACTCAGCTCAATCCTGTCCCTCCTTTGAATATTATTATCATTATATTATTATTATATACGATATTATATGTTTCGTGTGTGCATGAGAGTATGGAGAAATGTGAAAATGCGTAAATGTGTGTTATTTGTAGAAATATTATCATCGATAATTGCTACATGCGTAACTATATTTTAATAATAAGTGCCTCTCGGCATTATTATTGCATTGTAATTGAGATAATCAAAACGATTGATAAATAAATGAAAAAATTATAATGAAAATTTTCATCAATTCAAGCATAAAAGACAAATTATAATCGTATTAACAATCAAATATCGGTCTAATAGTAACAAAGTACATATTTAAATATTTGTATATTTTTTTTCGTTTGCATGTTTGTGTTTGTTTCAAAATATATATTATTATAATTATTATTAAAATATTTATTTACTATATATTACTTTATTAGCATGTTTTATTTATATTAAATGCCTGTAAGAAATTTTATTGATGTTTTCTAACTGTATAAATATTGATTTCATTAATATTTTATGATAAATTTATTATCTATTAGAATTTTTAGAATTTTCTCTAGTAAAATATTTATCGTTTTTTATTCTAGTTAATTTTAATATTGAAAGATGATATAATTAATTTTCAACTGAATATGACCCAATAATAATGACAACAATAATATAAAAGAATATCGAAAATCAATCGAACAAACAATAAACGTCTCAATTATTTTTAACGAAAATAATTGTTAATTTTTACAAAAATATTGAGCGAGTGGAGCCGATAATAATACTTGATTATAAAATGCATGCGTATGACAAAAGAAAAATAATAAAGAAAAAAAATAAATAACAATGTGATAGTAATGAAATGTCAACAATTGATTTGCTTTATAATTATAATTTACTACGTTAATTTATATATAAGTAAAAGTAATAGAATAATTGAAATGAAAATGAAATAATGATATATTAAACATACACATATATCAACAATATATATGTATATTTACTATAAATAATGATTATTCATAGATATTTATTATGGATACAAATGAACCATTCGTGTATCAGTTAATTAATTGCTACATTAAAGTGTTGATATTATACTCGTTCAATGTGTGTGATTTTTACTTTTTGCATTAAACATTTGCTTATTTCTATTTTGTATTTATATTTCATGTATTCTTCTCATAATTATGTTATTCGTTTGAAGTAATTGCAACAATGGTCATATTTAATTAGTATTATTGATAATAATAATAATAATGATAATCGTTATTATAATAAATATAATAAATAAGGAAAAAGGTTAAAAAAAGTAGGACAAAATAAATATAAACGAAATATTCATATTTTCAGTTAAACTTTCAGAGAATTGGTTGATATTTAAGACTGTAATATGCTCTAGTATGATAGCTGTAGTGTCGGGGCTCGGTCCTGTATCCAGTAATCCATCGCATATCTGCTGACTGTTTATAACTCCTATTAATGTTTTTCACATCGTACATTCTGAACATTCTTTCAGACCACTCTTCCATATTTGGCATATCTCTGTAGATCCCTCGGTTTCTTTGGTTTAACCAATCAATCACATCATTGTAATAGAATTGCCTGAAAAATAATTGAATCAAATCAATTTATAATTCATTTAATGAAGATTATTTTTTTATTTTATAAACAATGGAATTTCTGTTGATTATGTTGATAAATGGGTAATAATGAAGTTTAGTTTAACTGATATTGATTTTGACATTAAACTAAATATGCTAATTGAATAGTTACCTATAATCATACAGACGACGGTAGTTTAAAAATAATGGACGGACCCAATGGAGAGTGTATTTAGGTTTTGGAGCTTTCTCAAATTTGGAATAATCCAATTTTGGTTTTTCCTCCTTCTTTTCTGCAGGAGCTCCTCCTCCCTCTTCACCTGCAGCTTCTGGTGGTGGCTCTTCAGCAGGAACATCTTCAAAATCCCACGCTGCATCATCATCATCAGCCATAGTTTTTATTTGGTTTTAACTAAAATTTACAGCTACTGCAACCAAAACACATTTTTATCACTTATTAATATTTTAGCTGAGAAATTAAACTAATCATTTAAACTGCAAGTTTTGAACGATATTGTTTTTTCTAATGTTATGCAACTTGTCATCACTTCATGTCTGTTGGACAATGAAAAAAAAAACACTTGCGTAATCTTTTTTAGTTTCCTTATTTTGAATACAATTGATTAATATCTTTCTTGTTTCCTTTATAAAATGAGTCTTTTGAGAGATCCATTGATGATTTATCTTTGATAGTTTTATTACTCACCCTCAAAGATCACTGATATAAACTAGACTAAAGACTGGCTAGCTAAACCAATAAGTAACACACTGAGGAGTCTGATAGATGAACTCCTCACACTTGGTAAAAAAATCACCCTCGACTAGCACTGTCCTCAAGTGTGTTTCGCTTTTATTTGACCAACATTTGATTGATCTTCAAGAGTGGGGGACACAAGGGACCCTGGCATAGTCGACGAAAAAAAAACTCATTAAGCAATGGAGCAACTTACAACAAAAAATATCTTCCATTGTCTAATTTGGATCGAAATGATTAAACGATCAAATAGATTTCTGTTAGAGAATTCAACTAATAAACTATTAACCTACTTTTCACAGCAATAAAAAAAATTCACATGAATTCCCAGGATACTTTAGACTTTGGCTGTTCTCCAGGACATTCGTTTCCGGGTCTAGAAACTTTTTAAACTATTTTGTACAACGTGGCATTTTATCGTTAACAATCATTTACTGGTTTTATATCTAGTTTCACAATTGTTATAAAATCTCAAAGGATTTGTCATGTAGATATTGATTGGATCGCATATAGAGAGATATACCGATTCACTTTTATAGCTTGATCTCGAAACGGCATCGAGATTAAACCCTTTCGAAATCTGATTCTATTGACACACTGCTCTGATTTACTTACTAATATTTGTTTATAGGATAGAATCATTCTTGATTAAAGGGTAACTTTTAACCCTGAAAATTTTACAGAAATCATGTTTATTTATTTTGATACTTTTATTTATTTATTCATATCTCATCATTCAAATGCATCATATCAATTCAACAAAAATCATTACAATTCAAACTTGACAATATTATCAATCTACAATAACAAGTGCAATAGATATTTTTTTTTTACGTAATTAAAACTATCAATAAATATTATGATTATAAGAAATTTTATTTATGATGATTAACAAAAATTTTTAATTTTTTTAGCAATTAAGTTGACAAATAATCGACTATTATTATTATGAAAAAGTAAATTTACATACAGTTTTGCCAAGATCAATAAAACTGAATGTACATAAAGACTAAAAACTATTTGTTTACGACTATTTGAATTGAACAAATATATTTTCATATCTGCATGATATCAGTGAAAAAAAATTTTTAAAGTTTCTTTCTTTACAATCACATTAAATTCTCTAGAATAAATTATCTTCAGATTAAAAGCAATGTTTTCAATTCAGAATTTTCTATCTTAATCCTATGCATATGTTGGAACAGTTTTTCTATTCTAAATAGTCGTAACATTTAGTTTATAGTTTTTCTTTCACTACATGAAAGCCAACGGCATTTTATAGAATTGGATGGATTCCTATTTGTTCGCAATAAAAAAATTCTATTAACAATTTAACAATGTAAAGTTCTTGTAGGAAATAGAATTTTATATCTACATTCAGTAACAAACCAATATAAACTTTTCTTTTTTGCATACTAAGCTACTACGTTCTAGGTATAATACAGAATACAAATCTGACATTTTAATCAATTAAAATTTCCATGCTACCAAAGAAATAAAATCAAATAATGCTCATTCAATATATTACTTTTTTTATTTTCATCATTATTGACATTTCTAATTATTTTGATACTCCATATAAAATAATCATCACTTTACATCACTATAACAGACCAATATTAATGGATGTCCTAGAGTGTCATGTACTGAGAGTATTGTACATAGTAAAATATTGCTTAAATTACTATTAGAGTGACAAGAATAATCATTAGTGTCAACAGTGGACTTGATAACTTTTAATTGAAATATGAATTCAATTCTCTTGCATAAATTAAAAAAAGATTCATGAAAGTTTTGTAACTAATTCAACATGTAAATATTCATTTTTCGAATAATTCTTATGAATCATCAGAAATAAAATTTCTTTAATTATTGAACTAAGAATAAATGCATAAAAAATTTAAGATTCAATACTTGAACTCTTTCTTCGTTTAGATAGGGATTTTTTTTTATTTTTTCGACGTTCTGATTTAGGTTTAACTTTAACAATGTCTGTTCCAATGCCAGAAGCTTGAGGAATTTGTGGTAATTCACCCTTGATTCGTGCTTTAGTTAAATCACCAACGAGTTTAGGCATTTCGTTCTCTAATTCAATAAACTTTGACCATTTAAATAAGGGTACTTTTTGATTAGATTTAGTATCAGTTTCGGCAGCAAGTTCAGATTGTTTAGTCATTTCTTTTAGCTTTCGTGCCTTCTCCAATCTAGCTACAAGATTTTCTGGTTCTATTTCTGGCTCTTCATTGTTGTCAAACTTGGTTGCGTGTTTTTGGAAGGCAAGATTAGCATTTTCTAGAGTAGATTTGGCCTTTTCGATTTCTGCACCCACATCAATCATATCAAAGAGACGATCCTGTAGTAGTAAATTAATTTATTGTCATTTTTAATTTAATCATACAACTACGTTTCTAGATAATAAATCAATGGAATGATAAATTATGAAACAAATTCAATGGATTTAAAAAAAAAAATGGTAATGAATGATTAATAATACCTGAAGATCTCGTCGTTTACGACGCAATTCTGCGAGATCTTCTTCAAAAGCTTCGGAAGCTCTTTGTTTAAATCGTCTTTGAAGGAATACGAAATCATCTTCAATATCATCTTCTGGAATAGGTCGACCGTATCCTTCATACAAAAAATCTGCATAGTCCTCATCCCCTCGTGTTCCTGTCAGATGTCTTGAACCTAAAATATCCCACAAACCCATACTATTCTTATAATGCCATGAGAAAAGTAATTTTATTTCAAAAAAAAAAACAACTAATAGAAGTATCTTTTTCAAGTGGTAAAACGTACCGAAAAATTCCCAGATTCATGCAGGTGCTGAGGTCTCCAGAACTCCGGAAAAATTAAAAAAAAGGTGAAGGTAAAAAATAATCTTAAAGATTCATTAAGGTAATTACGACTTCATTTATTTTATTTATAATGAAAGGTCTTAGATACATGAAAAGGACAGGAATATTTTAAAATACATAAATAGGTACATGAAATCCAAAAGAAAGTCATTGGATGGAAAATAAGAGTCAAAATAGAATGAGAATGAGAGAGAAAAAAGGAGCAATTTTATGAAATCTCTATTTCTTAATCAGTGAATTGCAATGAAATATTCCATCATTGGATAAATGACTTTTAATTATAAATTGTTGTTCAAAAAGTAACATGCTTGTCTATTTTTTCACTCTTCATCGTGACTTTTTTACTAATTTGCTCCATATGTACATCATCAGCGCTATCATTAACAAAAGCTTTAATAGCAGCAGCACGACGTTCTCTTTTAGCTTGTCTCTCAGCCATTTCTTCCATTTCATTCTCTAAATCAGTTAATCTTGCTTTAGTCTGTCGTGCTCTCGAAGCAGCACCAGTGCTTAAATCAGCTTCTAGATCAGGTAATTTAGACCACTTGATCAAATTTTTATCAGCTTCAAATTCAGAATTAAATTTAGAGCGGCGTTTAAATGCAGCATCTGCTTCTTCCATAGCTGACTTAGCTGATTCAATCAACTTTTCACCTAATTCTTGACGTCGTTGGGTCTGCATTGTTCGCCTCAAATCATCATAATGATCACTGTCATAACTCAGACTTGCAGCATGTGCCTTGAAGCGTCTTGTGGTAGCAGCAACTTCACTAGCAAAATCATCAGCCAGATTACGACGATGAGTACGTTGTCCACGAATATCATAAACAGTATCCTCGTCGTCCTCATGAATTCCACCACCAAAAAAGGAGTTGTGCTTGGTTGGGGTCTGGTTGCGGGGTCGAGGTGATTCATTTTCGAGGTCAAGGTCACGGGTGAAGGTGCGAGGCCCTGATAAGTCACGGCTGCCTGTAAACCCATTAACATATTTGTTTTTTATCATACATATTTCCTGCACTTTAATTGTCCTTTTTAAATTGACTTGTTTTAGATTACATATGACGGTTGTGTATATATATATATATGTATTGATAAGTAGATATATGATTGATTCATGTATAGAATACCCGAACGCGATTCTAGCCAATCACAGATAGCAGCCAGATCTTGATACTAAGGATCGCAAGACAATTATGTGTCAATCAGTTGCAATTGTACGCGATACCGAACATGTCACAAATCCTTTCTCTCTGTCATTTGTCGATTCTGTTCGACACTTAAACGCTCTATTTTTCTCTCTCGTTCTTTCAACTGTTCGTTTTCCAAAAGGTTTTTGTTTTATAAAAGACATTATGTTTGTTTTAAAAATTTAATTGTTTAAGAAAAAATATGTAATCATTTGTTGTGCTACGAGGATTGATATGGTAAAATTCATTTTAATTTAAAGCAGAAAAAGACAGTTTGTTCAAGTAAAGTTCATTTGATTTATTACTTGATTATGTACAAAACGTAGCTATTCAAGTTTATTCAGTTAGTGAGTAAATTGTTTCACGAGTGGTGTCTAAATTTTCTTCACATTTTATAATTTAGTTATAAACTAATAAAAAATTTATATTTATTCTATTTTATTTCCTTTCTTTTCATCTAAACTCATTTAATTACTTTAACACATTTTTATAGTATTTAAAACAAAGTTTAAAGTATCCAAGCTTCAAAGCTGTATTATTCAAAGAATTTAAAAAGTATGAATATCTAAAGTTACTTATATTAATTAATTAATTTCTTTTTCTGCTTTATTGAAGAATCAACGTGTACAAGAAGCAACATTCAACATGAAAAATCAGGTACTTGAAAAAATCTATAAGTTAAACCTTTTATTAAACAATCAATTAATGTAATACAATTACAGAGATCACTGTTGATCGCAAACAACACTAAAGAATAACTAAAATGAAATAGATGAAACAAAAAATAACAATGAAAAATCGAAACTGATGTGGGGGATAACAATGAAGCTAGAAATGAAAAGAAAATACAAACCAAATAAAAATGAAACCATCTCCAGCATTCAGGCAATAAATGATAAATAAAAATAAAGATAATTATTGATGAAAAAAAAAGAACAAGTCATGCCAACAAACATTCCATCAATTGTTCCGACATACATAAATATATATATATTACATCCTATTTTGAAAATTCGGAATAATCCTATCTTTGACATGACACCATGCATTAATAAAAATTTGTCAGATTAAAAAGAAAAACGTTCTCCAATGACAGGATTTACAAGGATTGTTATGAGAACAATTATGACAAATGATTCATATTCGAAGGAATTGACGAAGAAATTGCAAATGATTTGGTTGAATTATTAACAGACAGATTCATTGCTGGATTCAATTTGTGCTGGATTTTAGGATGATGGGATCAAATGTTGAACGATAAATCACTATCAGCATCATATCTCATTATCACCAGCATCATGACCACGTTTTGACATTCCTTAAAACCATTTTGGAAAACGATTGAAGATGTTACCGATGTCACTTCGTCTTGCAGCTATTTCATCAGCAATTGAACTCCTTGGTTCCGGAAACAGTGGACGTGAACTGTACTTTCTATCCAGGTGATCCACCATTGGCTTGTAGTATGATTCTCCCTTATCATAATTGCAGTTGTAGACGCGCGTACGCGGTCTGCTGAATATAGGCCTCGACATTTTGATGGTTATCTGATCCCTTGGATGATTTTAGTCTTTGAAAAACTCCACTTGAGCTATTAATACCTGAAACAACATAACAAACCACGTCATTCATTTCCTTATTAATTTTGTAATCCGTTTGTAAATATTGTGTCTAATTATTTTTTTTTCTAATTAAATATGAAATTAAAATTGCAAAAAAAAACAATTTATTTAAATTATCATCTGTAAATAATTAAATAATATACGATAACTATTTAAACCATTTTAAACCATCAACACACATTTTTAAAGTAACTTTTAATTTTAATTTCTAAGTTTTAAAATAAGTTCGAGTTAAAAATGAAATGATAAAATAATGTTTAATAGAAAAAAATTAAAAATGTGGTGTAAGTAGTAGTGGTAAAGTAAGTGATGATGATGATAATGATGATGATGATGATAGTTTTAGTTGAGAAATTTTAGTAGTTTTAAACATGTTAATAAATTTATCAATAATAATTCACCTAAAAATAGGAATAATCAATTGAATAATAATTCACTCTAGGAACTTTATTCAGATAAAAACACCGTCTAAAAAGAATATCAAGAGGAGTAAAGACGCGTGGTAAACTGGAGCAAACTACTGAGCTACTCTTCTCGTCTCAACATTAAAATAGACCATTTCTAATTTAGTGCCCATGAAACAAACTCTCTAACATTTGTTCATTATATACAAGGAACAGAAAACCAAGTTCAGACCCATTTCATTTTATTTCTTAAATATCTATGAAAAAAAAAAATAATTCATCGTAAAATAAATAAATAAGTCGTCAAGGATATGTCATTGTTACAAAAAATAAAAAAACAAATAAATAAATGAGTCATGTAACATTGAATAAAGGTATTTTCCACGTGGGGTGATATTTACAAAATTTATTGCAAAATATTTTTTTTTAGAACAACGATTAATCCTCTGAGTCAATTTTCTTTAATATTACGCTCTAGTAAACATTTCAGTAAACTTTTTGATTCTAATTCAAAACACCTCTGCATTAATTTGACAAGTAGTTAAAGTCAATGAATTTTGATCATAGTCAAAAATACAAAATTATGAGTGCTTTATTACATTTAGAAGATGATTCATTCAGAAGTTGTATGAAAATGTTTTAAAAAGATTCTTTTCTCACTTCACCAAAAAATGAGTAAACAAACATATGTGGATATAAATAAAAGAAATATCGGATGGCAATAAATTGCTCCATTAAATAGAAAAGAAAAATGTGGATGTAGTAATTCTTAACAGTCTAAACACCTTACGCAATAGAGATTAGTCGCATCAGTGAATTAGGAAAGAGTCTGAGAAGTTATAAGAGCAACTCTAGCCAGATTTGGCTTGCGGACATTGAATTCAATTTAGCAATATCGATTACAAAACACATCGTCACAAAATCAATTAGCCCGAGCACTCAATCAATCATCGCTTGGCGTTTTTAGATCGTTTGTGTGAAAGCAATTACAGAAGATATGGATGCTGGCCAAATGAAAAAAAAATATATATGAAAAAGAGATAAAAAAATTTACGAGAGAATGTGAAATTTATCAGCATGAATAGACATGTTCAATCAAATAATTCAAAGCTTAATTGGCTCGAGATCGGAATTGATTGGACGACGCATAGAAGCGCTAGTCGGATAATTACGATCTTGGTGTCAGGGGTCATACAAGTACGATAATCGTAGCCAATTATGTAGTTCACAAGTGATTAACAGCATGTTCATATTCTGCACAAAATTAAAGAGGCGAAGAATTAGATTAGTGAAAATTTAGATAATCAAGTACATACCTTTGTTAAGCTTCTTCTTTTTACTCCAGAGTATTTTTCTTGATGCGATGGCCACGGAAGTATCAGCACGACTCCCACGGACGTCGCGACGCTCGTCTTCGTCTTCCCACTCTCTTTACCCCTTCCTGTGAATCTGCAGAGGGGATCTGCTAAACAAGTTCTGTACAAATTTTGTAATTTTATAAATCTTCAAATTTACCGTTGTTTCTTTTTTCCTGGTAGCTACAAGGTTTACTTTATCCTTGCAATTCATCAAAATCACACATTTTTTAAGTTGTACCAAAACCTTGATAATGTGATTTTGAATTTTGTTTCTTATCAATAGTTATTTTTTAAGATCAAAATATAATTGAATAATTTAATAATCAGTTTTATCAGAAATATCTGTAAAATCTAGAGTAAACTCTTCGTATCAATTAATAATTAATGATAATACATTAAAATCTGTTGAATAATAAATTTTGATCTTATTATTATCTGTTACATGTCTAAAAAATATTATTTTTTGTTCCTTCAATTTTATTTATTCATATTTTGAAACATTTCTTAGTGAATTATTTCAAGAAACGTCTATCAAAGGCTTTCATCTGTTAACATCCATTAATAAGTTTTCAACGATAAATTTAGATTTAGCAAAAATTCCATTTTTATCTATCACATTTCTTCTTCAAAAAATTTTCTTTGAACTAAAAGATGAACTTTTATCCAAGGAATCCACTAAAGTTTGATATTTGAGGAATTTGAAGTTGAAATCAAAGAAGAAGAAAGCTAGGTGAATTGAATGAAAAAGAGACATAATCAATAAATTCCTTGGATGAGTACAAATTGTCATATTTTTTGTAATACATATTTCCTTTTCTATATAGAGTAATGAATGTAAGAATGTAGCCGTTATTTTATTTTAGCGATGGTACAAACTAGATCGTGACGACAGAGCGGGGTTACTTTTAGACTGTTCAGATGTGTGTCTTCGGTTGGCGAATACAATGCAGTATCACAACTTGCCAAAGGTCCAGTTACGTATATTATGGAAGAATAAAGATTGCATTTCGGCCAATTATTCTTGCCAGTTAATACATTGCATACCATAAATGTCATAAAACGTGTAATTAAAATAAATTACTTGGAAAAAATTCAAAAATCCAATGTTGACTTCGACAATTCATTTAGAATACAATAATTTTATCTTCACATTCATAAATCTCCGATAAAAAACAAGTTTTTCGTCAAAAAAATATTAAAAAAACTTTGATTGATGAAATTAAAAATAACAATTAGTTTTGTTTAAAATAAAAATAAGAGAATTAAAACTATGTAATTGTACCTGTTTAAAATACTTGTTTTAAAATATCGTAATGTCGTATTGTATGTTTGACAATATCGACGTGGTATTATGCAAATATACACATATAGTTGTGTCGCTTATTTTAATCAAGGATATTGTCTTGCTATTCTCAAGTTCTCAATTCTTGGAACCAGTTAAAAACTACTTTATTAACTACTGAAAAAAGACTGTGAGCCAATTTTGTTTAATTATAAACTAATGTACATTATTTTTGACATAAAATTGAATACTTCATTATTGATTCACTCTGCATCGATTCATTAAATTTACTAAACATCAACATATCAATAAAAGCCATTTAACTATGTAAGAATTTTTGTTTTATTTTATTATATCTACAATAATTAACTGTACATTAATAGCTGGGTATTCTTTCGTCTCAAAAAATAGTGCTTTAAACACCTTTAGAACACAACACAATTGATTCACTATCTACACAGTTTGTACAAAACACAAAACATCTTAAAGCATCATCAAAAAGCATAAAAAAATAATCTGACATCGTGCAAGTGCTATTCGTTAATAAATTATTAATTATCAATTAATGTACGTATTTCCAAAAGTATTTATTTAATATCAAAATTTCTTTCTCACAATTAACTGAAAATCTTTAGGTCGAATACAAAATTAAAAGCACACAAAAATAATTCGATAGCATTATGCAAATTTTGCTAGTTGAGATCAATGGACAAGCACCCAAACTAGGCTGTGAAAATTTGATAAATTTACTGATTTACAAATCACTTCGGGTAAACACGTCAATATATTGACAGTTATGACCAAAAGATTAACAAAAGAAAAAAATCATTATATGTACAAAATTAATTTATATTAAAAGAGTTTAGTATTTTTCCAATTAATTAGATCTTATTAACTTAGAGCTCACAATATATTTTTGCAATACGTTTAAATTTTTATTCTTCAATAATTTAAATAATTCGTCCATCCTCTGGGTAATTTCTATCTATTAGTCTATTTACTTTATTTATTTGAATTTTTTAGTAAAATATCAATCACAATTTGTAGCCCCTCATTGTACGTGATTTCTTGAGGCATATCTTCGCAATAAAAAAGATTACAAATATTCAGACAAATGCAAATTATAAGTAATATTATTCTTGGTGTTATTATCCCTACATTTATAATATAATAATGTTAAGTTGTAATAAAATTATTTATGCTAGAAATCATAAAACAAGGATTTCTTTGTAATTTGTACTTTATAGGATGATAATTACAACTTATTTTGACTTTGGGTGATGTTGCTTAAGTTTCTTAATAACTAAGTTATAAGTATTAAATTATCATTTTGTCTACATAATTAGTATAATTTAAATTAAACATGACACTAAAAGTAAACAAAAAATTTTTATGAAAGAAATTCTGTTTTTTCAACTCTCATTAATATAAAATTAATGTTAGGATTGAACTAATCATAATTTTTATCGCGTTATTTTTAATATAAAAAATTTTGCGCTCATTTCTTTAAACTAATTATTTGTACAATTTTTTGAAACTGTGTTTTCATCTACTGTCATAAGTCATGCAATTTTTCATCAGACATAATTAAAAATCACACGATTATAGCTTTCTTTTATTTATAAATGTTCAAGGCACGCGGGTTTTAATTGAAATTTTAATTTTCATTAGTATCAATAATTACTGTATGTATTTTTTAAGACTTAAAATGTCTTGTTGATAAAATAATTTTAATAATTTAATTTATAATAATTTAATGTTCATTGGACTTTTATTGAGGCATTCCATGAACTCTAAACCTATAAAGACAAGTGTATTCAAGCTGCCCATGATTACTGTGTATCCTCAACTCGACATACTCATAAGGCTCAGTAATTTCTTTATTCTGAACCGGAAAATATTGCAAACTTTCATCATTATCTAAATATTCATATTCACCAAAAAGAACTGGGTTTGCATCATTTTCTCGCTTCAAACCCCATACATTAAACTTTTTAGGCGCACTTTTGATTTCATTGTTTGGTAAAATAGACTTTGGAACATGCTCCAAAGTAAATCCAGTAACTAATATTGAGCTTCGTAATTTTATTAAAAGATACCCAGGGAAATCTTGGAATGCCCAACATACTCCTGGTTGTAATTGATGTCCCTGAATTACGGTCCTAGGATCACCACTTTCATAAAACAATGTGAAGCCAAGGACTTTAAAGGCTCTGGTATTCACATTATACCGTTGAGTACAACGAATGGAAATTATTTGCCCTCCAGCGGACTCCAAAGCATAATCGACTCTTCCCGTCTTATCAGCATCATAAATTTTTAAAATTTCCTTTACTAATTTTTTCATTTGTTCCTCTGATAATGAAACCAAGTTTTCACTCTTTTTACAATCACTTTGACACTCTTCTTTTATATTAGTAACTTCGTTTAAAGAGTTTGTAGTATTTCTAACAATATTATTACTCTCTATAATAACATCTCTAACGATTTTTTCAATTTCTTCTCTAGATACTTCTGTTGTAAAATATCTAGCGACTATTTTTCTTACATCTTCCTCCAAAGCATAATTATAATTGGACAATGATATGGTATTTTTATCACAATCTATCTTTAACTGTGCGTAGAGTTTTTGGAGATTGTTAAATTCTAGTTTTATAGTTGTTAATTCATCATTTGTTGTATCAACGTTTCTATTATTTATTTTTTCCTCCAAATGAGATAATTTTTTCTTTAAATAAAATTTTTATAAGATTATTTATTTTTTATTTTAAAATAGTTATGAAATTGATTTTTTTTACTTACATTATAAAGTTCCCAGTTGTCTTTTTTATATGTTTCTGCTTTGTCTACCATTTCAGTAATATTTTCTATCAATTCCTACAAATAAATATGTATGTTTAGTAATCAATTAGTATTTTCAGTATCAAGTATTAGCTCATGAATACTGCATAGTGTGTCTTAACGGAAAAGAAATTATACAATTCATGGATATTTTTAGACTGAAAATTCTTTCCAAATGTGAGGGAAAAATTTCAATGACATTATTAAATTTTACAATAAACTTTTATCATAATTTTTATTGATTTTATGAAATATCGCAGATATTCCTTTCTATTAAATTCATTTCATGTGTTAATAGCTTTAATTGCCAAGAATTTAAATCTTCTTTAATTAAATCAAAAGTTTATTAGTAACTAATAACTCGAGAGTAAACTCTAGATAAAAAAGGATAAGCAAATTGTACCTTTTCATTATTATTGGAAGCCTCTAATTTATCTATTCGTTCCATTAATACAGCTATGGATCGGCGTATTTCATCATAAGCCGCACCGTTGGAATTAGCACTTAACTCCTCTCTTAGTTTATCATTTGGATAAATAGAGGTTGTCTTTTTTTCATTGATTACATACATCGGAAGAACATTTGGAAGTGTAGATATAATTGTTTGTGCATTTGTGATGAACCAACAACCTGAAATTAATTATAAACATTATTAAAAAATGAAAAAAAGTTACAATATGTATACACGTAAGTACAACAAAGTTAATTTAATTTTCAAATTCCTTCTCCTGTTACCGTCTTCACTCTTAATTAATCGACTTAATTTATAATAATTATTACCATAATTTCAATAAAATATTGAAATAAAAAATTTTAAAAACTGTTCAAAATAAATTCAATAATATCAATGAAATAAAATTATTTGCACGGTAACTGAGAGAAGGATAGACGAAAGAACTCACCATTAAGATGACATTGGGAGTCTGATGAATTTTATAACCCTCCTATAATGTTTCCAGGAAAGTTAACTTCCCTCTATCCTTCTCCCATTTGATTATTGACTGATCTATCAACTATTCCATTTATGCAAACTTTTATCTGAAAACTTTTAATTTCAAGCACCCTACTCATTTATTTTCATAAAATACTAACGTGACTTTTACTATTTTTTACGAATTTTTAACTTAATACCTTTTTTAAAATATTTATTCTAGAATTTATCCTTTAAAGAATTCTACGGATCAACATTCTATAAATTTTTATTTCTAATTAAAAGTTTTGGAAGATGCTTAATACATTCAACTCAATATACATATTCAATCGTTGTATAATTCGTAGTATAAATCGGTAATACAATTTTCATTACAAAGTTAATAGCCAAAAATAAAAATTTCTCTTTAACAACAAATACTTTACATATATTTTATGATTTCTATTGTTTCGTGTGAGCGTGATTAAACCATAGCACTGTGAATCTTGTTGTATTAGTATCTATACTAAAAAGTTTAATTCTACTTATAACATTCCATTGTAATGTTAAAAAAGCAACAAACAATTGAAACAACACAAATATATTATACTAAATGAACTTTTTAGTAAATAGCAAAGATAAAACGCAAACTTTTTAAGTTAGTAATTGATATAAAGTTAGTTAATAACTACTGAATAGATTAATGCTTTGGCAAGAATCAATAATCAATTGAAATTTAATAACGTGTTGACAATAGTCAATATCATTTTCAATATATCATTCTTGATTAGACTCGTTTCAATGCTTCTTAAGTAACGAATAAATTATAACTTTATTAACCAAAAAAGTTTAAATAATAAAGCAAAATATTGCACGCGTTATTGAAAATGCAAACAAAAATTTCATCAGCTTAAATGAAAATTATTAGACTAGCAAATGAACTCCTTAAATGATTAATTTATAAATCGATTAATCAATAAAATTATTAAATCAATAAAAATGGTAAGTAATTCATTTTTGTGAATTTGATTTAATCAGCAATCAATTAATTAGTCAATCACCATGTTAATGGCACTGTCCAACTAATGTTATTAAACCACGGAAAGGACATGTTCATACTGGGGATTGAAAACAAAGAAATATTTTGAAAATTTGTAAAATATTTCGCGAGCAATCCATAATCATCAAACAAAGTTAAATTAGCTACATCGTTATAGATGTGATTTGTTGTTTCTTTCAAATGATTTTGGATATTTTGTAGAGTGTCCATAGATGTTAATGAATACTTTTGGGCGATGTAAGCTCCTGAAACAAAAAGAAAACGAAGACCAGGCTAGGGATTACCCGTCTTTCCCTAAACTTTTTCTCTCTTTTAGAGAACTCTATTAAGCCAATTTCTTTTTCTCATTTGAAATACTAAAACCTTGGGTTCAGAAATAAATCATTTGTTTTACGAGTTTATAGCTTTTTATAAATCAATAATGATTTCACGATTTAGATATTAACTGTATTATATAAAACTTACCTGCCAATGAAAGTAAGGGCAATAAAAGTAACCAGATTAATTTTGAACGTCGTGCTAAGAAGTTTTTACGGAAGTTTGCACCACGACTTAGCAGCCAAGAATCGAGAAAAAGTACTTTTATTAAAAACAGGTACACGTACTGTAAAGCATAATCAAGTTGAGTCCACGTGTTAGACCATCTAGATTCTGCACATAAAATATTTTGAATTAAATAAACATGAAAAAATAAAAATAGTATTTTTCAAAAATGTATTTATAAAATAGCTCGATCATAAATAATAAAGGAATGAAATTGATGAATAGACTTTTTTTACTATACCTCGATATTGATAATGACTAGTAGAAACTGACTTTCTCCTGAGTATTTTACTATTAATAAATTCAAATATATTAACAAATAACAATATTATTATGCTTGTTGTTGTTTGAAACCACCTAGTTATCCACCACTTATTACTCTGACTATGCAATCTATGTGGTATTGCTTCATCGAGTTCAGTATCAGAGTCGACCTGCGAAAAGCTATAATGATAAAAAAAAATTATCAATAAATATAATTTATGTAAGTAGAGTTAATTATATTGTTAATCATTAACCTCAAATGAAAATTATTGGTCATACTAAATAGTAATATTATGAAACTCTTACCGATGTTGTAAGTTGTTCGAATCGCCATAGAAAACTGTGGCATGATGACTAAATCTCTCAATTTGAGTTTGTTTGTAAACTAAACGTGCAGAAGAATTTTTCATATCGTATGATAATAAACGTGCATTTTCTTCGTTCTGCATAAAAATAATAAAAATATATTCAATAAATAAACAAAAAATCAATCATGATTGAAAATGTTTCTATAATAATTAAATAAGTAACTTACAAGACGATTTTGTTCAATGGTATCACTGAGTTCACCGTCTAAGGAATCTACGTGGCCCTCTCTGCATTCAATCAATTGGCTTGAATTCCGTTGACTCGATGACAAAGTACTGCTAGCACTACTACAATCTGAGTGTATAGATGGCCGAGACATATTAGGCATTGCCATCACACCCGGTGCTATTTCATAGCGACACTGAGATGTTTGTGAATATGTATAATCAGTTTTTGGAAAGACACTAAAAAAGTCAATTAAAAATATTAATTATTAAATAAACAAAAAATAACTTTTTTCAATTATTTCAAATGTATAACTAAATATAAATAAATAGACTTAAAATTGTAATTAAAAACTTTCAGAGTAGTTTGCGGTTGATACTATTGATTTCTACAGGTAAACAGTCACAAACCACATTACAAATCTAACTCTGTTTACATTAAATATTCTTGAAAGCTTTCAATATAAAATCAGCAGATGTCAATGATAGCATATCACCAAGTATTATTAAATCAATTGCTTACTTCCACCAATCCCCAGCCTGCTTATATATTTCATAAGCTGATCCAGGTCTACTTGGTGGATCTTCTCTTTCTCCTTCTTCTGATGAATAATCACTCGTCACTGTCTTTTTGGGTGTCATACTTCTGCGCTTCTGTTCTGTTTTTTCACCAGACGTTCCTTCTTTTGACTCTTCCTGACCGTTGGCAAAAATTTTTCGCTTGACTCTTTGTCTCTCAGATCTCCTTTCAGGTTTTTTCACAGTAGAAATAGATTTCTCCCGTCCATTCTCATTTTCCCCTTCCGGTTGAATTTCTTCTCGATTTTCTGATATCGTTTCCATATTCTGGTCTTTCTGCTTCATAACACTGCTAGGTCTGAAATTAAAACATCCCAAACGTGGATTTTGTGAGTAAAAAAATTTCTCTTTTAGCATAATCAAGTGTGAATGGTCATAAATAAGTAGTTTTAACTGTAGTTTGAGCTAAACAAGTATTCTAGTATAAATGAATAGTTAAAAAAATTAGCTGAGGTGTGGCGGGCCTTGAAAGATCAAGTGACAGTATACTCTAGGTGTGTTAGCTTAAGATTAATTAATAAATAGAAATAAAATAACATATATGAATGAGGTTATTAATATTATACTTACAGAGATCGTGAACCTGATCTCCTACTGCTAGATACTTCAATAGGAGTATGGGACCTTTCTCTACTTTCTTTACTTCGCAAAGCATAATGGTGTTCATACTCCGCCTCGGTTAACTGATTGAATATCATTGGAGTATGAGATCTCGATCTACTCCGGCTCCTCAAATCATAGTGATGCTGTTCACCTTCCATTATTTACTAAAATAAGAAAATTTACATATTATTTTAAATTCAATCATGACTTAGTAATTAATATTAATCAATTTCACGAGTTATCTAATTTTATTAATAAAAAAGATAATTCTCATAATGTGATTATTTTGCCCTATGAATTAATAAATAATATATTACTTATAAGTGATTAGAACGATTGAAATTACTAAAAGAATTTTTGGATGCCTTTATTGGAGACATTTAAATGAGATGAGATAATATGAGTTTAGATGATAACGAAAACGGTGTCATTGTCCTCATGGAAATAAAAGTTAAAAATAATTATATCCAGAGCGTCTAACAATAGCTTAGAATAATGATAATTTAATTAACATTTTTAAGATTGTATAATACACAAGCATTATAATATAATAATATGGAGTATCTACTTCCTTTTCCGTTACTGTTATTCTAATTTCATCAAAGAAGTTTACTTATCGAATAGACAATATTAATTATTCAATAAGCTTCTGCCGATACGAAATGATGACATATGATAGAGATTATTTGTTTCATTATTTATCTACAAATTATAATAATAGGAATGATAACTGATTGAATCATCAAAATTATTAAAGTATTAAGATGTAAAAAAATTCATTTGAATAATTATGGAATTATTAGTAGCTACTTTGGATATAAATATTTATTAAATTCAAGTAAATACGCTAACATATACAATACTTGATAGTAATTGAACACTTATTTAAATAGAAATTTAAAATCTAAAAATAGTTTGCCTCCCTAAATGTTTTACCAAATGTTTCTCCAATATTTCGAGTTCCTGCACTCATTTCTTTGTATGCTCCAAATTATCTTTTATCTTTTTCTTAGTACTTGTTCTTTTTTTCATTCTTTTCTTGCTGTTTTTATGCATATACCTACATGTCTATATACTAAAATTTGCCACATGCTGAGAGATTAAAAAGTTTACACAGCAGATTTCAACATCTTTTCGACACTTTAAGTGAAAATACTTTTTTTAACATGAATTTCGAATTAAGTAAATAAAAAATGTTATCAAAAGTAATTTTATTACTCACTTAAGATAATATTATTACAAGCAATAAAAAAATCGCTTTGTAACTTAACCAATAAAATCAACAAAACACTCCATTTTGTGTAACTTAACTACTGTAAAATAATATATCTTTCTTTTTACATTAGTTACGTATAACCGGGAAAATATTACCATGTGTAACTTTGTATTATGAAATTTTCTATAAATAAACTTACTGTGAGCAACAAAAAAACATAGATGATGATCGTATATGATTTTTGATTTCACAAAATACACGTCAATGATGAGAAATGAAAATTATTTAAAAGAATAGCTTCTTTTTTATTTCAATTATTCCGTCACCGTATACACATAAAACGTGATCATCAATCAAAAACACACACATTACTCATTACAGTCACTCATTCAAACGCGCACGACGCAATAATTCGCGTACAATTGCGGTATTGAAGCTTGATGAATCACAAGAACTCAATATAAAATAACACATTATGGCGCTAGTGTCAAGTAAAACAGAATGTCGATAAAATCAAATCTATTATTATCGACTAAGTTCAATCACAATTTAACTCTGTTTTATCATTAACAGATAGCGTCAAATGATCAATTTTAATTCAAATTTAAATAACAGACAAACAATGAAGAACTAAAATATTAATTAATAAAATATCAAGTTTCTTCTCATTCTTTATGCTATACGATATTATGTTATTATATATATAAAAAAGTCTTTCTAATAGATCTAATGTGTAGTTTAAAAATTTTTATCGATGACAAAGATGTTATAACATTTTTGTACTGTTAGTACTTTAATTAATGTCATATAAAATCCAACAGTTTTTATATGTATCGAGATGTTTTAATAAATTAAATAATGATATTTAGAATATAAAAATAGATTGACGTTTATTAGATAGTAATATAAGAGAAAAAAATCAGACCCATTAGAATAACTTTAAAACAAGAAGTTAATAATTTTTTTTTGTAAAGAAAGTTGTTCATTCTATTGTAGTAAGTATAATTGATAATAAAGTACGATTTATTATATACTATATTGTAGTTTTCTAAGTTATACTATTTTGCAGTAATTTATGATTTTATCATAACAATTATTATTTCATTTTAGGTAACAATAAGGAGTAAATTAAATGTCAACAAATTTTTGATAAAAAATAATTTAAAAAAAACAAAAAGTCTGTTAATTGAAGGCTAAAAGTGTAGCAAATATATTAATTACTTAATGAATGCAGAATGCTTGTCAAACATGTAAAAAGGATGGTGGCTAATTGCATCAGTTGATAATATTTTTAATATAATCTGCCTTATTTGCTGAATCCGAAGGCTTCATTATCACTTGTCAAGATAGTGTAATTAACACCCTTGTCTATCATCAGGCTCCTGATATTTAATGCTGGACCTGTCATCAAGGCTCAAATACAAAAGCACCAATGCCATCCTAATGACGTATCCAATATTAGCGTGTTCTGAATACATACATTTCCAGTAAACACTAATATAATACTATTGTACTGATGAGTACTGGAATGTTACTGACATCTCCCAGTGTTGAGGAGTGGTAGTGGTAGGTAACATGCTTGAGTCATTTCATTTTAATAAACTATGGCTAAGCCATTCAATTCATTATATATTTAAAAGTCTTATCAATATATGACATAATAATAAATATTGATTAAAACTATCGATTCACAAAAGTTTAGTCTTTTCATTAAATGAAAAATTGATTATGGTAATTATGTGTGTAATATTTAATCACATGATGAATCCAATTAAAAACTCATTAAAGTGTAGGTGTTTACTTATTTATATTTAAAGCAATTTACAAAGTCATATCTATAATTATCACCTATCTGCTAACTAAAGTGTCAATAAAAAGGATTTATTTTGAATTTAAAAAAAATTATTTTTTAAGACTAGTATCATCAGTCCCGCGATTCTCGCCATCAATAAATGCCTTAAATTTATTTAGAAGTAATGTTAATACTAATAAATTAATCAATTAATCAACTTCTTACTGATGAGACGAATTTTCTATAATAACGTTCACCGAATTTTCTGATAAATTATTTTTGGATGACGTCAAATTGGAAATGTCAACTGGAATAATGGAGGTAGGATGATTTTGATTAAAAATTACATCATCATTACTATCATTAGCATATTTAACAACATTTGTTAAATTGTATATTTGTAATTCGATTGCAGATAATTGCAATGTCTTTGATATATCGGGAGATTTTAATACACTTGGATTATTTTTTGGTTGACTTCTATTATGATGGCTAAGATCGTTACTATTGGGACTGAAATTTGTACTCCAAAATACCTCAGCATCTTTTTTGTAAGCTGGTGTTGAAACCGGCGAAATGATTGGGCTACGAATAATACTTACTGGGATTGAATCCATTCTCCTGGTTTGAATAGAAGGATCAGTAGCACTCCTGATTAAATTTATCCTAGGATTGTTAATGACTTGAGATGGATCTAAACTGTGCCTAACATACTTTTGATTACCAACAGAATAATTTCGACGTGCTATAATATTTGAGACTTTTGGTTTTTCTTTTCTTCTGAGTATTACCCGATGGATAAAACTTTTCAACGCTGCTCTAAAATCTCGTAGATGATATGCATACAATAAAGGGTTTCCTACAGAATTTAAATGTGACAAAATAATACAAAAATTCAACACTACCTCATTCACATCACAATTTGGGCAAAAAGCTTGAACACAATTTATTGTATATAATGGAAACCAGCAGATAATGAAAAAAAGAACGATACGAGAAAGATTTTGTGTTGCTTTTACTTCACGTTTTTTCGCAGCACCTAAAAGTCGAAGCATGGTTCCACTTGTTTGATTCTTTTCCTTTTTTCTTTTACCAGGATTTATTGTAATCATCTGTTGCAACTGCATCAAAAAAATACATTAATTAATCATCAGTAATTCTAAAAATTTAAATCAACAGTTAAATTTATTACATAATTAAATGTACCAATAAGTATGAACATTTATTAAAAAATAAATTTCATCAACCCTAGTCTAGTAAACTTTTATATCATCGTAAGAATATTTACATACATATTCAAGTGATGGTAATAAAATCTCAGCTTTTCTATATTGAAAATTTTTTTGATGAACAAAAGTACAAGACAGGCCTCAATAAAGTTTAGCTCATCATAGGTAAAGTAATATTTATCAGTATAATGTACTGCCTTAAACAGCTTAAGATTATTTAAATGAGTAATATGAAAGGGATTGGGTAAAAACTAATATAATTAAATATAAAAAAAGGCATGTTAAATTAACCATTGCTCATAAAGTTTTGACTTATAATAAAAAAAATAAATATTTATTATTGAAATAAATTATTCTTATTATAAGTACACCCAAGGTTAGCCCTACAGAACTGGCCTTAAAACTATACTCATCATTAATCATTTTTTATTGCTTAATATGTGTGAATGTAACTTTTTTATTTTATTTATTGTGTATGTAAATAATAACTTTTTGATGTATTTTAACTAAGTTTTTAGAAATCAACAGACTCACTTTATTGTATGGCAAAAAAAATTTTTTATATGGATTTTCTTATTATCAGCACTCTAAAAGAATGGGTATAATTAAACCAAATAAAAAAACGACATTTACCTGTTTTAATACGATGCGATAAATGTGAGCATAAAATGCAGCAATCAGAAGTGCTGGGAAAATTATTGTGGCAAAATATAAGAATACCAGGTAATCATAATCCATGACTTTGACGAATATACATTTTTGCTCAGATTTATATCCTGCATTCCATCCTAACAGAGGTAGAAATCCTACAAGTGTTCCGGCAATCCAACATACGCAAATAATCCCTGAAATGTTCAAAATGGAATTGAATAAATATACATTTTATACACATTTTTAATGACATGGAAAATAATTAGAATATATAACAGCATTAAATATAAATGTATATCTTTATAATTTGTTTAATTTTGTTAGAAAAAATCCACCATATAAATGAAAAAAGACAACACGCAAGGGATACATTGATCTAGATAAACTATCAGGGTTCATTCAATTGAATTATGCTTTTTTTTATCCTTAATATAAAGCAATTTCAATGAACATAGACATATTAACACGCACACAAACTAATTGTGTCATAGATCTTTCAACAAATATATTATGAATTTATTTATACCCTGAACTATTTTTTATTTTATTGATTGATTTCATGTATTTATTATTTACTAAGTATTTTACACTTTTTATTCTTACTCTTTTGAAATTTCGTTTCTTTATCATGTAATACAATCAAACGAACTGAATTGAATTAAAATTTTTAATGGTATTATTATCATGATAAAAACAGAAAATTATTTTGAACAATATTTATATTTCCGACTAGTCTTAAATAAAAAATAAACAGAAACCTTGCTTTTTTACGATCCATAAACTTATTATGTCATGTTTTTTTAATGTAATTAACTTAGGATTGTACATTAAGAAATTGGTATTTTGTTAAATATTAACATAATCATTTTACTTTTCAAGGTTTACCTTTCAAAATGCCACTAGATAAGGTTCTCTCTTTTTGTATTAAATTGTTTCCTAACAAATTTATTTCTAACATCCCTAAATCAATAAAAAAAAATTTACACATTAAGTCTGATAATGTTTTCTTGAATGTCAATATCAACAAAATAAATGATTTTAATCAGATTAGTTGAATAAACCCTTCAAACATCTAAGTATCAATTTAGATTTAATATATAGAGAATGTTATGAAATTATTGATTACTTTGTCATTAAATTTTTATATTAGTTACGAGTAATTCAAAACATATTTTACTCAAGGGAAATTAGTTTATCAAAGTTGAAATAAAAATTATCCCATTGGTGATGTTATATTTTTTCATATGGTATTTGATATTTTTGTCATTTATCGTTGATATAAAATTTCTATTTCTTACCGATAGCAGTCTTAGTTCGAACATTTCGTGAGTATCCCATGGGATAGAGAATGGCCCAATAGCGATCAACAGATACTGCCACTAAGCAAAATATACTGATCGTACATAAGACTATCAATACAGATACGGTAAAAAGACAAGCGTGAAAATTTGTTGGCAGTCCAATACTTGCAAGTATCGCAAATGGAATTGCAAATAATCCAACAAGTAAATCTGCTGTTGCTAGTGATATAATATAGTAATTTGTTCTTCTTCTTAACTTTTTTTCTTTACTAAACACAATGATGACCAATCCATTGCCCAAAATTGCACAAATAGCCACAATTATTTCAGCAACTGCATAGGGAATATCAAGTTCTGCTGAAGTTAATTGTAGTGATGTATTCAAATGATCATTTAAATCATTTTGTTTTAAACAAGAACTTGTTGTCGTCTCCATTTCGATCTCATGACGTTTTTTTATTATTTATACAGTTGTTGTTATTTTAGGGAATATTTTTAAGAAATATTTTTATTCAGTTTTATTCTTTTTTACAAACCTCAAGACTTATGTACTTAATATAACATTGTTATTTGATTGTCTGATCATAAGACTTAAAACAATTTTGAAAGTCTAACCCATATTTTATCAATTGACTTATGAACATAATCGGCATCTTTTTAAACTACTTGGGGTTGTTGTTTTTTTTTTATTGATTAGAATTTTAATTATGAATTTTTTTCACTCTTCTTTTTATACTTTGACTATAGATTCTATAGACAAAATACATACACGAGTAATGCACAAAATAAAGAAGGCATTTTTATTACTTATGGATTTATGAGATTCTTGAATGAAACTCAGTTTTATTATCTATAATCTTTCTATTCTTCTTTCTGACTTTCAAAGTTTTAATCTACTTTAGAAAATAGGAGATTAATAAATGGAATTAAACAAACAAAAGTGATGAAAATCCACTGTACGGTATAAAAGTTTTGATTATTCATCATATTAATAGTTTTGTTGATTAATTTAGCAAATGTATAAATATCACAAATGAAATAATTTTTTTATCACTAAGTATGGTGTTTTAAATTCTCATTACTTCTATTGTATGTCAAACAAAAAAACCAAGTCTATAATATAAAAATACTAAAATAATGTTTTTAACGTTCTTTCGCACTAGTTGATTAATATGTCAGTTTTTGATTACTTTATCTCCTTCCGACCTATGTACAATAATCCATTTTTATTAATTTTATTTATTTAATCACCAATAAATATCACTGCACACAATTAGTAGGATAGTTTTTTCAAGAATAATTTTATCTCATTTTTCTTCTTTTCAATATGAGACATGTATTCTTGTTATATTTTATTTCACTCATCTTCACAATAACCAATCAAATAATAATCACCACGTACAATTGTCTCTTAATTCACTAATTATTTAAATGGACCTAATCAAACGTGACATTCATGTCAAGATCTTTACTCGGTCTGATACAGCTTATGTTGATTTCCGAAATATATCTTAACGTACAAATTGATGCTGTTAGACTGATGGTTAACTGCCGTATATTTAATAATACGAATAGTCAAGTTGATCCCGCTCGTGGTGGAGGCGTTACCCAAGGCTTAGAAGAGGTGGTGAAGGTCGTGGTTTATACCGACCACGAGCTGCGTGACTAGACATGCTCTTCAGACTTTCACGCACATTATCTTCATGAATTAATACAAATATAATATAAATACAAACTGTTACTTCGATTTACATTTCTTTGAGTGTAATACAGTCAAAATATATTAACTGATGTTTTTGTTGAATTTAAATTATCTAAAATCTTAATAAACAAAAATCCTGTTCATATATATTACTTGATACTGATATTGAATGTGTCTGAATATTTTTTTAGCAACGATTTCATCCGTTCTTGTTTTAGTAGAGACTTACAATTTTGTCTTTATTACAATTCATTTTGCCATGTGTTATCTGCATGAATTTTTACTTGTGCAATATTAACAAATTTAAACAGCAAAGTGTTTCTGGGTAACTAAGAAACGTTTTTTAAAGTTTTGTTTGAAAAAAAATATAGCAACTATTCGCCCTCTTAAAATACATCCATAAATTCTTAGAAAATATCTAATAATATTTAATGACAAATCAGCGAAATCTCATAGATGTTGTTAGTCTTAGATTTTTATTTAATGCTGTTAGGAGATATTTTAGAACAATTTTATAGATATCTTCTTCCACGAAGTTTATCGTAATTTAAAAAAAAAAAATATTTTAATTTAAAACTGTCTTTATTGTTCCTGAAATTTTTTCTATAAAATATTTTATTGTCGATAATGTTTTTGATACAATAATTAATCAGTAAAAAATTAATTAATTAATAATTAAAAGTTGAGACCAAAAAGATGAATAAAAAGGTTGAAAACTTGGTAAACAGTAAATATGAATGTAAATTGGAAAAATTAATTTTTTGTAGACATGTTTAATTTAAAATTACAAAAAAAATTTCGGAATTTTTACTTTCTTCTAATTTTAATAATTTCTTCATCTAGAGAAAGTCTACCTAACGGTTTAATTACTTTATCTACTTCTTTATTTTCATTCAATATTTTTATCTAGAAACAACTCAACAAATTAATTGATTAAAAAATAATTAATTATTTAATAATTGAGATAGCAATAAATAATCATTGGCTTTAATAAAATCGAAAAAAACTTTATGATTAAATAGAAAACAGTGAATTGAAGAAACAGATTGGGAAAGATATTAAATTATATTTCCTGAATTCTTCACACAATATCTCATTCTCTAGTAACCACTACTATCAAGCGAAACATCAATGAAAGATAAATTGTCGTGTTTTATTGTGACTAACTGGAAAATAACAGAGCATTTGATATTCTACATAAAAGATCACTAATTGCAGAGAGATACAAGTATGCGGTCTATGAATGAACTCACTCTTCTCTCTCTACCTCTCGCTCTATTTTTCTATGTAACTAACTTTGCCCAATTTACAAATCAGCAATTATTGTCTCTTACAAATAATATACTTCTACTCATGTCAACAAATCAAACAAATTATATTTTCAATTACAACACTTCCTCTTCGTAACTTTTAGTCAATTATATTTATCCTTTGAAAAATTACAAAAATATTTTAATTAAAATTAGCATTAGAATTCTTCATCTTGAATGGGTGGAAAAAGTTTTATAATTTATCTGAAGTTGCCTTAAAAATTAAGAAATAGAAACCTCTCATTTATATCTACTGGTAATTTAATTGACATAATTAAAAGTTAATATCAGATTAATATAATTGATGATTTGTTTACATTTTATTTTACAATCTATATTTATAAGTGATTATTTTATACAAAATGAGGCAAATTGATAAGAAAAAATATTATAAACTGATAGAAAAATGCAAAAAATTATTGCATCAATTAATAGAGAATGTAAAGGCATTTGATCTCAGTCTGTTAATATATCCTCTAGGCATTAAAGGTTCACAGGCAGCTCCAATAAGAATATAAATAAACCATAGAAACCATGAAATAAATAGAAAAAAAAGCGTACTATATCCCAGAAGACAAAATATAAAAGCTCCAAAAAGCATAAGCGTAATAAAACTGTGACTTGCGAGAAATCTTAAAGATAATCGTGGTGGAAGGCGTTGTTCTCCTCCAGGGCTGAAACCAGATTGCGTGCGTTTTGGTAATGAAATCACTGATGTTGGTGGTCGGAGGATTCTTCTAGCGACACGCCCAACAAAATCATTTCTGTTGTACAAAGTCGTGATCTCTGCTTCATACTAGAATATAAGATAGGATGTTAAAATATAATTAAAAGCGGAAATTTTAAATTAAAAAATTTTTTTTGTAATAATTTCTATAATAAGACGAAGTACAGATGCGTAGAATTCCATGATTTACTAGAATATTATGATATATTGTAGTAGAGAATGTAATTTTATTTTTTAATTGAAGAACATACCTTATGATTGATGATTTCACAAAATCTATAAAGTTGACGAACAAGGAAAGCACATTCATTTGTGCGAACTGGTTGTAATTCAGGATCACCCATGTATTCAATGTATCTACAATTCTGACGCTCATTTTGAATAGGAACAAAAACACCTGGTCTGGAAGAATCCATACTTGAATCCATCTAGAAAAAAAATATATAATTTTTAACTGCATACCATTATTAAACAATAATACATGTGGTAATAAATTTGGTAACATTACATGTGATATATGACAAAAAGATGTTGATAAAATGCTATCATGATATTCTTGATCAGCGGCAATGGCAAACTGCGGTACATCTTCAAGTTGAAAAATATCAATCAATTGCTGTTGAGCATTTGCTAAAAATCCAGGTGTTTTTTTTCTTTCAATAAGACCAATATCATCTTCACTGTACTCTTCACCATTAAAAAATTCCCATATGGAATGGAAAAATTTCTTTTCAGTCCTTCTTTTTTCAAGAGCTTCAACAATGCTTGTTGCAGTAAGATAAGCTTGTTTTATGATACTCAACATTCTAACAATCTACAATGAAATATAAAGAAATAATAAGACTTAAACTTATACTATTTTGAAAATTAATTTTAGGATACCTATTTACTGTAAATCTTGAGTTACCTGTGATGTAACAGTAGATGAAAACATAGGAACATATTGATAAGTTGGTCCTTCAAGTTCAACAATTTGCTGTCTAACAGTAGCACTCCATTGGCTTGTTGGAATTTTACCTCTGCTTAAATTAGTTTCGTCCATACAACTTTCGATTTCTGTTAGCATGGATGCTAAGTGTGCTTGCGAAAATACTTTGGTTACTCGAAACAACATTAAAGCATTTTTTGGTGCAACGAGATCAGTTCTCATAAACCTAGGCAATAATTGTTGAAAAATTGCCGTATAAGCAAGCAAATTATTCGCTACGAAAGACATCCAGCGTGATGGATCTTGAATTTTTCCTCTATCATCTTCTTCGCCTTTTTCTTTAACAAATCCTAAACTTGGAACATATCTCCATGGTTGAATAAAACTTAACCAAGCTTCAAGAATTAATCTAAATGAACTATCAAGTGGCCAATGATAGATAGCTTTTTTTAAGAACGTATAAATTTTCCCTTGTACAGATGGTAAAATTATTCTTTTTAATTCATCCATTGCACTTTTATCACCGATTGCACTATTTGCAAATTCATGCAATGTTTTGATAAAAGCTCTAACTAAACGAATATGATCACCAGAATGAATACTATGTCTTCGAAGTAAAGAATTCAATGTAGATAAATGAGACACTAATTTATCTTCTTCAGTATATTCCAGCCAAAAATCTAAGAATACTTGAATCACAGTTTCACTTCGCCACACTTGTGGTAGACATTGTTGCTGAGGAACTCCTGGAGATGATGTAGATACTGGAGATAATATAGAAGTCCTTAAAAGCCTTGGAGTTTGCAATCTTTTAGATTCAGGTGACTGCATTATTTTTCTCGGTGGTGTTGGACGAATATAAGGTCCAATAATAGGTAAAACTGGAGAGTTATCCCGTGGTAAAAAATGATACAAATAGCAGTGGGCCAATTGAACATAAACAGTCTCCCAATTCACCCAAACATTTTCCATTTGTTGAAGTTGAAGCCAAGGATTCGTTAAATGATATGCAAAATGAAATATATAATATTCAAATGGATTTAGTAATAATGCTGAAGGAAGTCTTGTGTTGTGATCATCTTTCAATTTGTCTAAATAAAATGGTGGAATAATACCTTCCTCTAATAAACATTTTATTTTTGTCTGAAACAAGAAAAAAAATATGATAAAAAAATGACAATTTATTAACTTTTTCAGATATCTACGACTAATAAAATGAAATTAATGGATTTAACGAAAAAATAAACTTCTATTTCTACTTACTGGAAGATAAGAAACGGGAAAGTCATATTTCAAGTAACAATCAGGTAATAATTTGTAACAAAGGGAAAAAATAGGTCCTCGGGGTCCAAGAAAATTGCATAACGCTTCATACTCTTGAGGATTTTTTCGCAAACTTATATTATGTAGACCCCAGCCTATATTATTTGTTACCCCAAAAATAGAGTCAATAAGAAGTGGTAAAACATTTTGAAGTTCTGTCGTACTTGACTCTAAAATCAACGTCGATAATTCTCTACATCTCTCTATGCATGGCAGATTTAAATAAGCCCGCATGCGTACCTAAAATATTAATTTATCATTAATTTTTTTTCAAAAATTCGTAACAACGATGAATTGAACAATTTTTCCTGCTAATTTATACCAATTGGTTTAAACTTACTGTTGCAACATCTCCTGAAGATGTCATGTTTATGAAATAAAATATATTCAATCAATCTATGAATAAATTCATTTGAATAATTGACTATTTACAACTCTGTAAATATTAAAAATTTTGCAAAACACTTCCTTATTATCAAATAATAACAATTGTACGAATCCTAACCTAAAATACGTGTCGAATAAAAAACGTAAATGAGGCGCGTGTTTTTCTGTGTGAAGTTATCGTCTTAATTTCTAATTAAGTGTCAGCCAACAGGTGTCAGCATATGAATCTTCTATTAGCATAAAAAAGTCAGTATACATAAAAGCTCAAAGCTTATGAGTATAAAACTTTTAGAAAGAGACGAAAGACACGAATTCTCGGAAATTCTAATTAAAACACGACTCTTTTCTCTAGCATTGATCAATAACTTAGATTGAAACATCAATGAATTACGTTTTATAAGAGCTTTTTTCACACAGCGCTTTAAAGAAATTAAATTTATTTTCATTGCAATTTTTTAATTAAATTATAGTGTTAAAAGTCGATTTAGATATAAAAAATTGTATTTAAATATTAATATATCAGAGAAGAGGGACTGGTATAGAAGTTCAACCCTGGGTTAAAAATCCGGACGAAGTTCGGGTCAACAGGTTTCCCCATATAAAATTTCGATCAATACGTGTAAAAAAGCGTCCATTTATGTTGGATCTCTATATTTGTCTATCCTCTCTGAATAGATGCATTAACTTATTCTAGTTAAATTAAGTGCACATGAAGCTTTACAAGTAAGAAAAAAAGGGCCTTCTTGTCCTGGTAAAAAAGTAGCTGGAATTATATGATACGATCCTGAAGGTACATCCTCTAGTTCCATATATACAAAACCAGACCTAAGACAATAATAAATTAATTAATTTTTAATATAAATAATGAATTTGAAATGATACAGAGTAATTTAGATTAATACCTGAATGGTCCGGAATTTTTGGCAACAAAAGCTGATGGGGCCTCGGGATTATTTAGTTCAATAGTAACTAATTCAAATCCAATCTGATATTGCTTTGGGCCTTTTAAAATGATTAAAAGACAATTACTGTCATTAGTGCTCTTTAATTCAAGTAAATAATGTGGATTATTTTGATAAGTAGCTGGATGATTGCTACATCCACCGGCGCTTTCATCTTTCCACTGGCCGTTTGTAATCTAAAAGACAAAATTAAATTATTAAAAATATAAAATTACTGGAATAATTGGTCTTTGTACAAGAAGCTTATTAAACATTGTATTGAATACAACTCACCTCTTTTTTATGGTGATAAGGCTCGGAGATTTTTTTGAGGGAAAATGGGCAAGTTCCATACGCTCTCAAAGTATAATAAATAGTATTCATTTTCTCATACTGAGAAACAACCAGAGTATACTTTGATTCACTGTCAGGACTTAATATAATTTTCGATAAATAATGAGGACTATTTATTCTAACACCATCAATGTAAGGCGGTGGGTCATTACGATAATAAACTCTTTTTCCATTATTTTTATAAACTAAAACAGTAATATATTCTTGGTTCTGTCGAAAATCCGAAATTTCAGTTATATGTCTTGTTAACAATATCCAAACAGCGCCTGAAACTCCTGGTTGAACGTCTAAAGTAAATTGTGGATTATCACCAATATTATAAGCATCTTTAATTGGTCCTATTCCTGCTTTCCACATCTGATGTATACAGTAAGTGTATTGAAATAATGCTGGATTCCAGTTGAGGTAAAAAACATCAGCAAAGTGGCAAATACTTTTATAATCAATCCAGAATACGCCATTGTCATATTCGATTGCTGAATCTGGATCATAATCCAGTAGTCGTTTCAAGTGAGGTGTCCAATGTTTAGTATCATACTCAGAAAAATTTCCACGCCATCGTAAATGAGACCAAGGATTTTTTAGCTGCAAAAGTTTCATTCCATCAATCAGTCGAACATCCAAAACAGCGTAAGCATGGCTCGAGACTAGACCCGTTTTTTCAGTAACTTCATCTGATAGTTCACCGGTAGCAACAGTTACTAAAACATTACCAGCGTGAAGCCTTTCCAACAGAATTTTAAATAATGCATCAGCATTGAAATCGGGTTCTAAGGGTCTGATTGCCCATCTTTCAGGAATCCAACCAGTAAGAGCATGTAGATCAATATTGCTATTAGATCCAGGGAAATCATAACCCCCCATAACCTTCATATATGCTTTTTCCAGCAAAGAAATCCAAAGTTCACCACGATTATTTGAATATGAACATAAGAGTTGATTTTCCCTTCCAACAGGAAGCAAGTCGTCAATAATAACTTTTCGAGGTACACCATTTAAATTAAGTTTTACCATGTATTTACCATAAGGATTGTAAATAGGAACTTTATTAGCATTTTGAGGATAAATTATTGATGTAATTAATCGACGTCCAAATTTTTTTTCATACTGAGCACTGACTGCTAATGACGCAACAAAGGAACAATCAGAAATAACTGTTTGTCTGATGCTATAATAATCTACATTATTGTTCATCAACATCTTTGGTTCTGTAAATAATTCACTAGGACGTGCCCATCGTGCGAAATCTATTTTCTGTTTTGGTGCTAACTCTAGTAAGCCATCTTTATCAACAAATAATGACCGAAATTTGAATTTTTCCATCAAATCTACGCTCATGAACGGAACAAATTCATTATCATTTATGTGAGAAGTAGTAAGAAGAACAATTTTCTCTTCTTCAGTATAATTTTCACTTCCTCCAGTAACTTTCAGGTGGGCACTACTTCCTCGATGTAGTGTAAACCTAGGCGATGTTCCCGTAGAATGAGTTTCGGCTGGATGAAAAATAATTAAATTTATTTAAATAAATGAAGTTATTTTTTTCATTTAAAACTTACTGGAAGTTGAAGGAGAATGAACAGAGTCAGTTGGTGATAGTGGAAGTGTTTCGGGAACAGAAGGTAAATTTTTTAGAAGTGGTAAAGGATCAAAAATTTTTTTCTTATCTATTCCCTCTAATTCTTCAGCTCGTGATATTGCTTTGTTACTCAAATCTGTTAATTTTCCTTTCATACTCTCATCAGTTGTTTTTTTTTTCTACAAATCGTCAACAATAGTAGAGTTGATGTGTATTGAACTAAAATTTTATTATTGATAAATATCTTACAATTTCAAGCCCAAGTTCAGCTGCATCAATGTATAACATTATAGCTATAGGTTTCCAACCTTGCTCGTCAGCATCTATTGCTTCATTGATAAGACTTTTAACCTGTTGCAATCCTGCTTCAGGCTGTGACACTTTATCATCTTCAGACACTATTTAAAAAAAATAAATTAAATATTAATAATGAGGTAAAAGAGAGCTTTAATAATAAATATCGTGCTAAATAGTTGGTATAGAGACAGAAAAATTGACATGATAACATTATTCTTCTTTCTGTGTTTCTTTGCCACATGATGTCATCTATATATTAGAGTGATTATGTCAAGCATGATAATTTGTATCCTACGATTGTGAATGAAATAAAAGATTTGAATATTCACCTAGATTTTTTAAAGTATTTATCCTCAGGTTGTATTCATTAATTTTTTGAGTAAAATTAGCATCAGACAATTTTCCAAGAAATCTAACAACAACATTATACCAACACAAGGCTTTTCTGTGTTGTCCTTCTTGGTCAAATTGCACTGCTTTGAAAGCTGCTTTTTTAGCATTCTCAAGATTTTGATCCATAATTATTTACTTTAATGAATATTTTTAAAGCGTAATAGAATCTAAACGTTTAGAATTAACATTATTCCATAATAAAATTTTAAGAAATATAGATTTATGGTTGGATTTGATCGATGAGTTTTCATAAAATCTTAAGTCCATAATATAAAAATGACTCATTTAAAACAATAGTTCAAAATATTGATGTTCATATTTGAATAAACATATCAATTTTAATTAGTAATACACTAATTGTGTCTAACTAATTTGTCTATTGAAGGCTAAGGTTGTACACTACTAAAAATAATAATAATACGTAAATATACATGCAACAATAACAAAGGCGCTACAAGTCAATGGACAAAATACGAGCGCTTAATTTAAAAGTTGAAGAAAATTTATGCTTTTCATCGGAAATAAGAACTTTTTGATATTACAATTTCCGAAAAATAAACATAATCAAAATGGTTTTTTACTTTTTAATAATTATTTTTGTATTGGAAGAAGGAAAAAAATTTTTAATATTCTGTGTATTCAAAGTTATTCAACTTAGGAAGAAATGAATGACTATTGACAAAGCTCGCTGAAGAGAATGTTTGAGCTTAAATTATCGATTAAAGCTGCATTTTTGATGAAACTTGTATGCTTTATTGAATTTTGTTGAAAAAACAATTTATTAATATCTTTTATTATAAGCAAAATTCATATTTTCGTATTAAATCCATTCATTTATTCCTTCAATAGCTAGAAAAATGAATTTTTTTCTTATCAACATGATTATTGATAAAATTTTACGATAAATGTCAACTTCCGGAGTGGGAATTTCCGTTAAATTCGCCATTTTGTTTTCAACACGACAGTATAGGTTAGGTTAGATAAATTCGGGAACGCGGGCAAGAGCGGCGTTATTTTTAGCGTAAAGGCTCTGAAACTGACAAAAGTGTGGCGCCATATTGTATGCTTGTGTTTGGATTCATCGTTGTGGCGCGTGGTCAACGAATTATTTGTAATTAATTAAGAACGATGTCGGACAATCAGGTAGAAAAAATTGATTTACTATTTATGTTGTTAATAAAAATAGAAAAATCATCAGTTTTAAATCCAAATATTTTTGTTGACATAATTTTTAATCTATTATAACCTTCCTTCACTTTAGGAACAAAAACCCGAAGCCGGTCCAGGAGATGCTAATTCTGAATATATCAAACTCAAAGTTGTTGGGAATGTGAGCTAATATTTTGATGCATTTTATTTTTATTTAACGAAAATTTTTTTTTAAAAACACTTAATTACTTTACAGGATAGTAATGAAATTCACTTTAGGGTAAAAATGACCACACAAATGGGCAAATTGAAGAAGTCTTACAGTGACAGAGTGGTAAATATCGAAGTTGTTATTGAAAATATAATGAGTGCTGCAATCAAATTAATTCATTGTTTATTTCGTCTATGTTTTAGGGTGTACCGATGACATCTCTCAGGTTTCTGTTCGATGGAAAAAGGATCAACGATGACGAAACACCAAAGCAGGTTAATATTACAAGAATTTAATCACGTGATTAATAGTATGAATGCTTAATCTTAAAAAAACAATTTTTCTTACAGCTTGAGATGGAAAACGATGATGTTATTGAAGTATATCAAGAACAAACTGGCGGTAATTTCTGAAGTTAATGCCAAGTTGGGGAAGGGGTCAAGGGGGTAAACCAAGAGTACTAAAAACTATTTGGTTTTCTCAATATTTTCAAAGTGAAAGTGATGTAATATTAGATTTATGAATGGACAAAGACTAACGATATCATACTTAAATGTAACTTTCCGGGATAAATCTTGCATTCACTTTTTTTTGTTTCATTATTATTTAGTGATGAATATGGCAGATTATTATTTGATCATTTTTGGAACTGTGCTGTTTTACATTCCTAAGTTTAAGCGTAGCAAAAACATGGTTTGAAAAATCTTAAATTTTTTTGTAGTCTGTCAATGTTCATTCATTATTCATATTAATGATATTTGAACTATTATAATATAAAAATCGATAAAAATTAATGAAGAAACAATTAATATAAATGAACAATAACATCTTGATGTAATACACTTATTTGATTAGTTATTAACCTGCATAGTATTTAATTTTTTTATCATTATTAATTAATTCGTTTATGAAACATGATTTTAAAGAAAAAATATTCGGCGGAAAAAATGAAAATTAATCTCATCAACCAAAATGATATATGATGTCTTTGTTCTCGGCTTTTTTTATCGTACAACCATTTTTTTACGAAAATTTTCTTCAATTTTGCTTTGAATTGCGTTGCTAAGTGATAATTAACTTAAAATAGCTTACAAGGCATAGAAAAAGAAGATGATAAGATATGTATAACAGTAAGAATGAAACAAGCTGAAGATAGAATATCGTTTGACATTTTAACAAATTGAATCTTCAGGATTAAAAAAAAACAAACGGGACATTTATGTTAAAATACGTTTTTAAGATTAGCTTAGATAATATGAAACCGAAAAAAATTTGTCACTTTTTTTAAACTTGCAATCTAGCATCATTAATATTAAATAAACATTTGATACACAAACCTAAGGTATATCACAAACTGATGCCAATCATAATAAATTTTAGTTCCATAATATTAAGTGTATTCCAAATTAATTATATTGTAAGTAATCCAAACTAACGTGTATCATCAGACTTGATTAAATAAAATACCTAAAATTCATTTGACTTCTGTTCATATAATTATTGATCATTCTCGATTAAAATGGTCAATGAAACGACGCAGTATATAATAATAATAATAAACGATCGTATCTTCAAAAATGAAGACCAACAATAATTAAACTAAATAGACTGATGATGAGGAAGTATCGAACATTTTTATCTAACACTTTTTATATTAATAATTAATAATAAAATAAATAGAAAATAATATCCCAGTATTTTTAGAGATTTTAGTATAATCCTTAGGTATTTCTTACAGTAAAATTTATCAGTTTATACTTAATTCTTAACTCTTATTGATCGTAATTTACTCTCACTCTCTTTTACTACTATAATTATCGAATTAATGTTTCGTTCATTTAAATATTTGATTCTTTATTAATGTTTACGTATGATTTGAGTTTACGATTACTGCAAAATAAAACAGTCACATAATGAGTAAACCTACATTCATGAAAATATTATGTATCACATTAACTATTTATATACAAAACACTCACAGTATATTTATTTATTCTTTTTTTTTACATTCATTTCATTATATCACGCTATATCATTCTTTCATTTATTTCTATTACAATTTAAAGATTCAAAAATATTGCATTACATATTTACAGAGAATATGTTTTAAGAAAAAAAAACAAGATAAATAATGAACAGATTTTTCAATATTTTTCGCTTTCAATAATATTTAAAAAAAACTCAAAATAAGAAAAAATAATTTAACATTTGTCTTCTTTCGAGATGCTAAGAGATTCTTCAATGATTCCAAACAGTAACAATTTGTAATTGTTTTTATTAATCTCCATAATAAAGTGGATTATACCTCACAAAAAACTAGTTTCTTTCTTCATTGAAATCAAACTTATTTAAATCTATTGTCTATTAGAATCACATCCAATCAAAATTTCATGGCTGAAAAAATAGTATCATTTATTTTATTTTCTCGGCCATTTTTAGTTTTTTAAATTTTATTATTTATTATTCAATTTAATTACTTAATAAAATGTATTAATTTTTAATAAATATAATTATACCCATTTTTTTACATTCTGTATACCATTTGAATTTACAATTCATCATTTACATTATGCTCATGTAAATTTATTGAGTGTCTTTATTTATGACCGAGTCCAACAAAATAATTAGTATCACCGCGATGAAAATATTTTAAACAAATACTCTCACCAATTACTTCATTGTAGAAGACGCATTAATTCAAACAAGTTTGACGACAGGGGTCACAGAGCATTGCGATGCCACACCCATGACTTCTTCGTGTGATCGAAACGATGGGCTAACCACTGTTGCTCGAGAAGTTGATACCTGTCGTTACTCAGGTACAAAGGTCTACCGCGTCTAAAAATATTTTTTTAATTATTTATTTAATTGAAAATTACCTAATGTTATTAATTATTATAATAAGATTGAATGTGAAAAACATACTTTAGATCTTTATCTTCTTCTTCAAAATCATCTAAGTAGAGAGAACCCCACAAACAAGCTCTTCTTCCTCGTATTACTATTATATACGTCGATGTTACCACTAGATAAATACCAGTACCTCCACCGCAGTCGATAGAATGCTAGAGAATTGAATTCATTATGCATTAATTCGTTGGTGATTCAGCAATTATTTAATTTTATTAATTGATATATTTTATTTTTGTATGTTTACCTGTACAGCTTCTGCAACATTTTGTTGTTTACAGCAATTTTGTTTAAGACAAACAATTGTCCCACATAGTAAACAAATACTTATTTCCGGAGGTACCGAATGACATTTACGACATTGCCTAGCATGATAGTACTGGAAAAATTATTACATAAAATAACAATCATTTATTTTATTTTATATATTATTATTATTGATATTAATTAGCTCATTTACCGTAAAAAGTTTTTCATACTCTCTGGGAAGACTAAGTAACTTTGGTGTCTGCCAGGAAATATGCTGATCAACTATAAGTCTTCTAGCTGCTAATTGGCTTCTTCCATAAAAAGCGAGAAACTGATCACACCACATTTGTGGTACTTCAAGGCTTGATTTTTCATCTGGCCAATTCAATGCAACTGCTGCATTAAAAAAATCCCAATCCATACCTTCAGTTACAAGCTCAAGATAATAAACTAATCTTACAAATTCAGTCTGCGGTGTTCTGATGTGTGGAAGTGGTTGCGAATATAAGTGATGTCGTAAAAGTGCTGCAACGCGAAGAAATGGTAGACAAGTGGCTTGAATTTGTTGTTCAAGAGATCTTATCGGTCTGGAAGTTGGATTATCATCATAAAAATCAGCTTGTCTTAAATGTTCAATGATTCTTCGGAGAATAGCTTCAGAAGATATTGGGGAATCATTTCGTGATGGAAACCTTGTCAGGTTCTCTCTTTCGCTTTCTGTCATAGTACAGCTTACGTAGACAAGGACTTGATAATAAAGAAGATTATAAATTACTTTCACAACAGTAGAGAAATATGTCTGGTCAATATGAAGCGGTAGTAACAAAATAAATTGTAGAAGAAGAGCAATTGCATCCCTGAGAAGTAAAGGAACTTCACGTTCATGTGGAGTAACAGCAAGAGGAGTAGCTGGGTCTAATGGTAATCCAGAAAGCTGTTGCCAAGTTTGATGAACCGGCCAAGTAGTAAGCACTCTTGCATGCATTGCAAGTATATGAAGTAATGCAACGATACAATCACGTTTTGGCATCAAGGGAATAGTCGATGGTGGTGGAACACAAAGAGTACCTCCACGCTGAACAATTTCAACTTCAAAATTCGTTCTGGCAACTGATGTAACAAATAAAAAAAGACTTTGATGACTAGGCTGACAATTCTTCTGTTTATACTTCAAATAAGTCGAGGCAGTTATTTCTTCCATAGCTTTTCCCATAGCCATGGCAAGATTGGTAGAGACAGGATTCCTTTGGATTTCTTTTAAGAAATTATTTAATTCAGCAAGAATAGCTGAACTAGATGAATGACGAGATCGTACAATAGCTGAGCATTCACCTAATTGAGGTGATAGAGGGAGTACAGAGTTTGCAAGTTGACGACAAAGAGGACAAAGATACTCCCCTCTTTCAACTGCAAGACTCTGTTGTCTTTGTTGACCTCTCAATGATTGTCTATATGCTTTAAGACAATCTAAATGAAGATGATGACCACAAGTTTGTACATGAACTCCTCCTTCCCATCCCAAATTAACTGACAATAGCCAGGAAAATGTATCGAAATGTCGATGCATCTCTTCGAACCAATAATTAAAGAAAGCACCTCTTGTCTCTCCTCTAGATATGGACGGATCTTCGTCTGAAGTTGGTAATTGCAGTCTTTCAGTTTCTTGTCGTTCATGTCCAACAACACTAGTTGCTTGTACCAACACCACAAGTCCCATTGGTTTATCCTCCATACTTGGAGTCGTTTGATTACAAATTACACAATCGTATTCTTTTTTACTACTAATATTCGATGATTCACTTTGATCCCAATCCATACCTGATGCTCCAGCTTCTTCAGTTTCCATAGCTTTTTTCATAAATTGTTTTTGTTTATTAGCAAATTCAGCCATTAGTTTTTGTTGTCTCTCTTTTGCTTTTTTCCTTCTTTCTTCTCGCTCTTTATGTTCTCGTTCACGTTTAGCATCTTCACAATCATTTGTTTTTGGCCATAATTTATTTTTAGTCTCTAAGATATTTTGCTTTAAACTGGGATCAAGATGAGCAATTTTTTGAAGTAGAAGACCAATAAAATATGGTCCATCACCAACTCGTGACTCAGAATTACCATTACCTGTACTATTTCCTTCATCAGACATTGAACTTGATGGTTCTTCAAAGTTCCAACTATCAGGAATTCCAGATAATTGTGAGTGAAGCTTTAATAACAATGATATTATACTTTCTCCACTCTTTGGACCAGTTAAATACATTTGGCTACCCTAAAAATCATCAAATAGATAAGTTGCACTAGTAAAAAAATGTTACACCATCAAATAATCTTACTTGAGTTTCTCTACTAGTAACTTGCTGATTACAATGTGACGTGGAAGGTACAATATCAGTCGTAGTGATACCAGCAGCACCAAGTCTTGGAAACATCACTTGCAGAAGATCAACTTCACTGCCTGTGGCAGTACTAGGTGTTGCTCTTGGTGGCATATGAGCAAATACTGTTGGTTCTGTTGTTGTTAGAGCTCCTGTTAAAACATAATTATTAAGAAAGAATGAAATATTTATTTTTATATATTTTTTTTATTTATTTATATATATATATATCATTTTCTTTTATTGTATATATTATTCATAGAATGGAAGACACTGTTTGAAATGGTTTGAAGACATAAATAATTTGGATAAAATTAATGGTGATGATAAAGAAATAAATAAATAAATAAATAAATAAATAATAATAAAACTTTGATAAAAACATAATTTCATAAACGTACTGTTGCTTGGAGAATGTGTTTCGGGAACAAGGACCATGGATTCCTCATTAGGTGGTGGTAAAGCTCTTTGACGAGCTGGCACCTCGTCATCTTCAACATTACCATGAGGTACCCCATCCGCAGGTACAATAGTCAGGTCCCATTCAGTCAATGCTAACGAACGATCACACACGAAATTCATACATCAATTTTGAATAAATCATGCCAAATATTCAGAGAACTGTGATCTCTGATTTCATTTTTTTCTAATTAGTTAATTAATTGAATATCAAAGACAAAAAATTAATAAATAATTAAAAGGAAATTTTTAGGGTTGCTGTGATAGTCATAAGCATATTGAGTTTATACATTTTTGTACAAATCTTAAAAATTTTATAGATTTTTACCGTCATTAGAAGGTAATGCAGGCAATGATCCAGTTTCCATTGGTGCTGTAGGGGTTCTATGCTCATTGTCAGGAGCACCTAGCGGTTCTAAATCCCACACTTCTAGAGGTTCTCCTATTTCTACATCGAATTCGTCGTTTAACATTAATGAACCTTCAGTTATGTCACTTCCAATTTCCCAATCAGATCCAACTGTGAGCAAATAATAAATTTTCAAATGATTGAAATAAAAAATTTAAAAATTATTTTTATATAAAAAAAGTATTACCATCAGGACTAAAATCCGGAGGCGAATTTATTAATGTCGTTCTTGGTATTACGGTTTTAAAATTTTCGATTAAGCTGTCAGTTTCATACCAACTACCAAATTCTGTTTCTCGTCCGGTACATGAAATACTTCCACTGCCAGTGTACGGGCAAAGTGGATTTGCCTAAAAGTAAATGATTAGAAGAATAAATTTTAGGCCTTTTTCAAGGTATACGTTATTCAAAAAAGTAACTTACACTTTGATGTTTAGGAATTTCAGCAGTTATAGTGGCCATTTCCAAAAGATAAACTGTTAAAGCAACAATAGGTTCAGAGATATTATGATCGTTGACAGCTTTATAGAGTATAACAAAAGCCATTGCATGAAAAACTCGTGATCGTAGAACAATTCGTGGGTCATCGTAATCAGAAGAGACTGGAGCAGGATGTCGAAATGGGGGCCATAGATTTGAACAATTTTTAAGCTTCCCAGATTGTTTAATATACTCTGTATAACGATCCATAGATACTTGATAATCACGACGATGAACAGCCCGTAAGAGAACATATAAGGGGTCGTAAAGCTCATCCCAAACTCGAGGTTTAGGTCCATACATTCCTTGCTGCATTGTACCACTTGCTTCGAGGTTAGGGGCTCGATATTGAGCCACGTCAGCTAAAACTGGCTCAAAATCCCTATTAGGAGTTGTTCCACAGCGTTCTGGCATCAAATCCATCAATTGACTGTGAGTTTTATCACTCATACATAAAAGAGTTACCATTTCTAAATGAGATACTTCAGAATCAGTTAAGCCAAGATTTGTTCGAACACTAATCAATGTAGCAAGAAATATAAGGCAACTTTCCATCATTGCAGTATCATGTTCACCAATAAGAAGAATATTTTGACGTGATCGAATTGGACGTAGGCTAAGCCACTCTTTAACATGAAATTTATCAATAATAGTCTTGAGCATAACGTCGGGTTTTAATTTTGTTGCACAGATTTGCAATAAATATAAGTCAGCATCAACCATAGAGTTACAAAAATTACATTGGATATATGTCATAGCTTGACCCTTAATTTGAAGACCATTGCGGACCCATAGGCCATTTAAAATCTCATATAAAGCTACTTGTACACGTAGCGGATGCATCATGAGTAAATGAAGCATGTCCGTAGGTGGTAATAGTTCCTGAAGAGTTACTCCTTTTTGTCTAACTGCCTCACACATAAAAACAGCAAAATAACGATGTAGTGGAATATGGAAAGATACATGTAAAACATCACAAACATCAGGGCTTGTAAATCCAATAGCATCAAACCAATCTTGTAAAGCTGTAAGGCAAAATGATAGAGCTCGTCGGCTTACTGCTGCACTTTCTCGACCACGAAGATGAGAAACTAGTGCCCACATTGGATAAGCACTTGCTTCTAATTCTGCACTAAAGGCTGCATAATAAGTTGTTGGTTCAAACTCAACATGAGCTCCCATTTCACGTTGGTTAACATTCATACCTTGGAACATGGATAGAAAATCAAACCACATTTCTAAAAGTGCATCATCAGTAAGAAATCTTAATGCTACCGGTGTATGTGATAAAACATTATTTAAATCAGACACTAAAGGCCAATAACAATGTTCTTTCATTACTGGACGAGCACAATCTACTACAAAGTGGAAATTTTTATTTGGTGCATGAAGAGTATTTTCTACCAAAATTTTACTCATCATGTATTTTAAACTAATTACCATAACATGAAGAAGTTTCAATTGATCCACCATTTTTAAAGCTAAACGCTCATTACTGAATAACTGAACACTCACATGAACAACACGATTGCTTAAGGTATCTGGATCATTAGATCGTTCCAACATCATGGCAATTCTACTATAATGAAGAACAAATGCTCTAGTTAATGCTTCTTTGTAATCCGGATCAGGGAGCATGTTAAGAAGAAGACAAACAAGCTTTTGTGGAAATTCGTAAGCCACTGTCCAAAACATTAATTCTTCAAGAAATGTAGTATGAACTAGTTCTTCTTGCAAAGATGGACAGTCTTTATATTCATCAGGTGGTTCTGGATTTGGTAGTGATCTTATTGCAGTTTGATAAATTTCATGACTCTCTCTACAATAATTATCATATTCTGCCATACCAGAAGATCTAGATGGATCCATAAGTTCGCTATATTTTTGAGGATTAGTCAGTGCTGATGTCATAACACGTCTCATCAAAGCACCCATTTGATTAAAATCTAAAATCATCATCAAATAAGCTTCAGCATCTTGAATTGCACTCCGAATATCAGGAGAACCAACTCGACAATTTTCTCGTAAGTGTTGGATTAATCGTTGAATCATCCGTGGCATCATTGCTTCTGCTACACACATAAGATCTGAAGGTGCTGGAGATTTATCAACAGCTGCTTTAGGCCCATGTCGATCACAAAATCCAATTTCTTTCATTACAGATGTATCACCACAATCACAAGCACCTCCAGCTTGGCTTAAAAACATATTAAAATCATGTCGATGATGATTGCCTTTTTTGAAACATTCAGTACACAGAGCCATGCATGGTGATATACCACATGTACGACACCTATATGCCACAAAATTGGGGGTCCAAACTAAACCACAAGTTGTTGCGTTGTCATAAGTCCTCACTGAAATAAATAAAATGAATAAGACTAATATAGAAAATCGAATTATGAGTGAGTGGATTACGTATTTACTAAGTGTTTTCTAGTGCCAAGAATGTAAAATTTTCTAGAATACGTATCAATAACTCAGCTTTATATTATTTTAAATAAATTTAATTAATAAATCAAATTTACCTATATTTGCAAATTCATCAGGGGTTCTCCCTCCAGCCATAAGCCACTTGCACCAATCAATAGTTTCCCAATCATCTAGAACTTTTCCAGGATTGAGCAGAGTATCCAACAATTCATCAAGATGTTGTTGTCTACCTTCAACCGTAGCAGCATTACTGCATTGATCACGAATGTATGCAGCAGCTCCTCTTTTGCCCTTGCTCATAAGCACCTTGGCCGAACTAAGTGTTGATGTCATGATGCTTATTGCTTGCTGGTTGAAAATAATTTAGTAATTTACTAAACTAAAAATTTTCCTTTGACGTTACTTTGGTTACTTATCCCGACATTTTTATGTCGAGTTGAATTTCCGAAGTTTTGTGTCCATGTCTGCATGTCAGTGATATTTTTGTAATTCTGATCTCTTCGTTTTGCACTAGACTTTCGCTCACATCATCAAAACAGTGTTATATGTTGATAATTCGTCGTAATCACAGCCTGAAATTAATCACAAAGCCACGTCACAATACCATAAATGTACCATCAAAATTTAAGATACAATTTTGACCTGCCAAGGAACGAGGTAATAGAGATACGATTCAACGAGTCAGCAACACGAATATATGTATATTTATATATGTGTAGGTAGGTGCATAAGTGTGGTTTGTGTATGTGGATATAGTGTGCTCGTAGACCCGAAGAAGGAGATCTTGTTAGAGGGGAAGAATACGGTCCACCTGTCCCAAAGACTTAATCGGGTTCTTTGACCTTTCCACAAGAGTATTCACGAAAAACTAGACGGAGGAAAATCTTAGAGACGCGATAGATTTTTACTTTTTTCGTTTATCTCTATTTGCTGCTATACTGTCTTGTTTACTCACTTCCTGTTCCTTCGTTTTTTCGCTCTGTCTCTTTCTTATATTCTTCAATAAAGTCTCAAGAAGTTTTCTTTTTCTCTATCACCTGGTTCAAACGGGTTATTGAAGTCGAGCAAGCTGACTACGTTGTCTCCTTAGTCCAGCGTTGATCACACACCTGAAGATTAAATAAGGTACTAATTCTTCTACTATTCTTCAGGAATCTATTTTATCTGTGTCTAATTCTCTTTCATCTTCCAACCCTACGTATATCCAACACATAATGTAATCACTATCTAAATATCACTACGTAAAGTGTGATGAACATTTCTTTCAACTTTTGTAACCAACCATTTTTTGCAGTTTTACTAATTTCCCGAGTTTTCCCTAAAACAGTTTGGTCCAATACTTCATTATTTCGTGGTTAGATGTCACAAGTGAGGTCTTGAGTAAAAGCGGGAATTTAAAAATTGTTTGCTAACCACTTAATACTGTTTAATTATTTTTTATTTGATATAATAAATAAAATAATTATTATTTATTGTATAATAACAATTAATTAAAATATTTTTTGTCTTAAGAAAAGTTTTGACTAATTTTGTTTTTATTTTTAGCTTAAAAAAAATTTTTTTTTCTTCCAGATTACTTTTATCAATCACGACGTGGCATTCAACGCCTTCCTGTAAAGTGTGATGAGGTGTGACTTGCACCAGTGCAACATTGTACATTTAATTGTACTTCAACAGTGATTGATGACTTAAAAACACCTCTAATAATAATTATAAATAAAAATAAACATCACAGTAAGTTGTGATTACATATTTCATATAATATATGAAAATTATTAATAAAAAAAATTTTAAAATAGGCTAAATCATTTTTTAACCTTTCCAGATAATTCTACGGTAATGAATAATTATTTATCTAACAAATAGTTTTATTAACTGTTAAATGAAATGCAATTCCTACCAAAATACAACTTCAGGCAGATATTCCTTCTATATTTATTGATTGACAACTTGTCTAAAATATTCGCTTTAGAAGTAATCTATGCTATAAATGCTGGTGGAGATACACACGTAGATAGCTATGGAATTAGATACATGAAAGATCCACTTATGGATAAAGTAGGGACAGCTTCCAGTTATGGAAAACAGTTAATAATTGGAAGAGTTAATCCAATGGATCAAATTCTTTATCAAACTGAACGTTATCATCATTCCACATTTGGTTATGACATTCCTATTAGTGAAGATGGAGAGTATGTCATGATCTTGAAGTTCTGTGAAGTTTACTTTAACTCTCCAAATATGAAAGTCAGCAATAAAACTTTTACAAGCATAAAGATAATACGATTAGATGTTTTATTAATTAATTAATTAATGACTTATAGGTCTTCGATGTAGTTTTAAATGGAGATCATACAGTGGTTACTGATCTTGACATCTTTGAAAAAGTAACCAGGGGTGTAGCTCATGATGAATATGTTCCTTTCAAAGTTCAAAAAGGTAAACTAATTTATAATGATGAAGAATCGGATATTCTTGGTGGAAAAATAAGAGTAGAATTCATTAAGGTAATTTTTCTTTCTCATGTGATGAAAAGAATAGCTATAAATTTAAAATATCTAACTATTTATTATTTAAAACTCGTAATTAGGGATACCGAGACAACCCAAAAATAAATGCCATAGCTGTAATTAAAGGAACAATAGACGGTAATTTATCTGAAATTAAATAATTCAATTAACATTAATTGATGATATTTAAAAAAAACTTTCTCGTCAACAGAAGTACCACAACTAGGTCCAATGCCTCAGGAACCTGAAGAATATCATGGGACCCAAGAAGATGAAGAAGACATTTCGGTGAGATCTAGACATACAAGTGGTCCTAGAACCCCCGACCCATATTCTATTGATGATTCTTCAATCATGTTACCAGTTTTTATTGCAATTGGTGCATTTATACCACTGCTCTTTTGTTTATGTAAACTATAACTGCTTTAAAATAAGAAAGATTACGGGTATAAAAATATGTGGGAAGCGCACGTTTTACAAGTGTGTGTGTATAATTGCATTCAATTTTTTGTTGTTAGTATCAGTATAAAAAATAATGCAAAAAAATTTGATTTTTTTTATAACGTCAAAAGTGAATAAACTATTTTTCCAGTTAATAATTCTAGAAAGTAGAGGTTGAAGCACTGAACCATAGATGGGCGCCATGGCATATCTAAAAAAAAAAATATGCACTTATGTACTTAATTATAATATTAAGTTACTTAACAATTTGTTTCATATTAATTTTCCTAAGTAAAAAGATAAGAATTTTGTGTCTTTATAAGTACACGTAAATAGAAAAATTTTGCACTGTTATGAGACAGACAAGTACCAAGGAATGACATTATTATACATATTTAATTTATTATAATTCAATTATTTATTGCAACAAAGTGATAACCATACTATTTATGAGAGAATTTCTGCTATGTTTAAAAATTGAGAATAAAAAAATTGTTGTCATTAAATTTCTATTTATATATTACAATATTTCTATACATGCCAAAAAATGAGTTTTTATTCTTATAATCTACACGGTTATATATTTTATTTGTATGATTAAAATTGATATGAAAGTTAGGTACAAATTCCATAATTTATCAGCGATAAATTCTAAAATATTTCGGCTGATAAAAATGATCAGATCGTTAAAAAAATAAGAAACTAATCAAATATAATAATATATCATCTGAAAATATACTATTAGCAATAAAGACTTACATACGATTGAATTGCAGTTGAAGATGGTGGTCTCTTAATGGCAAATAAGCTCATTCATCTCTCACAAAACGTACATTTATGTGACCATCAAATGTTAAATTAACTGTCAATTCAAGGACTCTGTGAAGTTTCGCGACAGAGCAAATAAGTGTAAGTGAATGAGGGTACACTTACTTCATAACTCTAGTTGCCTTTTACTTAATAAAATCAACGTCAGAAAATTATTAAAAGTAATTTCTTGCTGACGAAGAAGTCATTTACATGAATTTTAATCAATGGAAAAAAACTCTGCATTAAGTTTAAATCTACATCCGGTTTTATTCTCTGTCTTAAAAGTACTTTCAATAAAATTATTTGTAATTTTGTGACATCTATTTCAGTCACTAAAACAATATTAGAAAAAAGCCGATTAGATCTCATGTAGCCCGAATACACTTGACTTTGAAGATTATATCAAGAACTGATAATAAATTTCGTCAACCGGATTTCGATAATACTTATTATCATCTTTGAACTTTGCTATTAATCTAATATTTGATCATTTTCACTTAAGATTTTTTTATTAAATAAAGAAAAAAATATAGGGGCTTGATAAGAGGAATAAAGGGTTAACATCAACTGTAAATTGTTCAGTCTTGATTTTTATTAACGTGCTCCCTTGTTCTTTTATCTTTAATAAACAATATTTGACGAGTTGTTCGGTGGTCCTACTATGGAGACTTTCTGTGTGACAATAAATGTCTCGATAAATGGATGGGTTAAAAAAGAAAGAAAGCGAGACAGACAAAGAGAAACGAGAAGGAAATAGAGGGTACATAGTTAAGTCTCTTCATATGTACGGGGACTAGAGGGGATTAATCTAAGGATCAATCCGCTTTCAGATAATTGAGTTGCATAATCCGTGCCAACAAGTGATGTAGGGGATAGGGGAAATCTCGTCTTCCGCTTATAAAAGCCCGACGCGGTCAATGAAGCTTTAGTTTAACCAGTCCGACGTTCTAGACGGTTTATTTGTTAATAAATATGGTGCAAATTGTTGGAAAATACGAGCACGAGTCCAGCGAAGGTCTTGAGGAGTATTTGACCACTGCTGGAGGAATTGAGAATGCTGAAGTAGCCAAAGTCTTTGCTCAAGGAAAACCTGTTCTTGAAGTTAGTCAATCGGGTGATCAATGGGTCATCACTGTGACAAACGAAGGCAAAAGTTCAACAACTAAATTCACCCTGGGAACTCCATACGATGAAACTATGCCGCATGGTGTCGTTCTCAAGGTGTGTGCTTTTTATTCATCCGGTTGTGTCTATTCACCCCTGACCTGAGATGTCAATCATCTATAAATGAATTTTTATTGCTCTAATCTTCAATTATTTCATGACTCATACCATTGACGATTGTTGAATGTCAAGGAATTTATTTTTAAACTTGTTGCAGAGTGTAACCACCAGAGATGGTGACAAATTTACGACAGTGTCTGATCTCCCTGATGGAAACCAATCAGTCAGAGTTTATGAATTTAGCGATGCCGGTATTACCGTTGTAAGTATTTTTAAAAAACATTTTTATTTAATTTAATCCAATATTTTGATATTTACATAATAACTATGATTTTTATAAATATTAATTTATAAAACTTAAATTATATTAGTAGTTTTTTTTTAATATAAAAAAAGAACTTTTAATTCTTAAAGATGTTTGGAGTTATCTTTTGTTCTGAAAGAAATCGTTATTTTATTTATAAATAAATAAGATCATAAAAATTGAGTATAAAATATATCAATAAAATATTGAATGAAAAATTAATATATAGTTGTAAAAAAAATTTCATTTTATTCATTCATTGCAAATTTAAAGTCAATCATTTCTTCATGTAATTAACACAAAATTAATTATTTTCAGCATCTGTCTGACAAAAAACACGGAGTTAAGGCTGTTCGTACCTACAAGAGAGTATAGATACTAAACTGATGTACTGATTTTATAAAGTTAATCAATCAATAAAAATTTTCTTACACAAACTTTTATCCATGAAAATAGTCATTCCACACCCTTGAAATTTTTTTAATAAACTTTATTTATTTTATAATGTTTTGAATTTATTTAATAATAATAAGGTATCACATTAAATCATAAAAGTGCTGTACATAAGATGCAGTACGTAGAATCATAGGAGTTGGACGATTTCATTTTTTTCTCATTTTTACTTGGTACCAATAATTTTTTTCTTTTTTCATTATACATAATTTTTTTTAATTATACTCATTTCTACATTTTTTTCGGTTCCTCTACATATTTTTTTCTTTTTCTGTTACTTCAATATTCTAATTCTTATAATAAAGTACATTGATCGTATGTTATCGAGTATAAAAAGCAGTTATAAAATTAAAAATATAAAAAAAATCCTGCTCATTGTAATCACGTGTAATAGACATTTTTTTTTTTTGAATTTCACTGAAGTTCCTGAGGTAGTACTTTTAAAAAAAAACTCCTAATGCTTGGATCATATGCAAAGAAAAGCTATGCAATATCCTCAGGATTGTAAGCATATATAAATAATAAAATTGATATACGCCAGCCGTTTAATACACAAACAAACATTTATTTATTATTTTCCATGCACCTACTACTATCAATAAAAATAATTTAAATTAATATTAAATTGCCAATTACCTTATTTTTCAAATTAAATAAAATATTATAATGTCAATATATATATATATACGATCAACTAATAAAAATACAATTGTAAAAATAAAGCTCAAGATATCATTCATTTGCATGTACCCAAATCATAAAAGAATTCGTTTTTTTTTTTGTAATCCCAAGAACAATTCATTAATATATAAACTTTCGAACGTGTAGTTTCAAACACAATAAATATGTTAAACTAGAATAGAAAACGTGTTGTATTCAATTTTATGATTGCTTTTTATACTCGATAATAATTAAATTAAATGTTTTTTTTTAAAGAAAAAATGAAACTCAAGTTTGATAATATCTTGGATTCATCGTTCTTAAATTGCAATTATTATAAGTATTATTGAAATTCTGATTATTTGTTCATTTATATTCATTGATACAATAAGTGAATTATTTGAAAGATAATTGGCAATTAAAATAGATGACAATTATTACTGACAAGAGGATAAAATGTAAAAATTATCCAAAATGTTTGTTTTTTTATATATTAAAGGTTGCAAGCGTATATTATGTCGTTTTTCAAATTCTTTATATACTTTAAATGATTGGATGGATAAAAGTAATAAAACTGAGGAGTATCTAAGTGCGAATAAAAAGCATAGAATAATCCTCTTTCATTATTCATCGATCTTTATGATAACTATCGGTCATTTAATTGATGAGAGGATTTATTATAACAATTCGTGTAATGTTGTTCTAGAAAAATCTTCAATCTGCAGTAATGAGTTGATTATCAGTCGTCATCTCAATTGGAGAATCTTTTTTCGGTATATCATCATTTGTCGTCGTAGTTGTCGTTGCTTCGGCAATCATTTTCGTTTCTTTATTTTCGCAAACGCCGTTTTGTATTTTTACTTTAGCACTGCTAACTTTATTAGTCGTTTTAGCAGCCGTAGTAGTATTTTTTGCACTGATTCTATTTGTTGTGGGAGATTTTTTAGTTGTAGTAGTAATATTACGTCGAGCTGTCATGGAAGTCATAGTTGTGGTAGAATTAGTGGTTGTGCGACTTGTTTTCGTAGTGGATGCCGTGCTTGTGCGACTTGATGATATTTGTTTATTGGCTGTTTCTTTGATTTGTTTATCTAATGCTGGAGATTTTGTAGTGGTTAATGTGCGAGGTTTTGAGGCAGTTAATGTCGAAGATGCAGTCTTAGGCCTTGTAGTGGTACCAGTAGTACTAGAAACAGCAGATTTGACAGCTGTTTTAGTCACGGTAGAACTAGTGGGAGGCTTAGGTTTTGCTGCTGGTGCTGTAGCAGGACGAGCAGTAGTAGACGGCTTGACTAGAGACTTTGGAGCTGTAGTAGCAGCTGAAATCTTCGATTTTATCGGAGCTTTTGCCGCTGGTTTAGCCTCTCCATTACTCAGAGTAGTTAAAGGTTTCTTTTCTGTAGTGGCTGATGGTGATTTAGTTGTTAATGATGGTTTCGGTTTCGGTGCAAGTGTTGATCGAGCAGTCGTAGTTTTTGATGGTGGTTTTGGTGCACTTGTTTTGTTTGCTACTGTTGAAGTTTTGGCAACAGATTCTGCAGGTTTTGGACGATTAGTCGTAGTAGTAGTAGAAGTTTTCTTTGTTACTTGACCCATTGTAGATCGTGATGTTGGACAAGAGGCTTTTGTTGGAGATGTTGGTGTTGATTTTGCGGTCGATTTCGTTGTTGATTTTGTAGCAGTCTTCGATACTAACTTTGGAGATTTAGGTTTTTCAGCCGCAGTAGATGTTACAATTGTTGGAACAACAGTAGCAGTGAGTTTAGATGAATCATCACTTTTTTCGACCACTGATTCATTAACAGGCTGACTTTCAATGATAGGTTCTTCAACAACTGCAATTTGATCGGTTAATTCTTCTATCGTTGGATCATCTTGAAGTTGCTCTTTCTCTTTCAATACAGGATCTTCTTCAATAACTATAATTTCTTTTTCAGCTTCTTTCTCGATAATTATGATTTCTTCTTTAATAGGTTCTTCAATATTCTCTGCTGGATCTAATTCTTTTTCTAATCCTGTGAATTCTTGAAGAGATTTTGATGGTTTTATTGACGAATCAACATGAACAATTGATATTTGTTCACCATCATCAACGATTTCATCAATAGGTTCTTCAATCGATTTTTCGACAGATTCTTCTTCAGGTTCTTCAATTGCAACGTTCATTTCTTCTTCTTTTGATTCTGGCTCTAGCACTTTCTCTGGAGAAGGACTTAATGAACGTGTAAAAGGATCACCTGTAGGGGGATCAAACTCTTCATTAATTGGTTCATTCTCGTCTTCTTCACAGACATTCATTTTTTCATCTTCATTATCTACCTCATTTTCCAATTTATATTCGTCAGCTGATACTTTCCCTGAATTTAATAAAGTATTAAAATCTAAAGGATTAGAAAATACTTGTACCTCAGGAGCTGGAGATTTCCTTTCTTGTGTAATATTAGGTGCTAAATTTTCTTGATGTTCAAATTCATGTGATTCGAAATCCTGGCAAAATTGATTAGATTGCGAATCGTGTTGAGTTTCTGATTCAATATTATTGGCGGATTCTGATTGAGATGTTTCGTGAAGTACTGGTGATTCATCTATCTGTTGATCAACTTGCATAAGTAGACAATCATCGCTTTGAAGATTATTTTTAAACGTACACGCGTCTGGTTCTGGTTTCGTTTCTAAACGTTCTTCAGTCAATTGTTCATTCCTGAGATTCATTGCTGCAACTTCTGATGTAACATCATCCATTTTTTCTTCAAACTTCTGATGATTTGGCTGTTCAAGTACTGGTGATGATGTTCCGAGTAAGTCAATATTTTCATGATTAGGAAAAGCATTTGAATGTTTAGGAGTTTCTGATTCTGGTGAGATAAGATTAACTAATTCTGGATGGTCATCTAATGATTGTGTTGCTGAATTATCTTCTTCTTGGTTGCTTATATTCAAATCACAAAGATCATAGTCGTTCAACTCATGAACAGCATTTAAATCAACAGGTTGGCTAAGTGGATTAGGTCTTCCTGGGCCAAATGACATAGTCATGGGGTCATTATTTTCTAATCCGCTACAATTTTCAGAATATGACTCATCACATGTTTCAACTTTTTGTAAATCATTTGTTAAATAACTTGCTATGGATTCATCACCAAACTCTGCTCTTGTAGATGATACTTCTGATTCATCAAGTCCAAAACCTAACTTTTTTTTACTAACAGTAGATTGTTCTTCTTCATTATCAGTCATTAAGAAATTACCATTTGCCGCTGTAATATCATCTTTATCCTCTAGATCATGAGGGCGACTGCTTGCTCCTTCTCTAAATTCAGAGGGACTTGGAAGACGGATATCATCCATCATGGATGGTGGTTTTAAAGGTGATCCGGCAATTGGTAAATCCATAATCCGTGCTGAAAGACTTTTAGGTGTTGAAACGGGAATAAACTCTGCAGCATTCGGATTTAGAGGAAAATCCATTTCTTTTTGCACTATTTCAGGTTCAGATATTTGTTCTTTTTCTTCAATATATTTCTCGCTTGTCTGTTATAAAAATAAAAAAAGAATCATAAAAATGTACTAAAAATAATCTGTAAACAATTAGCAAAAGTTCTAGTTACCTCAGTATTAATAAGCGAATTAGTATAAAGATATTCTTTTTCGTTTTCTTTTTCGTCGTCACTAGAGCTGTCAGAATCGATTTCTTTACGATTTTCCTGCTCTTCTTTTTCACTTTCAAAAGCTTCAAATGATTTTGAAACTTCTGTACACTCTTTATCAATAACTACGGCTGATTCTTTTGATTCTGCTTTCTCGTCGGCGTCTTTTTCCTTATTCGGATCGACTTTGTAGTAATTCCACTCGTCGTCAGAGTCCTCACTATCAGCTACATTCTCTGTATCACCTATTAATTCATTTTGATGTGATTCTGTAACAAACAAATCAAAATAGAAATAAACATTTTCTATCTTATTAAAGCAAACTTTATGTCATTAACATCTCTATCTTTATAAAATAACTATTCAACTATTACCACATGATTTCTCTTTCAATGTTCACCTATCATTTGCATCCAACACTTAGCGATCACTCCAAATAAAGAAATATTGTGTAGGCTTATACCGGAATGAGTATAAAAGTTGTGAAATTTTCTAACAAACCTAGACTATTCTAGTTCACTTATTAATGATCCCCAAAGTTGATTTATATCATGCTGAGAATTTTTAACTCTAAAGAGCAGTTTTTTTTGCGAAAAATAAATTAAGGAATAAAAAATGATATAAAAATAACGAATTGTTTCGTGAATGCTTCAAATGCACTTGGGACGATTGCCAAGGAGTGGATGATGCTAGGACAAGACGATGAAGACAAGGAGAGGAAGTACAAGTTGTCGAGGATGCCGGCATCGACGGATGCGCGCATGAGCGACGGTGTTACCATGAGAAATGGGCGTTGCAGGCCGTCATGCAGGATGGATGGAACCGCGCTGGCTTGTTCACTTGGTGTAGGTCGTGACTTTTCCTTTTTTATCTAGTACATTGATTCTAGCCATTCAAAATGATTTTCAAGCTGTAATCTGCGAATTTGTATAATGTTTATAATATGACAACATACAGAGTCATTATTTTAAGGGCCTTTCATGTATGTTCTACGTTTGCGTGGAAGGATCTAGAAGCTGTTCCTTCCATTATAATTTTACTGACGGAAGCAGGGGTCAGCATTGGGACACATGACATCGTCTGGTACGTGCAGGAACGTCTGCCATACTTTCCTTGTTCTACCTTTCTTTTTTTCGTTTTTCGTATCTCTTTCTCCTCCTTCACTTTACGTTCTTTTCTACTCCTTACCCATGCTCTTCTATATATACATACATTTTTCCAGGAGGTGCGAGACCTCCTGTCACTGTCACACACCATCCACATATATATTTTCTCTTTTTATCTCTTTGGTACCCGTTTTAAAGTCACGAGTTAATTTTACATCAAGTCCGTTCCGTTGCTTGGCAGTTTGTCTTTTCCTCTTCCACTTACTTAAAGCATCGAAATCATCCCAAGTTTCATACTTAAAAATATAGCGATCATTATATCTATACATTTAATTGAATACTTTGAAACTATGAGGATCAACTATATTATGAAAAAAAATTTTATTTATAACTAGCTTGAAAGGAAATCTATGTAGGTAATACTTTATGTTACTTGAGTCTTACTACATCATAATTATTTCACATTGTACACAATTTTGATAATTATCAGACATTGTCTATTCTATTTTTAAAAAATTTTGTTAAAAAAAGGTATTTAAGTTATATAACCTCGAAAAAATATAAAAATAATTATCTTAGCTGTCATTATTAATCTATAAAATCTTTTGTTTCATTTTTTTACTTTATGCTTCGTTATCAATGAGAATTAAACTTTAAGTTATCATAAAAGTCTTAGTCTTGTAATTAAAAATAAAAAAATCAATCGGAACAAACTATGCTATTTAAAAAAGTAATTAATATCTCTGTTACGTCCTGACGGACATTACTTTATAACAATCTCATTTTTTAAATTAAATGTAAACTTAAAAGAAATATAAGCATTAATCGATATATTTGTTTTTCATTCATTAATAAGAGTCGTTTAAACAATAGAAAACTATTCTTTTTTTATTATTGGACCTCATGAAATCTCATTTATAACTTTTAACTTAACACAGCAAAATTTTTCAAAACAAAAAATAAAGGTGACCTACTTAACATAGTGTATGCAAGTCATTAATAAACTTTGAGGTTTTAATAAGTGTAAAATTTTACTAATTAAAAAGTAGAATAAGAGTTTTTTAATTCACTAAAACATGACGAAATAACCTCAATGATATAGCAGGAAAAGAACTGAATAAAGCCAGAGTTAAGTTTTCCATACGAAAGTTCTTTATCGGCATTTCAATGTACTTTCTGGAAGCCCATTTCGTAGACTCACTTACACACCCAAACTTTGGTACAAGCGTATACACACGACTAAAGTAAATCTTAAGTCGTAAAAGGCACCCATTTATACTAGAATTAACAAAATCAAAAACAATGAACGTAATAAAACAAAATATAAAGTTAAACATTGTAATTAAAAGCTGAAATAATGATATCCAAGAGCGAGTGCGTAGAAATTAAAGATCGATTAATTTGCCGGCTGCTTGAAAAATAAACGTAGTATATTATCTATCTCTTTCACTTATTTTCTATCTTTTTTTCTTTTATCCTAAATATTCTCATCAGTGTCGTTACTTCATACCTTAAATGATGTTATAACGTCTTTTGAATTTATGTTTATTAATTCACACTTTTGTTATTGAATTGTTGACATTAATTAATAATCTTCTTCACGTAAAATGCCAACAATAAAACTTTGTATTTAATGAAAAATTTACAAATAACGCAACCAACCTCAATCACCCTTTTATTTCAAGAACTACAGATCGACTGCCGGGTACCCCACTACCACAAAAAGTGAGAAAGATTTTGATTTGTCGATTCCAGTAACAAATCAGCAAAGAGTATGCGCGGCGACAGCCAATCGACGTTGAATTCGATAAGAATGGAAATGTGGTAAATTTAAATTTGAGTTTTACAATCTATTGTAATTAAAACAATTATAACGTGAGTGTGACATATAATAAATTTTTGAGGTTAGAATAGCATATCCGAGCAATTATTGGTTGAAAAAAGTGATATAAAATAAGTAGACGTCATTATCATTAGCTAGAGTCATTTTATCGATGTATATCATATATCTAAATTTATAAATTAAATATAAATGTGACTAGAAAAGAATGACAATTAGGCAACATTTTGAGATATTCAATGTATATCCCAGAATAATCTAAAGAACTTTTGTAAATAATATTATCAATTGAAATAAATTTTTGGATAAAACGATTTCTTTAGTAGATTGCAAAATAAATAGGATTGTTATTAATAATAATTTATTGGAGTAAAATTGAAGATGAAAAAGTATGACAGGTAGCAATATATTCATTTTAACTAATAGAGATTTAAGTCATATAGTAGTGTATCGTTGACGAGAAGAACTGTGGTAGGATTATAATTACGATAATTAAGTGATTAATGGGCAATTAGAAGAAAGAGTATGCGCACGAGTGAATGTACTAACAAAGCTAGTATTTTATATTCTCTCATTCTCTTGTAGAAAAGACTATAGGCAGTTGAGTAGTCGCGAACTTCTGGTCTGAATCTGCTCGTCGAGGCGACAATCAGTGCAGGAAGTTCACTGACTGGCACGATTATAAAACTTACTGTAGAGAAAGCTCATAAAAAAGGCACGTTGAAGACTAAAAAAACTATCACAGAAAGTTGAACACTAACAATTTCTTTAGCTAAACTATCATAAACTATTTGTACTCTCTTATGTCATAAAATTGACTCTACAACTTCAACGAACAATCTTAACATTTACAATAATCATTTTGTAATCATGTCCTAATTTTAGATTGTATTTACACTCTGGTCATTCGCATTTCACCATTCATTTTTCTTTTTAATTTGGTGCAAATTAATCCAATTGTATTTACGTCATATATTATCCTTCTCTGTTTCAAACTATAATTTTCTGATTATAGATTATCCTTTGCATAATTTTCTACAATATATAACAAAAATTAATACTCCAGGATTTTGATTAAAAGTGTACTTAGTAAGAAAATAAATTACCTGATTATTTTGTTTAAATGTACCTTTAAATAAAACTATTATTGAACTTAAGAATATCATAAATAAGTAGTAGCATTTTAATTTAAAAGATAAAGTAAATAATGTTTTAAACTCACTGTTATCATTAGGAGAAGGTGGAGAATCATTCATGACTTCATCTTCGGCAAAATCTCTTGAGTCCTTATCAGGGAAAAGTTCTCTTGAGACGTTAGCTAGGTTACAACTTTCACCAGTATCATCAACCACATCAACATCAGTTTCTGGACCAAAATCTTCATCATCTTCATCATCATAATCTACAATTCCATTATCTTGTCCATTTGATGATTTACGATATACAAATGGTGATGTTTCTTCATTAAGATTGGATCCATTTGCTTGACTTAGTGACTGTTTAACAAAGCCAGCATTTATATCATACTGGCCATTAGCATTGGATAAATACCGATTATCTGGATCCATGTTATCTAGATGAACATCTGCAAGTTGCAGATGAGCGTAAGATCTTGATGCTATTTTAGTTGGTGGTGTTAAAAACACTACGATTACAGTGATGTTATCTGATGAACCTTGATTTTTAGAGTGTTCAACTAAACACCGGCTTACTGCCTCAATGTTATCTGAAAAAAATAAACAATTTTACATGAATATTAAGTAAATTTAAATATTTACTAATAATATACTAATAGAAAATTTCAATTAATATAACGCTTAAAAATTTTATTTTCAGAAACTAAAATTGTTATAAAGAGTATCAATCATCAGCATTAAAAACAAAAACAAGTGCTCGTAGGATGAAAAATTATTAGAAAGAACATCTATTTCATGAGTGAAAGAGAACATGGAAGATTAATTTTCTTCACCGTGATACTAATATCATGTCTAGCTTCAACAATTATTCCCATTTCCTCTGTAAATCATATTTCACGCTTCAATAAATTCTTCAGCTTTTTTAAACTCCATCTATTCTTGCCAGCAATATAATATCAAGTTAACGGGTAAATAAAAAAAAAATATACGGTAAGTTGTTTTTTTATCTCAACATTAATTATTTTACTGTACCAAAAGAATCTGTATCCATATATCAGTATCTTTGAAAGTATTTGAAATAATTTTCGTTGATCTTTCGTATTGAGGATATCCATGTCAAATTCCTTTGGTCTTGCCAAGGCAATTAAACGCCAATCACTTGAGAAACGGTACCGTAGACTTTATGTAGGCAGCTGATAGGTACTTTTTGAATTAAAAGAATAAAACTCAGTGGCTCATCACGCTATCCAATGCTTCCTCCGTAAAAGTTTCACGCAGAATGGCCAGGTATGAATAAATTACCATAGGATGGATTATTGAATAAATGAAAGAGGGAAAAATCGAGAAGAAAAAGCTAAGATATCAAAGATGTATAAAGCTTAACGTTATTTCTTCTCTTTTTAGGTAAGTACATTGACCTTAGTTCCTTTCTTCCGTCCTTCCTCCGCTCATCCTTGGGTTTATTCTTTACCTCCTCGTTGCATCCCCTCGCTCCAGTGACTTTATTTCGTCGTCGAGGCAAGTTTATTCGCGTACATCTTTCACCTTGTTCTTTTTACTTACTCCTCCTTGTCTTACTACCTTTTCAAAGAGACACTCCTTGTGATGGCCGGAAAGTGAGAAAGAAGAGTCTGAGTCACCACTTTTTATTTGTAAGATTTTATTTTTTCCTGTTTTCTTTGGCTTCGACGACGACAATTACGATAAGAACGACAAGTAGTAATGAGAATTGCATTTTGGGCATACGTCCTCGTTGTCTATAGAATGCTTCACACCATTTTTGGAAATGACCTCCGTGACTACTTTAGCAAGACTAAAAAAAAATATAAGCTGTCGTAATCCAATCAATTTTATTTAACTCAACAAATAAAAGTGATTTATGATATTTCAATTGAATGTAAAACCGACATCTGGTAAATTTATTGATTCAAGATTCAGAACATGATAACTTGTTGCTGCTCATTGTCAATGTGACTTTAATTCTATTAGATTGCCTTTGGCAATAAAATAAATCTTTTCATGTTTCAATAGCCTTTGGCTTATTCTAATTACACACTTCTTTAACTAGTATAAGATACATTTTCTCATTAAGATATTTCAACACTAATTATATTTAGGAATATTAATCTTTTAAGATCAGTTCCATGTAATTACTTGCACTAATTACTTGATATTATTACTGATAATTAATCCAAGATTAAATTGTACTTGGATATTGAAGCAACGAGTCGTATTAACACAAGTAGTTTGCTTTTAAATCGATAGGTTGAATAAGTCATGGGTATGATTGAAATGATCATGGATTTATTAACATCTCCAATGTTATTTCAAGGGTAACTCAACGTCTGTCTGAGTTTTTTACCATCGTCCCTTAAAGTCACGCAATCCATAGTAATATTTTAGGGCATGATCTGATCCACATCTATCGCGTGATCATGAAAGGTGTTCTTAATGTTATTTAATTCTAAAAACAATGTTTAAATTTGTTTTCATACCAGCACTTATTCAATTTTCAAGTCAACATGATATTTATTAAACCATTCTTTCAACGTGTACTATTTTCATTAAATAAATTTTTGAGACCACGTCTCAAGTAATAGACGGATGATCTCAGATTACCAGGAAATATGAAATTACGTGGGGTCTATGTTGCGTTAGTCAGACAGCGCTCGTGTGAATGTACTATGCTAGTCTATCAGTTGATAGACTTTATTTTCGTAATTATATGGTTTTATTATACTTTGTCATAGGATGTCAGAAACCAATATGTTTTTATAAGTCTTAAAAAGTTTTATATAATTAGTTGATTCATAATAGAATACTGTCAAGTCTTTGACAACTGTCGTTTCAATCAAGAACAAGTAAAATAGTTAATGTCGCGTGCCAGCTGTCACACTAAACTTGTCTACCGGCCGTCTGGTTCACGAGGTTTCACCGAAAAAAATCGATACTACATATATACTTTTTAGACTGATGAATCACCGTTCACACTTTATTTTCTGAAAATAAAATATGATTTTTAAAATCAACTAATTTATCAAATTTACGTTGATTAATTATTAAATTTTAAATAACTTGGAAAGGCACAAAAACGTGAAGATTAATATGAGAAGATGTTGAGATCAAAGTAGATATGCACTTGTTCAACTTTCAATTCAACACTTGCTTCAGCTTTAAGAGCTCTTGCTCTTTATCCTCAAGAATTTCTTCTAGCTCTCTAAAACCTCAAGTGCATCAGTAATTCTATCATAAGAATACACTTTGCAATTTTAAAACATTTAAGATATGAATTTATAAATAATACCGTTATTATAAGAAATTCCAACGAAGTATTCTAGTTAAAAAACGTTGATAAAAAGCTCACTTTTGTGATAATATTAAGAGTAAATTTTTCAAAGAAACAGAACCTGTCGAAATGAGGACTCTCTTGTACACCTTCTACCGAGGTTTAAAGCCGTAACGGGTGTGGCGGTGTTTCGCGTTCAACTGCTGGCTGATTCCGGCACGAACACGGCCGCTGCTACGTGACTCAACGCCACCCCCGTTTATTTCATCCTCTGGTGTCTCACTCTACTCCTCCATTCATCGTTTTTTCCGTCTCTCTACTTTTTCCCCCTACTCATCCCTTAAGGTTAATTCTATGGTTTTCTTCGCGTATATACTTTATATAATACAATTCTCTTTCAACAATATGCTATGAGATTAAACCAATTTACTTGCTAATTTATATTTCTATGTTGTGACAATCAACGTTTATATCTGATTTGTCATATTGCATCAGTCCTATGATCTAATTTAATTATTACAATAATTTTTCTCGCACTCTAATACTTTGTAACCAATTACTAATAACTGTCAATTTTACATTTTTAAAACACTTAGTTAATAATTTTTTCTCCTCTCAGGAAGTAACAATGAACTGAGTGCGACTTAATAATGTGTCTAGTGCACCCGTGAATCTTGTTTTACTACACATGTGAGAGTTGCTATATACGTTAGATTAAAATTTATAATATTCAAAGACGATATGAATTTCGATGAACAAAATACATAAAAAAATAAATAAAATGCCTAGAAGCATTTAGGGTGAGGTTTAATTTGTAATAAAAAAATTATTAAATTTCCTGAGTGCATTTAGACCCCCAAGACTTCATTAGGATACATCATAAACAAAAGATACCATGTGATACTATCAAAGTATTTTTTATAATAAACTTGGAGTGTATAACATTTGATGTAAATATAGAAATGGATCGATTTTAAATTAATTTATAAATAAAAATAAAGTTATAATATGAGAAAACTGAAATAGGAATATTCTGTCGACACGTATGTGATGTAATATCCGGACTTAAACTTCCTCATGAATCGCGAAAAGGTGGAAGTGAACCACTGGAGCATGTCGACGAGGCTCGTTGATAGGCTTTTCTTCCTTTGGAATATTTTTCTTTTGTTTCCCTTCTCTTTGCCACCTCTTCTTATTTCTACCTATTCCGAGTGTTTTTGTTTCGCGATGTATTGCCACATGGCATTCCGCACGAATGATTCAGCAAGTGTTGATGTAGAGGTGAGAGAAGTCTTTCATGTATTATAACGTTTTTCAGGTGTAGAGAACAACGTTGCTTAGATGTTTTTAGGATTAGGCTAAGTGTAGCAAGTATGGCGTTTATAATTTTTTTTCTTTTCTAGCCGTGCTTTCTGCATGGATCCATCTGGAAGATGATGATTGCACGCGGTAGAGCACGACAGTTGCCAGAAGCTCATTAGCAAGTTACTTCAACTACAAACAAAATTAACAGATGCTCAAAAACTACTGTTTCGATTTTATCTTTTTTCTATTTATCTTTTTCATCTCTTTAGATTCGTTCACCCGCATGAGGTCAAAGCTCAGTCGATGAAGTTGCGTAGGCGCAAAACAAGGCTTGTCTTCTCTTCTTCTTTTGCTTCTTTTCATTATATATAATTGACTATAACGATCGATCTTGAGTAAAGACGCTTTCTTTTTCCTGATGACTCACCAAGTAATTGGAAGATTGGAGACTCTTCATTCCAGTTGATGAAGCTTCAATCATATACCTACATATAAAATGCAACCAAATTGGGATAACTGCATTCGCTGAATTAATTATCGAAATAAATTAATGAGACAATATCTTTCTTGTGGTTATGCTTACAATTATCAGTTCAAGACGAATAAGTAGAATACATCAACGATTCCGTTGTCCGGAAGGCTGCTGAACCAGTAAAAAAGAACGATCGTTATGCTCCAAGTAATTCCATCGTGGTGATGATACACGCTTTTGTACTAAAATTCTTGCATAGATCTTGAGATATTACTGTGAATAACGTTTAAATGTTATATTCGATCTAACCTTATTGATATTTCTGCAACAGACTTTAATTTCATAAGTGAATATTTCTCTTCAGTCTTTTTTTTTATCCACAGTAGTTGCTTCTCATTCAATTCAGGTGATTTTAATGACCGTTTGGAATATTTATAGAGTGATAAAAAAATACCTAAAAGGCATTTATTATGCTGTTTTTTGTTTATATCAAATGAATATTGAGAGAAAGCTAGAAGCGATTGAGCTGTCTCGGTTGGATTCTAGGCAGGAATTTTTCCAGCTCGATTCCACTGAGTGAGTCATTGTCGTCAAGCTCTCCAAACATCGACCTCTAAGTTGTATTGCGTGTACATCACGTTTCTCTTTTTATTAGCAATCTCTCTCACTCATTAATCTTCTATTTGTGGTCTAGATGAATGTTAACCTGTTGAGCAAAATACTAGAAAGATGCTGTTGAAAGAACAATGTAATACTCAGTTTGTCTTTTTTTAAAGCTACATTTCCTCTCTCTTCTCATGATGGTGCGCCTAAGGCATAATATGACTTCTTGGTTTATCAATCAGTAAAAGTATTAAGTACCAAGTTTTATAGATATTTTTTAGCTATAATTATTTCTATTTACATTATCATAAAAATCCAGTTTAACTTTTAGTTTGCATTTGTGTGATTTTGAATATATATAAATAATTTTTTGTACATTTTATGTAAATGTTAACCAGAGTCAAGGTTGTATTGAATTCTAGGTGTTTCATGGTAATATTAAAGTCTTATGAGCTAAAGAAACCATAAAAATTAAACAAAGGATCATGTTGTACGGTATAATCTGTTGCTAGGGCGTTGGTCCGTTATCTCAAGTTGTGCATTTTGTAAATCAGATATGAATTTAGCAAGAAAAAAAATACTATAAAATTCCCAATTTGAAAAATTTAAAATCATTATTAAAATATCTTTTTCACATGTGATTTTTTATATAAATTATTGTTCTTTAACAACTTCAAATAATCAACTTTTAGAGTCTTTTTTTTTTCAATTAGCTTATTGATTTTTTGTCTTCTATATACTTCGTTTATTCTATGTTGCTACCTTGTACTCAAAAACAAGTAATATCAAATTTTTTTAGCCAACGTTAAGCTTCAGTGGCAATTTTTATAAACTATTGACCTCAAGGCTGAATAAAATGATTAATCATTCAAGGTTTGATAACAATGAGTTATAAAATAAACTTCCAGTTTATTTCTTCTATTACTGCAAAGAAACTGATATTAAATAAAAATTACTCAATATCTGTGATCCATGACAAACGATCCTATTATGTTTCTAAAATCAACACAATATTTATTTACTGACCTATTTGTATGTTTAAATAACATATTATCTTTTATATCTCAAGCTCTAATTGATTCTTTTAACTATTTCAATATTAATAATTTATTATTAAGATAATTAAAACAATATTACTTCATATACTGATAGCCATACTTAAAAATATACAATAACGTGATAATTAACATTTTTAACATGTTATTCAACAATTTTAATTATAAACATAATAAAATTATAAATATTTAATGATGGTAATATTTTCAAAACTTGTACATTTATGGTAGCATAAATTTCTCTGATCTTAAAGTCCAAAAATTGGAATACCAACATGACTTCAAAGTTGTCTTATTTCAGAGGAACATTGGTGTAGTTCCTCATATCACCGAAAATGAAATTTGCTGATCCATATAGTGGAACGTATGCTCATGAATCACACGAATTGTTCCCTTCCATCTACTTTACTAACTATACTATAAAACCATACAGGAATATACCCAATAGAATATGCCAGGGATGAATGTTAAAACTGTTATGCTGCATGTACTGAGAGACACATTTCTCACATCCAACCGTGACTATAATTAGAATCTCGCTGGCGTCATTTACATAAAAAGGAAACTTTAAAACAGATGAAACTATAGCGAAAAAAGTTGCCTTCAAAAAAGTTACAGACATGTTAAGAATTTAATTACATGCATAAACATTATTTTTTTATTTCTTCTTTTTACAATGATAATCATCATCTTTTTTTGGCCTAACAGTAGTTTTAGAATAGTAGAAATAAATGAACGTACTATATTGTTTTATGACACAAAATTTACTTTAATTCTTTCTTTTTTTTCACTTCTCTCGTTCTTCTTTTCAGAGTCTCTTTCCTTTACAAACTTGTCCTGCATGCCGATCGAGATTCAAGGCTCATTCAAGTGTGTGACACGCGCTAGGAATCACGATAAGAAGTACAAACGGGTGATGCATTGCCAAATACTTGTTATGATGCTTTTTCGATGCTTATTGAAATGGTATTCCAATTGCTTAACGGTTATATTCATACAATTTAGCACCATTTAAGTAAAGTAGAAATTAAAACTCTTATGGCTTAATGATTGTAGATAATATTTCTCTCGAGTGATTCACGATACCTATCGAATAAGAAAGCTCTCCCAGGGACTTTAAACCGGTCCTTCGACTTTTCCCTTGACTTTTTATTATGTCCCAACTCCTCCATGAACGAAAAATTACTGATAGTAAATAAAATAAGTGAAGAGTTTACATATAAATTATTTTGAAAAAATTTTCACTTTTTTATACCAAAGACAAAAAATTAAATAAATGGTATTCAGAGTTAATTTAATTTAAATTTATCGTTTCTTTTTTGTTAAACTTTTTTCAATATTGGCTTGGTCATATTTCAAAATATAAAAGCCAAAAAAAAAATTATCTGCCAAATTATTAAACTATATTATTACCTAAGGTTCATCTGGATTATCTAAAATTATCTACCTCTTATTTACTTCCTCTAGTTAGTTCAGACCAAAGACTTTAGTATTCATCGAATACGATATCGAAGATTTCCTCTAATGGTCTACAGGTCTTAAAGAGGTTACTGACTCCAGCACAATGGTAAGATAATGATAAAAGTTTAGCATGATGTAAATAAATATTACTAGAATTATGTTACCATTTGAATCGATATCACTGTTTTAGGATCATAATTGAATCAGTGTTAAAAATAAGAATTGTGATGTTAATTTATTAAAGGCTTATGTAGTAAAATACATATTCAATTTTGCAATGTAAGATCAACTAGTATAGTATTTATTTACATCATACTATAATTTCATTGTAATTTTACTATTGTTGCAGGAGTCACCAACCTTCTTATGAAAAGACAAAGCAAATCATTATTTAAAAAGCTTGGCAAAAAAAGCCCACGCAGACAAATTTCCATTTGTCAAGGTTCTCGTAATTACCAACGTCGTTGTCGTACTGCTGATAAATGTGTCTTTACGTGCAATACCACTAATGTAACGTTAACTTGTTCAAAAGGCTCGTTAATGCTTGTGTTCACGCTCAAGTATGAGGAGAAAACAAACAAGCTCCAGCTTTTAAATTAAGGTTATAAAAAGTTTCAATGATTATTAATATTTTTTTTATATTATATTTTTAAAATAATGTGAAAAATGTTAAAAACTTTATAATAACAAAAAAAAAATGTTGAAAAATTGTAAAAGAAAATATACATTTTCTTTACTTACAATTGATTGATAATTTTTATTAAATTTTATTATATTCTTGTATTTATGACTGATGTTCATTTTTATTCCATTCTTTTTACTCTGAAACAATGTCTAATGCTTTAATACTTTGCAACAGTTGCAGAACAAGCAAAAAAATACAAGAGTAAAAAATGTCCTTTGAGTCTACGAACTATGAATAAAGGGGAGTATTATCATTATTCTGATTATTCTTTTTTTTGTGGGTAATTTGTATATAAAGTTTTTAAATAAAGCAACAGAATTTTTTCAATAGAGATTATTAGCTCCTGAAAGTTTTCTCTCTTGAGCAGTATAATAATGCACGCGACAGCGTAATTAATTAAATCAATATTGCTTGTGTAAATTTTTTCGGAGCAATTGACACAATACTAACTAATTAAAAATAGAAACCCTTTCTTACAATTGTTAAAGTTAAAAAGTACATAATTCCAACTGAAACTACGTTTTAAAAAACTTAACAATTGTTGGAATCAAATTAAAATAATATTCTGGATGAAAAGAGTTTTATCACATTTAAAATTTATAGCTGGAATTTCATATAATAGCCTCTCTATCGACTCTTAACCTCAAATTAATCATTTACATAATTATTCTTTATCAAGATATTTTATAATTTATCACTGAAAAAAATCAGCTATGCTATTACTTTAGCAAATGAATTATGACCTTCAATGGACTGAAAAAATTTCAACTTTTATCAGCAAAAAAATGTTAAATAACAATAAATAAATATGACAATGATAATCACTAAAATTATAAGACTTACGTGGATCTCGACAAACTTGATTATAAACGAGTTTAGCGGCAACTGTTTCATTAACACAATCCCAAAGACCATCACAAGCAATGATAAGAAAGTCTTCAGTACCATCCAAAATCACGCAACGTATCTCTGGTTCACTAGTTACATAGGGTTTATATTGGGCGTCTCCTGTAAACAAAGACCCAAGCCATTAATATTAATCGGAAGTATGATCATGAAAATAACTAGAGATGAAAATTATAAAAGTATCTCAGGCAATAAATTAATCCACATTCATTGATAACTCACGCGAACAGGTGAATGTTATTCATATGCATTATATCATTAATAAAATTATTCTACGTATAATTAAATTTAATTATCTAATTAATGGACGATGGATCTCATTTGAATAATGACCTAGAAACTGAATCACGTATTAGCTTCCGGTTATTACTTAGCACCGTATTCAAGCTTGAATCATACTCGTTTTACTCAATGAATGTCATTTTTCTTCTTCTTATACTGGAAATTATTTTTCATTTAGTTCAAGACGACTTTCCAGTAACTTTACTAATACTGAATCTGAAATTATATCACTTATGAAAACACTCTCGATAGTTCTTCGATGATTATGACGTAGCTTAACATATTTGAAGATGCAGGAAGAGTTTCAGGATATGTTCGGTACGCGCAAAGAATTTTCCACTCAAACATAAATGGAAATGTTTGACCCAGAGAGTTCCGTAATTGGTCAGTCACGTAAAAAGATTAATAAAATCGTTATGCCAATCAAGAAGGGCTTTTTTATGTTCGATAAACTTCTTTTTTTTTAAACTGTCAAGTCACCTTGAGAGAGAGGACTATTAAAAGAGTATTTTAAAGAAGGTCAATTATTAATTGAGCAATTATAAATATTTTAGATTCAATATTTTCTTGGCAATACTTTCTTGATTAAATTCATATACTCGATGCGCTCTCTAAGTGCTGAAATTGTTCCATTCTCGTCGATAATTTACGCTTTCATTCCCCATTTCATATTGAATTTAATTCAATTAATTAATGAAACGTATATTTAACCATTTCTGAAATAAAAATTATAATGAGTGAATAATAAAAATTTTATTCACCTATTGCTCTTGATACTGCTAAATCACCATTAACTCTCCACATTCCAAAGTATAATACTACTCCTCCCATCTTTTCTACCCTTTCTCTTTCGTCCTATAATAGAAACAAAAATATGTAACAATAAACCAAACTGGCTTATATAAAAAATAATCATTTATGTAATTTTGCTACCATTCAAAAATTAATACCATTATGAAATTAAAGTGCAAGTTTAATTCTCAACAAAACTCTAAAAAATCTCTATTTTTTATTACTTCATAGTTATATGGTACTGTATAGATAACAATGTCAATAATCTTTTAGTTTTACATCCTTTTTCTCTTTTACTGAATTATTTGTTCCACTGTTGCTACTTCTAGCTTGTGAATCATTTTTACAACAAAATGTAACTATTAATGATTTCTATCCATAATAATTTTATTCATTTATTCGTTGAATCAGAAGCTAATATTTCAGCACGTGCAAACATTGCTTAGTAACAGGAGAACAAAAATTCTAGAGCGAAAAAAAAATATCTTGCCCTAATAATCTATTTAGTAAAATTAAAAACAACATAAAAATGGCTTTGAAAAAGTTAAATATTTAATTTATATAAATATATAGATCCAGGCAAGTATCCAAAAGTTAAATCAATAGGTTTAATCATTAAAAAAAAATACATACACGTATGCTTCACTTTATAATCATGTGCTGTAAAAAGAGTCTTGGTGCTTACATTTCTCTCTGGCCTGTGTGGATTCACAAGCTGATTTACATTTCCTCCTTTTACTAGAGCAGCTTGAGAATCACCTGCCCAAGCGATGTACAATTTTTTTTTGAAAATTACGGCGCATACTGCAGTTGCTCCACTGTTTAACGACTGAAAATTTTTATTTTTATTGTAATGAACAAAATAATTTTATTTTTTATTTCAAGACATAGACAAAAATCAAATAATATAAAAATAAACTCACATATTGTTTGGATTTTTGAATAAAATAACTGTCAGTTGTAACGAAAGCATCCCGTAATGCACGCTCTAAATCAGTAGGATAATGAACACTTTCTGCTAAATACTGATGAAGATGCGCCGCACAATAGACAGCAGCATCTTGTCCTGCATGACCATCAAATACTGCGTAATAACTTGTCGGTAAATCATTCTAGAAAAATATCAAAAATAATTAACATAAAAGAATAACTCTAATAGTTATTACATAAAGGTTGAATATCTACTTTTCAATTACTATTATTTCTATCTATTGGTATGATACTATTATGAGTTTTGATTTTGACGAAAAAAGAATAAATTATTAATTATGTTTGAAACTTACTTCAATATTAAAAATAGCATTTAAATCATGTAAGATAACGTATCGATCTTCCATTTTTCGTCGATTATTTTTAATCGCATATACTGATACCAAAGGTGCGGGTGATGATGGTGGTGGAGGTAGTAAAGCAAGTCGACTGCTTTCCATATACCGGTGGCAAATCTCATTCACCTTTTTTGTTACTGCTTGCATTAATTGTAGTGGCGCATAAACTATGATAAAAATGTATTAAAAATCAATGAAATTATTGAACAACTATTACATTAAAAAAATAGTTTGAAATCTTCTTTGTCTTTTTTAAATCCAATGATTTATTTTTTAATGCATGATAGTTTGAAGAAAATAAATACTGAATTTATTCTTTTCGGTTTCATTATTTATCTGCAGTAATTTCAGATACCAAATTAATTGTGTTTAGAAGAATTGTCTTACTATTGTCTTTTAGACCACAGCATTCTGGCTGCAGTTTGAATATTGTCTTCATTTCTTCTATCACTAATCGAACGATAAATGATTGTAAACTTGTCGGACAGTACCTAAAATCATTCAAAATATTATCAATGAGTTAGTCTGCATAAAACAGAAATCAAAATCATCTAATCTTAGAGTTTCGATGTAACTATTGAGTAGATTTTATCTACAGTTATCAAGGAGAAAAAAAGTAGGCGTTGGATATTTAAAAGTGCAATAAAAAGCTAGAAGAATATTAAAGACCATCTTATCTACATCTTTATCAAGTAATATTTTTTAATAATGATTTGATTAAAATCATTGAATAATACATATTCTAACAAATAGTCAGTTTATTCATTATTGTTCATATTCTATATATCATAGTGGCTGTTTCATTCTTAAACAGGTGTCTACTACGCAGATTCTGTTAGTTTCTAACCTCTTGCTGTCAGCAATAATGGTGCAAATTGCAGGAAAATATCAACATGAACGAAGTGAAAATATTGATGAATATTTTAGAACTCTCGGTAAATATTGAATCTTATTAAATTGTATGAAAAATCCTATTTTCTATCTAATTACGTAGCATGACAAAATAATCTACGCATATAATGAAAAAATTTGACAGCCATGAATCTGACATTTGATGCAATTTTTAGGAGTTCCATTTCTTGTTAGAAAAATGATGAGTGTTTCATATCCAACATTGGAAATATCTCAAGATGGAGATAAATTTACACTAAAAACAACTACTTTGATCAGGACTCAAGTTTCTGAATTTACTTTAGGAGTTGAATATGAAGAGAGCATGGCATCTGGTGTTACATTAAAGGTATAAATATCAACATTACTAAAACAAAAGTTTGATATAAGATAAATTAATATCATAAAATATCTAGAATACGACAACTTTGGAAGGAGATAGTTTAATAACTATTTCAATAAGTGATGATGGTAATAAAGTGACAAGAAGATATGATTTCACCGATGACGGAGTAGTTTTAGTACGTAATTGCATCATAAATACCATTTTAACATTCAAATTCTTTATTAATTGTAAGTTTCATCTTATTTCCAGACTATGTCCCATGAACGGAGTGATCAAGTAGCGAAAAGACATTTTAAAAGAGTGCAATAAAGCATCAACAGTCGATGATTAATTGATCAAAATTTCTAATACATTTTTTTTCACTATTTTTACTAATTTCTAATGTAATAAACAATTTGTAAGTTTTCATATCTAAAGGGCGTGGTCATACCTATCGACTATACTTTTTCTATTCAGCAGCACACTCGTTTCCTTGTAGGAAATTTTATTATTCATGACTTTAATCATGTATCCTTTCTTAAACATTTAATTTTGAATATTATAAAAATAAAAAAGGCTTTTTGAAAATTAATTAATCTTATATCTCATATGTTTATTAACAATTAATTCACCCTTGGCTATGTATAAAATAAAAATTAATTTGAAAAATGATCAAAAATGTTAGAATAAATAGGATTGAAATTGATTATATTCTTTTGAATTATGATGAAAGTAAAATACGTACTTCTGATTAAGGTATTGGAGGGTCATATCAATGATTTCTCCAACAACTTCATCTTCAGTAATTTCATGTCCAGTCATTTTTACAGGCAGTTGATCATCAGGATCCATATTTTCCACGAAATCAGTAAAGAAACGTTTATAAGCACCTAAATAATCGCCATCCTCCATTTCTAGAGCCATGATTTGGTTAATTTTTACTTTACTTGTATCAGCTGCAAGTAGAATGTTATCAGAACGTTGTAAAGTGACAGTTGCTAATAATATAACTCACACTTTTCCGCTATGGAAACGTTGGGTTAAACTCTCACGTTTTTGATTCACTTTTACACTATATCTTGCATGAATAATCTCTTATTAAGTGACAAAAATACTATACTCGTTGATATGCGATATTTGTAAATTAAATTACGTCACTCATTCAAGCAGAGTCGTATCATTTATTATCATGTGCGAAAAAAACATCCATCAAAACAACGGTATATATGTCAATGTATAAATCTACGTGCGTGTATTATAACAATAGTACATGAACATATACACTATTCCGTATTACTTAAGAAACTTCTTTTAATTTGTAATTTTTAACTTACAAGTTCCTTTTTCTTTATAATTTTCTCTTTATCGTTATATTAGAAAAGACAAAAGAAATTACTACTACTTGTATTGTAAAGTGTGATAGTAGTCTAACTGCGCATGGGCTATTCACAATAGTTAATGAAGAATGTCATACAAATTTAACAATTATATCCCTTTCTCTTTTAGTAATAGTTGTCTTAAAAAACATGCAATAAACTTCAACCAAAAATGTTGATAGATTTATTGTTATTATAAAGTTTTTTGTGTTAATTTCACAGTCTTCAGTATGTTTTGTCAATTGTTTACGTTTTTATAGTCGCCATCTTGATTAATGATAATTGTAGCGCCTCACCGGAAAATGTTAAAACTAAAAGAGTAAACATTTTTGCTAGCAACAAATAGTGAAAAATTGTTTTAATAATATTTATATGTATTAAATATAATTTCAAATAAAACTATACATCTTAGCAGTACAATAACTGTTTTCATTTATCATTTCTATCAATGTTTGAAACTATTACATAATTACACAACTTTGAGGTATATATAAATCTAAATCATCATTAATTCCTTCTTTAAGTGCTTGCTGTTTTAAAGCAAGATATGTTCCTTGATTACGTTCATTTAAATAATCTGGTAATGGGTCATTCCAATCGGAAGGTGGATTTTGCCGACGCTCCCATACATCATTATTTAAATGTCCTTTCCAACGAGCAAGTCGATGCATCTTTTCACTTTCTACTAAACAATTCTGTAAAATTGTCAATATTAAATTATAAGAAAATGACATCAATCGATTATTTGATATAATTTTAATAATTAATCTATAATTACTTACAAAAGCTTCTTCATCTTGATTTTTTTTCCATTTTTTACAATTTTCATAATCTGTTTTCCATTGTTGACAAACATGATTTCCACCATCTATGTAATATTGATAAAAACGACCAAGGAATGATCGACAATCTTTGTACTCATATTTATATTGATCACAAGGTCTTATCTAAAAAATAATAAATAATCGTAATTTTATCACATAAATTATTCTCCGAAAATATAAAAAAAGCCATGCCACAATTACCATCCATTCATTTTCACGGAGTTCAGGAGTCTCATCACTTTTTTCATTTGATACTTCTGATTTATTGTCTGATTGATTAACTTTATTATCTTGTTGAGTATCAGTTTTAACCATTATTTTTGCAAAAATAGAATTTGTTAATAATTACTGAAAAGTTATCATACATACATTTTTCGAAGAAAAAAACACAACAAATATTGGAATTTGCTCCGATATGTAGAGGCTATATTTCTATTTCGTTCCAACACCGGCATTAAAGTGGCGCTTTACAGCCTAAAAAAATACCAGTGACATGTGATTGTGTGTTTCATTGCATCAATGATTACGCGATTACTGTACAACCTTCTTGTCATGAGTCAAAAAGTTATTTTGCAATATCAATACATTAAAAACTCATTGCAAATCATTCTAATAATGAAAAATACCAAAACTCATCGATTAGTTTAATAATTATTATAATCACGTCAATAAATACGATTTACATTAATCATTATAATTTAAATGAATTTTAGTAACCTATTTATCATATCGTTTGACGTGTGAATTGTAATGAATTTTCTCAGCATATCCATCATCTGTATGCACTAATATCTTTTGTATATAAATAGAGTAAGTATGAGAATTTAAAATTAAAAGAACAAATTAATAGTAACATTATTGGTTTAAGAAATTTGAAAAAAAGAAGTAGTTAATGAACACTAACGCCAACATTATTTTGTCGATATTTTACCTCCAACTAAAGTCATGATCATAGTCATCTGATGACAAATATTCGCTACAGTATTAAATTTGGAGTTACTCTAAATATTACTTGAATCAAGAACGTACTTTATACTGTTTTTGAAATTTTATTCAAAAGCCATGGCTAAAAAATGGTAAGTAACATTTCTTGTTATTAATAGTTAATCTTAAAGGTTATTTTTTACAATTTTATCTTATTCATCAAGACAATCAATAATTGTATATCAAAACTGTCGCTGTTTGTTATTGTATTATGTGACTTGGCTAATAATTTATTATTGTGTATTTCAGATATTTTTTTAATTATATATTTTACAAAATTTTAAAATTGTGAAGAAATAAATTAATTCATCATGACTCCTATAATTATTATTGGAATCGCTTTTTTGATAATCTACTACAGTTTTACATGGTAAATACAATTTTTACATTGGATTTATTTTTATAAATGTCGTAATACTGTACTTTTTTTTATTTCAAATGAATGTTTATCCAGGATTCTTCCCATGACATTGGCATGGCTCGTCAAATGCCGATACAAAATTCACTTGTGTGTGGGACGTATTTCTCTGCCTTATTTTATTCTTCAAGATGTTACAATTTCAAAAAATGGGTTTACAGTGGTAAGATTCTAAGCTATACTCGACCAATATTTTTTAATCCTATTTATTCAATCATTCTTGCTGCATCAATTATTTAGGAAATCGAAGAAATCACTGTCAGAAGCAGTTTATTTAGCAGTGACGTTGCGAAACTATTGGCTGTGGTGATGCATGATGTCAGAATCAATAAGGATGTTCCAACAAGTCCTAAAATTGAAAAAGAAAGTCTTAATCCTCCTCTAGATTTTAGGAATAAAAAAATTCCTCCAATAATCATCACGTTTGTTCAAGTAAATTTTTCGAATTTCTCTTGTTAGTGATTTCGTTATTATAATAAAACTTTTTTCGTGTAGTTTATGGCCGTCCATGTAGAAAATCTAAGTCTACTAGTATTAGGAAATGGTTGGTTAGCAAATGGTAGCGCTGAAAGTCTTACTCTTGATGGGAGTGTAGTTCATGGTGCTAGAACACTTCTAGCTTCAGCAACAATAATTGGAGGAGCAATGAAACTTCTTCGGCATGCATCTGATGCTTGTTTAGCTCAAATAAGCTTCGCTGGGACTGTTGAAGCTACTTTAAAAGCTCAAGGAGACCTTACCGTTGAGGTAAATTTTGGTAACAATTATTTTTTAGGTATGAGTTGAAAAACATTCATTTAAAAATATTTACTGCACATCAATCACTGTTTTTTCATTTTTTAAAAGCTACTTTGATTTACAAAAAAAAAACGAATATTCTGTCCCTTGAAACAAAATTGGATTTTAAAGATTTACTGTGTATACCAAAACTCCTATGTATTTATAGAAATTATTTGTCGGTGTAACTCAAACTGAAACTTCTGGTGGTGCAGGACTGATTCAGTTTTTCAGGGACAGAAAATCGTTATCACCAAAAACACCACTTTGCAATGCACCAAATAATGAATATTCTGATCACTTGGTGGCAAGATTTGCTCCAATTTTACCTAAAGTAAGTAACATCATGTCATCATTGCTATGGCTGATAGTTTTTTTGATTTTCTATTTTGATTTTGCACAAATATATCATTTGGAAAATTATCTCAATTAATGAACAACGTATTTTCTGACAGAATCTTACTTTGAAAATGGGAAGCTCATCCATAATCTTAGGTCGAGAAGATGGAACATTAACGGGTCTTGAAGGAATCATGAAAAGTTTTCAGATAAATGCTAAATTTCAACCCGAAAGTCTTCAAGTTCATCTTTCTGTTAATCTTGGAGGACTTTCAGTAAAGGGAAAGTTGCCAGTATTATCACTTCACTCATTATCTATTGAATCGAAAATGAAAAATGATGTTCTTAGAATAGAGACTTGTTTAAATAGTCTACACATGACTTATGATCACAGAGATTGGGAATCATTATTATCTAACAACAATCAAGATATTTCAACACCTGATGTTAAAATTACATCAAAAAATAAATTTTCGTGGCTTGAAATTCAAACTAAAACCGAACTCTATGACGGATCTTTAATTGTTCGATTACCAGACGTTCAAGAAGCTTCATGCGGAGTTACTCATGTGAGTGTTTCTTTCAATAGATGTACCGAAAACCCTGAAGACTGGAATAAAAAACTTATGATTGAATCACTGAGGTGCTCTTTAAATGGAACTAATACTGGAACGTTAGACATCACTCATCAATGGGGTAATCCTTTATCTGTTGGTGTTTTAGTAGCCACAACTCATCCCAATGCCGTTGGTATCGTTTTAGATTCTTTAAGAACTGAATGGAGTCTTGAATTGGCTAAATTTCTTGAACAAGCAATAACATATTGGAATGAACATCAAAAATTATTCAGCTCAAAACAGTCAAAGGAACAAGAAAAATCAAATATCAGTTCACTCCAATTGAATCTTAAGGTTTCTAACTGTAATCTTTTCTTTATTGCTGAAAATGAACTTTCAGTTATGATGCGTTTAGATTCTGCTAATATTGAACACAATCAGAAGAGGTTTGTTGGTGTTGCTGAAGGCATCTGTACGATTACACTGAATAAAAATGAACCTACAATTTGTGAACATGCAAAAGCTTTGAAAGAACCTTTTTTGTCAATACGGAAATGTAAAGCTGCAGTTACTGCAACATCTGTAAATGTCAGTCTTGATGGATCTCATTTGTCGTGGAGTCCAAATCTTCATTTGAGATTATTACAATTATGGAGCGAGTCATGCAATTTCCGTACTCTTTTACAAAATAAAAATTCATCACCTTCGAAAACAATAAAACCAAAAAAATTGTTGAATATTTTAGCAACTAATGGAATTTCTTTAACCATATATATATCGCAAAAATACTTTGTAGAACTTTCATCTGACCAATTACGTTGCTCTCAAAATGAGTGGCGGTTGAATTATCTTCGAGGATCATTAAATATGGCAGATATTATCACTATTGAAGGCTTTGAGCTTGTAAAATTAGCAGACAGCGAAGATGTTAAGATGGAACGATTAAATAATGAAGATTTTGAATTGGAATGGAATGAAACTTGGGCGTTGACAATAGAAGTAGCTAAGGCTAGTTTTCCCTATGAACATTCCTTTACTGATGCAATTCAAAATGAACTTCTAAGTGTAAGAAAATGGCTGAAAGAGATTCATTCAACAGGATTATCAAAAGCAAAGTATTTACCTTGTGATTTAGTAATTAAAATTAAAGAATGGATCTTTGAAGTAAGTGATGATCCATTTGAAGTCCGGTTAAGGGATAATTATGAGCTTTTGGAAGATGAATATAAAGAAAGTTTAAAACGTCAAGCGATGTTAGATACCAAAGTTCAAGAATTATGTCGTACACATTTACTTATTCCTCAAGGAAAAGTAGAAGAATTGTATGCAAGTTTAAATAAGAAAAATGCTGAAATATATGTACAAAGATGGCGTCAAATGCAACGAGCTGGACCAGCAAGAACTAGGCTGTTTGCTTGGACCATGCAAGACTTAGAAATCATTGCTTTAGCTGATCCAACAATTGATGGTCTTGAAAATGCAACTGCAGCTATTGCTAAAATGGATTCGGAGTCGCCTTGGCCAGAAGATGGACTTGAATTCAATACTCTGTGGGTTCGAGGTATTGCTTTGAAGTGTGCAGAATGGAAATTACAACTTCGAGATTTTCCTCAACCTCTTTTGCTTGTTGAAGGATTGAGTATTTGGGGTAGATTGGCAGGAGCTGAAGCTTTAGCTCCTCCAAGAGCTAGAAGAACTGTTAGAATTAAAGTTGGTGCTCCGTGGAACGACATTGTTGTTGAAAGAGGGATGACTTCGCTCAAATACTATCATGATTTAAATTGGGACATTGATAAATTTAGATACGCTTTTGGACCGTGTTGGGAACCTGTAATCGCTCAATGTAATCTCAGTTTTGAAAAAATTCTTCATCCATCCCGAGATCCTAGCCCTCCACTTCCCTTTTGGGATAAAATGCGTCTCGCACTCCATGGCAGATTAACTCTATGTGTGAAACAACTTACTATTTTACTTCACGCTTCTTTAGATCCTTATAATACAACAGAAGAAATGGAATTGACTTGGTCAGGATTAGAATTAGATTGGACTCTGGGAAAAATCATTGTAAAAAGTGATTTAGATGTGTATGTAAGAACAGCAAGCAAATATGATGATTGTCGGCTGCTTCATTTACCAAACGTAAAATTAGCCATAAAATTAGCTTGGATTTGTCTTGGAGATCCACGTGATCATCATGCAGCTATTCCATGTGCTCCAGATCGACTTCCAGAATACTCTAGTAATCAAGAACATGATTCTTTTCGAGCTTTCCGATCGCAAAATCTTAATGTGAGTCTTGCATTAGAAACAAAACTTACTGGGTCTCCAACTTCAACTAGTACACCCACTGCAGTGTTGTATGGTAGTACATTAAGATGGTTTGAAAATTTAAAGTTTATTTTATCAGGAGCAACAAGGCCAACACGTAAAGGTCGATTATTTAAAAATACACGACCGAGAAAAAAACAACTTAGTCGACATTACAAAAAAGTTAGATTAACTTTAGCATTTCATCGATTCCATGTAAGTTATTGGATGTCTTTTGCTATGCAGAGAGGTTTCGAAGTTACTGGAGGTCGAGTGGCACATTCGTCTGAGCATAATTTAGCACTTCATCCAATAGATGATGGATTAATTCATCGACCCAGAGCCGAATGGTCTGTTATTTACATGACTTGTGAGCTAAATGATGCAGAGATTTGGTTAAAAAGTGCTCTTCAAGAAGAAAATGAATCGACTTCACTTCGACAGCCAGTTGAAAAATGTTATTGTTTGAGTGTTGCACGTGTGAGTTATGGAAGAGAAACTCTTGTAGCAGAAATAAGTGGAGATACTCCAACTCATCGATTAGTAGTTCATGATTTGAAAGGTGCTTGGACCAAAACAAATCGTGACGTAGCATTTGCATTATTTGATTCCTTTATAAAATCACAGCAGTTGAAAAAAAATTTATCAACAGCAGCATTAAAAGGTTTCCTTCGAGAATCTACTGCAGCACCTCAAAAAAATCGAACTAGAACAGTGGAAAATCAAACTACTCCAACTCCAGTAATTCCATCAACAGCTGTGACTACGACAACAACCAAAAGCTATCAAGGAGGAGCTGCGGTAATGCTTCAAAGATTAATTGCTGAAGCAGCTAATAAACCTGTTGCTTTTAGCGATGATTTATCTGTTCAAACGCGAGGACAACAACTCCGCGGACTTGCTGCATGTAATCAAGATGATGTACTTCATAAAAATTGGCTGATTGCCCTCGTAAATAGTCAAGTATTACTTAAAGGTATTGAAACCCGTGGATATGTTATTCTGTCGGCTGCAAAAGCGGAAATACTACAAAGAGTTCATCGGCCGGTTTGGCGAGAACGAACTTTAGTATCAAAGACAACCTGGGTTGGTTCTTTAGAATGCATGCAGTATTATGCTACAGTTAGTGCTAATATTGATGATAATATTGATGACAATATAATGTGGCTAAGTGTAGATAATATTCAAGAAAAAGATTCAACAGTGATTTCTGGTTTTCCAGATGTCCCAGCACTTGTAGGATCAGGTCAAAGTGTTGGAGGTGTAGTAAGTCAAACTGTTGGTGGTGGAGGAGGTCTTCAACATCAATTACAGAGAATAGTATCTCGATGCAAATGTGAATTTTTTTATGTTGGTTACAGTCAAACTCTTGATTCAACTGAGCTTGATGAAGTTCTACCGCCTCCACCAGAAGAAGTAACACTTTGGGAACGCAAAGATCTTTGTGCCGCTGATGCGTTTACACTGATGCATCATGATCTAGACGTCTGCACAAATTCTTTACAATATGCAATGCTTTTAGATGTTGTAAATAATTTACTATTGTATGTAGAACCTCGACGAAAAGAAGCTATGGAACGGCTACAAAGATTGCGATTTCAACTTCAATTACATTCAGTAGAAGATCAAAAAAGACCTATTCAACAATTACAAAATACAGTTCGATGTTTAGTTGCTAAATTAAGAAGACTTGAAAAGGAAACTTATTTAGTTCAAAAAGCACTTGCAGAGGAATCGAGCGCTGAATTATTATCTGAAATGGAAAGGCTTGAATCTCGAGTTTATGAATGTAAAGAACAGCTTTCAGCAAGAGCTGAAGAACTTGATGTTATGTTAAGCTGTTATAAAGAAACTACAGCTCCTACGGTAGCTTCAACTTCTTTAAAAGATAAACCAGCAGCTGTGGCAAGGATAGCTGAAATTTGTTTCAAACATGCTCAATGGAGACTTACTGATGCAGATGGACAACTTGGCATAGCTGATCTTATTCTTACGAATTTCTTATATACAAAAACTAGTAAGACAGATGATTCAGTTGAACATCTTTTAGAACTTGGATATGTTAGAATGACAAATCTACTTCCCAATCAAATTTATACAGAGGTTTTAACACCAACCGAACTTCAAAGCAATATGCCTGTAGATAGACAAAGGGCATTAAGAGTTTTTTGTAGAGAAAAAGCTCCAGTTGCTGGTATTTCTGTCAAAGAACACTTTGAAATAAATGTTGTGCCTTTAACTATTGGATTAACTAAAAAATTTTTCAATACTATGCTTAAATTCTGCTTTCCCGAGAGAGATCCTGATGGAATTGAAGAGCCTCCAGCACCACAAAGAGACTCTTCATTTTATGTTCCAGTTGAACGTAGAGATGATGTGGAAAAAATGAAAGAAAGAGCAGATAAAAATAAATTATTCATATATATAAAAATACCAGAAGTACCAGTTAGAGTTTCTTATAAAGGAAACAAAGAAAAAAATTTAGAGGATGTGAGAGATATAGCTTTAGTAATTCCTACACTGGAGTATCATAATGTTACGTGGACATGGCTTGATTTGCTTTTAGCTATGAAAAGTGATTCTAGAAGAGTCATTTTAAGTCAGGCAATTAAACAAAAATTACAAATTAAACCAAGAGGACCACAGGAAGAAACAACGCCGCATGAAGAAGATAAAGCAAGACTTTTACTTGGTGCTAGACATCTTCCTGGAGATGCTAGAAAGAAAAGCGTATTTAAATTTAAATGAAATTGATTATTTAAATTATTACACGAAAAGACATTTCGAGACTGCAAAAATAATCATAAATATTAGTTAAAGTACAAGAACTAGATTACGTAAATTACAATTTATTAAATAGATATTTATTTTTTGATGATTTATTTTTTGTCATTTATCATACAGTTTTTTTGCAAAAGATTTTATTATTGTAAATATATACGAATAAATTAATATAACGTCATGATTTTCAACGTATAACGGATTTTTAAATCATTGAATGTTACCAAACTTGATATCTATTAATTATATTTTTGATTTATTCAAAAATGTTATTAACAACAAAGATTTCAAAGTAAAATAAAGTCTTTCAAAATACAATACTGAATATTCTTGACATCATTTTCAATGTGAATATCATTCAAGATAATTATGGAACACTCACGTAAATACTTTAAAAAAAATATATGTCATCTAATAAGCTACTTAATTAATAGAATAATATACATTTTGCATTTATTTTTAGAATTCATGAATTATCTAATTGTTTCATAATATGTGACACGACATTAAGTGTAATGTCACAATTAGAAATCACTTAAAAACCTTCAACCAAAAATATTATGATAACTTTACCGAGCAATAAATGTAATTAAGAATTAATAAAATAAAGCTAAATCGTTGAGAATGTCAATTAGACAAGTGCTAGTAATAAGTAGGCATGTAGAAAAATTCATAAAAAAGCACTTTATGGAATGAAAATTCTCATAAATTACTTTCAATATTTTTCAGCTATTCACAAACTTTACAGTAATAAAAAAATTACTAGAAAGTAATGAGTGGAGCTTCTGCTGACCTTTTTATATGCTTCCACTGATTTATATCTGCCAAAATTCGTCTGCCGTAAGCATTATGAAGTTCACGAAAGGTAACTCGAGTTCGTGGGATATTTTCAGTTCTGCCCGGTGCTGATCTAATACTTTGAGATCTCTGATGAGACTCTGGTCTATTAAATGGATTGTGTCGGGTTCTTGGTGGTGGTTTAGGTGATTCTGTTACTTCAGCTAATTCTGAATTATCTTCTTCAACAGCATCAAGTTGTCTCTGAAGTTCAGCAACCATCAACTTCATGTAATCATAACTGGCGCATGCTAAAGCTTTCATCCATTGCTCCATAGAATCCTGAAAGTTAAAAATAGCTCTTATTAATTATTCAATGTTACTACACATTTTCTCTATGAAATATAAAATACCTGTGAGTCTGCTCCAAGGCCATAACTACGGTTGTTGGGTCCATGAAACACAATTTTAAAACCAAATTGTTCCTCATCTTCTGCTAATTCTACAGTACATCCTTCAAGAACTATCATTCCAACTGGCTCTTTGTCACCACGACGATCGAAATAAAATAAAATATTTCCTTTTAAGACAAACCATCGTCGTTGATAACCTTTATTCATTTCTCCTCGTTTATTTAGCCAACCTTCTCGATCTACAGGTGTTGCAGATGTAGCAAATGCCATCATATTCTTCTCGTTTATCTTCATTTTTTTATATTATTATTACACACTTTTCTTATTTAAAAAATAAAGTTTTTTAAAAATATATTTTAATGTTGACAATATTATAGAACTGAATGCTCCAAGTATTTAAACTTGTTGAATCAATTTCTAAATTACCAACATTCATGGTTGACACTAGAACTTTATCGGTTGCAAATATAACTTAAAAAAGCGCTAGTGATGATTTCTTCGAACAAAAAATGTTTAAACATTTAAATTTTTCCGAATTTTTATATGCTCATAATGATGCATGATTGTTGCTTAAAAATATATATTTATTTAGATAAGTTTAGGAATGAATGTATATCGCTCATTTTTATTCTAGTACTGCAATTTATAATTAAAAAAATAACAATTAAAAACGCAAAAAAAGTATAATTCAGACAAAAATTGGGGAAACTCGATGTAGATCCATTTTCAATACTTTTAGCATGAAAAAAAATGTCCATCAAATTGAAAGTCACAAAACAACAAAAAATAAAAACTCAGGTAGATAAAAATACTCGTATTCGTTTTGACAAAGGTCTATATAATTGTACTGAAATTGTGATAATAATTGTGAAAGTTTAATACACATTATACATACATACAATACGGGTTTGCAAATATTCAACAAGTATCATAAGTTTTTCTTTCGTAAAATTATGGTTTTAGAAAAATGATTTTTTTATCACCATTCTTACATCTCAAAAATTTTTTTTACATCATTTCAAATTATTAAGATTATATTGAGTGGCTTATGCAGATTAAAGAAATTGACATGAAGAATTACGGTCCCTCGTTGAAGTTATTATTTTCTATTAGAGATGTTTTTTTTTACAATACGAGATAAAGTATAAATCTTAGTTTGCGACAGTAATTCGTTTATGTATTATTTCTCATACTGATGCGCAAATCTGAATACAAGTATAAAACATTTATCATCTAGCCAAAAGTTAATTTATCTACAGTTTAGCTTTTCTTTCTATTGAAATCCGATTTTTGTGTTATTATAAATATTAATATCATAATTATTATAATTACTATTATTTTTATTATCATTACTATTATTTTATTATTAAAATGATAATTAACTATTTATCATTATTTACTACCATATTGCACATAGACAAGTATTATAAATTTTTTTTGCTACAAAAAATGTTTAAAAATATAGATTAGCACCTGGGCCATTAAATTGGTTGGTACATTCAAGTAAAATTTTTATTAATTATAGTGAATAACATAATAAAAAAGTGCTGAATAAATCAAGTAAACATAATGTGAAATAATATATTCCATGACTGTTTGGTATGGATATTATCAAATATTTTTATGAATATTTGAGCTATCAAATTCACTTAATCAACTTTAAAACAGTATTTATTTTAATTTACAATTAAATTTTGAACCAAGATTATCTGATAACTCAAATACTTTTCTTAATAGAAAAATCAACTGCCAATTAACTTAATAACAGTAACTTTAAATATAGAGCCTAAATAAAAGCAAAAAATAATTATTTGTTGGACTAAATTTGTTTTGTTTCGTACATTCTAACAAAATAGAAAAAATTTTAACTTTTTTTATTATTAAAAATAAAAATTAAATCATCAACAAAAATATATTTCTGGGAATAATTTCTATCACACTATCACAAAGGATTTTTCAAACCATCATCATATCATCTATCCCATAAATGTCTAGATTAAGTTAATTTCTCATGTAATAGTTTAATCATTTATTAACTGATTAATTAATTATTTCATTATTTTTATACAATTAAAAGCTATACTAAAATGCATTTGGTACCACAACTTCACGACATGACAGGAGAAATAAAACCTATCAAATAGTTAAAAAATTTGTTTGCGGCATTCACAATTATTTCTTTCATACCGTATCTCTAATTCTTTTTCTTTACTCTTCTCTCCTTTCATCACGGTAAATTGATGCACTGCAATTGATACACTTCAAAATTGCTGATATCAATTCAAGAATATAATTGTCTTATTAAACGCATTTTACAATTTTTCATATCCAATGCCGAGGGAGTTTAAAAATATAACAGAAGCAATGTAATGATACTATAAAAACAAAAGTAATTCCTTTCTCACTTTTTTTTTCTCTCTTGCTCTTATTTACTATTTTTTTTATTTATTTCATTGCACACACCTTTACTATTGCACTATTTTTTTTGCATTTTTGCTACTGCCCTTGAGATGGACTCTGTTTCTTCGCTTCATTGAGTTCATCAACGTTTTGAAAATTTATTGATTGTCAGGATGCTAACGTGGTTCGGTGCCAGGAAACACGCTGCTGGCTGGAGTCTTGTTGTTGTTGATAGTTTTCCGGTTGTTGTAACTTGTCCTGCGGCTGAAGAGGAAGTTTTAAATTCAAATATTCCTGATCTTTTTGTCTGGAAAATAAAGATTCTTAATAAGTATTGTATTTTATATTCGAATAAATATTTAGAATTGTAATATTAAAAAAATAAAGGAAATATATATAAACTAATTAAATTAAAATAATCATCATTTTAATTGAACCTTGACGAACAAAATTATTTTGCCCAATTATTATTAACCATTTTTATTCATTAAATTATTAGAGAAGACTTTTCGAAAACTTTATGTAAAAATAAAGTTCTTGATCGTAGAATATAGATGTAACAAAATCATTATCTTATAAATTAGTTAGTCGGCAAACACATATTTCATGAATAATTTATTTTCGTTATCAATAATTATATCTTCATGGATACAGTCAACAAAAAAATTTTTTTAATCAATAAGTATTACCATTCTTTGTAACTATAATGTCAATTAGATAAACAACATACTTTTTATAATGATATTGATATAGATTTTTTTAAAAATCTCTATAACAACATTAAAACAGTTATCTTTCACTATCTTGTTTTATCGGTGTATTAAAACGATACAAAATTTTAATATTTCCAATTTTTTAGCATGTGAATTATTAAAGAATATTGGAAAGGACATAGCATTGTGAAATATAAATGATGATGCTTGGGACCCTTCAATGTATGAAAAATAAATAATCGATCGAAGTCTTCCGTAAAGACAGTAGAATCTTTATAATGACTTCAAAATAAAGAACATTGTCTTCATGAAATAGAAAACAGCTGCTACATATCCATATAAATTTGATAAAGTAGAGAGATAAATGAAGAAAAGTCTGAATGAAGTATCCAGCCATGAATACTCTCAAGAGAATCGTAATATGAAAGAGAGACAGTTGACAAAACTTGTATAAAGACAAAGATGAGAAATTGAGCTGCAAGCTCAACCTGCAAGCATCTACCGGGTCTGAAAGGAGAAAGAGGGGAATCGATCGAGCCGGTACAACCTTCCTCAAGTTGCGCACGCGTTCTCTAATAGTGAATTTTGTGTCTACGTGGCAGCTTAATTTTATGAGTAAAATGAAAATTTAAAATCTATTTTAAAAAATAACTGAAAAAAATGATTACCTGCAATTAAATAGGGGATGCCAAAGTCTCAAATCATCACCAGGAAGTCTAGCTGTTGAGGTAACTTCAGTGTCACGTCTGAGTAATCCACTTCGTACCCTCAAAACAGAATTTTGAGCTGAATGAACTGTTGAGTGGCGAGACAAGTCCATTGGAGCCGGCATCAAGCTTCCTATTGGCTTACAAGACAATCTATTTTTCTCTACACCTCTCTCTGACAATGTTGAAGAGTTTTTGTGATGACTTAGCTTATTTTTTTCTTTTAGATGACTCTTAGATTTAGGGACTGTATCCAATACTTGCTGAAGATGCGCTAGGGAAATCACCAGCAAGTCTGGATCTGTTAAAAATTCTGGACGTGATAAAGCTTCAGGTAATCGCAATTCCGGTCTTGTGATAAGCAGTCTTGGGATTTCTGTTGCTGGTGACGCTGCTAGAATAGGTAAATGATCTCTTGGTACAAGAAGAGGATCTGGAATAGATCCTCCTGATCGTTTTATCAATTCCCTAAGTTGATTTGCTGGTCTTAATAATTCTCGTCTTCTCCATTCTGTCGGCTTTACTTCTATTAAATCCGGAGCTTCTCTCCGTTGATGTTTTATTTCACTCGTTGATTGGCTTATCGAACTTTTCACTATTTCAGAATGAGAAACATCTTCCGAACATGTTACAGAACATGGTGGACTTGGGAGCACCCGTAAATACGTTTGATTCGTTTGAGAATTTACTGAAGAAGATCTTGGTGATATTTTTCCTAACGATTCACTAATAGGTTTTAGATCGGGTACTTGAAGAATACTTCTAGGTACACGTTTCTTTTGATTTTTTATTGGAACATTATCCATAATATCTTCTTCTTCTTCGATGTTATCTTCTAAATAAGATTTCTTCTTAGGCTTTGGCCGATGATGAGAATTTGGAATTTCATAAAACGTTTGGTCAGGTACCGGTGGAAGTTTTTCCATGGAATTTAAAATATTATCTTCACGTTCTTGAAATTCACTTTCATCCATCATATCAACAAAGTCTCTGTCTTCATATCCAAAAACTGATACACTTCCTTCATCAAGTTCTTCAATGTCTTCTTTGTCTTCAATTTCTTCAACTTCGTCTTCTGTATCAACATTTTTCTTTTCATGGTTTGATATGAACTCCTCACTTCCTTCCACATTTATTCTATTATCTTTAATATTTTCAACTATTTCATCTTCTTCTTCTTCATCTTCAACAATCATCTCTATTTCATCATCCAAAGCCTTTGAAGATGCGTTTAATCTTGCCAGATGTAATCTCGCAGTGTTCAAAGGCTCTAAAACCACTCGAGGTTGAAGTAACTGATTTTTTTTTAACTTTTCTAAGTCAATTAACCTGTAAGTCCTTCCATAACTTATAAACCTTGTATTTTCTTCTTCATCTTCAAATTCATATTCATCAAACTTCTCATGCGGCCTATTGTAATGTACATTATCGGGATCCTCATGTTGATCATCTTCACAAAATATATCATAACTCATTCTTGAATTTCTACATGAACTTCTTGTAGCATCACTTTCATCATCAGATACTTGACATCTTGTTCTTCGTCTACGAGTCCTCTTCTTACTTATCTTCTTCTTCTTCATTCGAGTTTTTTTAACACAATTTATATCTTTCTGAGACTTAACAGTACTAAGTGAGGATCTTGAGGAGAAAGAAGTAGACTCGGAACATGAAGAAGGAGGTGAAGATAAGGTTTTAGATGACATGGTGCAAGGAACACAGCTAGAAGTAACTGAAGGTGACAAAAGTGATAATTTATTATCTTTAGTGGTTGGAAGATAACTAGATCCAATGCAACAACACGCACTATAACTATTAGATGAAGTCCTTGGAATAGATCTCCAACCATGTGCAGTCTTAGTTAATTTTATTCTATTTCGTTTATCATAATCCTCACATCGCACTTCAATAATTTTCTGTTCTCGTTGAAGCGCCCAGAGAAAAATTGGATTTACTTTTGGACGTTTTTCTGTTAATTTTTGTTCTTCCTCTTCCTCTTCCTCTTCTTCTTTTTGATTATCTACATTGCGAGTTCGTTTCTTACTACTCCTCAAACTATCGTGTAATGTTTCTTGACATTCTTGCGAAGAATGTTGACACCGGCCATGGCACATGTGTCCATGATGAAGATGATGATGATGATTATTGTTATTCCTCAAATTTGGATGTCGTTGATGGCGATGATGTCGATGACGGTGGTGATGCTTCTGACGTCGGGGCGATTGGCCCCTAGTGGGGGCAGCGCTCATCGCTCCATCCAACGTCTCTTTCACCTGCTCGTTCACATCAACTCGACCAAGTGTTAATTTCAGCGTTAATCTAAACAATACCAAAGAATGTTGACAGCAGTTAAATACCAAACAAGTGGTATTGTTGACTTACCTACTAGCGTCCTTCATCCGCCGACGGTGCGTTTCCACGTCGGCCCTTTGGTATCCTGGGTATCATGGCTCATTGGCATTAACGTGATCGGGGGCGTGGCTGTTATAAGACACTGACTAAGTTTTTTTTGACCAAGCGTCGCGATTTTCATGTCCTTAATGTCGCTGAATCGATCTGCTTATTAGTCTTTGGCTACATGATTATCCGGCAGCTGATAACAATTTGATGTTTCTCTGATATTTTTCTTTAATTTTACAATTAAATTGCACTGTTTTTATTTCAATAACATCGATAAATTATTTAGATAGTTTAAAAAAATAATATAATAACAATCATCAAATGATAATTTTTTTTTACAAATCTATCATTTATAAAAAGTACGTTTTTATCCAATTCGCACACTACAACTGCCTGGGAGCTACTGACCGGTCGTCGAATCGCCGTGTCTGCCGCCCCCTTCAGCCTCGCGCCGCTCTCAATCCTCGACGCCGTCGCCGTCAACGTTTATGAAGAGAAAGAGAGCGCAGAGAAGAGGAAAAAGAAAGATAATAATAGTATGCACACGATTCCAGATACTTGGGCGTGGGCGAGCGACAAAGAAGAGAATAGTCACGTACCAGGGGCTCTCAATTCACGTTCCTGTACACCATATTTGCGGAATGGAAAATATAATACGTAAAAGTTATCACAAGGCAATATAGAGTATTCAGATACGGGTAATCAAGCACTAAAATATCCCTTTCTCTCTTATTCTATCATCTTTCTCACTTACTTTGTGTTCTCAGTGCTACGCCAATCGATCCGTTTCTCATGTCGTCAATTCCACTCTAAACACAGAGAGCCACTTTACATAACTCCACATGTGAATTCTATCTATGTCATAATTAAAAACTATTGTTGATAACCATTGTAATTGAAATCAACTTGTTCAATGTTTTCATCTACATCTGTTATAATAGAAATATTTTAAAATGGAAAGTAATTGATATAATACTAGTGAATAAATATTATTAAAAATAAAAAGACTTTTCTTGTAACATGTAAATGTAAGATCAACTTTTACCAGTTACTACTTCGACCTATATAAAAAACTTTTAACCCCTCACAATTTCAGAGTAATCATTCAATATGAAGTTTTATACACGCAACCGCTTTACATGGTTGTTTCGAGGCTTCTTTTGATAACTATCATACTTACATAGTTATTCTTACAATTTATTCTTTAGTATTTTATTTAACACATTCCGTCATACTTATACAGTTAGATGTGATTTTGAGTATCAATTTCAAGGGTGAAAAGAAGTGGAAAAATATCAGAAATTTAATCCAAATTATAGACGATGTAGTTGTAAGGTATCAAAATAGGTGTCTAGTTGCGGTAATTCTTGCTGGCAAGTATTATAAGAAGGGTAAAAGAAGAGTATGGGTTATCATGATGAACCACTGCTAGATTTACTTGGACGCTTCATGAACCGGTTTGAATGTGTGATTTTCACTGATGACTGTACTGTAAAGTCAATGAGCTCTTGAATACATACTTAAATGATCATGTATATGTTGGTGAGAATTCAATGTATAAATCCTTACAATCAGACTTGACTTCATTCTGGCTTTATGAAGCAATGTTTCTATTTTTTTTTTACGGTTTAATAAAACTTTGTTGAAGACAAATTGCACTAGTATGTTTACGTAATCTACAAGATTTTATTTTCAGTTAAATAAAAGGTAAGGTATCATCTACATTCAGCATTACGTTTCAGTACATCGCATTATACAACACTAATGAAAATAAAGTTTCAAAATACGTTTACTATTAATAAAGTTATATTATTTAATTGTTATTAAATATTGTTTGATCTTGGTCATATTAAAACAAAGACAAGTTAACTGAGTTAGAAGATTTTTGAAGGAATTTATTTCTAACAGAAATAGATAATTTAGGTATTTATCAAACTTTTATCGTATCTGATTTACTGATATTTGTTACAATTGTTTGATTATATGTGATTTTTTTTAATTTCTATGTTTAGTTTGGAAATTGGTGGTATAGATCTTCAGAGTTACACCTACGTATGAATAGAACTCCACCTTCATGAAGTTCCGTCTGCAGATGATTTATTATTGAATAGTAATTAATACCAAGAATAAAAAATGTCCATTCTTCTTTATAGCTTTCATAAAAAGTTAGAAAATAATATTAGCGATTAATTAATTGCAATAATATTAATAAGAATGATTTAACATCATAGGTAAATTAAGCTTTTTAACTCAAGAGTTAAAACCTTTAGTTCTAATATCGATTTTTTAAATTACTGTTATTCATATTTTTTTTTATTTTTATTCAACGTCATCCATTTGTTAATACTCTTTACTTATCACAGAAAGCTTATCTAGAAAAGCAAAATAATATTAATAATATAAATATCAACAAATACTAAGTATATCATTTTGTGAAATGAAATATTTATAATAGCCATTACATTATAGAATAATTATCATAATTGAAGTCGATAATAAATTGTAGAATAGTAAATGTAATTTATAAATGTATTATTTTTACAGATAGCAAAATTAAGGCTTACGTCATAGTATTCACAGAATCGATAAGAATATTTATTATTAAATAATTAGTAATTGATTTAAATACAACATCAATGAAGGTTTATTGAATACGATGAATCTATTAAAGGTCGAGTTCTTATTAGGTTTCGTGAAATGTATCCTAGCTAAACTTGAATTAGTTGAAATTAACATGCGAATTGATGTGGTTTTATGACGAAGTTTTACCCTTTTTTTATCACCGAGTATGTTCATATTTGAAATCAATAGAGTAAATTATAGAAATAAATATAATTGGTACAAAATTAGAAATGTTATTATAAATATTGTTAGAAAATTGTGAGGTAAAGACAAATTATCTTCATGAAGTATAATAGACGAAAGGATTTTAATTCAGTATGATCAATAACGACAAGAATGACATAAAGAATTCTAGATGGTATAAACTTCTAAATTAATTATTAGTATTGAAGCTATAGAGTTGACTGTAGAATTTTTATTGTAGGGTTAATAACAAATAATAATAGTTGTCATAACAAAGAAATAGTGTGAAGAACATTGAAAAAAATTAATTGATGTGAAGTTTTTTTTTCATTTCCTCTGTCACTTCAATTAACTTCGTCTTCAACAATTTGATTATATATTACTTTAACAAATTTTTAGCCTGTTAAATGAATTAAAAACTCAATTTTTAATTAACTCAATAGCTGTTGCAAAATATAGTTAAGAGGAAAAACAACAAGTCTTAATTAGCATCCATTATTATTGAATTTAAACTTTTCATTATTCAGCTTTTTAAGTATCAAACTCACAATATTCTACTAATTAAAGTGAATGCTATAATTAATAAGTTATCTACAGATGTGACTTTGACCCATACATATATTTAGATCTCATATTATAAATAATTACAATATTCTATTTTAAGTTCAACTGAAGGGTAAAATTATCAGTTCGAAAAACGAGTAGGAAAATACTTCATTGTGTGTACAGTTAATGTCAATTTCAAAGTTTATTTATATTTTGGATAAACATTTTCATTTTTTCTCATAATTATTTGTTGAGTTTTTTTACAGTTTTATAGTATTTAGTAAATTAAAAAAAATATTCACTGGTAATTTTAAATAAATAACAAATTATTCAGATTTCAATTGACACATTCATTACTTATCTATATTGCAGGTTTTAACGATTATTAGCAATTCATTATGAATATGATTTCAATTATTTTATCATTTATCTCACTCAGAATGTCTTTAAGGATAAGATGGATCATTCCAAATTGATGCGCTGGTATTTCTAATTATAACAAGGGTGAGTAAACGTTAAAAATTTTTTATCAAGTATAATGTTTTTTTTTTTCTTATTCATCAAATTAAATATTTCTCGTCATCACTAAAGACTTATATTAAAAATTACATACTATGTTGGTAATAACCAATTAGCCACATCCACTTTGATTTCCCACTCCAGATGTACTTTTAAAGCTCCACCTGTTTCTAGTTAATCTGTAATATTACTACTGCTCCTCTGTCAGTATTTACTGATCAATCCACCAGCACACACCTGAGACATTGCTGACTTACTTTTGCAGCTTAATGAACTTCAATTATTTCATATTTTTTGAAATAAAATCAGTGATTAATCTACATTTTTAAAAATAAATCTACATAAAAATTATTTTAAAATGTACATACATAAAATTTTTACTTAGATTAAATTATCAATGACATTTGCATAGTTAATTGATACATACAATCTAAGAAAAGATTTATTTTAATGGCAAAATTTTCAAATTCCAATTACAAGTTATTGCCAAACATTTTTCAACTTATTCCAAAAAGTTTGTTAGCAATTGTTTTTATTATCACTGTTCAAGACTTAATTGTCAGCACATCAACAAACCAACCGATCATCATTTCATTATCTATTGTAAGTACAGATTGTCATTTCTTCAATTTTTAAACATTTAAATAAAGATTTCCACATTTTTTTTGCTGATTCTATTTTCACATTTTATTGAGAATAAGAATTAGTCACTTATCACTTTATAACTGCACAAACGAACCTTCTTTACGAGTATGGTTCTCCTTGACGATTATTTTTAGAGTTCTAGTGTATCGATTCGTACATTTTGAGTCCATCCAGATAAGGTAATCCCAGAAAATACCACGATATATTCTGACATTATTGATTATTCTGACTCACAAATCATTTTATTCATCAATATTATATACGATTAATTATCTTTATTTAATCTATGATATATTATTGATTTAGAATGATTCAGTAATCCCAAGCCAGTACCAAAACTTATCAAGAGTTGGAAAATGCTGTCCCCTGGGGCAAGTTTTATTAAGAAACACATCTGGATCTGCCAAATGTGGATCATTAGACTCTCCAGATCTTCCAAGTTTTGTTCCTTTTTTTAATGATTTCAACCGTTCTGGGATAGCAACTCCAGGTCATCAGAAAGACAAATTCATTGCAGTAATAGGTGATCCATGTGAGAATAAAAAGTAATCATCGTTTATCTTGATTCTATTTTCTTAACCATTACTAAAAAAAGATATTTATCAGAAGATAATAGAAATTACACAACACTTTATTTAAACCTTGAATTGTCATCATTCATTATTGCAGATATATGCTGGAACCTGATGTTTCAAGTGATGATGACCATTATCTGTTAATTAACGGATCAGTTTTCAGTCCGTACCAAGAGCAATCGATGCTCAACTTGGGAACAGACTATTGTATGGAAGTGATGCCTGAACTTGGTTTGAGAACTCTTGTATGCTTCAAAGGTGGTAAGGTTAATAAATAATTGATTATTAATATACGATAAAAAGACTATTTAAATTTGTCAAAAAAAAATCTTTTTCAATTATTTGAACAATCACTGAAATTATTAAGTATAAGATTCTATCTCTTATCAATATAAATACTGTTTATCTATTATTTATGACATAATATAACATATTTTTCATCTAGAAGCTATAGTTATATAGCTATAAAGCTAAAAAAATTTCTAATAAAAAAATATTTTTCTTGATAAAAAAACTCATTAGTCTTTCTTAAATTAAAATATTTACAAATAAAAAAAACTATCATACGATATAAAAACATTTGTAGTCAAATAATGTATATTCAAGTATATTAACTTTTTTGTTTGTAATTGAAAGGGTTATAATAGAATTATTTCATATTATTTTTTCTTAGAAGATCAAGTGATAATTGCGGATTTTCGTCTTACATTTTACGCCTGTGGGCTTCTCATTTCCGTACCGTTTTTAATTTTAACAATTGTGGCATATTATATCACTCCTAAACTTCTGGATGTCCATGGTAAAGCTTTATGTCACTACTGTGGATGCTTAACAGTAGCATTTACGACACTAGCAATTGTTCAATTAACTAGTTCTTATCTTAGTGATCAATTCTGTATTTCTATGGGTTCGTATCAATCTGTTTACTTCTAAAAGAAGGTATTTTGTTTTATATGAGATCTGAAAATTATTTTTTTGTTCACAGCATTTATTATTCAGTTTTCTTTTATTGCCTGTTTCTTTTGGCTAAATGTAATGTGTATAGAGACATATCTCTTGCTTCGTAGATACATAAAGACTGGTAATGCAACTTCAGCTAAACCTGATAAGCTCTTTTTTTATTACTCACTATGGGCATGGGTACCACCTGGTATTCTTATTTTCATTTCTATTATCATCAATCTCAGTCCTACAATTCCTGTGGCATTTGTAAAACCGAATTTTGGATCCGAAAGCTGCTGGTTTGAATGTAAGTTTATTGAAAGAAAAAAACAAGTTAGCTCTATAAAACAATAATTATTTTATACTTGATTAATTTAAGATTTAAATTGTTTTTATGTGCTCACAAAAGCTAATTTAATTAATTGTACTGTTTATAATCTTGTAATCAGTACAGTTTTTTTACATTGTCCAATGTTAAATATATATCAACATATCAATATGTTGATACAAAAATTTCTTATAAATAAATATTACGAAATGTAAATAAGTGTGAAATAAATTACACATTAATTATTTAGAAATAAAATATAATGTCGATAATACTGTACTTGTGATTACATCGTTATAGAATTTTGGTATTATCTTCTTCAAGTGATTGCTATATCAAAATTGGACTGTAATTGTAATTCATTCTGATAGATTGAAACAAAATACCATAGAAACTATTTTAATTCTAATTAAGTCAGATTTAAATCAAATAGAATATTTCAAATTATTGTAATTGCATGATAAGTGTAACAATTATATTCTCTTTTTTTGTGTGAATAATGATTTAATATTTATATGTTAATAATCTTCACAATAAAATACTAAATGATTTTACGTGCTTTAAAAATACTCTAAAAGGGGTTTTTTAAAAAATTAGTAAAGTAATATTTAAAACTATAACAATATACTACCACTTAGTTGTTTAGATTGTCTCTGTTTCAACGGATCAATACTATTCTATCATAATTTGTAGCATTTTAAAGTATCAAATGATTATTATAATTTATTTAAATTTGTTTAAAAAATTTTATTTTTTACAGCGGACCTAGATGCTATGCCTTATTTCTACGTTCCAGTAGGAATTTTAGTTGTTGCGAATATTATTTTATTTGTACTAACAGCAATATTAATAACTCATCACCAAAGAGAACTTGACCTTCAAAGATTACGTGAAGACAGAGATGTAAACAGAGTTGGCCGTCGAACATTTAATTGGTTACGAAAACTTTTCCTTGTCTGTCTCGGGCTCTTCTTTTTAATGGGAATCAATTGGGCAATGGAAGTTATATCTTGGTGTGCGGGTGGTGATCCCCTCACATGGTCAGCATTTGATTTGGTTAATGCACTTCAAGGTATCATTGTATTCAGTATTTTTGTATTACGAAAACCAATTAGGCAGTTAGTATGGTATCAAGTTCAAAGAATGTTTAAAATAGAAGCCGAAGAGCCCGAAATCGGTAGCATGGATCGTTGCTTACTTAGAGTGCTTAATGTTGAAGGTTTCACTAGCCAAAGGATACCTTAGTCTGAGTATAAAATTAAGTTTGTTCATTTTAATCAAGCATGTATAAATTAAACAATTAATTTTTGATAGTACTTATTGATTAAACTATGTAAATAATTCATAATTTCTAAAAAAAAGTATTAGTCTATATGGATAGTTAAATAAGTTAAGAACAATTGTTCATTTTTAAAAAATAATTTTCTATTTATTTATAAATTTTTATATTTATTATATTATAAGCATGTACCCTTCAAACATTTATTTATTTAAACACTTCCTTAACAAAAAATATATGTATATATATTTATATAAATATGCAACAATCTCTAATTCAAAGAGATTTGAAAATAATACCATTACCCTACAAAAACAGGTACGAAATTAAGCTTTTATTAAAAATAATTATGCAATATTTGTTCATACTTTGCTCAATATAAATAAATTTACTATGATAAATTCTGAAGCTTGCAAAAAATACTTATTCTTTGATTTCAATAATAAAAGCTCATGATAAAGTGTCATTTTGGATAGTACTCTGAAGCCTTCGATGACCTGGAAACGGAGGACTTATACCCAATATGCTGACAATGTCATCAGATTGAGCAACATAAATCAAACGATACATTCCTGGAAACCTTAAAGCGCTGTCGTTGAAAAAAATACGATCTACCAACGGACGGGGTTCTGTTGACGTTTCTATTTTTCCTGGAAATGAATGTTGTAACATGTAAATAATGGATTTATAAACCATATTGAACTTAATATGAATTTAATGTATTCAAATAATCAATACTTCGGTTGACGTATTCGTAAACTAAATATTCATCTAAACTGGAAAATCCTTCAGTAAATAGTCCAACCCAGTCACCATCTGAAGGCTTAAAATCTCCTAAAAGTGTGTAAGAAACTGAATTTTCTTCATCAATCAACCACTCAGTAAGAGCTTGAAATTCAACTCCATGGTCTTGGACATAAGATCTTATCTATGATATTATTACATTAGTTCTGTATAGTCTATTTAATTTATGTTTTAAAATTAAAAAGTATTTACTGCTATCTGGAATTCACCGCTGACAGGTTTGTGGTCAGACTGAGTGTAACTTGGATAACTTTTATAATGAAGTTGCTCAGCTTTTAATGTAATATTTTCATAAGCATCCTTATTTACTTTGTACAAAATTCGATCTGTCCATGATGGTCTGCGTCTATAAACATTCAATAAATATTGATTCTTGATTGTTTTTTAATTTAGTCATATTAAAAAGTGTATCAGTATTATATTTCCTTACTTGAGATCATAATTTTGGGATGCTAACTCAAATTTGTACGTAGGTGGGAATGTAACAAGATTTTCAACGAGTTCTGAAAAAGCTTCACCTTTTTCCATAACTTGTTTTAATTGATCCCTAGCAAATAACAAATCCAATTCATTCTTTTTTACTAAAGAATCTATTATTGTAGCAGTCAAATCTTCGCCTTGTAGTCGAAAATTCAAATCACCGATCCAGAATACATAACTGAAATTAATATTAATTGTTGAGTCGTCAAAAGGACAGCAATTATGATATGTTTGAAAAAACATACTCATGAAATAAGATATGTCGGGTTTCAGGTACTTTAAAGGTATGTTCTTTAAGAATTGTATTATAGTCAGCTATTCGATCAGATAGAAGATGATCATGAGGAGTTAAATGAGTGTTGACAATACAAATATTTATACCATAAATATTTAAGCGTACACTAACAGCTCCTTTATTGCCCTAGAAATTCATTGAAATATGTTTTTAAATGATAAAAATAGTTTTAATTAATTTCTTATTGAATAATAGTTCCTTACCCACATCCCGCCAAGGCCAGTTTTAGTATAACGAGCTTCAACCAATCTTAAATGTGTTAAATGTTTCCTGAGACAAAAGATGTTTAATACGAGGCCTTGAAGTCGTTGAGTACGTATTTTTACGTAATCATATTCTTTCAAGGCTTCTCTATAAACTTTGGTCCATGGATCTTCAAAGAACATGTTTAAAATCATGTTTTGAGGTTGAGATTTAACTTCTTGGAGGCTTCAATAAAATGTCAAGTATTTATTTTATGCAATTAAATATATATGCAAACTTTCAAAGACCAACTTACCCAATAACATAAAAATCCGGTAAAGAATTCTCATCACTCCACGGTAGATTCAACATATTTTGAGGATCTTGTTCTGGAGATGTAGTAGCAACATTATAAGTCACAAAATATAACCTGATGATGATATAAACACGTTGATATATTTTTAAATAAAAAAAGAAAAGAGTATTGAAACTAACCTCAATAGTTGGGCATTCATTTTTTTTGTTTTTTAAGTACTACTAGTAGAATGATAATACATTCAACTGATGAGAATATGAGTAGTTAAGGCTTCAATTTACAATGTTTAATCACTTTCATATTTTTATGATCTTTGAACTCTTTACAAAACCTCCAAAGCAGAAGAATTATTTATTAAAGTAACAGTCGCTGTGTCACCGTTGAATTTTTTATTTAGATCAGAAAGAAGAAAACACGCTCGCACTATTCCCATTTTTTTAATCATGCTCAAGTTTATAGTAAATAAATTATTCTAGGTTTCTGGGAGGTTGATGTGACGTTTCACCAATTAACTGACAGTTAAGAAGCGAACTTTCCTTTTCCCTCTCTACTTTCTTAATTGTTGTTCTTGTTTATCGATACTCAGCTGACGTCATTTTCCCGCGTATTTTAAAACTGAACCACCATTCTTCAATTTCATGTTGCGCTCTACTTCCTTTTGAATTTCTATCAATAACAATTTTTCGTTTAAGGTCCATTTACCTCATTGTGATGCATTAAAATTAATGGAAGATAGGTAGCAAAAAATAAACAAACAAGATTATTTACAAAATTTGCAGTATAAAATTGTTGATTTACATAAACATTCAATTTATCGCAAAAGCATTCATACAAAACATCATAATTCTATAAACTAAAAGCTTATATAACATTATTTAAAATTAATTATGGAATTATAGCTTAATAAATCATTCCTGGATGAGCTCTTTGAAAGAAAACATTAGGATTCGTTGATAAAGTAGTATAAAGATTTCCTGCATCTAATTCTGGTCCTTGAAGATACATTCCATGAGGTAGAACAAACGTATCCAAGGGTGTTTGTATGTCTACAATAAACAAATTTTATTAATTAAACTAAAAGAATGATAATTAAAATATTATAATCTTTATTCATCGTATGCATCAATTATTCATGATTCACCTAAATAATTTCATTGTAACTAAATTTTCTATTTAAATTATTAGAGATTATTATACTTTGTTTGAATAGATAATTTTACACATTTTGTTATGGAGATCTATTGTTTGATAATTAGTTAATAAATTCGAAGAGAGAACATCGCGTTCAATATTTAATTAATAATAGCTTTCCTGACATAATTACTAGGATTACACTTTACGGATACATTAGTGAAATGATAACAAATTACAGTGAATGCAAAAAAGCATTAAGTGTTTATTCACGCATCAGACCCTTCTCCCACAGACACGTGCATATATGTACATATGTACGTATTCATATCATCGAGTCACGCATTCTTTTTTTTATAACATCTCTAAACTCACTAGAAAGTAAAATGGTTAAACAAAAAGAGAAACCAAATAATGAAATAAACGGATGTTTTTTATCAAGGTTATTACAGAATTTAATATTACCTTCAGAATACGCCGGACTATTTCCATGTCTGCATGCACTGCATCCAGGTATTCCTGACGAGACCAAAGCCACGCGATCTGCGGTTTTTTACATTATTATTAGCAAGTTATATAATGATGACAAACAATTTTTACATATTAACTAATATTTTTTGCCACAAACCTGCACTCTGGTAGTGCATTTTTCTCTTCAAACTCGTTTCAGCAGGTTTAAAATGAAAAAATGACGGTGAGTATCCGCTTCCTGGCAATGAACTTAATCTATCATCATCATGATCTCTAATAACAACTGTTGTGCCTCCAGCTACCGCACTGGGAATACCTCCGGGTCCTTCACGTCCAAGAGCAGCCAATTGACGTCCTTTCGGTAAAAACATAGTAAGAAATACAATAAGAGCTGTTGAAAGAAGTCCATAGGCCAACCACGCTTCTCGATCATTTTCCACTGCAACTATCGAACCTATTGCACTAATCATCCAAATGGGCAATGTTAAACCTACTGCTAGACCAATAAATGCTGCTTCCCGATAATTATCACGAACTCCACGAGCTCGGACTGCCAGACATGTTACTGCTATTAATAAAACGCCTGGATATCTGCAACAAAAAATACTTCAAGTAAGTAAACAACTTTAAAAAAAATATTGTTAGCAAAGTAAAAAATTTTAATTACCCGAGTGAAGCTATGGTTTGTCCTAAGGGGGTTTTACAAAGTGTATATTGTTGAATAAATGGCGTGTTAGCCTCAATAACTCGACGAATGACGGCTGGTGATTCTCCATAAAACCACTGGCCCACAATTGCTACTTGAACGAGCACAGCGAATACAAGAACGAGAGCCTATGATTGATGATGTGTATAGTTATATATATCAGCCGAAACATTAGACCAGTTTCACTAACTAAGGAGGATCAATTGGTCTCACCTGATACGGTGCTGGAAGATAGACACCGCTATTTAGAGAAAGCAGAAAAACGCATTTGACGAGTAGTGCGGCAAATACAAGTGCGGCTGGAAGACCAACAAGCCTAAATGCTGCACAGGAAAGTGGATTAGGTGTCAGAGAAGCTGCTGCTGATAACCCAGCCAGTAAGAAAAGTCCAAGAAGAAGAGCCTGGCCAAGAAATAAATGTCTTCTGCTTGGTGCTGCTGCTCTTGCCTATAAAGAGTCGTTTAATTATAATTATCAACCGACCTACCAATTTAACGAATTTGCAATGATGAACATGAAATATTTTTAAAAATTGTGTAACAAATGAAAACATTTATGATAAGCTCTATTAATTCTACTCGCGCTAGTAACTAACGGTAACAAGATATAAGACGTGATTAACATAGTAACTTAAAGGTTAAAGTACTAAATACTATATGAGACCTTAAGAAGTACAAATATCTCGAAAGCTGCCATAAGAAGCATTGCTGCAGCACTTAAAGCTGCTAGTGGTAATGCCCATGATCGTTGCCGAAGTATTGTCTGATAGGGTGATACCACCGGATAACCTGGAATCTTGGATTCATCTAATGGATAATGTGGCGGCTGATAGATGGAAATAGTCCGATTTGGAGCCGGTACACTTATTACACTTGCTACACTAGCAATATTATTTTTGTCTGGATGTGATTCCGGTATGAGAAAAAATTCAGTTGACAACTCAGGCCGATTTGTTGTTGTTGTTCCGGTAGACACACCAGCGACCGTTGCAGTTATCATTATCGTCTCAAATGAAATACTTTTGCCAACAGTTGCAATAACAGCGTCATGAGCCCAAATCAGCTGTGCTGCTGTTGATAGGATAATTGGACTTACTCTCATGTCTTAACATAAATATAATTATCATGAACACTGATATCTTCATTTTTTTACTCGCATTTTCAAGATTTTACGAAAATCTCGTGATGATAATTGTGTTGAATTAAATTATCAAAATTTAAACTACATCGCTAATTAGCCACGTGAATATTTAAATGAGATATTAAATGTTTAACCGAAGCAACACGTAACATAACTGAGACAAACGTGAAGCTGCTATTATCAACCGCGAGCCAAGAGCATCAAAGGTGTACTGGAGAACATGTCTCTCTCACACTCGAGGAACTACGCTTGGTACAAAGCTTATCCGTTACGGCCTACAGGAGTCAAGACTGGACGCCACAGAGAGGTGAAGGAGGAGAAAAAGAAGTAGGGGTGGAGATATTTTCTGGTGCCAGAGAAGAGGCGCAAAGAGAAGAGAGAAGTTATCCAAGGAAGGTAGGACCCGCCCGGACCAGCTAAGACATTTACATATATACTACTCCCACCCTCAGTACAATAACCTCGAAAAAAAATATTGAGGATTCAAGTTTATTATCATTTTATACCCGTGGCTTTTTTCATTTCAATTTACCTTACAGAATATATACATATTTTTCAAATAAAAATTATAAAATTGTCTACAATTATTGACGTAAAAAATTAAATAAAAAAGGATTAAGAGAGATCTAAAAAAATATAAACAAAAACAATGTATTGTTCTTGAAGATCACGTGTTCTATAAATGCGTGGGCAACCGCTTTCTCTTGAATCAGCTATCCAGAATCGTCAATCATTGGGTTATACCCTAGTACAAAAGTTTGGTAAATACCTTTGATGTCTGGTTCATACCTAAGAATGCAAAGAAACAACCTACACATAAGGATACAAGTATAAGATGAAAAAAATACATGAGCACCGAAAGAGACAAGAGTGAGAAAAAAAATAATTTGAAACAAAAAAAAAAATGCAAACGAAAGTTTCAAGAATTCCAAAAGTCTACTTATGGTTTGAGGTTTCTCACTTAATTTTCAGATATTTGAAATAAAATTTATAATCTCTCAGAATATATCATTAAGTAGCTATTGATGTTTATCACCAATGAATTAAGTAGTATTAGTTTATCTGTCAATGATACATAGAAACGGGTGTTACTTATGGTTACATTGAAGAATTTGTGGAGACAGTATATATAAGACTAGTGGAGGTTCGAGCAACGACTCCGGATGTAACGGTGTCCACGAGGAAGAGCTCTGACACCCAAGAAATGACATCGCCACAGTCTCAAACCGGTCGGAATTCTCAGTGAAACACAGGAGTGTCCCGTCAAGAATATTCATTTGAAGTAATTAGAAAAAATTATAAAGTGACTATGATTTTTATATGATATATCATTGCGATAACTAACCACAGTATGTAAATCACGTAATGAAAGGATTTCTTGGATTAACAAAATTCTTTGTTCTTTTTTAAATGTAGTGTCATATCAGTTGAGAATATTATATTAGACATTTAGGACCCTTTGTAACAAGTCTTGAAATGAATCAACAGCAGAAACAAAAATCAAAGCCTAAGTTCTTCAACCGCAAACCACGTCTCAACTTGATTGGCTGGTTGTTGGACTATTTTATTTTTTTCGTCTGTTCTCTTCTCGCATTTCGGCCGAGGGCCTTACTTTCTTGAGTACTCTTTCGACCACTACACAAGCAAAGTAAAGCCAGCCACTTCATAGTGCGTACATGCCATCTGAAAATACTTGGTAGTAGACTATATGCATTCTCCACCTTTCTTTCTGTCTCACTTCTTCCCATAAACCGGACAAGGACCTACAAGTTTCTTTTCTTCTCCTCCTTCGCAATATTTATTATACGTTGTCGATGAATATTCGTGCTTGCAACTCCTTTTAGCTGTTTCTCAAAGTATGAACATGTTTAAAACAATAACTTGATGAATATTTCATTTTATTCTTTATAATCTTTATTAACTACCGACATTCCTTTAAAAAGTAAGATGATTCATCAAATTCTCTCATTAAAAATTTCATTCTAAATTATTTATCAAATATCAACGAGTTTCTTTGGATAATTCTTCGAATTATATCTATGATGGAGTTTTTTTATGTAATAATTACTATCATTAGAAATAATATTTTTTTAGTTGTTTCTCTTTGACAATAAAGTTTAATTATAATTGATAACCATTTTACAACATTGATGATATCAATTGTAAATTTATTATATTTTTAATAGATATTACTATTCCATACGAAATAAAAATTATATTTATTCATATTTAAAGAAGGGTTTTTAAGTATTTTTGTTAATATTAAAACTTGGAGTTGGAAAATAGTCAAGAATTTACTAAAAAAAAATTAAAACCATTTTTTTAATATACAAATTATTTATTTTAATCAATTACACATCAATTTACTAAACTCTTTCACGGTTTTTTAGATGGATGATTAAGTTATATATTTATCTAATAAAGCTTTAAATAGCCACAAACACCAGCCTTTTTTCTGCAGTATTTTTATGTGATGTAACACCTATTTATTTCTAAAGAGATCCTGAAACTGAGTAATTGTACAAAACAAATTTTCCGAAGGATGTTTTTGTGAAAGTTTAATGAAGCAGTTCAACGAAAACGATAAAACGGTGCTAGATGGGATTTATGATCCGCTTCAACTCATGTCATCTGCTTTAGGCAGCTAGATGATCCGGAAAACAAAGCATCTGGTACGTTCTCAATTTTTTTTATTACCTTTTAATTTTATACCAAGCATCAAGATTTTTCTTTAACCTTTCGGTCGAGTTAAGATAATAAAACTATTGAAAAAAATTATAATAGTATGATACTACAAAAATTTTAAATGGTTTCGATAAAGATAGTTAAAATAAATAAAATCCTAAAGACGCTTTTCTAAAGAAGCATTCACTTATTAATTGGGAAATTATAAAGATCAAGAAAAAGATGTCTTGGATTTGGTGTGAAGTTTGAATTAAGGTTTGGTTATACTATACAGTTAATTGGTATAAATTGTTATATAAAAATCTGTACTATAAAAACTTAACTACAGTAAAAACTTTTTTGAATATTTATTTTTGCAAATGACACTGCAGTCAATTTTTGTTTATCATCTTTTTACTTTCTTGTACGACTCATGTTCTTCTCTAAAATATGATTATTTCTTTTTGTATTATATAATATACATAAAATATTCAATAATAAATGTCAGACTCGCCACATAAAAATATAAATAATAAATCTGTAGTAATAATCAATCTAATGCACCTACCCAGTTAATCTCTTTTGGAATTCTTTCTCGCTACGCAAAGTAAAAATTTAGCATGTTACAAATATTATCAATATTAACTATGAGCAATTTGTACAAGGACATTTACGAATTATAATTAAAATATTAATCTTTTCATAGTCTAAATAGATATTAATATCATATCAATGTAATCAAAAGTAACAGTAAATTTGACGGATGATTTGCTTTTTCCTTATTTTACTTAAAAAAGAACATAAATATCTGTGTATTGTTGTAAATGCAATAGTGGAAAAAACTCCAGAGATATTTCATTGTTGACATGAAATTAATATCATTTGTATTATTTTTCGCTTTTTTCTGTTTTTTATCATGAGATTAAACCATGCAATTATATATACTGGTAATAAAAATTATTACCTGTAACTTGTCATTAATTTAGAAATAAACAATTAATTTCACCTATTTATCTTCTAGTTCTGTGTGCTGCACAATTTCAAAATCTTTTCCTGTATTAGATTTTTCACTTTCTGAACCATCTTCACCACTTCCATCTTCTTCAGTTCTTGTTTCAACATTTCGCTTATCATTTTCAACATTATTTTTATTTTTTTCATTATTTTTTTCATCATCCCTTCGAAAAAAATTTTTGGAGTCATTATGCCGTTGATAAGTTTATCATTAATTTATTAATAAAAAAATATAAAAAATTACCTTTGAGATATTAATGGTTCTTCACAGTCAGAGTCTTTGTCTTTCTTGCGTTTCTTTTTCTTGTTTTTCTTTTCACATCCAGGACCGTAGTATTCATACTAAAAATTGAAAATGATATATGGATGAGTATTTTTTATCAACTAGACATGAAAAATGAATAAAAATAAAGATAAATTACTTGGTATAATGGCCAGAAAGAAGCAAAGAAACCAACATCTTCAGCAAGATTTGGTAATAACCAGAAGTGATGTCTGCCAAGTGTGAGCACCCATATGAGACAAAATACAATGATTCGTATGATAGCTAAAGCTAAAATAAATACAAAGAAACCAGCAGCTGCTATACTGAGGTAATAAACACTTTGACGAATTGTTGAGGGCCATAGAGGGAAGAGACAAAGTCCTATTGCTCCAAGGACTACCAAGGTACCGAAGAACCAATAATAAACGGGAATAGGTTCATAAATCCATACATATGCATCATTGCAATCTGAGAAATATTGCTCCATGTGCATTTCCAATCGTACTTTTGGTTTCTTTTTCGGCTCTCTGTCTTTATTTTCATCTTGTTCTTTTTCTTTACCATCATTATCTGTATTCTCTTTTTCTGTTACTTTTTTCTCTTCTTTTGAACAGTCTTTTCCCTTTTTTTTGGATCCACGAAGTTTGTTAAGTTCTTCTTCTGTCACAATAATCTTTTTTGCACGATGAAAAAATTTATGTCTTAACATAGTATCCAAAAATTTGACAACTTGCTCTCTTGTCTCAAATATTGTTTTGTTCCATGGAGAATTTTCCAATAATGCTCCAACGGCACGTGATCCAGTAAAGTATTCGACATTATGGCTGATGAACTTTGTTTTTTTTGATGGTACATTATCTCGAATCCATTTAGCGACAGCATATTCTTCTTTTGATGGTTTATCTAATTCTGCTTTGTCAGGTAAATTCTGAAAGATAAATGATGAATGTACACTTTTCATTTACTTTCATTTATCATCTTAGTGAACAAGTTTTACTTGTGACAATAAAAAGTAGTAATGTTTAATTTAAAATCAAAAATCTAATCTACTATTTGACTTGTAATTTTTATGTATTTGAAAACTATAAATAAAACTTTTTTTGCAAGTGTATCATTATCATTATCAGAATATTGTCTTTAAGCAACTGAAATATAGAATATTCAAATTAAAAATTAATAGTTAATAAAAAAAACAACAAATAATTCAATGAAAGATTTATTAAGAAAAAATATTGACGACGTCATTCTGTTGGTTATCATAGCACAGTTAACCCATCAACCTATTATGCATTCACCGTTATGTACATGGCTTTACATAGTGATCACACATTTTAGCCATTTTTACATAAAAATTAAAACATAAGAATGAATATAATAAAACTAATCAAACTATTTGAATGGAGTGTTAAACAATAATGATAAACAATATGCTTACATCTTTTCTCTTTTTATTTTTTCTACGCTCAGCCATATTGTGAATTATTGTCGAACGTTGTGTGATGTGTTTCCAGTACTATTCGTGTTGAACATATTTTTACAGGCGTCGTGTTTATATGGAAAGATGACACACAAAAAGTGGGGTTATATTTGCCTACACCGCGATTACTAAATTATCGACTAAGTATCGGTAAAAGTGTCTATGAATCGGTAAATTACCTTGTAGTGAGAATTTAAATTAAAAACATACATTGAACACACATGTAAAATTCTAACCTTAATAAGCATGTGTATGTAGTGTTGCGAATTATATTTGACTCGGTCAAAATTTTCGTGTAAGAAGAGATATTTTAACTCTTGTATTTAACAAAAAAATTTGTTCACCAATTCAACATAACACGTATATTATTAACGAGAATATTATTGTTCTAAAATTGTGGATATCTAATCAATTAAAATATTATTACTGGAAGACGTATTAAAGTGACCTTGATCACACGCATTATATATCCAAAAGTTAGTCGTTTGTCTCAATTATAACGTATTGCGTTAGATGTAATCAGTTGCAAAGTATTTAGAAATAAATAATAATGGCTGGTATTTTCGACATTGAACTCCATGACGGGGACAATGTCGATCAAGATGAATCTGAAGATGATATTGTTGAAGCTGAGGTACCAGATTGTTCTCATTTTTTTAGTGTGTTGTGATAATTATATGAAATAACTAACTAATTATCACTTGTTGTTATCAATTTTAGGCTGACTATGATCCAAATCCAAACGTTAGTGAACTTTTGGAGTAAGTATTTCGTTGATAAGAAAATATATGTTACATATACTAAGATTTATTACTTTATTTACCAGGTCAGATAACGTGGAGAGAGTTCAGTTGTCAGAACAAACAGTAAATCCTGGACAGGAAAAGGTTGGTCCTAAAGATTTTGAACTTTGTAAGATTTTAGGTGAAGGTGGTTATGGTAAAGTCTTTCAAGTACGCAAAGTAAGTGGCAAGGATAAGGGAAGCATTTTCGCTATGAAAGTATTACGTAAAGCTACGATAATTCGTAATCAAAAAGACACCGCTCATACCAAAGCTGAAAGAAACATTCTGGAAGCTGTAAAACATCCATTTATTGTTAACTTAATTTACGCTTTCCAAACAGGTGGAAAACTGTATCTTATTCTCGAATATTTATGTGGTGGAGAACTTTTTACCTATTTAGACCGTGAAGGAATCTTTCTAGAGGATACTACTTGCTTTTATTTATCAGAAATTATTCTTGCTCTTCAACATTTACACAAACTAGGTATAATCTATCGCGATTTAAAACCGGAAAATATTCTTCTTGACCGTGAGGGTCATGTAAAATTAACAGACTTTGGATTATGCAAAGAACACATACAGGAAGGAACTGTGACTCACACTTTTTGCGGTACTATTGAGTACATGGCTCCTGAGATTCTTACCAGAAGCGGACATGGTAAAGCAGTAGATTGGTGGAGTCTTGGTGCTTTAATGTATGATATGCTCACCGGAACACCACCGTTTACTGCCAATAATCGTAAAGAAACAATTGAAAAAATTCTGAAAGGAAAACTTTCCTTACCACCTTATCTGACTCCGGATGCTAGAGAATTAATCCGAAAATTACTAAAACGTCAAGTTGCTCAAAGGTTGGGATCAGGCCCAGACGATGCTGAAGAAATAATAAATCATAATTTTTTCAAACATATTAACTGGCAAGATGTAATATCTCGCAAGTTGGAACCACCTTTTAAACCATCATTGAAAAGTGCTGATGATACTTCACAATTTGACGAACAGTTTACTGCAACCGTACCGGTTGATTCACCAGTTGAAAGTACCCTCAGTGAATCAGCAAATCTGATATTTCAGGTAAAATGAAAATCTATTAATCATCAATAACTAAATGATATAAAAATATATTTTTATGTTTATAATTAAAATTAATTACAGGGATTCACTTATGTTGCACCAAGTGTGTTAGAAGGAATGTATAGTCAATCAAAGGTTCCTAACTCTCGTAGTCCGCGACGTAGTTATTTGGGTTCAAGTCATGGGAGAGGTTTTGCTCCGAGAACTCCAGAAATAAATAATCGATCGCATTTCTCAGCTTCTCAAAGGTAATAATGAGTAATGTAGTATCTGACGTAATGATTATTGATCAACATAAATTATCATATATGAATTAATAGGTTTCAACCATTGACGCGTAATAGTCTCGAAGATACCGAAATGATGGATGTAGCTCAACTTTCAGAACATTTATAGTTGGTTCAAATACACCAAAAATAACTATAAAATTCTTCTCTGTAAGTTCAGAAATTGCTATATTTTTTTTTTAGCTAAATCAACGAATTATCAAGAAATTGATAGAAAAAAACAATAAAAAATTTGCATTCACTGCCGCGTGATTTTTTGTCGAGGTTTATTGAATCTAAAAAATCTTGTTATTTCATATTTTTATTTACAAGAAGAGGAAGTAATCCAGTTTTTTAGTTAATTTCTTTTATTAAAGAATTAGTTTGAATAAAGAATATAAAGTAACCGTAAATATTACGTCGTTTTTGTTTGTTTTTCATGTAAAAAAATTTAAAAAAGGAGTTGTAACAGTGCAATTATCAGAAGAAATTGCATGTATTTGTTACATATATTCATTGAAAAATTTTATAATTTTTTTAATTAACAATAATTTGAAAATTATAAAAAGTCATTTGAATTATTTGTAAAATCTGTAGGATAATTACGTTTGCAAACTGCCCACGTGTTCACTGAAAATAAAAAAATAGTTGATCAATCGATATCTTTTACATAGATACGAAGAATTGATAATAAAAATAGAAAATATATAGATTTGCAAATATAAAAGAATTTTACAGTTGCAACATCTAGTTGTTTATTGCAACTCCTCCAATACATTCACATTAGATACAAACAAAACTGACTGGAAATAGAATTGAAACGTTCACTAACGAACTATAATGCGATTATCATGAAAAATTAGTATTTATAAAACTACTAAATAATACACTGAATTTTTATTCAATTTATGACGCATGTAAATTGAAAATGTGCCTGTTGAGCAATTATTATCAATCCATAATTCAATGATATATGTTGAAATATATCAATCAATTTTTTATTTATTTGTAAAATGAAAAAATGTAAAACTATTTTGTTTAAAAATTATTTTAATTTGCAATTAATTTTTTCACATATCTTGTATAGATACACGACAGAATCATAATTTAAAAAAATTCAATTTGTTGGTTGAATCAAAGAAAAAAGCTGCATCTTCAGTAATTTTTTTTGTCTTGTAGTCAAACATACTATAACAATTACAATAAATGTATTATCTGTATTGTAAATAGAAAATTCAATATTTCTAATAATAATAATATAAACTATAAAGTTTTATTTTATATCACTTATTCAGAAGACAAAAACAATTACTAAATTATTTCTATTGTGTGATCTGCTACATAATTATCACTAATTGTCACTTGTAGACTTTTTATTATACATGTAAATACATTTTCAAATTGGTGGAATATAATAAAATAATTAAAAAAAAATTACAATTGATTCTATGTATAAATTTTATGAAATATTGCATTAATCATTATGAGAATTCGTAAAAATTTTGTACCAAGTTTTAAAATGTTCTACAGCCCACAATTCATTTCATTTTATTTGATTAATTAATAGTTTTAAAATAAAATATAGAAACAGTAATTGTTAAGGGGTCGATCAACATTTTAGCCTTAGTGAGTATTGAATAACAAGGAAATAATATATATCAACTCATAATGTAATTGAAGATGTTATATAAATTACATAGTATTAGTTAATTAACAAAAGGCTATCATAATCTTGTCTTTAAATTAATTTCATTTTAATTAAATTAGATTTTTCAGGATGTACAAATACATAAACAACGATGATTTATAGAATACTATAATCAGAAATTAATAAATAATTGAAATATAATTGTTAAGTTGAATCTATAATATATATAAATATATATATTTACATAACTTCATTAACTACTCGAAATACATATTCTATTGTAAAGTCATTTTTTAGAATACTAAATACTAGCATCGCACTGATAAAAATTTCCCATGATTATTAAAATAATAACAATTAACTATCTTTTGAAAAATTCCTCAAAAAGGATGAAAAAGATATATTATGTATAAGTTTGTATAAATAACGTTCAATGATTTCGATGTCGTTTAATATCATGCTTGTTTCTTCTGTCACTGTCTAATTCATCTGATCTTCGTTTTCGATTATAATGGCCATGATCTCGATAAAATTCAGTCTTTTCTCGAGTACTGTCTTTATCATAATACCTATCATCTTTATTTCTACGTGCTGATGATTTTTTATCATCTTTCTTAAATTTTTTACTTTCTTCTTTATGTTTTGGTTTTTCTTTATACCGTTCTCTTTCATATGATTTAGAACTTGAAGACGAACTGGAATCTCTACTTCGTTTTGACTTTTTTTTCTTTCGTCGCTTCTTCTCTTTCTCTGAACTTGATGACTTTTCAGATTCACTATCACTGCTTTGACTACTACTACTGCTACTACTACTGCTACTTTCATCACTGCTGCTGGAAGAATTTGAATATTTTTTTGATTTCTTTTTCTTCTCTTTTCTCTTTTTACGCTTTTTGGCTTCTTTTTTGGCCTTTTTACGTTCCATTTTTTCTAACTTCCTAAAAAATATTTCATTATTATTTATCATGTTATATTTATTCTACATACCATATTTAAAATCAACATACTTTAAAAGTTTCTTTTTTTCCTTCTTTGATAAAGAATTAAAAAATGCTTCTTCTGAAAACTCTTCGTCACCTGAAACCATCTCATCTTCATGCTGAGGGATTTGAATGTGTTGTTGAGCAGTTAACGCTGACCTTTAAGTAAACGAAATCATTTTTATATTACTTCTATCATAAATGCCTTATAATAAAATTTAATGATTACTATTTCTTTAAAACTTACTTTTTTAATTCTAAACCATCATCACGCATTTGTTGAACAAGGGTCATCGCATCAGAAGTATCCTTAGTTGCTTCATTATTTGACATTACAACACTCATTGCTTGACTATACAATGGACATTCTTTATCTGTAATATATTTTTACATAAGTTATTAACTTAAATTCATAAGTTTACTTCCATTTTGAAGCTGATATAACAATAAATACCTGTATTTATATGACCCCATTTATGACACTTGATACATCGAACATTTCTCACTTGAATTCCAAAAGGCTGATCTCTAATTTCGCTGTCTCCTTTACAATAACTTTCTCGGGGTGCATTGTACTTTCTTTGCCATTCGAACTTATATTCTGGTTCGTTGTCTTCTTTTTCTCGTTCTTTTTTCGCACCAGGGGGTGGTTCATACATAAAATTTACACTTAATTTATCTTTACTTTCTTTGCTCAGTAATGCCCTGTAAATTATTTTCAATTATTTATCAGTATTCCGCTATTTAGTTAAAGATCAATAATCTTTAACATAACCTCAAACTTACTTGTTATTGTGAAGATCTTGCTCTTTTTCGTATTGTACTCTCAGTTCTTCTTGTTTTTTCTTATATGCGTCTGCTTGTTGTTCTGCCATCCATACCTATTAAAAAATTATAAATGTTATTAAAAATTAATAAAAAAAATTTCATTTGAAATCTTAAAAAAAGTTATAAAAATATTAAATTTTTAAGTACTTACTCGTTTTAAATTGTCTCGAGATGCTGGATGGAAAAATTTTTTACACATATAATTATTAAATCCTTTCCCCATTTTTAATTATTATCGCATAACTAACAATGTTATGAAAGAGAAATATTAATGATCATGCATGTCAACAATTGCAAGGCATAAACGAAATATAGCCATAAAACTTTTCATGTATAATAAGTGAATTTGAGAGAAAAAAATAAGTCATTTCCGGTTAAGCTTTCTTTTTTGTTGTTAAAAATTAAAAAAACATGATTTTTATAATAAACTAGTAATTAATAAATAAAAATTACTATTTTTTACTTATATGCATGCATAGAATTAATTAAATAATGCTATATTTATATTTTATTAGTTGTAAAAAAAACTTTGAGTTGACTTCCTTTGAAATTTTTTTAAAATTCGCGCAGTGGAAATTTTAAAGTGGCACCATCAAGCGGATATTATTATAATTAACAAACATATATCGAACTCCTCCCCCTTCTTCATGCGGCAATTACGACTGTTCAATTGTACCCCAGGACAGAGGTCACTAGCCCTGAGTGCATCGGAGTTTTGCCGACGAAAGTAGCGGTATCGTCGCTGACCAGTCGCGATTACAATTATCGTTGTCTAGGCAGTGTCACACAATATTTAAATGATTAAAGTTCCATTAAAAAAAGCGCAATAATTTATTCAGTGGATGGGGAAGTTTAATTGAGATACATGAAATCAAAGTGTTGCGAAAATCTTCGAAAGTCTTACATCTCCTTAGAATCATCTCCGGTTCGTCTGTCTCCTTCTTTTTCTTTTGCTTCCATTTTCCTTTTGCTAATTCATCATTCATATTTTATTTTAATTTCTTTTTTATTCTTTGTAGATGTTAATAGTTAACATTTAACAAAATAGAAAGGTTATGTTGACGCAGCAGGACGCAAAAGCTTAAGATAGAAACAGTTTTCAAAGTGTCATTGACCGAATAATGGAATAATTATTTTAATTCATCATAAAAAATGTTTTGTTTGATAAAGAAATCATTCAAGATATTTAATACATAATTACAGTATCAATATAAAGTTATTGAAGTGATGAAGTGAAATACGAATACAATGTTCGTATGTTAAATTATTAAAGAAATCAGCAATTTTAAGATGATCAATAAATATATTAAATGAATTTCAATGGATTTTATTGCTCTTAAACGGTTGTCAATGTGTGAATGTATGTCACAATATCCGTGATTACTTAATGAGACAACAAGTGAAAGTTTTTTGAGATTTAAAAAAAAAATCTGTGATCTACAGTGTTTATGAGCGTAAAAATAATAAAACGCCTTGCAAATGATTTATCAATTACAATTGTTAAGTATGTTCAATTTTGAAGAGTGATAAATTATTCTGATTCAGTTCTTGTGAACATTTTATACAATTGTTCCAAGTTGGAAAACTTTCTGGTTAATGTCATTGAAAAAGAAAAACCGAGTAAAAACAATACCTAACCTATTGGACAATTTATAAGAGGAATAAGCGGAGGGAAAGAGGATGTTGCAGACGTGGACGAATTATCGGCAGAGTTGGCATCTATAGAACAGCCGATAAACTTAAAAACTCAGCTGGGAAGTTTTCTGGAGAAATATATTGTAGTTGTGTATCACTCGAGTTATTTGTATCACGTGTGGGACTTACCGAACTTAGATCTAGAAGACTGTGAAATGTAACCAAAGATTATAAGGGATGTCAGAAAATCCGATAATCAGCAATCCCGAAGAGGGTGAGAACTTTTCTCTCACCTCTGCATCACCAACAGTTCTTCCGAATAAAAGCCCAAATGTTGAACGATGTCGTAGTACTGACAAAAAACTTGAGCAAAATTGTAAAGATTCTTCTGAGTTTTCAAAAAATGTCCAGAAAGATGCAAATTTATTAACACCTCGAAGGTCTTCTCAGGAGTTTGATGAAATAAATGATTCAACAACTTTGGAAGACTCAAATACTCCTCGAGCATCTCCATGTTGTCGAAGAAAATCTGGACAAGAAGAGATATTGGATAAAATCCTTAATACTGTACCATCCGAAGTAAAACTTGACGATGAAAAAATTTCGCCTAAAAGTCCTGAAGATACTTCGATAATAATCAATGAAAAATGTTTAGAGCAAGAACAAACATCCTCAATAATTTCTGATAATAGAAGTGAAGTTGATGATTCTGAAGTTGGTATCGTTGGTCCGGCAACAGCTGCTGAAAATGTCTTGAATGATGAAGAACTTTTAGACCCATCAAAGGATGAAATAAGAGACAACCCAGTAACAGAATGGATCGAACGTTCTTCACTTCATAAATCTAAAAATATTCTAAAGGATATTTCTATCCAGCAACAGCAATCTACGCGGAAGTCTCAAAGAATCGTGACAAGTATCATAAAACGGAGTATAAAATGGTGAGTATTTTATTAAAAATCTCAATTTTGCTTCTTGCATTTTCAGAGATATTTACGCGGGCAAAGCGCCGTAGGCGGTAGTGTTCGTCCTCGACAGTAAACGATGTTCCCTTAGTATCTGGATGATGATGTGAGGGGGAGCAAAAGAGAGAAGGAATGAGAAAGAGAAGGAGAAAAGATATAGACGACATAGAAGGGATAATCCGAACGGTACCATAGAAACGGTACCGCGTAGGCCAGAGTCACAGGGTTGGTTGTTACGCACCACATCCACTATGTGTACCACTGAAAGATTGAGAGAGATGGAGATATTGGAAACTGAGGGAGAGTGTAATCTGGCTTCAACAACTACCACTAACCGCCATGGTTGGCAACTCTGATGCCGGTTGCCTTTCCTTTTTTCCCCCCGTTGGACTCTCGAATTTCTCGAAGCAAAGAGTGTGGAGATGAGGGGAGACCCTTTGTCCTAAACTGAACAAAACTAAGAACAAGCCACGCCAGATGTGCCTTCATCTTTTACTTTTCTAAAACGTCTTCTTATAGCATAGAAGATATATTCTTAATTGGTTTTCAACTTGTTCTACAATTAGTTTCTTCTTAGAATTATCAAAATCCTATTAATTTTAAAGATTGCATCTAGAAAAATCAATGGTTAGTTAGTAAATTCATGTAGTTTTCATATTGCCAGCAAACTGTACAGTTAGGTTCACATTATAAAGGTCGCAGTTTTGGTACCTGGAAACCGGCCGGGGAACATGTGTTAGACATGAATGAAAGGGACTACATTAAAGAAGAAAGTGAAAAAGCAGTAAAGATAAACGATAAAGACACTGTAGAATATAAAATTTTTAATTGTGAAACAATATCCTAAATATCTAGTATACCCGTATTTCTCCTGTTCTCCAAACATTTCCTCTCTACATCCAGTCGTTCATTTACTCAAACCTGGTAGAAAGGGTGCGAGAGAGACATAAAACGGGAGTAAGCAGGGGTGGCTTGGACTCTTGGGTTCGGATCGTGTCGGGTATTGATCCTAGCGAACGCAGTGGGGTAGCCCGGACCCCACCTCAAGGATGACGGGAGGCTCCCCTTCTTTCTCACTTCTTCCCTTGTATATTTGTCTCGCTTTTACATTCACGTGACCAGATAATGCTAAGAGAGACCAAACAATATATTAGAGGGATAGATCCGATGCCACGTGAAGCACGTATACGGGGTGGTTGCCCTTCTGAAGGGTAGAAACGTGTGTGCACCAGAGAAATATCTAAAAGACTCAGAAGAGAAATATTTACTTTTTTCATCATTTATTTTTCTACAACTAATGAATAAAATAAAATGCCAATATTGCAAATTAATATAAGAGCAATATTTTTTAGTAAAAACCAATAGCCTATGATATGTGCAACAGATGCCCTTCACTTGTATTGCAGGTTTGTCCATCTGCAAGCACGTTCAAGGTCATAAAGTTTGTCTAACTTGATTCTTCTCTAATACTATCAGCTCGAGGATTGTTTATGGGGGATGGCCGAACCCCCTGAAGGATCCTGACACTTGCAACTATGCCACGTCAACCTCCATCTCACTCTCACTCTCTTTTTTCCCCCCTTCCTTGCACTTCCTCCTCCCGTAACTCTGTGACGCCCTTCGCAAAGCTCGCACCACCATTGGTTCACCGATTCATGGTATCTCGCGCGAATACACGAGGCGAACACGCAGCTGCTACCACTGTCGTCGTCCTCGCCTTCTCGTGCATTCCCTTGTTGACTAGTTTCTCTTTATTTATCTGGACCTGGAGAGTTTTGTCTTCAGCTCTCCAAGTGTATCATCGATTATATCTTAGTTTGTGCCATTCTAATCTCTGGATAACCAGATTAATTATTTTACTGGTTTCTGTATACCACATCCTGGAAGATTTTATTCAATTATACTATTCATCTATATATACAGAGATATATATGTGTATATACATATCTATTAATAAGGAGATAATCAAAGATAATCAATAGTGTCAGAAAAAATCAAGCCAACATTAAAAGCATTTCTTTCGGACGTTCTTCCCCCTCTTCAACTTCAGTAGTAGACTCAAGTGTCGTGTCCTTCCTTCGAAGCAGGGCGGTACCGATGCCCTTTCGACCTCTCGCGGTCGCAGAACGTACGAGTGTTTCCGTCTGTCGCGCGCTTCTCACTCATCCGCGGGATCTCGACTAGACGCTAGGTGTTTGTGTACTACCTCCTGTAACCATCATCCAGTGAATAAAATAATGATTATCATTATAAATAAGTGTAATTATTAAACAAAAAAAAACAAGATTCTTGTTGTGTTTAACCTTGTGACAAAGATCTTTTAAGTTATGACGCATAAATAAAATATTTTTTTATCAAGTGTCAGGATGTATAAACAGTGAATTTCAAGGATAAAAACAACATATGAACATAGCACCGGTTATTATGATGTGCTACCAAAAGTGATTTTGATGCTTTCTATAAAGATGGCGTAGTGAATGAAAAAAAAAATGAAAACAATATCAAAATAAAAAATTCGTTCATAGATGTCAGATGACTTTTTATATTTTCATAACTTGAATATATTGTGTTAGAAATAAATACCAAAATGCCACAGTGTGCAGTAGCAACATGTCGCAATAGTCATCGACGTACTCGTGGACGTCGTATTCGTTACCATCGATTCCCTCAGATACCGGAAGTGCGTTCGAGATGGGTGCGCGCGTGCGGTCGGACTCCCCTCTCCAATGGCGACATACCCTTCAACATTCAGACAGCGCGCATCTGTTCTCTTCATTTCACCAATGACTCATATGAGAAGGATATGGAGCATCTAGTGCTTGGGCTTCCGGTGCGCAGTAGACTGCGTCGAGGAGCAGTACCAACAATCGGCGTCCCTGTCAATGTCCAACCGGTAACCAAGATGCTGGTGGAGGATGCCAAGAGATCTATTCTCAAGGTCGCGCATGCTAAGAGTACAGCTAGCAAGAAGAATGTAGATCGAGGTGATGCTGTTGATAAAGTTTATTATCGAAACCATCATTCTGTAAATTCAAAAGCTAATAATCGTAAAAATGAAGAGGATAATAATGAAAAATTGAGTGATTATGCTGATGAGATGGAAAAAATGGTTGATCAAAAGATGACGGGAATTGATGTTCTACTAGCTCTTGGATTGAAACCTGCATCTCGGTGAGTCTCTCTCGGCATCACATGAAGGAGAACGGAACTCACGACCTTGAGGTGTTACGCGTATAACAATTAGGTCGAGGTTTTCCTCTGAATTGCGCGATAGGTGATAAGACGTCTAAAGAATCTCTCTACAAAACCTTGAGGATTATTTATTTATAAGAATAAATTTTTTTCTTCACTTTTTATTTTATATCAATGGAATAATAGTACCATATATTTCTGAAGGATAATAATATAATAATATGAATTTTTCGTGACCTATTCTACAGCTAAGTTTTGCTGATGATCACTCGTAACTTGCTTTCGTCTTTGACCTCCTCCTTCTCTTACTGCTGTTCTACCAGTACAGCTAGTTGCTCTACTACTACCTCCTTTCCCTTCACTCCTCTTTTAACCGATGCAGCAACGATGGCGTAGAGCTCTAGTCGCGATTAGACCTGGCCACTGCGCGTTTGTCACTTTTTCCCTTTCACTTTCTTGCACTTCTTTTTTCTACAACACTCCTAAATTACGGTTTATCAATCATCATTAGTTTCATATCACACCTTTTCGTATGGTTGTTATAGTAATTTTTTATTGTAAGTATTATAAACAATTAACTTTTTTATTCATTAATTTTATTTTTGACGTCATAACGAAAGGGAAGTTTTCCGGGGTGAAATATAGCAACGGGAGAAGATGACACCAAAACGGCGGGAGTGCGGCGAACGACACCAATGAGTGCAACGAACTTTCTAGTTGGCGGCGCTGTTAAGCTCTGTAGCGTTTCTCTTTCTTCATGGTTTTATCGCCGATCATTCTGTCTTGTACATTTTGCAAGAGCGCACACTCAAAGATAGTCTCCACACACGTAAACTGATGTCAGTGATAGAAACAGGGAGCCTACTCTTTCAACAGAATGCGTTAACCCCACGCGGTCACCTTCTATTCTAGAGCATCAACGATGCTTCAGGGGCGACGGTTACCTCTTAAGCTCTTTCTCTCTCTTATTCTCTCCCTTGCCTCTTTTATCTGACCCTTCTCCCCATCTTTTAACGTCTGAATAAACGATAGTCCAGTCGAATAGTTTAGTACTATAGATCATTTTACTATCGTTATTATGATTATTATAATTCTTAGTTGAATTATTTTTCTTCTTTCATTTTTAGTTTAAATAAAATGCATGCCATGGACTGTGGTACCACAACACCTGGAAATGGTAAAGATATGGACAAAAAAAAAGACGATGCTGGAGATTCACCAAAGGTACCACAAAATCGCCAAAATGGAGCTGCGTTGCCAGAAGAAACTGCAACCGCGACTTCAGCCACAACAGGAGGTAGGGTTAAAATTGAAAGACTTGCTGCTGGTGGACCAGTGAAAAAAGAAAACCACTCAGATGATGATGAGGATTACATTGAGGTTAAAAAGAAATCAAGAACAGCGGGAAAAGAAGCAAGAAAAAGACGCTCTGTTGAAGAGACATTTTCAACTAACGGAAATCCCAAAAGAACATGCTTTGAACAGAGAGAAAGGTTCATTGATTCTCTTGTTGGCTGTGAAAGAATCAGCGCTGAAGAGCTAGCAACTCGAGCTGAAGAATTACGTGCTGAAGTTCAGGTTATTTTTTTTAATATTTATATCATTTAATAATTTATAATATTTATTAATTGTATAAATAAATTAATAAAATGATATTTTGTTAGGCTTTAGATGAGCTTGCGAGAGCCAAAGAAATGGAGTGGAATGAAATTCTAAGTATGAGAAAACTTAAAGAAGAGGCTTATTTAAGAGTAGAACGTAAAAGACAAGTTATGGGCTTCCTAGAGAGTAATAATGGACAAATGTCTGATAGTTTACCTCCAGCAAGTCTTTCTTTGGTTCCTGAATGGGAGGAATCAAGACAAGATATGAGCCAAGATCGTACTCGAAATACTCAAGAATCTGCAAATAATCCTGAAAATATTCACGAAGAGAGAATGACTACAAGATCGCGCTTAGAAGTATTAAGAGAAAATTTACATGCCACTGAAGACGATACTGTTTCTATTGTCACTAAAAGTGATAATGAAATAGCCAATCTTAGCCAAAAATCACAGAGAAGTACATCAGGTTCATCCTCAAAGCCTGGAGGTGAAAGTGGAAGGAAGCTAAGACGATCGATAGAACAACATTTAGATAACCGACAAATTGGAGAAGGTAGACAGGGCCCTATTGTTGATGTTAAATCAATTATTGCTGATCATCGTCTCAGACATCCTGAAACGGTACCTAGAAGAGGTCGTAGAATGAGAAATTCTGTCAATGTTCATCTTGGGACTGGTGGTGCAATGGTAGAAACAGGTCATGGTGATTCAAGACCATCAAGTACTGATTCTTGTAAAAGTAATTCAAACATTGGTGATCAAAATCCTATGAGCTTTAAGGATGTTCTTGTTCAATTTGCAAAACTTAGTCAGCAACAAGGTGAACCTATGAAAACTCCTCAAAATTATCCTGATGTAACATTACATCCTGTCGCACCATCCGCAGTTTCTATAAATTCTAATGCCTCTTCTCAACAAACGGGATCTCTTCTTCATGGTATACTGACTAAAAATCAATCTCCACGACCTACTACATTTTCGCCAACTCTTGCCAGGCTTTTAACTGCACCTGAAAGAGAAAGGAACTCTTCATCATCAACAACTATTGGTCAACAAGGATCTCAATCTCAGCATCTTATTCAGGCATACCAAGGAAGCAACCCTGTTTCGATTAGTGATTTACTCTCTTCTTCCAAGGTAGTTATTTTTCGTTAATTTATAGTTAGATTCGTTTAAATGCAGGATTTCACTTATTTTCTCTAGTATTAATTGCAAAGTTGAGAAATGGATGATTATATATTTCTTAATTTTTTTATCGAATGGTTGCATTCATTTTTAATTATTTTCAATAGGCCAGAACAGAAATCACTATAACTCCAGTGGTCAACCCTCAAATACAATCGGCTCATCCTAACAATGTTGTTCATGTGGTAAGTAATTATTATATTGAAAGAATGATTTCGGCATTTATATTTTTGGTTTTGATATTCTATAAGAAAATTTTATCAAAATTGATAGGATGATGTTGAAGAAGAAAACTCGTTAGCAGAAGAAAGAGATAGTAGGCGAGGGTCTAGTGCTCGTGATAATAGAGAAGATAGAGATACTCCACCACGATGTCAAGGATGTCATGAACGTGCTGCTCAATTTGTTTGTGCGGGCTGTGGAAACCAATGGTATTGCAGTCGTGAATGTCAGGTACATGAAAGACAGCTTATTATTTTTGGATAACCTTAAAATTAAAAAACTGAATTAATTTTATTCTAAATTTTAATAATTGATAAATTTTTATTATTGCTAATTATATTATTTTTATTCTTTTTTAAGGTTTCGGCTTGGGATGAACATTCGGAGGTTTGTTCCGGCTAGCATTAAACATTAATTTTTTAAACAATTCATTGAAACAAAAATTAATAAATAATTAAAAATAAAGAGTAATGAGAAGAAAATCCGAATGAATCGGAAATGAATCTAGTCAAGGGTAAAAGAGAAGTCATGAAGTAAAATTTTATATAAAATGACGATTGCTGTCGTCTTATCGTTGACAAGGGTATTAATTTTATTTTTATGGCATCCCGTCGACGAAATTACCCAGACCAAGGACCACAATATCAATTTTTTTCACTAATGTTATTATTATATTTTCAATTTGTCAAAGTTTTATGAATTTTTCTAATTATCAAATAACAGCTACAAAACCTCAATTACTTCTATATATAAAAGCAATTCACTGATGTATTTTTTACATTATTTGAATTGTTTTTTTTTTCTATTTTATAAGAAGTGAGATCAACCGGACGAAAAATGACATTTTGCATTTCTGAGATAATGTTCTCGGTGTTTTCAGAAGACTTATAAACTATACACTTATGTGTAGAAATGATTTGGATTATTTTTTTGTGGGCATATTCGTTACCAAGTCTAGAAACTAAATATAAAAAAAGAAAATAATTAAACATTTAGAAATTTGATGATACTGTCGGTCATTCTTAGTTTTTAATAAGACTTTTGTAAACTTTGAATATTTTTAGATAAAAGAATCGTTGCAGTTGGTGTTATTTATCCAGTAACAATAATTATCTCATAATAATTAAAACAAAAATCAACAAATACGTTTATAAACTTTGAGACTATTAACGATTGAGATGAAACAAATCTGTAGCCTAATGTTCCTACAAGTATAATGCAATCTTATAAAAATATATTTTTTCCTTTTACGACGCTAAACCAAAATAAATTGATGTTTTTAATCCTTAAATACAAATTTGATTTTAATTTCCAACATTTATTTTTTACAAACCAAAATTTTCAATCATCTTAAGTCAAATATATGGTCATTTATTATATTTACTCAGAAACCTTTGAGCTTGTAAATGTTTAATGTTAATCCAGAGGCAACAGTTGATTGAAGCATAAATTTTAATCATAAAATTACGCTGAGAAAATACTGATATTTATTTATATTGAAGGAGAAAATTTTTCTAAAATAATGTTATTAACAAAAAGAATCTGCCATCATATTATCTTCAATTGGATATTCACATAGAATAGAACACCGTTTTTATAGTTTCATTTGTTGTTGCTAATATCACAGAAGACTTTTCCCTACACTAATAAACATTAGATTTTTTTAATATTAACATTCAATCAGAACACAATTCGTTGTTAATAAATTATTTTTATTTCCAATCGTCGATAAAATACATTTCTGTTGATTTTTAACAATAAAAAAAGAACTAAAAGTTACTGCGGAATGAATGGATTTTTTTTAATTGAGAAATTTTTTTTATTGATACAATTCTACTAAATCAATTATAAAAAAAAATAATGAAAAATTTTCCTTCCTTATATTAGTAAGCTAGTGCATTAATTGTTAATAAAATGATTAGATTGATGGCTTGCAACACATAAAAATTGTATGCAGAGTTGTACAGAATAAGTTCAAGCTTATTCTCCACTTCATCTTTTAAGTGTAAAACGAAATTATAAGAAAAATACTGATATACTAATTTATATAAAGAAAAAATTAATTTTTTGTCATTGCAATTGAAAATAATAAAAAAAGAAGTAAAAGTAACTTGATTTGCATAGAGTTTTTTTTTACCATTCAATGTCATCATTCCATGACAGCTCGAGTTGTCAAAATAAAAGAGTAGTCTGAACTGGCGTTTGAATGATGCCAGCTATCACGTCACTTAATTAAATATACTGATTGTACTAATTCAATAACATTTAAAAATTATATTTTATTCATTCAAATGAAAATATGATGTCCAATTTACCACCAAATATTGTAGAATTTTATAATTTTGCAAGATTAGCTGGAATAAATCTTCCACCGGCAGTTGTGAGGTTAGAATATAAAATAATAATTCAACGACTATTTATTAATACTATTTTTTTATTTTTATAGAATAATTTGTGAATTATTATCTATGCAAATACCTCCTGATGATATATATAGATTACTAAAAAATATTTGTTTATCATCTATGAAGAAAAAAACAGTTGGTGACATGCAATAAAGTGTAAGATCATTTTAAAGTAAGCAGATTTATTTTTAATCATCATTATTAATAATTATTTGCAATAAACTATGCAATACAAAGAAAAATTGTATTTGTAACGATTAATTGAAAATATTTTTAAAAACTTATAATGTAAAAGGCAAATGTGTAATAACATTAAAAAATAATTAGTATCATGAAAACATAAATTTTTAACCAGCTTTTCGAGCTCTAAAATACAAAGCAAGGGGTTTTTTGAAAATTCCTCTGCGTTTTCGTCTTTTGTCAGTGCTGGGACATGAACGCTTTAAAAAAAGAAAAAAGTTATTTCTTACTGAAAATATACTAGTGACAATAATATAAAAATGAAAACTTACCTCAGGACAGAGATCTTTACAAACTATGGCAGAACATTCAATTATATATTCATTTGATTTAGAGTCAGGAAGTTTCATGACTTGTAAGTTTGTCTGAAATGTTTTAATTTCTTGTTTCCACTCAAAGTCGCCGATACTCTCATCTTTTGAACATTCATTACATAGTTCTTTCGTGTTCATTTTATTATCTTTTTCGATCATTATACACTGTTTTACTCTACCGTTTTTATAAAATTGATCGGAATTCACTTTAATATTGAATGATATTGAACTACCATCTTCAGCTTCAATGATATTATTTCCATCATCGTCAGTGAATTCTATATCTGCAGATAGTGCAGAATCTGACTCTTCAGGTGGTTTTTTTATATCTTTAATAGTTATTTTAGCTGTAGAATAAACGTTTCTTACATCAGGATCGCTTGACTAAAAATAAAAACCATTAAATAAAATAATGAAGTATAAACATAAATTACATAATATTAACTTACACTATCAACCGTTGAAAATATTACAGAAATTACAAATACGTTTATTATAAAAAATAAACTTGGATATTTCATCATTATTTTTTAGAATGCAATCTAAGTTAATGGAGAAAGAAAAATGAATTACACTGAAATAAAATTGCAAAAAACCTTTTTTATATGCTACATTCAAAAATAAAATCACAAAAATTTTATTTAATTTTATAAACAAGCACGTACATAAATAAAATCAATTTCGATTAATCACGTTCGTATTCTTATAATGATAAAAAAAAAAATTTGATTAGTTTAATTTCGTCAATTGATAAAAATTTCTAAAACATTTTATAAATCTCAATTGTTTTAAAATAATTATTCTGATGGTTTGACAAAAGACTTAATCTTATTGACGTAAGTTTTCAAATTACAATCACACAAAACATTGTTAATTGTTTTCCATAACTGCATAACGTTTTGATGTAGATTATGTTTTATATCTTCAATGGATGCTGTAATTGGTGCGGGAGTTGATGGTGTTGGAGTTGTTGATGAAAGTATGCGAATTTCAGCTTTTGCTTCAACTTCATTCTCGTTATAGTCACATTTTATGTTACGAACAATTTTTGTCCCGTTTAATGGTTTAATAACTGCAATAACATCAACAATATTATCAGTTTTTGGTGCACATGGTTGATGCAGTACAGAAAGTGTTGGGTTTTTAATATCTCTATAAGTTTTTCTACAAGTGTTCTCTTTTTCATGTCCTTTGATATAAATACTTCCCGAAAACGGTTCATTTTGAAGTAATTGAAATTCAATAGAATCATCAAGACATTTTTTTTCTATTTTCACTTCGTCAGACTGAAAAAAAAAATTTTACCTAATTAAAAAAAATTAGCAAACTTTTATAAATTTATGAATTAAGTTAGATTAACTTTATACATACTTCAGATTTCCCATAAGTTGAAATAATAAATACGCTGAATAATATAATATTTAAGTATTTTAACCGTATCATTTTCACTCGACTGTCTTCCAGCACCATGTATCGTTTACTTTTATATTACTTTCATGCAATTAACACATACATTCGAGCAATGAGTTTCATATTTTACGAAAGAAAACAAATATTAATTAGCAAATTTTTTTAGAATTGTTTATTCAAAGAAAATTGTATATGGAAATTCCTGTTTATCTTAATATATTAGCATTCAAAAACATTTTTTAAATATAATTTTTGTTTAATATCGTGTAACCTGCACAATATTCAATGTTATTAAATGATGATGATGATGCAATTAATTAATATAAGTATTGAGTAATATATATATGTATATGTATATATGTGTAGAAAAAAAAACTTTTATTTAAAAATATTATGAATATTGTTCTGCTCCTTTTCTGGCTAATTTATCAGCCATTTCATTGCCATGCACACCATGATGACCTCTGACATGCAACTATAAAATAAAAAAAAATTCCATAAATAATTGCTAAATACTTTTCACTTTTATTAATTCAATGAGAATAAAACTTACAAATTCCACATCAAGAGGTGCCAGTGCTTCTTCCATTCTTATTAATTCTTCTTTGTTAATAACCGGTTGATTTTTAGCAGTTTTCCAACCTTTAGCTTTCCATTTTGGCATCCACTTTTCTTGACAATTAATTAAAAATTCCGAATCTGTATTAATCCTAATTTTTTCCATACCATGTCTCTTAGCTATATTAGCTGCTTCTATTACAGCTTCTATTTCTGCACGGTTATTAGTTGCCCTACCATTTATTGGTTTAGATACATTCCTGTAAATACATAATATAAAACTTCAAAATAATCCTGTTTAAATTTGCCCTAATCTCATCATATAAATAATTGTTATTAAAAAGATAAATAACAGTTCGAAAAGTTTATTAACTTAAGACTTATAATTTTTTATTTATGAATAATTCTTACTCAGGATGATTATCACCAAAATAAACACCTATACCAGCTCGAGCTGATCTACGTCCATTGTCAGAACAGGCACCATCAGTGTAAATATCTACTCTTCCATCTGCATCTCTCATAAAAGATTGCGATGAAGAAGAATTATTATAATGTGAATACCTTTTAGATTCTTCTTTATTTTTTTCAGCTGATGGTCTGTAACAATATGATGACAAATCATTAAAAGTCAAAATACTAAAATTGACTGATAATTTGATGTTTAATTAATAAAAAAGAATATTTACTTGATTTCAAAATATCCTGTTATTAAAGATGTCTTTCTTGATACTTTACTTACTGGTGCTTGAGATCGAGAGCTAAATGTTTTAGGAGGTAGAGAACTAGACGATGCTTGCTTTCCTTTGTGACGACTGGAAGAATTTGTGTGCGTTGCAATAAAATCTTTGGCTTCAGATTTCGTAGAAAATTTTTTGAATACAGCGCCCGGAAATTTGTTTACTTGATCTTTGCATTCATTCCTATGAAATAAGTAGATATTTAATAAATATTGAATGAAATAATTGTCATCTACATACAACATTTGTTTATAGTTTTTTGTTTACCACGTATCGTAGATTCCTGGACAACGTCCGTGAGCAACAGCGTAATAGTTCATTTTTGTTAACGATAAATTCCAGAAGAAATATCGAAACAAAAACATACCCATCTGTTTTGTGTGTCAAATCTTTCATAATCAGGAGGGGGAACTTCAACTCATAGACTATATCTATAGATTTATTCAATATAGTATAATGTGATTATACTTGCTTTACTAATAGATGTCATTAGTGATAAAAGTGAAATTCAAATATGAATCAGAAAATAAGCAACATAATATCGATATTGAATAATAAAATAATAAACAAATAGAAATATTTCTTATTGTAATATATGACAAGTTTTTATTCCACATATGACTGGAAAATATGCATAATAATACTCGATAAATGTTTTTATAGAAAGGATAATCACTATCAAACACGACTCGGCGTTGAAATAGAATTCCACCATCATTGGACGGTAGTGTTCTGCGCAGTGCTGGGTTTGGATATCTTTGCACCTTTAACTTCTTATATATATTAAATTTTATTTGAGATTTGGTGTGGAATGGTGTGGAAAAACACTTTACATGTGCTCATTCTTTATTTCGTGTTGTGGGATAGCCAAATAATAATAGTCTAGTATTTATAAAAAAAGACAATAGAGTCAATAAAAATTTCTTAATCTGTGAAATGCTTTGACCAAAAATATATCCAAAAGATTAATGAATAATTGAAGCATTGAAAAAGTTTTCTCAATGTGTTGGTTACAACAAATTCCTATGAGTTACACAAATAGATATGATTTTATTATATACCATTAAATTTTTAACCAATTGACAGTTAGAAGAAATCACGTTCATCATCCGTCATTCTAAGGATTAAAGGTCAGTAAGGGATAAACGAAACACTCCACGAAGCATTGGTAACCATTGACAATGTATAGCTAAAATGTATTTTATCAAGTGTTGAAAATTGTTATAAAATGCAGTCCATTTATTGGACTGGGAGACTTCTCTCAAGGGCACTTTGGAATGGTATATCAAATTATTCTTCATGTGCGGATCCAGCAATTGTAAAAAAGCGAGAAGCATCCTTAGTATCAGCAGTATGTGGGTTTCCCAAGGATTTAGCGAGGGGACGAATGAAGAAAGGACAGTTTGGAGATGATGCTTGGTTCACTGCTAAATTCAAAGCTATTGAAGTTATTGGTATGTCACATGTATTGATTACTACTCATAAATATTCACCAGTGAAATAATCATCTTATTTTTAATTTTAACAATTTCGTCATGTTTATTTAAGTTTTTCCAATATTCAACATATTTAGAAGCTATCATCATGATGTTTATGATCAATGTCAAGAACTTTCTTTTTTTTTATTTTCAATTCCATCGCGAGATCCGGTAGAATTGATAGAATTCAAAATATAGTTATAAAAAAGAAATAAATATGTTAATAATTACAAAATATACAGTAACGACACGTGGTTTAAATTGTGTAATTAAGGGCAACTTGCCAGTAAAAACATCCAATATTTTATAAATTTTATTTTTATCTTTGAATAACTCTTTGATCATGTGAATGTACTAAAAGATTTTAAAGATAGGTTAATCATTTTGGCTTCAGTTAATTTGTAAGAAATTTCATGTAATATTTATACTTTATTTATATTTTTTAAAGAAAAAACTATTTATATTGAGATTATGTATATTATTCTAGGTGTTGCAGATGGTGTAGGTGGTTGGCGTCATTATGGTATTGACCCAGGTGAATTCTCTAGTTCCTTAATGAAGACTTGCGAACGTCTAGTCTCATTAGGCAAATTTGTACCTTCTGAACCAGCAGGTTTATTAGCAAAAAGTTATTATGAATTGTTGGAAGACAAACAAACAATTCTAGGTAAAAAAATTATAGCAATACTTTTTATTTATTATACATTACGAGGAATCTTAATCAAACATTTATAATTTATTGTTGTTTATATTATTATTTCGTCATCCTTACTCCGAAAAATTTTTTGTTATTCTAATTTTGATACTTTTCATCATATATTTCTTTCTATAAAATTTAAACTATTTAAAATCTCTAAACTATTCTCTAAACCAGTTACACAGATATTTAAAATCCAAAGATTAAGAACCATCGTATAGATTAAAGAACATTATAGTATTGTTTACATAATTTTTTTCAGGTAGCAGTACTGCATGTGTAATCGTGCTTAACAAAGAAACTAGCAGTATTTATGCTGCGAATATCGGGGATAGCGGTTTTGTCGTAGTACGAAAAGGCAAAGTCGTTCATCGTTCGCTGGAACAGCAACATTACTTTAATACTCCATTTCAATTGTCATTACCACCGCCAGGACATTCAGATTTAGTTTTAAGTGACAGGTAAACAATTAAACGAGATGATTGAAACCCATACGTTAGCTAAAGTTTTTTAATTATTATATTAATTGGAAATTTTGCTTATAATAGTCCGGAGTCAGCAGACACATCTTCTTTTGGCGTAGAAGACGGAGATGTAATTCTTTTAGCAACAGATGGTGTTTTTGACAATATTCCTGACCAATTGCTAGTCACACAAATGCAAAAAATTGAGGGTGAAAAGGATCCTACTAAAATCCAAGGGGTAGCTAATACAATTGCTTGGATGGCGCGAAGTCTTGCTTTCGACGCAGCTTTTTTATCGCCATTTGCTCAAAATGCTAGAGAAAATGGAATTGATGCCATAGGTATGTTTAATTGTTCTAACTAATACAGTTATTTACAATAAAATAATTTTAGATATAACTTAGTTATTAGTTAAATTATTATAGCTTTCATTTCAGTACAATTTTTTTTTATAATTTAATTTAAAATGACCAAATTAATTGTCATGAGCCTGTTTTGATCTGATCCAGTTAGATTCACAATAGGATCTGTTTGTGTTCACATGATTTAATCACGTGATTAAATAAAAATTGTATGTCTCAATAAAACAATACGTCTATAAGTATCAAATATATAATTCAGGAGATGATACTATTCTGGATCTAATTGAATCGGGTTCAGCCGGAATATACTGAACGACATTAACTAGAAATTTACGATTTTTTTAGGCGGTAAGCCAGATGATATCACGGTGCTTTTAGCTACAGTGGCGATGTAATTAATTGACTCTTTGTACGTACATAATAGTTTTCTTTCTGTCAGTACACACTTTATCTTCATTGTATTATAGCTCATATACAATACATATATAATATGGATTATTACTAGTACAATTATTATAATTATTATTGTATTTCTCTGTCAACATTAAGATGTTCAATGAAAAAAGCAAATGGAAAAATATAGCACATTAAAATGACAAACATAAATAATTTATAATGGGTATAATTTATTTTCTTACATTTTAGTGATTATCCTTAACATACGTAGTTTAGTTTAGTTATTTTTATTTCCCATTGTTTCTTCAGGACGTCAATGGAGTTAATTAAAAGTTATCAAAAAATTATTCAGACTTTTCATTAACGAGAATGGAAAAATGAATGACATTTATTACCATAAAAAAAAATAAAGACAGATTTCATTTTAGACTAGTAATAAAGAGTTGAATAATATAAAAATAAGGAAGATTGAAAAACATTAATATAAGAAGTTTTTATATTTTTTATGATATTATTGTTTTTCTTATTCTATATGAAATTTACTATCTATATTTACAAGATTATTTTTCACTAATTTTTACAAGATCTATTATGAGTACTGTGCGATTTTATAAAGCCATAAGAATTATTAATCTTTTTATCATTACAAATAATCAATTTTTACTATAAATTTATGATAATTATAATTCATTTAAATATATTAGAATAAATATCACTATTCAAATAGTGAATTAAAGCAATTTAAATGCAGCTTAGATATACAAATAAATTCAAAATTCGGAGCCAATAGATTTATCAGAAGTGATTATTTATTCATTTTTACTGTAAATCAGCACCTGCACCCCAAATAAAACCACCGGGTCTATCTTCAGGAAGTGGTGCATAATCCGGATCCTCTGGACGTTCGTCAAATAATTTTTTGCTGTAATGAATACAATTATACGTAGTCATTATTTTGAAAACTAAATATTAATTATTGCTATGCAAAATCTTACAGAATTTCTGGCGTTTTAATTATTCGAAAGCCTCCCCCAACTTGTTGAGGAAACACGTCTTCAGCAAAATAATACATATGTCCAACTGCCATTCCAATTAAATCTACCCATATTACGTTCCCTAAGAGTAATGAAAATCCAAGAAGAACCCAAGGTAAAAAAGGTGCCTGAAAGTTTATTGAGTTTTTATTGATAATTTCTCAATGTTATTGATGACTTTTTAAAGAAAGAAATTTACCCGAAAGTTGAAGATACCAAAGAAGTTCATTCTCACAAAAGGTGTTCTTCGTGACCAAACATATACTAGCATCAATGTAAACGCATGCCCCAAAAACAACAAATTAACAAAGAATGCAAATATCTAATAGTTGGTTCATTAAGGAAAAAAAAATTTTTTAATAAGAATATTTGTATCCTATCCTTATTTATAGCTGTTTTTCATTACATAAAAACTTTTGAATTATCACGTGAATTAAAAAAAGTTGAATATTCATTAAAATCGTCTAATCTTTTTGATGAATAAATGAAATTTTTATATATTATTGTTGTGTATACTGTTGGAAATAGAAATAATTACTCCGAAAATTGGAGTTCATTTTACTATGTAAATTTCATTGAACTAATTAATTTACACCTGTTAACAAAAGGATACTATCATACAAACTCCCCCAAAAATAAACATCATAACGAAATCAGCTGTTTTTCCCCGGAAAGGACCTTCTTCTAACATCCGACAGTATCTGTATGTAAATATCATATTGAAGAAGAAATTGAAGCCAACCGTTCCAAAATACAAAAATGTCGTAATAAATCTCCATATCTATAATGTATAAAATATGATTTGTATTTGAATTATAAAATGATAGAATATTGAATTAACTACAACAATAAACATGTAGTTTATTTTTTTTTTATTCTTACTTGATAATGATGAATAATGGAGATAGGATTAAAATAAAGTTGAAAAGGCGACACAAGATTCAATTGCTGTAGAAAATATTGGCAAAATTTAGTATCTCATTAATATTATTTTTAATTCTAAAATTTTCTTTTATAAATCTGATATTTGTAAATAAATGTAATAACAGATAATACAAACCACAGCAAGAGTCGTGAGGACACAAGCTGTTGTATATGCTCGTGTAACGATGGGTATTTGCAGGTATTCCTGCCTTAAAGATCTAAATGCCATTGATTGTTCTATAATATTAATAATAAGATTACTTCTAATATTCTGACGATATTTTTCTTCTCTATTGTATCATCTAATCATACAAAATTCTATGTTATGATATATGAGACATTACTTTTTCAGATATTCATTACGTTATCTAATTTTCAAAAACGTCCACATCACGTTTATTTTCTGTACTTTGTATTTATTATCATTACTAAATCACTATTTTATCAGTACTGTACTCTACTGTACACGTATAATATTGACACATCGCTGAATTTGTCTTTATAGATGTAATCAAAGTTTTGCCAACAAAATAATACATGCCGGTGGCTTCAAAATTCCCCAGAATAATCAACTTGTTTTACTGGTATTGTGTAATGATGAGTTAAATTCAGAGTGGTTACATCGGTTTCAATAATTTTTGTTGAGTGCTGATTGTACTAATTTGCGAAAAACATGACAAAATATTTATGTCTGATTATCAGTTAATAAAAAATGGAATTAAATCATCTTAATAATCAGAATTAAAGAGGAAAAACTAATGATAATTACTTGACTTGCATTATTATATCAAAATATTGTTTATCATAGGCTTATAGACAACTCTTTTTATCACTCAGTTACAAAATAACACCTGTCAAAAAAGAATTTAATAAACACACATAAAAAAAATTATAAAGTTGAATGAAAACTATGTATATTTTATGAAAGGGAGATAACTCATATCGTAAAAAGGTGAGATATAACAAACTTTTTATAAACTATCTTATCGAAGACAAGTAAGAGTTGTCATTTTTTGTTACTTTTTTATTTAATGGTGTTAATTTGAAGCAATAATTAAATGACATGAATAAGTTTTGAAATTGTTAATTCTTTTTCTAGAAATTTACAAAGACAACAAATAAATAAGTATTATTGGTAAAATAATTTACTGAATCATGGTTTTAACCAAAGAATACCGAATATGTATGCCATTGACTGTAGAAGAGGTAAATTATTTTAAATATTAATTTAATTAACAGCATGTTTGTTTAATTTGATGACTATAGATATAAATTCTTTTCTACAAAAATTTTCTTTAATGTAGCTAAAAATTTAAATTCATTTCATCATTTAAAATTGATATTTTCATTCTAGTATCGAATTGGTCAACTTTATATGATTGCCAGACACAGTCATGAACAGTCAGATGTTGATGAAGGAGTAGAAGTTGTTGAGAACATTGAGTGTGAAGATGAAAAATATGGAAAAGGACAATATACTGAGAAAAGAATTCATCTTTCTAGGTATTTATTATACATTCTAATATAAAATTCGTTGACAAAATAATAATCAATTTCTAAACTGTTGTTTTCAATACATTTTTATATTTTTCAGTAAATTACCGTATTGGATCCAATCTCTCATACCGAGAATATTTTATGTCACAGAGAAAGCCTGGAATTACTATCCTTTCACAATAACGGAATATACTGTAAGACTTTTAGAATATTATTATATTATTTATGTATTACTAGAAAATTATATTAATTAGTTTTTTTTTGTTATTTCAGTGTTCATTCATTCCTAAGTTTCAAATATCTATTAAAACACGTTACGAAGATAATAATGGATCATCTGAAAATGTGAGTATTACATTATTTTTTGCCACACAAGTTTGAATAAACATAACTGAAATTATTTTTTTTTTTATTGCAAAGTGTTTAGGTCTAACTCCAGTTGAATTAATTCATAGAGAAGTAGATTTTGTAGACATTGCTTACGATGAACTTTCAGCCAAGCACTATAAAGAAGAGGAAGATCCTAAATTTTTCCAGTCAAAGAAAACTGGAAGAGGTCCGTTAATTGAAGGATGGCGAGATACAACACAACCAATTATGTGTTCTTATAAACTTGTTCATGCATCTTTTGAGGTTTGGGGAATGCAAACCCGAGTTGAAGACTTCATTCATAAAGTAAATATTAATAGACAGTTATAAGTTTAATTTTAAAGATTTTTATTAATCGCAATAAATTTTTAGTGTATTAGAGAAATTTTATTACTTGGACATCGTCAAGCATTTGCTTGGATTGATGAATGGTGTGAAATGAGCTTAGAAGATGTTCGTAATTACGAGAATAAAATGCATCAAGCAACTAATGAGAAAATTCAGATAAAAAATACTGAAGTTCCTAAACCAATGAATTTATCTACTTCCTCGACGTCTATTCCTTCAAGTCCGAAGAGTCCAACAGAATCTGCAAGCCGAACCTCATGGTTTTCATGGTCCTAATTTTATTTATGTAAGAAATATAGTCATACTGTTTAAACACCAAATTAAATAAATCTACAAATTATTTTGTGGGTTTCTTTTAAGAATTTGTTAGAAAAATAATGATAATAATAACACAATAATCTTGTAAATATTATTTGAAATATTTACATGCAAAATTAAGAATCTTTAATTGAATAAATGATTATGAAAATAAATATAGTTAAATTTTAATATCAAATATAAATTTATTGGATAAAATTTTGTTTGACTGTGATGATGAATATAAACATTGTTATACTGAAAATAAATGTCAGCTAAATACGATTGTATTTTATTTAAAATCATGCATTTTTTAACAATTAGCTGAAATAAAATCGCTGTGAGCTATACTCTTGATGCATTTACGGTTATTATTAATAATTTGCATTATCAAGCTCACAGAAAGTAAAGAAGAATGGAAATGATTTATTTACAGTCATGTAAACTGTTTTCACAAATAATACATGCACAAAAAAATATAAATAAAATATTAAACTTATTCAATAGAATTTATTTAATTTTTCTATTATGAATAATTATAAATTCATTTTTTTTCTCAATAAATTGAGTAATTTAAAATTCATTTACCTAACTAACTGAATTTTTGATATATTGATCGTGCGGAGGCGAGTGCGCGAGCACGCGTCTGAAATAAATGCAATAGGGTAAGAGCATTGATTCACAGACTTTCTAAAACAACCCTCGTAACGGCTGTAACAAGACAACAAGCCAGTTGGAGGCGTGTTGTTGTTCTGTGCCGTTGATTGTCATCATGTCTGACGGTAAGTGAACTTATGAGACGTTATTAAAACTTTTTTATATATTTTAATATTTTCATTGGATTAAAAATCGAACTATTAAATTTTAATAACCAAATGAAAATATTCTTAAAAGTTAATTTTAATTGAGAAAATTAAGTAGTAAACTAAGTTCAAACTTTTAATGAGTAATAATAATTGTAAAAATTATAAACTATTTAACATTAAGTAGAAACTTTTACTTAGAAAGACAGGGACTATATTGGATTTGCTACATTACCGGAACAAGTTCACAGAAAATCAGTGAAAAGAGGATTCGAATTTACCTTGATGGTGTTGGGTGAGACTGGGTTGGGTAAATCTACACTGATCAACAGCTTATTCCTTGGAGATCTTTATAAAGATCGTAGGATTCCTGATGCTGTTGGTAAAAAAAATTGCATAACCTTTATTAAATTTAAATATTTTATTTGATATAATAATTTTTATTAATTTCTCATGTAGATCGCATTGAGAAAACCACAACAATTGAAAAAAAAACCATGGACATTGAAGAAAGAGGAGTACGTTTGCGTTTAAATATCGTTGATACTCCTGGTAAAATGATAAATATGAAATATTTATAATATTTAATTTACATATATATATCAGTCATAAAGGTAATTAGATTTTATAGATGATTATTCATTGAGCATCCAAATTTTAGGATTTGGAGATGCTGTAAATTGTGAAGACACGTGGAAAGCATGCTCTGCATATATCGATGAACAATTTCGGCAGTACTTTACTGATGAAAGTGGATTGAATAGAAAAAATATCCAAGATAATCGAGTGCATTGCTGTTTATATTTTATTCCTCCTTATGGACATGGGTAAGTCAAATTCAAGTAACTATTTTTATTTCAATATTATTTATAATAATATTAGTTATCATTAGTTTAAGACAATTGGATCTTGAAGTTCTCAAACGTCTTCATCGAAAAGTAAATATTGTTCCGGTGATAGCTAAAGCTGATACTCTAACTGGTCAAGAAGTCAAGAAACTTAAAGAAAATATTTTAGCAGATATTGAAGAACATGAAATTCAAGTAAGTTTTATTTGATTATTTATATAATTCAAATTTAAAGTTCAATGATTTTATAAGTTATTTATCTAAGTACTGGTTCCGTTATTAAATAGATTTATCAGTTTCCGGATTGTGATAGTGATGAAGATGAAGAATTTAAACAACAAGATAAAGAGCTAAAGGCTTGTATACCTTTTGCAGTGGTTGGAAGCTCTACAGTGCTTGAAGTGGCAGGAAAAAAGGTTCGAGGGAGGCAATATCCATGGGGTGTAGTTGAAGGTATGATGACTTTTTCTACTCATTGAATAAATTGATTTATAATAATTGAGGGTAAAACTCATTAAGTAAATTGTACAATATCGAAAAATCCTTTAATTATTGTACTTATATTATTAATTTTCTTTTTGTAAATAAATAATTATCCTATTACAGTTGAAAATCCAAAACATAGTGACTTTGTGAAACTTCGTACAATGTTAATATCAACTCATATGCAAGATTTAAAAGATGTAACAAATGATGTCCATTATGAAAATTTCCGAGCTCAATGTATTTCCCAAATATCACAACAAGCGATTCGGGAAAGGAGGTATTTACGCATGTAAATAATAATAATTATTATTTTATTATTGACAAGCAATTTATTCTATTCATTTTTAATAATAAAAAAAAAAATCATTTTCTTCTAAGATTTAGTAATATTTATAACGACAATGACAAATCAAAAATTGATTATTTACTTACAAGCGTACCAATCAAGTCTTACAAAATATCATTTTAAGGATTAATTAATACATTCATTTATTTATTTTTTTCTAGTAAATTAAAACGAGATTCTGGACCACATTTTGAAAACAGTATTTCCGATACAGATCGATTATTATTACAGAAAGATGAAGAGGTAAATTCAGTAGAATATTCATCAACAATTGATTTTAATTTTATTCGTTTTTTGTTTTTGAATTAATACTATAATTTAATTTATTATTAGATTCGAAGAATGCAAGATATTCTCGCACAGATGCAAGAAAAATTAAAGTTAACAGGCCAAGTAGGTGGTAGTGTTGGTCTTCGAGGACGAGTTGGCAGTTTAGGCAATGATTTAGATATTGTTGATATTGACAAGAAACGTAACAGTATTATTGATGTTTAATCATCTCAAATTGTCATAGAACACATTATCGCAGGGTAATTATTCATTTATGTTTTTTTTTGTACTAATGTACAAATAGATAAATCATATATGATTTATAAATCTATAGATTTATATTAATAATAATCAAAATAAACAATTGATCATAATAATAATATTAGCAATTAAGATGAATTGATAATAATAAAAGGTCATAAAAATATTACACACAACGTATACAGTATTAAAGAGGAATGTTGCAATATATAAATTGAAATTTCTCGTTCTAAAACGCACAAAATTTCTAGATATAACATGTAAGGGCATTCAACAATAACAACAATAATACAGATATAATAAATTAAATTCAAATAATACTCTGCTACTGATTAAAAAAATATACCAAATTTGAACTAAATAATGATAAGTTAAACGAATTTTTTAAAAAGTTATAACAATGTATCTACTAATCATTGTTATATTAATGTAATTAATTTTTTATAAATCTCGAAAAAATTCTTTTGATATACCTATTTTATACATAACAGATTATGCTGTTAAATACTATATTATTATCGTAATAATAATGATATTTATGGTTTTAATAATGATGATAATCACAATAAAAGTTTGCATAAAGCTTGATTTAAAAATTGTATTCGTATTTTTCTTCGTTGAATATTTTTATATCGAAAAAATACTCTTCCAATCTATATTTTACTTCAATATTTTTTTAATATGCTATTATAATTTTCACTCAAAAATATCTTTGATCAAGTTTATTTTAAAATACTTTTGTCATGGTCAAATCATTAAAGTCGTTATTATCATCATCATCATCAATCAATTAATAAAATACATTTTAAATAACAATCAGTAGTCTTTAAATGCTGTTCTTCATCTCCTTGGTCCTTAATCTTTTTTGTATAAACACGTTAGCACTTAGTTTTAGTCATGTTTCAACAAGTCTTGAAAATTGTCAAGTATTGCAAGGTGTTACATACTCAAGGTGTTACATACTCAATAACGTAAGAGTAAAGAAAGAACCACAATGAAGATGATATTGTGTGAAACTGATTGATGACTGGCAGACGATCAGCCAAACAAGTTGTTGACAAGAGAATTGAAACCATTGCTAATTGATGAAAAAATTCCATTATTTGAGTTTGAAGTGGTGGAATAGGTCGATGATCCACTTGGACGAACGTGAAGGCTGTAGTCACGATGAGGGTACGGGCGAACTCCTCCATTACCACCTCCATAATATTGTCCATCATTAGCATCATCTTGTCGCTGTAGTTTTTTAATAAAAATTAATATTTTGAAACGACTTTATCAATTACAGATAATTTTCATATTGTATATGAATAACAGTTATAAACAACTTCACATAATGCAATAAACTGCTCATCATTGACAAATTGCAAAATCTAATAATAATTATGCATTCAAAATAACGACGGTCAATAGGAACAATTAATTTATTACTATTTTTTGACGTTATTTATTAATTTATTATTGAAAGAAAACTTTTAAAATGTGTAAAAATTGAGATCAGCAGGATATTATTATGCAAATTATATTAAAAATCGATTGATCATAAAGTATTATACAAAATATAAATCAAGCAAAGATATAAATAGCACACACATTAATAGCAAAAAGTATTCCAGAATAGCCTCATAAAAAATGAAATTGTTGATGGATAAAAATAAATCTGAAAGGTAAAGTAAAACAAGACGATGTGTTGAGTGATAGTCTATTTGAAATTTATGAATCTAGTCAAGATGGGATAGCCACCTTGGTCTCCCAAGATCAGTCAATATAAGTAGAACATGACGTATGACGTGTCACATTTAAATTAGAAAAAAGTAAAAATGTCAATTACGATCAAAGTATTCAAATTGACCTATATGGACATTGATTGGATATTAGTAATTTAGACGAACACAGTTTCATTTTGAACAAGAACATACTATAATGTCATCATAATAAAACATAAAATAAATGCATTCATGCTGCGTTAAATCATTATTATTTTGTCTGCTCCATGGAGAACAGTCAATTTGAACCCAAAAGAGAAACAACGTTTTTATTGTCGTCGACTAGTAATGATGAGTGAAAACAGTTTCCATGTTATAAACAAATATTTTCAGAATGTTTTAAATGAAATAAAGCCCAAAATGAAACACTGAAATTCGAGTATAAAAATTTAATTGGTTGGATAAAATCGATATGAGAATTTTTATTTTGCTTACAGCTGACATGGATTTGAAAAAATAGCGTATCTGAAGAGCAGAATATTATATGTATGTAAAAAAAAACATGCTTTTGGCAATAGCAATCCATCAAAATGTAGCAGCATAGAATTTCAGTAATTATATAAAAACGACACTTGATAAAAATAAATAATATATGCGACCGTTGGTACTTACATAATTGATAGCAATAAGAGAAAAATTAATAGGATGAACTATAAAAAATAGTGCATCGTGATTCAGATCAATTAAGGATTAACATGGACCAAACTAAACAATAAATAATTAGTAAATAGTACAGGTTGAACAGCTACTACAAAGGTTTATTGGTTATATTGATTTTGTTATTAGGATGAAGGAAACATAATGGATTCGGTGTCGACAGGATCCTGTACCGGGAAGTCATAATCCAAGGGCCATGCAGATATTGGAGTGTGCCGTTGATCAGTAGAAATTCGTGTTATGCCTGTTCCAGTGATCATTTCGCTTTGGTGCCAACCATCACCAATATTATCAATATCATGAATATTATCATCATTTTCATCATCCTCATCATCATCATCATCATCATTAATATCATCCTCATCGTCAATATTCCAATTCTGAAACGACACGCATTCCACTCACTATATTTCATTAATCCCCAATTATTTTCTTACATATTACCCAGATAATTGGAACACAAGAAATTTCTCAGTCTCTCATTCAACCTCATAATTCAAATCCGGAATATTAAAAAATTAATAAAATAATTGGCATACAACGACTCTACCTAATAAAAAACACTAGTAACATTTTCCTACCTTGGTACTGTACAACGTGACATTGAGTCGAGTTGGATGCTTGTCTATTACCATAAATTCCATTTCGCGGGGTGTATAACCGTTGGCATAAACCTAAACAAACAGATGAAATAAATGTTCCAAGTTAATATTGCAGTATTGACTGGAATCATTAAAATATATACCTTTTGGAGTAAAATGTAATAAAACATTTTTATTTGATTTCGTTGGTACAATAATTAAAAATAAAAATATATGAATAATATTTACCTCAAGTCTGTAGACTCCAGGTAAAAGAATTCTCCAGAATTCTCCGTATTTCGTCGTGAGAAAACTGATATCTCGTCCTTTAACTTTTACTGATGCTCTTTCTATAGGATTTCCGTTTTCATCAATAACAAATCCGTGAACACCTCTGTGGGCTTCAGCTAAAAATTTAAGTAGTGCCTAAAAAAAATATATATATTAATAATTATTTGAAGTAAAGTTGTTCATCAACAATTTAATCGATTATAATTTTTAAGATATATTTAAAATTCATAGATAACTCATTTATCAGTATTTACATTCTAAAAGTGGTAATCTGAATATGATTCTATATTTACCAATCGATTTTCTTCCCAATATCGTGGCAAGTCTTTAGCTGGTGGGTATTTGCAGCAGGATAATTCAAAGGTAATCTCCATGCATCCATTCCACACATAATTAAAATCTTGCATCCCTCCAGTCAATGGATACCATTCGGCGCCATTCGTGATTCCGTTTTTAAAGCCACGTTGAGAAGGAGAGCAAGCTTCACCTCGGTACATAGTACCATGATTTTGTGAATAGGTCAACGAGAGATGACGAAATACGTCATCGTCTGGAGAAATGCTTGGTATTGATGAATAACTCTGGAACACTATGACATTTATGATAAATCGTTACTTTTACATGTCTCGTTTTTATTATTGATATTATTATAATTGATTCGAGTAATGAATATAAATAAATAAATGCAATAACAAGTTATGTACAAAATTTATTGATAATAATTTGAATAAGTCTTAGTTTTAAACCGAATGAAATAAATTTAGTTTTAGCATATACAATATAATATTGCTGGGTAAATACTAGATAATATTAATAGTAAAAAATCTATTTTCATTAACAATTATTGATATAACTAATTCTATTAAATAAAATATATTCTTCTCTACATGGAGTTATTCATTAATTCAATTCACTAATAATTTGATTTTCATTGACATTCACTTAATTATTTAATTTCTTTTGTTGCAAACATATTTATATTAATTGTGTGAAATTTTCTACTGTACTTAGAAAAAGATTGAAAATGTTTAAATAAATTAATTACCAGCTAAAACTGAAATATTTTCAGATATACATAGAACATATTTAAAGGTAAATGTTATGAAGAATTTACGACTTCGTAAAGAGAAATGTTCTAAGGTAAATCGTAAATATTCATTGACAAGTCAATTTTAACAAGTCATTCACAAGGATCATATATTACAATGGTAGTAAAAAAAAATAGATTACTGTGAAAAATATTTAAAAGAGAAAAAATGGTAAAAGAAATGAAAATTTAAAATAAAATAAAGAAGAGACACGTTTCAATGGTGCTATTCTGATTCCCGAGTTGTAAGAAAATGAATAATTATTGTATTCATTGTATCATCATAATTTTAAAGGAATTTCTCTAAATTATTAAAGTCATACTTGCGCATAACGGAGCTGATCGACATATTCCTGATGACAGCATGAAATCGTAAAAAACGAAGAATATTGTTTTGTTATTTTATTTACGACGGCTTGATTTATTTCATTATATACTGATTATGGTTAAATAAAATAACCGATATAAATGAATAATAATGCAAAAATTGTTATGATATCAATGAATAATGTCTACTGAAGTAATATTGCTGTGAATAATTAAAAGCTATTATGTTTAAAGAAGCAATTCACGTTAATCGAATCCGTTGAAACGTATCGTGTGATGATAAAATTTTTCATTCACTACTGTGTAATTTATTGACATTTTTCATCTTCAAGAAGCTATAAAGTTATTTCTTTTAATAATTAAAATTATAAATATTAAAACAAATTATGTCTAATTGAATATTTCATTTTCTTGTAATTTTATTAATGAAATTATTTTTATAAAATGTTTGCTAGTATTAAATTTAATCATTACTACTACAAAGTACAATTTTATTGATTTACTTTCAGAATTTTCATCTAGAAATTTTCAGGTTTTTCATCTCTTATTTTCAAAGATAAGTACAAAAAATAAAGTTCTTTTACTTAAAAAGATTAAAGACGTTGTCATGTCAATAAAAGAGATTAAATATATGAAAGAAACCATCAATGACAGATATTTACATATAAAATAAATAGAATGAATTTTTTCGCTTCAGCTATCTACTGTGTTATAATTTGTGGTTAAAAAAAAAATTTCAAAGCAGCAAATACATTACAAGCAAACCAAAAAGTATATACAAGCTATTGAGGAAAAATCTTGAAACATAGTGATAGAAAACTAGTGAAAGAAGGTACAAAAAAAAAACTGAGTAGAGAAGCAAAAAGACTAGTTAAGGAAGGATATACAGTAATATTTCGTGGAATAAGCACTCACGCGAGTTTGGTGTGTTATCGAAGGGATAACTAGCCACAAGAGCACCACCGTGAAAACTTCCAGACAACACGAACTGAATTTTCGACACCCACTCTTTTACAGCTTCTGTTTCTGGTTGGCTCTTCTTATTATTCTGCTTGAAATAGTCCGGAAAATTACGATTTAAGTCATAACCAAGAGCATTGTACCTAAAGAACATAATAATAATTTCATTAAAATATTAGAGCAAAATTAGTTGTATTATATATGAATAAATTTGATTTAATTTTAAATCAAATCAACAGACAATTGAAAAACTGATAAAATAATTTGAAAGTATTTATTACCGGCCTTGACTGCCTTCACAATAGCCTTCTTTTGAAACTTGAAAACCATCAGGATTCATGGACGGAAGAATATGGATTCTAGTATTATTTAGCAACCATGTAATGTACGGATCTGTCCCATAATTAGTTACTAATAACTGTATAAATTTAATAAAACAATTAAATAATAAGAGACATTATAACTTGAGATTAATTATCATAGATTAAGAATCAACATATTAAATAAAAGTAAAATAATTGAAATTTAAAAGTTCCATTCAAAATTTTCATGAGAACTGATGTTCGAAATTTAGAGAGAGAGTTTTTAATTTTTTGTCTTTCCTGTATGTCTTCATTTTTAAAAGGTAACCAATCCATTATAAGTGAGAATGATTAATTTATCTAATTAGTCAATTATAAATTCATTATATTAAGAAATCAGAATCTAAAATGACTCAATAATACTTACATGAATAAGATGCAACATAAGTTCACGACCTACGGCTTCATTACCATGAATATTTGCTACATATTTAACATCTGGTTTACCAATCATATGCTCATAAGGTGAAGCAGACACGACCATCACCCACAAATCACGTCCTGGTATATTAAAGTGTAATTTAATGATTATTTACTACATTAACTGAAGAAATGATCATCATTAAAAGAATTACGGTCATGCTATTTAACTACTTTCACTTTTGTGGTAAAATATGAATTATGGAAACAATGAGTGAAATAAACAATGTCATAGACAATCTAGATTAATTGAATGATAAAAACCTTGAACGGATTTTCCGATTGAATAAAGGGCAGTGAGATTTTCAAAGCGTAATGATGTTGTTCTCAAAAAACGACTCATTTGGTCGTAGTTATGGTATTTGAAATCAACTGTGTAAGGCTTATCGAATATTGAATATCTTGTGTTATCATAATGTCTTGTATATTCATCATCGTCTGTCGATTGAACTGGACCACCAATCGCTACAGCGTTACTGTACGCTATAGTGATTATTGATAAAATTAAAAAGCCCACCGTCAGCTTCGTCATTATCACCATCAAGTCTTTCTTTCTGTAAAAAATAATTAGTATTATGTACTATACTGTGAAGTTTAATCCAAACTTAATTTTTTTAGCAGACATTTCTTTATTATATACATGAAAATTTGATATTTTAGGTAATCTAATGATTTTGATATTTATTTCTTTCTGCAGAGATAAAAAATTAACCTATAATTATGATACGGGTTATCAGTATATAAAATGAATCTGTATTACCTGACAAGAGGACAGAACTTCACCGTTCGAGCTCAGAATGTCATTTGGGGTATTTTTTTGTAAAAATTTAACTATTTATATCTGAACTCAGACCATGAAGGGTCGATTTACGTCATTAAAGAGGAGGAATTTTAAGGGTGTTAGATGTTTGGAAAAAAATCTAACCCACGATAGAATTATTTATGTTAAAAAGATTTTAAATATCATACTTTAAGAGTTGTAAATTTTGGAACAATATGATGATCAATCAAGGGTCTACTTTTTGTGAAAACAAAGAATTATACTAAATACGTATGTACAATATTTTATACCTATTAAAATTACAATTGAATCACAATAGGTTTTACGAACCTAAACAATATCAATAAATAAATAAATACAATTGAATGACAATTTGTTTTAGTTCTGTAAAACTACACAAATATTACTGGAAAATGTAAAAAAAATATTTAAAAGTTGACTTGAGAACTCATACTTAAACAAGCTATTTTTAACCAAAAAAAACTTCAGTTAACATTTTAAATAAAGTAAGTAAACATTGCTTTCTTTTTGTACTCTCATTAAAACATGAAATTGTTGCTCTAAAAAAATCATCAATTATTTATCATTGTTTCTTCAATGGAAAAATTCAACTTCTTTTCTTTAGAATTCAAGTCAAGTAATAACAATAATTTATAAAAAGAAATTTAAATTATTGAAAGGACAGAAAGAAATGAAGCAGTGATAAGTACTTATTTTTTTTAAATAATAAACAAGTACCGTTGGAGAGCAGTAAAATCATATCAGTGAATTGAAGAGAAACTGGAAACAACCGTTACGCACGTAGTATCCTGTCATCTAGTCCCGTTTGCATTTCATCATTGGAAATAACGTATACAACTTTCATACACCTATATCTATATCTATTATGATTTAAGGTACTTTATTTTGAAACGTTCAATACATTCTTCAGTATAAAAAATTTATGCTAACCTTCAAAAATTTGTGTACTATCAATTTATACATGAATGTCCAGCATTTCAATGATAAAGACCAAGCAAATGTAAAGAAAATTCCTTGGCATAGTTTATATATTCAATTATCTGTTACTCTACATATGTATATATTTGGTATAATATATAATATATATAAAATAGTAGTTGATTTAAAAGTACTACATACGCACAAGCATAAATTTTCAAAGAATGTTGGAAACTAGCCAACTGTAGAAACTCATCGGTTTCATTTGAAGATGAAAAGTATTTGGATTCTCGTTTCTCATTTTTTTTGTTTTCATAATTGGTACATTTCCAACACTTGATTGATAAATTTTCAAGGCTGTCTTTCAAATCTGATTTATGATAAATGTTTTGATATTATTTAGTGTAAGAACAGTTTCAAAACATAAAAAAATACTTTAAAAGTATGTAAAGAAAAAAAGAGTCAAGAGAAATACAGTATGATATTCAACTAATGAAAAAGTGGGTCACAAGTAAGACTACCATCAAACGAATATTGAGCGAGACTTAATACAAACGATTTTCTTATTTCCGGTAAGTAAATGTCCAAATTCAATTTTATTCTTGCTTATATAGTGTTCAGTACTTAATCCATAGATGATAATGATTTCAATTTAAAAGAATATTCTCAATACAAATGCAGTCAACTATTCTTGACCATTATATTTAATAAACTAACTGACACTTCTGATAATCCAAATTATTCACTTATCATCAACAAGAGAAAATTGAATAGATCAATTGATTAGCGAACTACTTAGAAATATTGTTTGTATAATTATTGATAATGAAAATTGAAATTTTATGATTTGATTGTAATAGATAATTAATTTTTGAATAAATCAACTAATTTATTTATAAATTATATCATATTTTTAACTAAACTTCAACAATTAAAAATTCAACCGTTGATTATTCTTGGAATTAGTGTTACGTCAAAGGACTATTATTAAATCCCATTGATTAATACATTTGATAACAGTATTTTTATCCTCTAACGTATAATTAAAAAAAAAAAAATGAAACACTGCGTGATCTATTACATTAAAAATATGTCATTTTAAAATTTTTCAAACAATAAAATTTTTCTCTTATCAATCTAACTTTTAAATTGAATTATCACATAAAAAGTTTTCATAATAATAAATGAAAATATGAAGATAATCGATTCAATAGTTTAAAAAAATTTTTTTTTATAAATAAAATTGTTAATAAATGAAATTTTCAGTATTAAAAAATTTTTGATTATAAATTATTAAATGAAAACTTACCTGGCACAATAATTATTCCAAAGAAATTCAATTAAATTGTAATCACGTGAAATTTGAATTATTTTAGTTTTTCTTCATAAAATTCTTCAATTACTTCTTGTAGAAATATTTATCCATTGTAGATGATTGCTGCATCTGGTGAACAAAGTGTAATTGAAGTCGGAAGAAGATGCACCAATACGCGGATGGACGGATACGATCGACAATGGGATCGAGATCGAGGTGGCAAATGAATATATTGGAATTGTTCAGGGTAAGAAGAAAAAGAGTGAATAGTATGATGGTGATGACGACGATCAGTTGATGGGCACGGGTGGTGGACACGACTGAGCATGGGTGTCGAACGTCGCGCGGCGCCAGTCTGCATTGAGGAGCATTGAAGAGCACAGGATCTCCTCAAATTCTCTCTCTCTCTTTTCTCTCTCCACTTCTACTCTCTACATCAGAGGTAGTCTGCTCCATCCGCGCTAACTCCCACTCACTGCGACTACATCTGACCCATCTGATCGCTTAACATTATTATCATCATCACCACCATCCTTTGGCCAAAAATATATCCATTATTTTCAACATATAATGATACTTTAATAATGTATTTTCGATGTAAGAGAAAAGTTTTTATTTTGTGTCGACCACTCAATTAATCTTCAATTCATTTATTCGCCGCACCAATTGATTAATCTTCAATTACACTTCATCATTAGTTTATTTGCTGATGTAATTATATTAAACATATATCACTGTTTGAGAGAATGATTAATTTTTGTCATATATAAGCAGTTAAAGGTGGTGAGAGTAATTCATGTATTCACTGTAGTATCACAATGAATACACTGACACATACAGACTTCGTCTGGTATATCTGTGTAATAATGCAGAGATTTTTAAATAAACATTTACTGTGATGCTTTTATATGATTAGTGTCAATAATACCAGGTATAATAGTTCAATACTCTATTGAGGCCATTTGCCTTATGTGACTGCTTCTACTACTGATTTCTCATATCTATTATTTCCTCTTTTTGTTTCATCTCTTTTCCTTTGCCAAAGCTGTATGCTTTAATGCGCTCTCAATATTAAAAGAACAACAAAACTTGGATATTATCTCATAAAACTTAGTGTTAAGATAGACTAGAGTCAGATAATAGTTAAAAAATAGATACATAATCTTGATGGACTAATCGTTAACAAGCACGAAGACATAAAAAAGTAATAAATTTTAGCAGTAGGTCATCATCACTAGTAGTGTTCAGAGAAGTAAAGAGACAATAAAGTAACTAAGATATAAAAGAGGTCAGAGAAGAAACTTATTGTTGTGCCTATTATTTTCGCTATGTTGTCCAACACTCTGACACATATATTCATTAATGTTATATCAGCATAAATACAAAAACTGTACCAGATTTAAAATAAACATAAAAATTTTTATTGTACAATTTTCGCATACATTCATTATTAAATCTCTTTACAAACCATAAATTTAAGAAATTATATTCAACTAAAATTATTTAAAAAATGTATCTTTTTAAACAGTAAATTGCGTAAGTAAAAAACTTTTTCGGAATAACAATAGATTTCATAATTTATCAGTATAAAAATCAAGATATTTAGATAAAATAGTTTAAACACTTTTAAGAAGAAAACATTTGGTTTAATGATTTTCTTTCAGACTTTTCTTTTTGTTTTAAAGCTTGTTGGAAATTTTTTAACTCTTTTTCTATAATAGATTTTAAGGTGGGATCTAATTCAGCTGCTTTCATAAGATCACGACTAGCTTCAGTTTGATTCCATACACCAATATGAGCCTTTCCTCTTCTGTACAAAGCTTTGACATTATCTATGATTATAAATTTAATATTAATTGTTTTCGATTAATCAAAATTATTTCATGATAAATATTAAATTTTCACCTGGTTCAATTTCTAAGACAGTTGTACAGTGCTCTACGACTTCATAATACTCTTTTTTTAATAATTTACACTGTGCATAATTAAGTAGTAAAGGAGTTTTGATTTTATTTAGTTTCATCCATTCTTCATCTCTTGGTTTTTCTCTGCAGTTAATCAAATTTTCGATGATCATAAAAAAATAATTTTATTTATAGCATTAATTATAGATTCAATAATCTTACAAAATCATCAATTGTTCTACAATTCCTATTGCTGTTTTATAAGCTTCCAAAGCAGCATCATAATTTTTTTCTTTAAAAAATTTATTTCCTTTTTCTCTAAGTACAGGTATATATTCAAACCTTTCACTTTCTGTCATTTGCCAAATTTGTTTTTCATATTCATCTGATTGTATAACATTTATTAATTCTGTTAAATAAAATAAAGATTAATAATAAACTTCTGTCATTTGATTTTACACAATTAATCTTGATTATTACCTATTGTAAAAATTAAATCTTGTGGATTTTTAATCAAATCATTCAAATCTTCATAGCCTATTCCTTCATTTTGTAAAGTGACACCACAACAGTGTTTATTTATTTTTTCAGATTCTGGCTTATCTAATTCTCTTAAAGTTTTTGATACAAATGGATATGGAGAAACCAACTGAACAAATGTAATATTATTAAAAATATTCATTGAAAATCGTCACATAAGTCATTTGAAATAATTAAAAATAAAAAATGATATTAATAAAGTAATTAATTTACCTACACTTTTATCTACTCTAAATCTACTGACTTCATTCAAAGACATCATCTGTACAATTGTTTCCCATACTTCGAGTTTAAATTTTTTCCCAATTACTAATTCCATTGGTTTTCCCATTACACGACTATCATCAATTACCGTTTCATTATCATCACATTTTGTGGTTTTGAAATGAAAAATAACCTATGAGATCCAAGAATTGTTAATCAAAAATTAGATTATCATTGAATTTTTGTATCTTACCTTCGTTCCATGATTAAAGGTCACATTTTTATTTCCAGTATAAATAACATTTTTCACGATTAAATTATTACTGTTACTTGTCATTATTGTTATTTTTTATTTACTCCCCTTCAATTATCTATTACTACACTACTTATAATAACAATGATACCAAATGTAAACATGTGGTGACAATCATCAGCTGATGTTTTGAATTGATAAACTAGATTTCATTCATATCAATTTTTTTATTCCTCCGTTGGTTATTTGCTATCGAATGATAAAAAATTTCCAAAGGCAATTAATTTAAAAAATTTTTAAATTGAAATGTATAAAATATTCGAATTAGATGTTTCAATATTTATTATATTATAATTTATTGAATTTCTTACAATGAATTACGATTTTTAATCCTATTGATAAATGAATTGTTTTTTTCTGATTTGATAATTGTTTTTAAAAATCCCACTTGCTCGAATCAACGCGTAGCGCTCTTTATCTTGTAAAGCACAATACCAAATCAAGACGACAATATCAGTTCATTATTGCTTTAGTCCATTATCACTCAAACACGAAATTTCCAGAGGTTAGAGATAGATTTATATTGACGAAGCATTTTGAAATATCAAAAACAAAAATCATATCATGAGTGAATCATCACGTAATGATACTACCTCTTTTGGAGAGCAAAATTCAAGTAAGATTAATTAAAATATTTAATATAAAAAATATCAATTCATAATATTTTTATTACTTTTAGAATATGAAGAGGTCAAAATTCCAGTACCATGGGGTCATATAAGTGGTCAGTAATGAAAAAGAGTATGCTGATAATTGTAAAATTTTTATAATAGTTTACTTTAGGATAGTTATACTGACGTATTTAGGTAAATGGTGGGGTTGTAAGAATAAGCAGCCAATTCTAGCATTACATGGTTGGCAAGATAACGCCGGAACTTTTGATAGTTTAGCTCCAATACTCCAGCAATCGCTTCCAGTTCTTTGTATTGATCTTCCTGGCCATGGCTGTTCATCTCGTCTACCGTCAGGCTCCTTCTACTATATATTTTGGGACGGACTTATTCTTGTTCGTAGAATTGTTAAACATTTCAAGTGGGACAAGGTTAGCAGTCCATGAACAATAATTTCATTAACCAACGTCTCTTCACAGGATAAGAATTTGATTATATAAATTATTACTTAATTGATTTAGGTTACTTTTCTTTAATTATTTCCATTTTTAATTTATTTATTCTAACGATCTATACGATTATGTTAATTATGAACGTGATCTTGCAAATGGAATTGTACTGATTCAAATTTATCATAATGAAAATCGATAGCATTAACATTGTTAATAAGAACAATGATTTTTATCAGTTGTATTATTGATAACTTGAAGTCTTTGTTTGTGCATAATACGATGGAAATGATGTGGTTATACATTCATAGGAAAATGGTGGGGCCCTAAAAACATTCAACCTATCATTACATTGCATGGGCGGCAGGATAATGCAGGGAGTTTTGATTGCTTAATCTCAATGATGATGATGATACGCAATGACATCGCTTTTCTCTGCTTGGATATGCCTGGCCACGGCTTTTCTTCGCATTTGTCCGTAGGACAATACTATTTTGTGTATTGGGATGGTGTTTTTATGCTACGAAGAGTCGTCCAGCATTTCCAGTGGAGCAAGGTGAGACCAAGTTACTGTAACCGAGGCTCATCATGCACATCATATTTGATTGTCTTGTATACTTTTTTATATTTTATTTGTTTGTGATAATTTTTTGTATTCATTATTTGTTTATTGTTTTGTAAATTGTTTAACTGATGCAAAAATATTATATGTTTATTTATTCATATAACTAGATTGTTTTCAATAGATAACTATTATTGGACATTCCTTGGGCGGAGCTATTGGTTTTCTCTATGCTGCATCATTTCCTGATGAGGTTGAAATGTTAATAAGTCTTGACATCGCCAGCCCGACTAATAGAAATGTCAGTACTATGGTTAAAACTACTAAAGATGATATTGATCGATTTTTTAAGTATGAACAGCTTAAATTTGATTCTGTACCTTCTTATGGATATGATCAAATGATTGATATTGTATTGGATGCATACAATGGATCTATCACTCGAAAAAGTGCTGAAATTTTGATGCGTAGAGGAATGCAACCTGCAGAAGTACCTGGCAAATATTATTTCTCACGAGATCCACGATTGAAAGTTAGTTAAATTTACTACTATTAACATATTTTACAATAAATAAAAACATATTTAAATTGACAATTTATTGTTTCAGTCATCAATGCTAGGAATGCTTTCATTGGATTTAACATCAGAGTATGCACGTCAAATTAAATGTGATTATTTAAATATTCGAGCAGTTCCAGGTCACAAATTCGATCAACCGGAACACTATCAGCAAATGATGAACTTGATAAAAAAAAATGCACGACGATTCGAATATCATGAAGTTCCAGGGAGTCATCATGTACATTTAAATGAACCTGAGAAAGTATCACCAATTATTTTAAACTTTTTAAAATCCGGTTCCATTTAGAAAAATATTCCTCCTTTAAATAAATTAGATACAAATTATTTTAATTAAAATAGGTAGTTAAATCAAAAATAAAAACATGTTCTTATTTAATTCAGAAAAAAACTCAGAAATGGAATGGTACCTAATTTGATGAAAGTATTATTGGTTTATATCTGAATATTTATTAATTTTAATAGATGAAAATAGATTTATCTTCATCTATAGATATATGATAAACAAAAAATGAACAAATTTTAGATCATAAAATACGAAAGGTTACGAATAAAAGGTTTTTAAAAAACTGCTCTTTGGTGTTTTATTTTTTGCAAAAATTAATATTTTATAGCCACGATAATACTACATAATATAATAAAAAAAAGATTAGTCAATACTTAAAAATGACACGATGACTTATTGGAGTATTATGCAACAACAACAATTACAATAATGGAAGATGGCCTAGAAAATACTGATATTCCTATCATTTATATATTCAAGTGTTAAAGTATATTTTCTATAAATGTTTTAACTGCTTGCTATCAATGTAAGTGTTCTAAAAAGTTAAGCTAGTAACAGAGTAAGACGAAACATAACAATACGTGAAGAATCCAACGATTATTTGAACAGATGAAAAGGACAAAATGAACAGATACATATTTTTATATTCAATATTTAATCAACTGTAGTTATCCCTCAACTACACATTAATGTTAAAAATAAAGTTATTTTTACCTACTATTTTGTTATTTAATCAAAAAGTGATGTCATTAACTTAGTTAGCAAACTCTTCGAAGCATGCTAGTAGTCCACGAACAACTAAAAATGAAGAATACTATGAAGAGTATCAATAGACAAATATATTTTTTCCTACCATTTTATTTGACTTATCGGAATTGTTGCTTGAAATTACGTGACGTTCATATCGGAGGACACGTAGGTGAAGAAATAGATAGTTGTGGGTAATAATTATCAAAGACGATAGAGCTACTTTGAAAATGGATAGAGGTACATGCCGGTAAACATTCTTTGGGTATACTTATTTAAATTAGTTTCATTATGGAAGCAACGTCGATCACTGATATATACATACTTCAATAAATTTATTTATCACTTTTATGCAAGTACGTATTGTTTATTATTTTTATTCTTTAAAAATATTCCTATTCTAGTTTTTTTTTTAATTATTTACAATCGTTCTAGATCCTTATATTATAGGAGTTTTGCTAATGTAACGAATGATAATTCAATTTTTATAAATTCATCATATGTATCAAGAAACTGAATTTCATTGTTCTAATACATCGATCCAAGCGATCAACAAACTGTGTAAATAATTAGTTTGTTCGTTCGGCTCGAGTTATTAGACAAATTGACGAATTATTATTAATTGTCAGCAATAGATTGCCAATAATTTGATATAGATTCTTGGAGTTCTCGATTTGTTGGTGTAAATGATGTAAGTGTTCTTAAACGTGCAGTTATTACTTCAAGTTCCTGTAATTAAAAAAAAATAAAGTTTGGATTCAAAAAAATTCATTTTAAAATATTACTTGACTACCTTTAACAACCGTTGATTTCGAGCTATCGCATCTGTGTTATTAGAATATTGTAATTTTTTATAAGCTCTTGTTGATTTTTGGAATCGTAGAGGTTCTTTTTTTTCTTGTTTTAATTTACTATTATAATGAATCAAGTTATTAAAAATAGCATTATGAATTTATTTTTAAAAATAAGAGATTGTATTTTTATAAAAAAACCATACCGTTGATGTAATTGTGCTTGAAGATTTTTTTCTTCTTCTAAATATTTATTTAGATGTTCTTGAATTTCCGCACACTTTTCAAATGACATGTTCAAAGTGCTGATTTTTTTTGTAAATAATTAATTAGAATAAAAATAAACAAGAAAATATAGGTATATTCCACGTAGCAACCAATTTTCGATATCTAACTATTCTAACAGAGTTATGAATTGCGTAACCATGGCAACGCAATTAACTTTTATCCAAATAAATAAAATAATCTTTATTTCAAATTAAACAAAATAATAAAATTTTAATATTTATATATAAGTTTATAGTTTTTTTTATATTCAATTATACATAAATTAACTTTAAAATACCTTGTTAAATTATCTTCTCTAAAATTACAAAATTTACACTTATTTATTTTGCTTACGCTTCAATCGTTGGAGATTTTGGCTGAAAAAATCATTAAATTATTAATATTTAATTGTAATTTTTCTAGCTAAAAATAAATAAAAATTTACCATGATATAAATATGTGTTGGTAAAGATCGTTCTAAAATTTCTACTAATTTGCTTTTATTTAATTTATACTCATCCTCTGTAAAAAATAAATTAAAATATTAAAATATTAAAATACTATAAATAAGTAAAATTAAAAATCTATAATTACCAAGAGGCACTGATAGAGAAAGTGTAGGTAAAGCAACAAATCCTGCAATCAATGGCCTTAAAATCCACTCAATTTTTTCTTCATTTTTAGGTGGAATGCAAATATCTATTTGTTTTTGTCCAGCAAACATAAATGCATCACTAGCTTCCATAGTAAGTCTCAATGTAAACAAATAATCAGAATAATTTTTGATAAAATAAGAAACACAAAGTGGAGTTCGAACCCAGCCGTGAGCTGGAATTTTAGCTTGCAAACCAACAACTAAGTCTTCAACCCATATGGGTGATAATGTAACACTAGTACTAGTTTCTATTACTTCATTTTTACAGTCACTTCTTCTCCAACGAATTGTATACACTCCTGTAGATGTTGGCTGTTCACTTCCAATGATAGGAACTACACAATAAACATCAGTTCCTGATTCACCATCATGTAAAGTTGCTCCTTTCAACACACTTTCTTGATGATTTTTATCATTGTCATCATCATTACGTATTCTAGATAGAGAATTACCTAGTTCTACAGACGTATCAAGTATTTCTATTGGCCATGGAGAAGTGCAGACTACATGAGGCATCATAATAAATGGTTCATTAACAAATGCTTTTGTTAAAGGTTCGAATAGTTTTGTATAAAACTGTGTAGTTACGTCAAATGGCTTGACAATAGACAGCGAATACGTCAATTCCTTACTCCGTTTGATTCCTTCTTCATTTACATAGTCAATTCTAATCGAAAAGTTTTTTTTACTAACTTGATGCGATCGAACATATACGGTTTTTTCCATTGAAATTATCTCTCCGTCTTTATTTGTAAAATTACCCAGCTCTACCGATATCGATGTTTGCTTATTCGTCATTGTTAAACTTAATTCGGTTGCTGAATTATCACCTGAATTATCTGTATTAATAGTTATTTGTTTCATATGCAGCATAGTACTAGATATAGTTTCTTTGGGTTTAATACTAATTTTAAGAGGTAGCCATTCACTTAAAAGTGCTGGACTTGGTGAATTGATTTCCATAATAATATTAGATTCCTCTGCTTTTATTGTAGAAGTAACTATGGGTTTTATTGTTTCAAAACTATATCCATCAGACCATTTTCGATGACTCTGTATGTCTGAATAAAATCGATCTAAAACAGAAAAAACTGTTCCCATCGGAGAAAATTTCATAATAATAGAAAAATTGTTCTCATTCCCTAAATAAAGTGAAATCACACTGATTTGCATTTCACTTCCATCAGGCTGTTGAGGGGTCAAAAATGTACAGTGAAATTTTTTTGTTTCATTAGCTTCAAATTTAAATGATATATTTTGTTCACCCTCTATTGATGTTTTTCCTGTAATAGGACATTCAAATGTAATACCGTTAACTTCAATATTTACAACAATCTTGGCTAACTTGATTGTTCCTTCAAATAAATTTTTAATAAATACTTCAATATTTACAGGACTTCCTACAAAATATTTAGAGTCTAGAAAACGAGCTTTTACATCAATAAAAGATGATAAATTGGTGTCATCAATAGTACATGTAAATTGATCAGATCTGTTAAGCTCAAGGGACCACTTTTCAATAGCTGATTTTTTTGCCTCTTCTGGTAAATCTGAAAGATCTAATAATTGAGGTGGAACTCTTTTATAAATAATATTCATCATATTAGAGTAAATAGCAGCACGATCTTCTTTGGAGAACTTGGTGAAAGGACCTAACGATTCTATAGCTAATGTAATGTAGTCATGAATGCTCGTTGATAAATAAGCAGCTTTTAAAGCTTTTTTAAGTATATCAGTGAGAAGAAGAGGCCAACGTTCACTACGGTATTCCCATAACATGTGCATCAAAAGCGTCAGAACTTTTCCATAATCACATGCATTAAAATATTCTGCAGCCATTTGGACAACGAGTTGTCTACGCATTCTAGGACATCGATAGATTTTAAATTGTGATATTGCATTACCCAAAAGACTTATAATAATCATTGAATGATTAACCTTCAGTTCTTGATATTTTAGGACTTGAATAGCAGCTGCTTCTCGAGCTAAGTCTACAGGTTCTCCACTAAGTTTTCCACCAACATTATTGTTTATTTGTTTCCAAGGTCTTTGGCCGTAGAATTCAACTTTATCTCCATCATCTACATCGGACAATAATTGACCACTTACGGTTACATTGCTACATAATTCTTTACAAGCTTTTTGGCGTAGATTTGCATGTTGTGCTGCGAGCTGAAAATAATATCCTGGATGTTGAGTTTGTACTGGAGGTAGTCCTTGTCTAATTGCTTCATCAAAAAGTTCAGCAAATGTTGAATATTGATTAGTCATCCAAGCATGATGTTCAAATATAAGATCTTCAGGACCAGTTCGTGATTTAAATCGATCTATATGAGCACGAAATTGAGAAATAGCATCTCTTGGTTCATTTATAATAAACATCATTCGACACAGTTTATAATTGATGTAACTAGCTACCGTTTTAATTTCTAGTGTATTGAAATCATTCATTCTAATCTCTAATAAGTTATTGTAGGCATGTTGATAGTGTTTCAAAGCAATATGTTTGTCTTGTCTAAGTTCATTGAAAAAACCCATCTTGAATTGATGTCGGACGAATAAATATTGATGAGACGTTTTGTTTAATTGATCTCTATGACTTTTAACTACACGATATTGATGATGGTAAAAATTTTGAGCTAACTCATAAAATACATTTTCTAATCTTAAAATATAACCAACCAGATGATCTCCATGGGGTAGAACATAAAGAGATTTAGCTGGTAATTCACAAGCTGTACATAATGCTGTTGCTCTTTCAGTAGCTAACATATCTTCAGATCCAGGTGGTGGAGGTATTCCTCTTTGAATTAAAACTACAGCAATTTTTGTATTACGCCCTTCAAGAGAACATTTTAATGATTGTACTTTAGATGCACATTTCATTTTTTTCTCATTCCACGTTGGATCATTCCAATCAAGATCATAAAAACAAACAACTACTGCTGGTATTTTATTTAAATATTTATTCATCCAATTACGTTTTAAAATACCTTTAGGTATATACCATTCATAAGAATTTCTTTTAGGTTTCGCTGTCGGAAATACATGATCTGGTGACAGAAGTTTAAATTGCAACAATGACGTTCCATCAGCACGTCGGTTGCTTATGAAAGTATCCCAAATTGATCGATGAATAGTATTTGATATATCTAATCCACTCAATCCTATCAAAGCTTGTGGTTTTGCTATTAATTCTGCAGGTAAATCAGCTGATGGCATTATTTTTTTACCTGATAATGAAAAAATAATATTTTATTTTATTATTTATTAATTTTTATTTTTACAATAATTAAAATTACTAACCTAGAAAGTTTACTTGTTCTTAATAATGTATTATTATGTATCCACAAAAATAATATTGGTTATGAAAATATAAGAAGAATTGGTATAATTTTGAAAATGATCACTGACAGTTTCTGGTTTAGGTTATGTCAACTTATTTGTAAGAATTGAGTATAATGTACGTAAATATTTACTATAGAATGGTATGCTTCTCTTTCTATTTTATTATTTTTCTGCATAGAAACTCTTTCTCACTCACTTTTTGGGTATACTACAGCTCCAATTACACGATATCATATGTATACAAACACATATTATTGTTCCCTAAATTTAATCATATCAGCTGATGTGTTGATGCAGTACTGGTTAGCATCAGCACATTTTTCAAAATTAAAATTTTAATTATTATTGTTGTTACCAAAAAATTGGATAAACTATTTTAAATGTTGTGATAGTATTGTAATATTTTATTTTGAGAATAATAACGAAAATTATTTTAAAACATGATCGTGCGATTGTTATCAATATTTCTATTAATTGCTAGATAATTGTTATATCAATTGAGTTTATCAAAACAACAAAATGACTTCCTTAGTGGCAGATTACGGTAGCAGTGGTACATCATCGGGATCAGAGAGTAACGATGCTGATAATGTGTTGTAAGTTATTTACTGTTAAGTCATTGTATTCTTTCTGAATGAATTATTTTATTTAAAAATAGTTTTATTTGTTAATTAATAATAATGTTGTCGTCTTTTAAGTCCAGATGATGAAAATACTGATGATGAAGTAGTAACTCATGTTGGAGATCAACAAAACAATGACAAGAGAAATCAGCTAAAAAAACTTGAAAATGAGAGAAAAATAAAAAACGAAGAAACCGATGATGATGATGATGATGATGGTGATGATGATAGCGAGAACAGTGAAAGAGATGATGATAATGATGTTGAAGAACAAAGAAAAAAAGAAGACAACGATTTAGTAATGAAGAAACATAAGAATTTCATAGAAAATCATAAACTTCCATTACCTACTCCAAATTTTAATAGCACATCAAATTTATTAAAGACTTCCGTATTTTCAAATCCATTTGTTGAAGCTGAGAAAGCCAAAAGCGCAATATTAGAAAAACATGTAAAAATGACGCCAACTCTTGACGACACGAAGATGATCAATGGCCGGAAAATTTGTTGGAATTATCGAAAAGGACGTTGTCGCTTTGGACATAACTGTACATTTGCACATGACTCAGATATTCATAAAAATTTATCAACAGGCATTGAAACCGGTCAAAACCTGAATCGACATGGCCATCGTCGTCATCGAAATAATTGTCCAACTTCAACTCAGGAAATTGTAATTTGTCAAACGAATTTCAATCACTATAATCCAATGCAACCAGCAATAACTAATGATAACGAAATTGATAATTATGATAATAGTAGTAATGAAGTGGATGATGGTAATGTCGATGATGAAAATTATGAAGAGATGAATGATCAAGAAAATAATGATATGCAAAAAAGAAAGAAGAAAAAACGACCAGGTCTTAGCCAAACACTGATTCCCGGAAAAAAAATTTTTAAAATTTATAAAGCCCAGTCAGATATCAGTAGATAAATTAACAATTATTATTTCCATAAAAGTTTTCCATTAAATATTCGTTTATAAAATATAAATAATATATTTTTAAACTCATTTTATTATATGTCTATATAACTGTTTATTAAATATTTATAAATCATAAACATTTTATTTATATTTCAATATTCGAGTCAATCTTAATCAATTTTACATGAAATTTCTATAACTTCCAGTGTTTATCACAGATTTATCTCATAAGATAATTGAAAGTAATATACAATTAAAAAAATTGTAATTTACATCCGTCTTTGAAAAGAACCACATAAATAAATATATGCAAAAACATTAGTTAAACAAACAATTCACTACTCAAAATAATTGACTAATCAACTTAGATAACGACTGTCATATATAATCATAAATATTCTTGGAGTAAAAAAAATTTTCAAAATTGTTTATATTTTAATTCAGGTATATTTTATTGAAAAAAAAAATAGAATAAAAGTTTTTACAACTTTACATTAAAAATCTTCCTTTAGATTTTCAAAATCAATTGATGTAATTTTAAATAAATTAGTGACATCATGTCGACGTAGTAGTAATACTAATTATTGTAGTTAAAAAATATTTATATGATATATTAATTCAGAAAAGTATTGCTAATATTATAATATGTATTCAACTTCCATAAAATTACAAGAATTACGTACCTTATTCTTAAAATATCAATTACTCATCACTGAAATTGTTTATTCAATTTATAAAACTGTTAATAAAGATAAATAAAAATTTTTTATAATCTAAATTATGAATATAATTTTATTCTGAACATAATTTTAATTATTTTTAAAGAAATATTTGTAAAAAATTGTTATTTTTATTTACTAACATTTATTTTTTGCAAAAAGTAAACAATATAATGTAAGAATGAGTATTTTTCTCAATTATTATATAAATTACCTGTAATAAATCAATCTTAGATTTTTTATAAGACTTAATAATCTTCCTCATCTATTGTGAGATAAAAATTATAATAACAGAAATTTAATTTCATACATTATGTATGAGTAAGGCACTCAATAAACAGTGCGCATTTATGCTTAACAATGACAGTGATAAACAGAGTTATGAATGAAAGGTAATATACAAAGAACGACGTAAAAATGTAATAAATAATATGAAAAGTATAAAATCTGTGCTGTAGTCTTTGATTGTACCTCGGCTTAGTTATCATTTATATAAAATTTAGTAAAATGCTTGAACTTGTTCAATTGTTGATATAAGATTATCTAAACCGAAAAGAAGGCCTTCTTCATGGTTTCCCTGTTTCCATGGAAGTCGATGAGTCAATCGTTTTCCTTCTGGAACTTTATACATCTTAGCAAAGTCGATGAGCCAGACTCCAACTTTTTCATTATCGTAAATCATGAAGATGCTGCTCCCAATAACCTGGCACAAAAAGAATAATTAATAAATAAATTCATTTAAATTTTATCAACTAACAGCTAAAGAAAATGTCCTTTAATAACTCACTTCATGAGTTTGAAAGTAGTGAGACATCTCAATTCGTGAACGTAACTCTTTTAGTTTCTCTAATAATTTTTCACATTTGGCTTTATGTTTGCTGAAAAAACATTTCATAGTTGCAGTAACTTCTTGATGATCTTTAACTTTCTGTAGATCTTTTATCGGTGGTTGACCCGCTAATTTCATCGCTTCAATTCTAAATCCATGACTACAAGTCGAACTCTGTTGCTCCCTAAACTGCATATATCGAAGCTTTGTAACAGCCTTATGTTCATGTTCCCAATCAGTTGGTGCATTAGGATCAATAGCAATCATCTTTTCATATAGATCTGTTCGTGCTGTTGTTTTAGATACTTCAGATTCGAGAAATGTTCTGGTACCAAGCTTGATATCCATCACGTAAGGATCATTAAAGCCAAAAAGTAAGTCTTGTAGTTCAATAAATTTATCGCCTTTGTATTCTACTTCGCGATAATACTTAGGAATAAAGTCGCGTATGAGGCAATCTTGTGAAAGTGTTTCATAAACAGCACGTTCTGTGTTTTCACTTCCACCTGTATGACGTTTCCAAACTGTTCCCGGGCCTGCTGGTGCAAAACCATCAGGATGTCCAGATAGTTGAAACCAAGATTTCAAACGATTTCTTAACAAAATATCACTTGCTGGAGCAGTTAAATCAAGGGCATTCTAAAATAAAAATAACGATCCATGAATATAATGATATAGTGGTGTATTTAATTACAATACGTAATGAAAACTTTCTAAATATTATCTAATAAATTTGATTAGAAATACTTACCAAAGCGAGAAATTTGAGTGAAATATCTTCTTCAGGCATCGTAGTGTCAGATAGTATGTGAGGAAAGTGATTTATTTTTGAATAGTAGTTTGGATCAGATGCTGAATGTAAAACTGAAGAAGAGAATAATGGTAATTCAGAATTAGACGCTGGTAGGCCTTTGCTGATGAGGTTAACCTGGTCTACGATTTTGTCCGTGTCAGCATGTTCATTTTTTCGTCTATTCCCCAATTGACGGAATACAGAGTAGGTTTTACCAGCAGTATCTTTGCTTTTCAAATTTTTCAACTCTTCTTTCGGACTACTATTTTTCATCGATGCTTGTGTCATTATTTGCTTTGTTTGGAACTTAAACTCATCTTTGTTCACTCTTTCCGATTGATTCAAATTACTACCTTTTACTGGCTACAAAAACAAAAAAAACAAACAACTGTGAAAGAAAATTTTTAATGATTAATCCATGTCATATTAAATGATATGTATAAACAATATAGAATGAAGTTTTTTGTTAGTAATTATTTAACATGATGATTATTACTATTAAATGTTGTTACATAGAATTTTATCATTTTGATAAAATAATCTATTTATAAATTTTCCTATACATCCGTTAAAAAACCATGCGAGATGCTACGATGATTCATTATTGTAAATCAATCATTAAAGATAAAACCTAACATTTGTTAATCAATTACGTCAATAAATAAAAATTAAAATATAATATTTGAGTATTTAAAAGTATCTTCCAAATAGAATAAATTTGTGTCAATAAAATTATTTTTAAATAGCTAATGGTATTTAGTATCGTCATACTTTTATTGTCAAATATTTAAGACATAAAAACAAGCGTGTGAAATATACCTTGTTAAATCGTGGGCTTTGTAAAAGAGTATCATATTGATCCATGGCAGCCCTTAGGCATAACCTTGAAGTGGTGCTAAGTACACTTTCCATTCTTGGAGTGGATAGAGGAGCATGGCATACACTACTGGACATTTTTACCTTCACACTAATGTTTATAATATATTCAAATTATTTATTTGTTCAAATTAATTCAATAATCTCAATATTATACACATTTTCTCAACTCCACTCATTATCATTTTCTGTTATTATTATTCCTTCTATTGATGCTTATAATAATATACACTGAACATCTACAAAAATGTTATTATAATTCGTATGATGCAGTATTTCCAAATAATACGTCAAAAATGTTAGGATTGAATAATACTGATCAATAAAATCAAGTAAAAGATATGAATTTTGATGAAAATAACAAGTTGATGTTACAACAAATGGTATTTAGTACTGTCGGTGATGTTTCTAGATGTACTTTAAACACTAAACAAGTTTACATTGAAGTTTTATTTTCTGTATGGCCTACTTTGATCAATTTTAATCATATTCCACACGATATATTGTTTATTGAATATAATTCTACCAGTGTATTTAATTTTTGATTTCCTTTAGGCGAGAGTATTTAATATGAATTGACGTATTCACTGACGGCGAGCCTACTGGCCGATCTAGCTATCGTGTTACGTTGATATTGATGTTCTACACATCACAACTCACATATATAAAACACATGAGAGCCAAGAAAAGAAAAAAAAACGTCATCCATATGGATGTGAATATGTAATGTCGGCCTCTCTGTATATATGTATATAGATTTATCAGGGGCCAGTTCTTGATAGTTTTCCCTCCATCCCTCACTTCCTTCATTGCTTGTACTATCTATCTTTCTCTCTCTTTCTCTCTCTTTATACACACACACATTGATATTTCACTCTCCACCTCATTCACACATTCACCCAATTTATATACATATGTGTATCAAACACCAACAATATTATTTTTGTAAATTTTATTAATTTGACTATCATTATTTTCAGTTTATGGTGTATTTTTGATCACTCATTCTTGATTGTAATTGATGTATAGATTAATAGAGGTAAATGTTAAATATATGTCCTTCTGTTAAAATTATTGAATTTAAATGAATAAAATATTTTTAAATTAATTTTAAAAATACTATAAATTTTTAATTTTGAATGAACATTATTTTAAAATTCGTAGGATAGATACTACTAATGTAATTTAAATCGTATTAATTTTCTTGAGTGTGATTTTGTAAAAATTGTTATCAAAATTTAATGGAAAATTAAATGAAAAACAAACTTTTAGTTTTTATGTAGAAAAAATTTTGAAGACATCCATTTTTATTTCTAGTAATAAATTTAACAAAAAAACTCGCTATAACAAACAAAATGAGAATTTCTTAATTTTAATCTATTAAAATTAGAATAAAAAGTAGATTTTTACATTGTATTAATAATTTATAATATTATATAGTTATCAATAAAATTGTCATCAGCTTTGTTATGATAGTAATGACGTCTACTTGTAAGCAAAAGTCCGTTTGATTTGTGTACATATGAATTAAGACAATTTACATGTTAATAACTGTTTGAATAAATTTAAAAAAAAAAAAAATTCGAACACATTTACCGAATATTATTCATATTGTTATAAAAATTGAATTTGACTTATCATTCTAAAAAGAGCTAAGAACTATATCTCCTACAAATATTTAAGAATTTTTAAATCATAATTATATTGACTCAATTGTTGATATAAAAATATATAAGAAAAGACACTTACAAAAATAACTCTGCTGACGTATATTGATAACGGATATATGACCAATTATCATTTTATTGTAATATATTCATGATCATGGATCATATCTGAATATCAGTTGTACTAATAAAGAAATAAATTTTAGTATCAATAGTAACATTTCTTTTTATTTAACAAAAGATCAAAGTAATATTTAGATTTTTAATAATAATCTCATTTTATTATTTTATCATATAGATACATCAATTATTAACTTGGTAGCTAGTATTGTTCAAAATTTAGTACGATATCATCTCGACATTTTTGTTTGAATTAACGTTAATGATGAACATGACTTGTTTGATAAATTATTACTATGATTATAAAACTACTCATTGTTATATTTTATTTTCTATTTAACATGTCATTTAACGTAGCCATTGGATCGGTATTCACTCATGATAGCACATTGCAAGAAGTGCAATTTTCCTGTTGGTTTTTCACTTGATACCATATGCTCTTCAGATCTGAAGTTTGGCTCCATTTATGACACATCACACAAAACAATGGAATTGTATTTAATACTGACAATTTTTTCTCCAGTTATTAACACTCTGACATACATTTGGAATTTCCAAAGCTGCTATTGTCTCGAAATATGTGTGAATAATAAAATGAAATAATAATACATAATAAACCAACAAATATCATTAGATTCATAAGAGTATATCAACTTATTATCTTATCAGTTGATAAGATAAATCGACAATTAATTAAAAAGTAATATGTATTTTGTATGGCATTTTAGCTAAATTGTTGCAATGAATAAAATTAAGAAGAATATATACATATTTATATTTGTCGACAAACTAGAAATAAGAAATTCCGTTAGACTTGTATGTTTTTGTAAACTTGAGTAACTTGTTTGACTTTTATTTTTTTCTTTGTTTGAATTTACAAAAATGAATAAATACTTTTTATTGTAGATAATATTTTATAAAAATAGTTTGGTATTATTTTCATTATATTTTATATCGTATGTTAAATCATCAATTTCATTTGGTCCCACGCTCTACGCTATAAAACTCATGCGGTCCCCTCAATTATTCTCGCCTGCTGGTGCAATCTCAGAGTAGGCATAGTATGCACGGATACAACTTATATTCGGAGGTCAGCATTGACGCAAATGCATCCGATGTCACGTGACCCTGAGCACCAACACCACACTTCTCCTTCGCTTCTCTTTCTCTTCCTTCTCCTCCAATGTATATATTGCCTTTGATCACTTTTATCATCAGCTACAGTTAATAAAAGTATATTTGATTTTAGATATTTATTGCAAAATCTAAATTGATGCTGATGAAAGTCTTTTAAAGAGAGAATGAAATTATGCATTTTCAAAAATTTCAGAGAATACACAAAAAATAGTTAAAATAAAACAAAAGAGCAAACTAATAAGGAGTTTTAATATCTTGATTTCAAAAACATATTCATAAAATAAAGGTAAAAAGTTCTTTTCAATATGATCAGTTTACTTGTTAATTAATTATTAATGATAAAAAAAATCGATTTTTAAACATGTGCTAATGCTATTACTAATATGTAGGTACTGACAAAGGTCATAAACTGATCAACTAGAATAATTTATCACGCTTTCACACTACTATTGATTTATATTTGCTTAATTGAATGAATCTCCTTACATGGAATTATCAGTCTGGTAGCAAACAAAAAATGTAAATATGATGAATTTAGATTGATAAACGAAAGAAAGTTCAGGTTTTGTATTTTTAATAACAAGTGTCAATCAGCTTATAATAGATGTCGTGATTCTATTTGGACGGTAATACGCAAGCGGTTCTATTAAATAGTCCATGAATGTTACAACATTATTTGATCTATTTATAAATTATACACTATTGTTCTCATTACTTCTGTCTACCGAAGTTCAATTTTAAAACTAAAAAGAAGACAAAGATCTACGACTGTCTAGATGCAAAATAAACTCTTATGACGTTTTTTTTACAAAAATTCAAGTTCAAATTTATAATCGATTAATAAAAAAAATTACCCAATGATCAGAAGTCTGTGTTCAATATTTTAATGACATACTGCAACATTTTTGCGACATCTTGTTGTTTTTTTTCCGGCATCAACGTCAATCGTCCTAGAACTTCATGGAGGCAAGAGGATAATCCTGAAGTCCTTGCAACTAATTTACCTTTCTGATTGTTTGCCACTATAGACCAAAGCATAGATCCAGCTATTCCTATCTCGCATAAACTGCCATTTTTAAGCGTTCGATGTAGTAAGTTAAGAAAATCCACTAAAAATTCATAATTTATTAGTTCAATGCACTCAAATTATGAAATGAAAAAAAAACATAACTAAATAAATACTTGAAGAAATAAATCGTGGTCTATTCGATGTATTAAATAGCAGATTACGTAAAGTAGATAGAGATAAAATTCTTGTGGCAGCTGTGTTACATCTTGCAAGTTGAATTAACACTTCTACAGCATCTGTTGCCTAAATTGCCACAAATAACATGAATAATAAATTGTCAAAGCTTTTTAAAATCTTTAATAAAATCATGTGAGACAATGCATGTCTACCTTCGACACAGATGTTTGCCCTTCTTCATAAAAAGTGAAGTCAATGAGAAATTCTAAACAATAGACTTCAACAAAAAGCCATGGTTTAGTTCGTTTTGTAGTTGATGGATGAATTTTCGGAAAAAAGTTGAAAAGATTACTCTAAAAAGTAGAAATTGATTTAAAATAAAAATTTCGTCGTCATAATAACAATAGTTACAATAATACTCAAAGACTGATGGATCAATTGATCATTATTTAAATTATGTAATAATTTGAATTCTCAATTAAGTAAAAAACTACATCGAATAGCAATTAGACTTGAATAAAGAAATTGATATTGTAATTTTTGTGCTATTTTTTTGTTATTAATGAAGTAATATGAGAATAAGATTAATTACTTTAGCTATAGATACACGACAATCATAGCTGTGTACAGCATTCCGTAGTATGTTGAATGATAATTGTAACCGTTGAATGTTGAATAAGTGAGAATCAGTTCTATCAATTTCTTTAGTGATCATATGAATAATAACGTGAATTAATGAACCGGTAGTAAGCATCTTCCTAGGACCTATTACAGGCCATAATGTTGTTGTAGATGTCAACGATTGTGCACCTATTGGTAACAAATACATAAAAAAATGGATGAATATTTAAACAGATTATAAATAAGTATGATAAAAACCCAAGCATAATGGTGGGCGATCAATGACAATAATTACTCAAATCATTCACGAATTACCTTCTGGACAATTGGTTGTAATCGTAGCCATCAACTTTAATGATGTCAAAAGTGTTGAATCATTTAGAGAAATCCACACCCACAACTTGTGAATCATATCAGCCAATCCTGATTGACTTATTGTCTTTTTTGCAGTCTGATTATTATATCCAAAGTTTATTAAAAGTAACATTATTCGGTTTAAATCACTGAACAACGAAGAAACTCCCTAAAAAATAAACAGTCATTGAGCTCTTACGCAAATTAAAAAAAAATGTATCAATTATAATTGCCAATGTATGTTTTTTCATGACTAATAAATTAAAATTCATTTTAATTCAATATTTGTTACAGCTGTTTACTTGAAAAATTAGTTTCGAATAAAAAACTTACATTGAGAATTAAACATTGTTTATCAAATTTTTTTTAGAATATTTTCTTTTTAAATTATGCATTAATTTAATTACTTTTTTTTCACGTACTGCATTCATTCGTTTGATGTTGTTAAATGGCTGAAGATTCAATTCAGTATAAAGTTCCTTCAAAATCATAATACTAATTTTAGATAAATTTTCTTCAATCGCAGAATTTTTTGCATCAATAGAAATACTTAACAAATTCGTTAATGCTCCAATAATTATGTTCTTATCTTTCGATCTCTGTACATTAAAATTTGACTTATTGGCATAATTATGAGCAATTAAAAGGTGTATTAAAATTTTACAAATTCCTGAACTAAGTGTAATTTGTTGTGCTTCATTATTTTTGTCTTCTGTAGATGCATCATTATCATCACTGTCGTCATTTTTTATACATATTGATGAACGTAGAATAAATGTTGTACTTAATGTTGTACTAACTTCTAAGAAACTATTATATCCAATTGCTTCATTATTACATTTTTCTTGTTTATCTTTCATCTCAATTTCTTTAGCTTCTGCTTCTTCAATAGCATTTTCTCGATTCATAATCTCTTTGGAAAGTAAAAATGACAAACAGGCAATAGCGCTCATACGTAATTCAGTGTCTACATTCTGATTAATTGCATCATAGATAGATTCAACAACGATATTTAAGCCTACTATTTCTATGGCGTTTTTTAAAGCTTCATCATTTTGAGACTCTGTTGACGATAAAGCACTAAAGAAAGTAAAGACTGCAATCGATAGCTTGTTATACAGATGGATTAATTTATTTGTATCACAATTGAAATGATTTTTATTTAAATAACTAAATAATAAAACAAAATTTTCGAGGGAAAAATTAACAGCAGCTGCAAAATTTTTACTATATATTATACAATTAGTTAAGATAATACAAATACTTGAATACAATCCTAAAATATCACAATATTGGTTCAGATTATTTGTAAATTTTGAGCTTATTTTTGGAATTGATCCAAGACATCTAACAAAATATTTATCCAGAGAATGTTCATGTATTTTATTGATACATTCATATTCGCCTACGATGATTAAATTGTTCAGTAATTTACAAATAGAAGTTATAAGAGAAGGTGTTGAAAGAAATTCTGGGAACGAATTAGCATCAATTAAATGATCTTGAGCAGATGATGAAGATAATATCAGCATTTCATCGTGACAGCTGTACAAATGTAAAATAGCCTTAGGAAGGGATAAAAATCTTTGAGTACCAAAATTTTCATTTTCATTACAATTGTTTTCGGTAGAATTATTATAATAAAGTGGAGATTCGGACACTTTTTTTGAATCGAGACTTGGTAACATAAAAATATTGCTACAAATAAGATTGATTTCATGGTAAACATTCATTCGTTCAATATAAAGAAATATAGCATTAGATTCAAGAGAATCAACATACTCATAAGATGGATCGCTGCTAGTTTTTATCAAATTACTCAAAGCAATGCAAGCATGTTCTTTGACAATACAACATTCTTCTCTGTTAACAATAAATTTTAAAAGTTCTTGGCAAAGTTCGCTAGGTGCCATGATTAAAGCATTGAGAAGTTGCTGAGCATTATGAGGTGCTTGGATTAATCCAGCAAGTAATTGAAGTGCTGATGCACGTATCAAAGGGTCTCGATTTTTCCAAAGTATTGGAATCCAGCTTAGGTTTCTTTCTTTTTGTTGATACCAATATAAAGTCCAATCATTAGGCTTTTGAAAATTTATTTTCATATAATGAATTAAATGATTCAAGCAAATAATTGAATTACGAGTAATTGATAGACCCATGAAACTTACAGCTCCATTGCTGTGGAACGAAGTAATAAGTTCAATTAGAGCATTGCCTAAAGAAACTAATAGATCTCTTGGACAATCCCATTGACATCTACTTGTTAAATGTATTAAACACGTCAAAAGCCAATCCAAATACACTAAATTATAAAAATGCTGTTGTTGTTCTCGGTGTTGTTGATGCGGATCATTGAAGCATAAATTTGATATTAGCAATTGAATAAGAACATTCCACGTATTATCTCCTTGTTGCGGTTGATGTTGGATTTGTAAAGATTTTTCTTCGAAATTATTGTGACATAAAGAACGAACGAGTCTTAAAATCGATTGATGAATGTCTTGACTTTCTAGATCAAAATTTTCCACAATGTCCGATAAAAACTTAGTTATGTTTTTTATACTTTTTGAAAGCCATGATATAAGATTTGAATCATGTGTGATATTAATTAATATATTGAGAAAGTTTAAAATATTTACGTAAAGATGACCATCTTCTTTGTTAGTGGGACTACATAAGAGAAATCGCTGAAAAGTCTTCTCCCATGGCATTGAAGTTAATTTTTGAATTTTCATGAAGTGTTCGAGACGTGAAATATATTTAATATACATCCATAAATAGTCGAGAGCACACATGACTTGTTGATGTGTTGTGGAAGCTTGAATATTTAAAAGTTGTTGCTGACAGCAATGACTGACTGATGTCAATTTCAAGCAAATTCTTTCAGATTCTCTAATTCTCAGATTTTCTGCGATTTCCAAATTATCCAGATCCTCTTTTTCCATGCTAAGTATTGAGTTATTTAATTCATCTAAACTGCTCCATCGCCATGCCCAATATTGTCTCAAAAAAGTTGAAACTATAGGATGGCCGAAATGAATTATTGAAGTATCCGGTTTTCGATTTATACTAAACTTCCAATGACTATTGCTGATAAAAGGTAACTGCATGTTTTTTAAAATAATATACGGTAGAGAAATTTCAAAACTTTGATGATCATGTGGTTGTCCATCTTTCGATTTATTTTTCAGAAGAATTAATTGATCATTAAACAGTAAAAGAAATAGTAAAATAGAAGCATCTGCTTTAATACATAAATTATTTGGAAATAAAAATACACTCCGTAAAATATTCATCAAGATATCTGATCTGTTAGAGAGTTCATTACGCACAGTGGGTTGTGATAAAACCAGAAGTTTCAAAATTGTTATGATTGGAACTACTGAGTCTGGATAATTTTCATAGTTTTTTTCAATTAAAGCTTTCTCAAATATTTCTAAAATATATGATAATCCGTTTTCACGTAAAAATAATTCATGCAACGATTTATCGGTGAGTATCACGCTTAGTTGAACTAATGCTGACTTGCGTATTTTGGGTTCTACACTTGGTGTAACCTTGAACATCTCTAAAACTGAAAGAATACTACTTTTTTCATATTTTCCATCAAAAGAAAGCAATACTGGTCGATTTTCTTCAACATGATTGAATATTAATGATGCCAAAGGAAGACCATGTAATGATGCAAGTCGAGGTAATTTTTCAGTTGAATTTTTTTCATTTTCGAGTAAATAAATAAGTCTACAAGAACCTTCTTCTCTTATAGTATTGTCTAATGAAAATAGAAATCTCATATTACCTTTTATTACTTCTGTATGTGGTAGTTGAATATCAACTGAAATATCTGGATCGAACATCTTCGATATGCACTGACCTAAAGGTGATTTCATTTCAGCATAGCATTGCAATAATGATAACACTGGTAAAAGTGCTTCAATAAACTCTAGCCAAATTTTATTTTGCATTTGAATTTTACCCTTTAATAAAAAAATTATTATATCTTCTGATAGTTTTTTCACTACTTTATCTTCGTCATTCATTCCGTGACAAATAATTTCCGTGAGAACATTAGAATTACACAGAAATGATATGCAATTGACATTAATACACGTATACTTTTTTTCATGAATTTCTTTAGTGGTATCAATTCCAAACAAAACAGATGACACTAATGAATGACACTCTTTATACGCAGCAATTCGTACTTGTTGATCTCCATTAGCTAGTAAATGTAACAGCAATTTAACACTAATCACTTTTTCTTGTGTATTTAGTTTTAACTGATGTATATTTTTAATTAAATAAATATATTTTTCAATAATAGATAAATTTTTGTGATAATTTAAACTCGATTGCGAGACATACATGAGTTTTAAAGTATCAACATTTATATCATTAATGGTCAATGATGATTTTAATATGATAATGGCAGCTTTCATAGATTTTGTTATAAAGCGAATCTCATCAAATAATTTGACGTATCCCATTTCTGAAGTACCGCGGAAATGTTGTACATATTCATGTAAAATGGCATTTAACTCTGGATACATAATATAAATTGATGGATCAACCAATGCAGTGCAAATAGCAGTTTTTAAGTTATTCGGAATGATCAAGTTTGCAACTTCTAGAGGAATTAATGAACACAACAGTTGCAAAGTCATACAAATAAGATGCAAATATGAAATTCTACAGTAATCAATGTTATGATAATTTGTTAAATACTGTAGAACATTACCAAGAAGTTCCATGATAACTTTAAGATCTTCATGAATTTTACGGGATATTTCATCAGAGCACATCCAGATTGAAGGTGTTACACTAGCAATAAGTAGTTGTAAAAGTTCCCAATTAAGATCCATCATATTTTTGGTATCTTTCATTGGACGATAATAATAATCATCGATTGGTATATTCATCAACAATTTCAAAATGTGACCTAATGTTTCAATACAGTAATTGGGAATTAACATTTGTTTCATTTGTAAACTAGATTCATCTAACAAAGTACTGTCAGTCACTGTTACAACTGCATTTGATGGTTGTTGATATGATGCTGCATTATAATTCATTTTTGAAACCAATTCTTCATAATCTTTACCAAACTCGTCTGTACTATTTTCTCTTCCATGATCCATAGAATGAGATAGAGATAGAGAATCATTCTTTTTCCCGAAATATCCTTGTTTTCTATTCACTATACTAGAATCACGATAATAGTAAATACGGAACCGAAGAGATCGGGTTAATTTATGTAGTGTTCGTAACACCATTGATGTAATACATGGTACATCATCACATTGCGTATTTTGAGGGGTTAAACAGCACTGCTGCAGAAGAGCTTGAAGAATCATAACAATTGATGGTCTTTGAAGAAAAACTTCTGCTGGAAAGTCTTGAAGCATGACATTTGATATAAACTGACATGTACGAATTATAGCATTAGTATTTGTATTAATACTTGAATTTAAAGTCTCTTCAACTGCTGATAAAACACCGTAATCTGATGAAACTAATGGCTGCCAAGGAAATACGAGCCATCTCAAAGCTTCCTCAACTTGTTTAGATACTACAGGAGTAGTAGATAAATTATCAGAGGCTAAGCTACTAGTTGTTTTATTCTCACCAATTTGAAGATGAGATATTTGTTCAAAAAAAGCTTTATCAACTACGTCGTTTGCTTCACAATAACTTTCGGTCCCTTGTTCATCGATGAAAGCTTCATTAATATTTTCTATTATGTTGTTTCCATTATTTTTACTAACTTCATTATTAAATTGTTGTGAATCTGCGCTAGTATGAGTTAACTCAAGCTGGTTTGATGATAACAATTGTTTTGATACAGCTGATTCAATATCATTTAATTTACCATGCCATGTGGAATCTAGTTTAGTTTTTAACTCAGATAATTTTCTTCTGAACTCAATGTTTCCATAATTATGTGCATTTAATTGATTTGTCTGTAAAAGAAGAATACTTTAAATATGAATGTATTGAAAGATAGGTAAAGAAATTTAATAATATGCTTACATTAATTAATTGATGAATTAAATTTAAGATTTTATCAGGAGAACAAGGAAGTGATTTAGAGATGAACCAGTTGAAAAGTTTGTGAATGAATTCTCTTTCAGTTTTTGGAGAATTGAATTTAAAACCATCGTCCAATTTTGATATTATATTATCCAATGCTCTCAATTTAATTTCATCAATATTATGATCTATTGAGTAAAAAAACTTTAAGTACTATTATAATAATAATGATTGCAATATAAATTTCTAAACAATTGCTGCAATTTATAAAGAAATAAGAAACTTAGAAATTATTTACCTAGTTTTTCTAAATGAACTGCACTTATTACATTGGAATTTGACATATTTTAAAGTTAGGTAAAAACAAAAATAATTGTTTTTATTAAAATTAATACTTAAAATATGTAGTTAAATGAATATCAAGAACATTTTTTAGGTTGCAAACAAACGCTAATATTTAGTAAACATCTTCCTAGACTTTCCCGCTAAAAAACATTTTATAACCACTATTCGTGACGGTTCAGAGTATACCATCATTCACAGGACTAGTTTTAACTGATTTCTCAGAAAAAGAATATAGCTTTGTAGATAAGATTCTAAATAAAATTAATATTTTGATTTGCATGAAAAATAGTAATTGCTTAAAAAAACAGTAATTGAGAAATAAACGCTCAATTCACGTAAAGTTATATGTCGTCATCACAGATCGTACCGACACCTACAACTGTCAGAAAGGAGCACATGTTGAAGGAAAGTACGATCAGAGAAAACAGACGTGTGTAGAACTTCAATGCTGCTCCGTTTATAAGGATTACTCCAGATCACTCCAATCGGGTTAAAGGCCTACCTGGCTACATAACAATACATACTGAATTTTCTGTCCACATCGACCCATTTGAAAGAAACTATTCTATTCACGTTCTTCTTCTTTGGTGTTGACTAAATAAATTTAAAGAATGAATATTAAAATTTTTAGAATAAATGAAAATGATCTTTTTTTTACTAAAATCAATTGATTTGTCTCAAAAGTATTGTATTACTACTTACTAGAAACTTTAAATAATTGCACTCAAAAGTGAAAGAATGTTAGAAATTCTTTTCAGCAACTTAATTGATACATGTTGGCGTGAAAAATTGAAATAGATATGTACAAGAAAATTATAAATAATTGATATTTTATTAACATCAAAGAGAATAATAAGCAATGTCTTTAATGATATCAAAGAACAACTGTTAAATATTAAATTAAATAAGACATAAATAGTAAATACAATATTATTAATTGATGTTATCAAGAAAATTGTTTTATCATTTAAAAGGATTCTAAAAAAGTTTACAGAAACTATCGGGTATAAAATAATTCATGTTATCAAATAATAAAAAAAAGTTAAAACGAACATTTTACAATTATTTTTATTAATCTCACTAATTCTGATATTTATTATTTTATTTTTTTGTACTTATTTCTGAAAATGAATAAATTAATTCCAAATTTTCTTTTCGAATTCTTTAATATATATCGAAAAACGTCTAATTTGGGAACTTGTAAATCACAAAATTTTTCAAATTCATCAACAAATAAACTTTTATGGCAAACTTTGACTTTGCAAATTATTTTAATAATTAGTCATCGTTATTTGTGTCGAAGAATTTTCCACTTTTTTATAAGTAATTATAATCGCTTTCTAAATAATCACTCAAAATTAAACTATTATCATTATTTGTAATAATGATATTTCTACCATTGCTACTGTATTTTTTATTTATCTCATTTGAATATACTATTTTAGTAACAAAAGTGGTATCGAATGCTAAGAAAATTTTTGGTTGATTGTTAATAACAAACACTTAATTCTAGCTGGTAAATCACGATTATTATCAAGTGTATTAAACTGCCATAGAGTAAGCATCAATGAATGCATATAAGAATTTGAACTGAAGTATACTATTAAATATTTTGGAAGTGATTTTGGTAACGATCAGAATTAGTATCAGATGAGTTATTATGAGTTGATAAATCACCAGTATTACAAGGTATCGTAGGGATTGTTGAACCCTGAAGTGTAAATCCGTGGTAATTATTTTCTTCTTCAGTTAAACGTGAAGTAGAATTCAAATTTGATGATGACAATGTATTCAATAATAATACTGGTGATTCACGAGCGTTATTTACCATGTTATTTTGAATTTCATTTTCTAAGTCATGATTATCAATACTTGAATAATTACAACACTGAGCATCTAAACTTATCAGACTTGTGACATCGTCAGGATTGGTTGTAGAATCAATACAACAATCTACAAATGGAGGAAAATCAAACGTTGGTGAAGGAGTAATACAGTCGTCTGCAGAATGATTTTTAAATTCCGATTGATGTGTACTATCATCTCCATCAACATCATCGTTCGTATTCATACACTCAGAATAAACCTAATGGAAACATTTTAAAATTATCAAGTTTTTATGATATAACATAATTTAATTATTAATAGTAATAAAAAAGAATTCTCACTTGTGGAATTATTGGTGGTGGCAGTTTATAACATTCCATGTCATCACAATCAAGATTCATAGGAACTCGCTGACTTTTCGAAATAATTAAAGGAGATTTTGTTCTGGCATCATGAACTTCTTTTTTTATTCTTTCATGAAACTCAATTATTTCGTTTTTTAAAACCAATGCTTCACGAACTATTTCATTATTTTTTGTTTTCAGTTCATTCAATAAAGTAATGTCTTCACACATCATATGTAAACTCTACCCATTATGAACTTTGAATTGATATTCACAAATAATTATTTATATTTAAATAACCATATTTACCTCACAAATAGTTAAAGCTGACTCCCAGGTATTTGCTGGCACACGTTCTCCTGACATATAAGCGTTAAAGTCCTTTTGATTCATGTTTAAAGATTCTGCTGTTACATTTTCAATAAAAGAAACGGCACAGCACTATATAAAAAATAGTTTAGTTATAATATATCTGATTTCTTCAATCATGAATAAATAAATAAAATTAAATATTAACCAAATTAGTAAAATAATAACCGCCTTCACCCGTCATCAACCGACTAGCATTACAAAATCTTGTAACAAAATTTATATTGCTTTTAAGTCTAGCTGGGTTAGCTTTTAATACAATAAATATTAAAGCAGGAAGAAATTCATCTGCAGATGCTGGACCACCAACAGATTGTTGCAGCAATTGAAAAATATTACTGCAGCAGTTAACAACACATGCAAGCTTTTCTTGCGGAGCTTTAACAGAATCCATGTTTAATAAATCTGTAAAATAAAAAAACAGATTTTGTTTGTTAATATTTATTACTAATTACATTCATCATAAAATAATGAGTAATTTGGCTACAAAATTTATTTTTATACCTGTTATTGATGTATATACTAATTCTCTTACTTCAGGACTAGTTTCATGGATTCTACATTCTAGATTTTTCCCACTTACCCAACTTAGTTGTCTGATTCTATGAAAAGAAAAATTAAGTGTTTAACAATTAAATTGATTTTTCAGATAATCATATTGTTATTTAATCCATTGCTAACCTTTTTTGAATAGCTAAATCCTTCTCTTCATCAGTAGTAAAAGGAGGACAAAATAACACCCTATAAAGTAGGGTCATTGAATACCTTTCAACATAGTCTAAAAGACGTTCTTTAATTTTAGGTGATGTAATGCTTGCATAATTTGGACTATTTTCCATTCGTTTAACAAATACTTGGTAGAAATTTTGAGTTATTTCCGATAATTCTTCGATTTTTTTAGCATTGCGGTTTTGTAAAATATTGCTAACTAATGAATGAATACATTTCTTTAAATCTTTTTCAACTGGTGTACCAGCAATCATTGACATAAGATCTCGATTCTCAGCTTTTACTTTATCAAGATCTTCGTTATTATGTATAAGTTCTTTCAACAGTTCATCATAACTTTGAGCTGCAATGAAAAATCAATATTTTTGAACTAATCTCATAAAACAGTACTTTGAAAAATATATTTATAATTACATTTAGCAGGAGGAGGTTTCCAAAATGTTGATATACTCAATAGCTTATTTTTTTTTTCCTGTTGAAGTTTTTTTCCTTCACTCCTGCTGGCACTTTGGGTTTCTGGTTTTGAAGGCGAATCTCTGTCAAAGAAACATTAATTTATGATTAAAGTCAATAGTTGACAAATGAAAAATTAATTTGATAAACAATCATGAAAAATGTTTACGTTTCATGGTGATGTAATTTAGTTTCACGTGCTCGCTTCTTTTGAAGATATTCACGATAACATTTACTGCAATATCCTTCCCACTCATCATTGCCATAATAACCACAACCATTTTTGCATTTTAAATCAGCAGCATCAATTCTTAAAGAAGGAGTTTTAGTAGCCCACATTGCGCTCAATAGTTTCACTTTTTTTGAAATAAGTATATGATCTGTGAACTATTGACTTATTCTATGAATCAAATTTATGACTAACCCAATTCATTGATTAACTGTTAATGGCAAATATTTCTTGGACTTGATTCTTAAAACTACAAAAGTCTACAATTTTTTTTTATACATCATATCAGTAAATAAGTATGACGTTTTAATTTGACACTATACCTAACCTGTATCGGTACACAAGAACTCCCAAATTAATTAAAAAGATTTATACATATATGTATACATGATGAAGAGCTGTGAATCATTATCAAAAAGTCTTCTTTCTGTCATTACACTGCAGTAAAAATGTTAGTACATAGAACATCTAATAGAATGATTACTACACACAAGCAAAACAAACGATGGTTATGCTGATTCCTTCTTCTTCATGTAGTTCAATTCAACGTAATCAACCTAGAAAGAGGTTGGCGCGAGTTTTGAACTTCCCTTTACCAGAATGATTTGTTGTGAAAAATAATAAACTAAAAAATTTTATATGTGTACTTATATTCATTCAAACTTTATTTATTAAACGGTGACGTGAATAATTTACAAACATAATTTCACTTCAAAGTATAAATTATTATTGAATTCGCATGAATCATTTTTTCCATTTAAAATTTAAATCAATACCAGAGCCAAAACATATTTTTTTCATAAGATAAATATCTGTATAAGCACTCATCAATTCAATAATAAAAGCAAGAGTAGCACAAGAAAGACCACAACTCAAAATTATGAATGCAAAAATAAGATTATTAAATTTAATTGAAGCATAAACGAAAACAGACTTTGCTTCTTTCATTTCAATTCTAAGAATTTTTTTTGAATAATATTCATCGTCCCAAAATTGTTTCAATCCTGACTCCCATATTTGCATGATTGCTTGATTGACTTTATCGAGTAGAAACCAATTTGTACGAACGTAAAAATAACGATAAAAAAATCCGAATGATTTTTGGCTTACGTAATATAATGTTTCGTTCGAAGCTTTTATACGAAGCAACATATGATTATCAATGCATGCTGCATTTGTCTTATTCTTCAAAATATTCCAACATTGATTAGTTGAAGTAAAATTGATATCATACATCATGGAATAGTTTAGTGAATATTCACCATACACTTTATCATAACCGAGAGATTTTAAATTCTCGAGAGTCTCTGGATGCTTTTTTAGTACTGGTTTAGTTAAAAAATTCGTTAGGTTTCCATTGAATGTTGCTTGAATGATCAAAAAATATATGAAAATAATGCTAAAAAACATTCTGAGTGATAAAGTTTCCATTCTCGTGTACAGACCAACATTAATCAGTAGTCGAATAATTTCAAAAAGAGCAAAATAAATCCGTCGTTGTTCAAATAAATATATAACAATAAATGTAATTAATAGAATAAACATAGTAAACAGTAGCATCCAAATACCATAAAAATCTTGAATCTTTTCAAGTGGAGTTTTGTAACCACGATTAATAGTAAGAATTCCCCATTGATAATAAAAAGTAGGAAATGTACGTTCAAAATTATAAAGATAGTGAATTGATGATGTTGCCGTTACTCCTCCACTAATTATATCGACATCTGATTGGTATAATTGTTTACCAAGTTCTTTTTTGTCGTGATGAATTAGATGTGTTTGGGAGAAAAAATAGAATCTTCCATGTAAATTTAAAACCTTCATTATTCCTTTCATATACCTATACTTCGATCGATATTTTTTATATAATTTTGATCGTTTTGATTGAAATTCAGATGAATTCGTTCCTAAAATGCCAAAGACAAGACAATATCCATCTAACACTTTAGTTCGATTAAAGTCTAATGAATATTTTGTCATGTATTCTGAAAAATATTTAAACATTCAATATTATTAGTTCCATAATGTATTTTCAAATAAGTTTCTGTTCTATCACAGCTTTCAAATGCAAATTATTTCTCACCCTTTCGATATTTTTGTACTAACAACGTCCAGTTGTTATACAAATATTTGAATCTACGAACTATCTGCCATGGAAAAGGTGCCCAGTTAGAAAAAGGATTAAATGTAAAAATCATTACATCTCCATGTTTGTTTAGACATAAAAAATATGATATTATTCTAAATTTCCACATTGTTTTTAAAATATCTTCAGCAAAAAGACATTTATCCAAGGAAGTGTCTATTATAAAAAATATTGGCATTGGATTTATCCATGGAGACTTCAAAAAATTTTGTAATGTTGTTGTTAACGTTTGATTGTTATATCCTTTGATAAATAAAATGACTGAATCAATTTTTTTCAGGTGAATAAGTGTTTTTTCTGTTAAAAACTTCTTATTTGATAAAATTACAGCACTTCTTGCTTGAACATCTTTTAGTAATTTGAAATCGATTCTTTTATATTTATCATAAGGAATGATAATTGTTTGTGGATGTACAGGAGAACTGTATAATGATTCAGTCTAAAAATAAAATGAAAATATTATCAATTCTATGTATGGTAATATTTCTTTAATCTTATTATAATTCTATTTAATGATCAAAACGTACCATTATATCAGCTAGACGTGTCTTACGTTCAGAATCTGATTCGTACAATAATTTGATATTATAAGTCATAATTACAGACCAATGATATGCAAAGATTATTGAAATCATTCCAGCATTTTTCTTAATAGAGAAGTACATTTTATTCAGTATGAATACAACAAGTAATTGATATGATTACGTCAGTTTACCTTTAATCATTTTCATGTTGATAATATATTTATTAATGCAATTAAATTATGAATAAATTTCTATAAAATATGTAATTTACTGGAAATCTGAAGCATGTAATTTATTTTATTGAGTGCATTGTTGATCTTTTATCTTGAAAACATTATTTATTAATGCAGATCCTGGAAATAAAATAATTTTTATTTTCTGGATTATGAAATTCATACGAAATCGATATTAAATAATAATTTTATAAAAAATAAATGAGTATGAATCGTTGAACAACTTTTAATTCGAACAATTTTATAAGGATGTTTTTAATTTATTTACTTTCAGAAACATTTCGAATTAAATTATATTAAAAGTAGGTGATGAAATTGAGATCGATGCACATGTTCGTAGTCATATGTATCCGCATACAGAACGAAAATTATTTTGAAAATTATACACTAACGCCATCTTTTTTAATAACATTATTGGTGGTTTCTTCAGTCGATAAAAATACCATTGATTTCTCCATATTTGTCGATGCATAAAAAAATTTCGATGAGAAAAAATAAAAAGAAAGAAACGTGTAAATAAGTAGCATAAGCGATTGCCAAGTTTTTTAAAATTACAACACGTTTTGTGCTGTCAAAAATAATTATACATGAATAGTTGTGAATTTTAATTTATAAGTATACGTAATGTCTATTATCAACATAAATAACCTAAATTGATTATTAAGTGAGTGATGAAACAATTATTTCAACTGCTTTAATACGATTGAATGAGTTCACACTAGTGTATATAATAATTTGGGTAATTTATCAATGTTATGAATTAAATCATCATCAAAAATTAGTTCAATAAAGGTTTGCCATATGCATAGCCATATTTTTATTTGTTTCTCATAGAAACCATTAATAACTAATTTTATGAAATTTGATTTACAATAATATTAATTTCAGATATTTTTATATAAAATGAGTCGCTGACATTATTGATTTTGTAATATTAGATACAAAAAATTACTTCGAGATGAAGCTCATAGGAAAAAATATTGACAGAGACGGTGGAGGGTATGTAAATGAAATTTAATAAAGAAATGTATGGAAAGGATAAATTTCATTCAATACAATATATATACTGAATATGAATAATTAAATTTCTAGGTCTGTTACACTCATACCTGAAAATGCAGAAGATATGTGGCATTCCTATAATCTGATAGCAGAAGGCGATTGCGTTTCAGGATCCACAATCAGAAAGGTTCAGACTGAAAGTTCAACAGGTAGTACGAGTAGTGCGAGAGTAAGAACCACTCTAACGATTTCTGTCGAAAATATTGACTTTGATACACAAGCATGTGTTCTAAGGTTAAAAGGTAGAAATATTGTTGAAAACCAGTATGTCAAGGTAAAATTTACATTTGAATCTTGTAACTTTGAGATATTGAATAAAACAATATGGTTTTGTACTGTATAATTACAGATGGGAGCTTACCATACTTTGGACATTGAACAGAATAGAAAATTTACTTTGAAAAAAAGTAAATGGGATTCAATATCTTTAGAAAGAATAGATACAGCTTGTGATCCTACTCAACATGCTGATGTAGCAGCAATAGTAATGCAAGAAGGTATCGCTTATATCTGTTTGATTACTGCGAATATGACTATTGTTCGTGCCAAAATAGATCAAGTAATTCCTAGAAAAAGGAAAGGTATGGTGTCGCAACATGAGAAAGGATTAAATAAATTTTACGAGAACGTATTTCAAGCATTAATGCGACATATCAATTTTGATATTGTAAAATGTGTCATTATTGCCAGTCCCGGTTTTGTAAAGGATCAATTTTTTGAGTATATGATACAACAAGCAGTCAAAACAGACAATAAATTATTGATAGAGAATAAAAGCAAATTTATGTTGGTACACTCAAGCTCAGGCTTCAAGCATTCGTTGAAAGAAGTGTTAGCTGATCCAGCTGTTGTTGCAAGAATATCTGATACCAAAGCCGCAGGTGAAGTAAAAATTCTTGAGCAATTCTATTCTATGCTACAGAATGATCCAGCACGAGCATTTTATGGCAAAAAGCATGTTTCAAAAGCTGCTGCTGCACAAGCTGTTGAAACTTTATTGATATCAGATAAACTGTTCAGGTATTTAGATTTTTACTTTTTTTATTATGTCTTGTTGTAAAAGCCAGACTTATTGTTATATAAAATTTCTACTTTTTTAGATGTCAAGATGTCTTACAACGAAAAGAATACGTCGAGTTAGTTGAAAGTGTTAAAGATGCTAATGGAGATGTGAAAATATTTTCAAGCATGCACGTTTCTGGTGAACGTAAGATCGTTTTTTTAGAATATTTAATGATAAGATAACATGCTATAATGTTGAAGTGATTATTTAAACTAATTTTTAAATTTATTTATTTTTCAAGAACTCGATCAGCTCACAGGTGTGGCTGCAATATTACGTTTTCCAATGCCAGAGCTAGAAGATGAGGACAGTGACAGTAGTAAATCCGAAACAGATGATTGATGTTAGTTAATATTTTTATTACAGTATCTGATAATCAAAAATTGTCCTTAAATGTATATGTATATTTATATTTATACAAATCGAATATTATATCTTGTTAATATACAAATTTTATTATTAATTTTTTTAGATATTATTCTTATCATATTATCCTCCAAGTTTTTATATTGTTGAAGTTTTCAATATAATGTAATTATAATGAATGATATTACTTTGATTGTAATTATGAAATGTATTGATATAATTTTTGAACAATACTGAATTTAAATATTACAATAAATTAGTATAAATTAAAATATTAATTAACGGCAATTTGACGTTATTGAGATTTCAACATAGTTAGAGGTAGTGAAGTACATCGTGTAAGGTTTGAATATGTTGGAGCCTTATTAAACATCCATTTAACCAATGTTGTATTGTTAGTAATCATTGCGGCTTTCAAATATTCTTGATACCAATCATTTGTGAAATCTATATAACATCCATACTTTTGTAATAACTCTAGACAAACTTTTGTTGATGACGATTCATTTGGATTTTTTAAAGATGCATGAATAATTATACAAAGAGCTGTTTCATTAGAACTGGTTTTCAACCACGGATCAGCACCTTTAGATAGCATAAAAGACATTAAATAAACATGTCTATGACTACAAACTCTGTGGAAAGCCGTTTTGCCATCAATTCCATGTCTAGTATTGATTAAGTATGGACAGTAAGTAATTATTTCGATACATTTGAAAGCGTTTTTCTTGATGTAACATCTCTGCAAAATGAATTAATTATATATACATTAAATACTGTATAAGAAAGTTATTAATTTTCATTCATCTTCTATTTAAACTCCTCATTTCGATGTTACATACTTCTGCAGCAGCATGTAATTCTCTAAGATATTTTAAGTGATTCATCATCACATGGGTTTTCATATCATCACTGATACGCTCATTTAAATAGTTTTGATCTTGTTCTGTCAATGATAATTCATTACTCGTTAAGGACAAATCATTATTGGTTTCATAATTTTGATCAAAATGATGGTTTTCAGGAATCAGGGAAATTACATTCGTTTTAATCATTTTACGTTTAAATAATCCTGTAAGTTAATAAGTAAAATTTTCAAGTAATAGGTTTTATAATGCACAGAAATGTAATAAATTAATTTATACTTTTTATGTACAAAAACAACATCATTTTACACGTTAAAATAATAAAAATAAACCAACTTGTTATAAATACTATATTTATATTTTCTAAAAATTCAAACATGTTAACATATGTATTTATGTATTACTTTATGTTTTTTTTAAAAAATGGATATTATTACAACAAAGCATGAAATTTGTAAGAAGTTTTCAATAATTATCAAACTTCAAATTGAATCCTTTCCAGTACAATAACATTTATTGCCATCTACTGTTGGTCATTGTTTTGTTTATGACAAAAAGAGAGCGCTACTGACTACAGTGACATCATAGTATAACCTGTTATGCACATACAGCTGAGTGTGTTTACTTTTGAGTTAAATGATAAAAAATAGTGTTGATAGTCAATTAATTTGTATTATAAATTTTTGTTAATAATATAAAATTTTTTATTATTAAAAACGAAGAATTGATTCAAGTAATTAGGATTTTACATATATAATAAATAAATAAATATTAGTAAGTATCTCCAATATCTGCTTCAAAGTAATTTACGCTTTTGTTAAATTAATTATAATTGATCATGATCGACTATTTAATCCTAGATGTAAATTTTTTTACAATAGCATATTATTGATAATAGTCATAACTCTATGTGGGAAAATCTATAAATTCCAACCATATGTTTGTAGTAGGGACTCAATGACAAGGATGTCAACCACAGCTTGAATCTTTGGTGAGAATCTAGCATGTGCTTTGAAGACTACCGCACAATATTGATTGTTTTAACCTAAAAAGCTTGACAGTATTTTCCAACAATATATAATCATGCATTAGCATTAATTCCTATGTTTTTGCGGCGACTAAACCACTTTGTCAATTATTAATTAAGTTTACATTACAAGATTATTACATTATAGTCATTAACATGATTTGTATCAAGACACATACATTCCAAACATTCCGACATCAAAGACACCAAAAGTTTCCATGCCATTATCGATTGTTATCGTGCGCAGGGGCATGCGTGTCCTATATTCACGAGCATATAACTTTATCAGTTGTCTGCTTGGTGTTGGCATTAATAGTTGCTTTACCTTTACCCATTCTGTGACCGCAATGATTTTATTTTCCACTAATTATCGGGATATAGACAATTTCTACAGGACGAAGACCTCCTCGTGCGAGTCACGAGGTTGTCCCGTCATTCATCACACTGTGACACTTTAACTCGTGATGTTAAATAGATCATCAGGAATAGCGCGCTGTTGCTCGTTGCAAGCCACCTTCGGGCCGCCGGAACAAAGGCGGACAAGGCGACTGCACGGCCTACAGTTGCCGTTGCATCCTCAACAAGTGGCTGGCTGGATTGTCCTGGTTGGCTTAGCTACCAGTACATTTCTTCTTGTTGTGCCATACCTTGGTTCACCTCTTCGCCAACCTGTCACATGTGTTCTTATTGGTATTCTCATTACTCACATTATTGCTCATCTTACTGCTCTCCTCCTCGATCCGGCTGATCCTCAGGTGCGAGAGCAACCAAGCAATATAGTGATACCAGAGTTTGATCGAACAAAGCACCTCCACGTTATTGAAAATGGTCGTTGCCACCTTTGTAATATAACAATAAGTGGGAAAAAAACAAAACATTGTTCAGTTTGCAACAAGTGTGTTAGAAACTTTGATCATCACTGTATGTGGCTTAACAATTGCATTGGAGGAAGAAACTATTTTGCTTTTTTAATTTGTGTAATTTCTGCTATTATTGGGGCTTTAAGTGTTGTTGTATTAACAATAGCTGAAGTTACAACAGCTCTAGAAAGTCGACACTGGAACGTTACCATGGACAACACCACACTACCTCTCTTGCCATTGCAAGGAGGTACAAGTTCTTTGGTGATCATTTCTGTGATTGGAATTTTATCAGCTATTGCTGCTATTTTATTAATACATCTTTGCTTTTTTCATGGCTATATTGCATGTCTTGGACTTACTACCTATGAATATGTGAGGAACAAACGAGAGAAAAATGCTGTAAATAATGCTCTTCAACAGCATACTGTCAATGAATCTTCTTTCTGTGTGGAGCCTAATCGGTATCATTTTTGTAAATCTGTTGTTCCGACAGAAAATAACCCTCCAGATTCTAATCAAGTATTCATATGCTCAACTCATACTCAGTTAAATACAGTTAATAATTCAATTGCAAGAGATAAAAAAAATTTTCATTTATATTTCACTTATGAAACTCATAATGATGCAACGTCCATTGAGTTATCATCTCGATCTCTCTCAAATGAACAGCGACAAACTATTGGACAACCAGTCCAAGATTTAAAACCATCAACACCATCACCAGTGTCTTGTTGTTTCACTATTATGAATCATCACTCTTGGTCAGAAAAAAGCAAGCAAAAAAAATCTCGAGCTCATCATTCAGACTCTGATGAGAAGCTTATGACTAGATGCACCACGGTAAGACGTATTCAAACTTTTTTACGAACGAGACTGAGAAAAAATTCAAGACTACGAGATATTGAGACGACTAAAACTCGAAAAAATCGTATAACCCCATTAACAAGTCCTGGAATAGCTGATAATAGTTTAGAAATTCAAGAGATAGCAATGACTCCGAAAGAAGACATTGAACCAATACAATTAAGTCTTCAAAGACCTCCAGTAAGACTCCCGCCTCTCAATCTTCCGTCCAGACAGCGATCAGAATCATTGAAAGCTTGTGAAAAATCACCAGAGATTGTTTTTACATTGCCTGTTAATAAAAGAAGTCAACAACTAAGAGTACGCCGTCCTTCATTTCATCGCAGAGCTAGATTTAAGATTGGCTCACATATGACGCAGCCTGCTCAATTATCACCAATACCAGAATCAGAATTATCTAAACCTGCATCACCACGATCATCACCGCATTTCAAACATTTCTCTTTTCCACCTACAACTGTGGAATAGTTAAGAGACTTGACACACAAGAGTGATAATTGAAGTTTAGATAAATTTTACAATAGTGCATTTACTTGAAATTTTCCAATTTATCATTAATAATAATGTATAATAAGTATACATAAGATGAGATAATTTCTAATAGCAATCAATCAACGAATAGGAAATTATTTCTATCCGTCCTCTGCTCAATTCTGCAATAGTATAGATGGTTTTGTATTCACTAGTATTTAAAGGTACTCATTTTTTAAAATAATTTTTCAAGAAGTCAATTACGCTTTTATTATCGATAATAATATTAGTAACGAATCAATTACGTGAAAAAAAATTATTTTATAATTTATAAAACATACATTAAGGCCATTTACATTAACAATTGAAAGCTTGATGGAGTAAATGGTACCTGGCAGAGTCGGACACGACAAGGGAAGCCAACTGTAATTCTATAACTATTGGTGATAGTTCTTTTATTGTTGCGTGACAAAATAATACTTTGCGTGCAATGCTTGTATTGCATTAGCTCACGTTACTTGTTCTGTAACAATAGAAATCGGTTTTGAACGTTAAACGTTTGATATAGTTTACAAATTCAATAGGAAGTCATTGACTATTTTTTGATATTAATTTTTAAAATCATCCACCTAAGTAGTCATCAAGAAATAACTTTTATTACCATATTCAAATTTGTCTCACGTTTGAATGTGATTATTTTTACATTAACTCCAGAGTGTTCACATCAATAATAAAAATGATATAAATTTTTGATATGATAAGCTATTAATAGCTTTCTAAAAGTTATATATCAACTAAATAAAATGTTATGATGTCTTATGAAATAATATGAATTTATCACGCAGCGTCATTGAACTATATAAACATAAATTCATTTCATTATTTGAAAAAAATATTACTACAAATTCTCATAATAATAATAATCGTATTATTGATTTTTAAATAGACTTAATTTATGTTTGATGTTAAATGATAATTTATTTTTATATTTTTTATGATAAATTATCCTTTAAGAATCTAGAAATGCAATTTTTCAATAAATTTTCAATATTGTCATATAACATTTTACATATGTGTTACTGTTATTTTAGCTCTAATCTATTCTATTATAATACAATCATAATTAAGAAAAAAAGAATAATTATTTCAAATAACATTTAAACAAATTTTATTAATACATGACAAGTATTTAATTATTGATATGAATTAAAATGATTTTAGATTATGGCAGAATCCAAAAATAAATTCAACTTTTGGAGAGATGTTCTTGGTGCTCCACGTTATATAGTCGCCCCAATGGTTGATGCCAGTGAGCTTGCATGGAGATTATTATCACGGCGACATGGTGCTCAATTATGTTACACACCAATGCTGCACTCATCAGTGTTTTGTCGAGATCCAAAATACAGGAAGGAAGCTTTAGCAAGCACAGCTGAGGATCGACCATTAATTGTACAATTTTGTGGAAATGATCCGGATGTTTTATTAGAAGCAGCTTTACTCGCTGAACCTTTTTGTGATGCAATTGATATTAATATTGGTTGTCCTCAAGCTATTGCTAAACGTGGGCATTATGGAGCTTTTCTTCAAGACGATTGGGATCTATTAGAAAAGATAGTTAGCAAACTTAGTCAGAATTTGCGTATTCCAGTGACATGTAAACTTAGAGTATTTTCTGAAATTGAAAAGACTGTAAGGTATGCAAAAATGTTAGAGGCAGCTGGTGCTAGTCTATTAACTGTTCATGGACGTACGAGGGAACAAAAAGGTCCTTTGACAGGTCTAGCATCTTGGAAACATATAAAAGCTGTAAGGTAAAAATTTATTAAATCATTTGTAAAATGAAAAATGTATTTTTTTAAACACTTAATGTTTGATAAATATTTCATAGTTAACCTGTTTTATTTAATGATTCAATAACTTAACATAATAATGAAAAAAGTTATCTACTCGGAATCTTGAAAAAAAAATTAATAAAATAATACTAGTGCGTGACAATATAAATATTTTTCCACGACATGGATCAAAATAACTTTTTTCTATTGATTACATATTCAATTATGAAACTAATAAGTATGACTTCGTAAAACATTTAAACTTTATGGTAGATTTACGTTGTTTCAAACAAAATAAAAATATATTTTATTGTTATGGATTGAACGATCAAATATGATAATTCAACAATGATTATTTCTTACAGAGAAGCTGTACAAATACCCATTTTTGCTAATGGTAACATTCAATGTCTTCAAGATGCTGAACAATGTATAAAAGAAACTAATGCTCATGGAGTTATGTCAGCGGAAGGAAGTTTATACAATCCTTACATTTTTGAAGGCCGCAATCCGCCGAGTTGGGAACCAGCTGAAGAATATCTTGACCTAGTTGAACTCTATCCAGCTCCACCTTCGTACATCCGTGGACATCTCTTCAAAATATTCCAACATACGTATGTCTTTAGTTCATCATTGACTTGTTAAAATAGTTATTAAATATTCAGCATGCTTTTAACTAGAGTTTAGACTTTGTTTAGCAGAAAATGCTGAAGAACGAGCTAACCTTGCGAGAAATTCAACAATGGAATCATTTAGAGATGTAGTTGCAAAATTAAGAAATCGATATTTGCCTTATCATGAAGGTAAACTTATTTGGAACCCAGAAAATAGAAGTACGGATTATAATTTAGAGCTTCCACCATGGCTGTGTCAACCTTACGTTAGAGAATCACCTCAAGAGCATATTGATAAATTAGCTGCAAAAAAAATCGAACTAGTAAGGTTTTAATGAGTAAATTGTATTCAGAGCTGAAGATTTTAACATTTACTTTGTTTACAGGAAAATGCAACAAAACGAGAATTTCTTGATGAAGAAGGGAATAAAATATCTCGAAAAAGATTAAAAAAGTTGAGACGCATATCACGACGTCCTAATCGATCCATTCCATCAGTCAGAAGAACCTCAGACTTATGTAACTCTTGTCCAAATCCTCTGGTTTGTAAAAAAAAATTTTAACAAGAATCATCATTAATGGCAAGCTCTTTATATTAACTTTAAAAAAATTTTTCACAGGGCTCCAAGTGTGAATACAAGCTCTGCCGTCAGTGCTGTAGGAACAAGTGCTTTAATGAGAACCTAGATTGTACAGGTCATAGAAACTTAACAAAAACACGTCGACAAATGGCAATTCAATTTACCCTTAAAAGAAATGATGCAAAAAGTTTGACATGACAAAGGACTTGCTACAAAATATTTTAAATAAATATTATGTACATATGTATTAAAATCTTCCAACATTATTTAACTTGTATTTTATATACAAGACGCCTATAATTCGAATTTATAATAAATAATTATTATTTTACACATGTACACTTTATCACTGCAATATATAATTATCTAAGCATGTGGAGTAGCAAAGATTTGATATAAACTATCAAATCTGCTACCACCCTTTTCTATATCTTTATGGTTTAATTGTTCTAATGTATCTTTTTTTGTGCTCCAATGTTTCTTGCTACATAACATCATGATCATCAGTAAGGGTAGATGAATTAAAGAAAATCTGAATAGTTTTCGAGAATTCGCACTATCTGATTCTTTATAAAATCGCCAGGCTAAAAAAATAAGTTAAATAAAAATCATTATGATTGAACGATAATTTTCAAAAATTTTAAATTGTTATAAAAACATAGAAATTTATTTTACTTCACCATATCTATGAAACTTACCTAAATAAAGGAAGTATGTATTGAGTGGTGTAGATAAGATTGCAAACGACCAATTGGTAACATCTAAAATTGGCGCAAGATATGAGAGACCGGTAAGTACCGCTGTATATCTTAAAGCCGTCTTCCGGCACAAATCAGGATTAGTCACAGCCATCATTCGATAACCGGCACGTGAATAATCAGGTCTTAAATTCCACGATAAAGCGTTAAAATGAGGAAATTGCCAGGCATATAATATTCCAGACATTATCCAAGCTCCTGGTGCTAAAATGTCACCTGTACAAGCAGCCCAACCCATTAATGGTGGTATAGCTCCAACTGTAAAACAAAAATTAATTATACATAAAACTAGTCAGATTTATTTAGCTATTTTTTTACCTATAGATCCCACCCACGTATTGAGGATAGAAACTCTTTTCATTGGAGTATAAATAAGCGTATATAAAATAAGATTGGTAGCACCAAGAGCAGCAGTTAAGCCATTTACTTGAAAATTAAGTAAAGAAAGTCCTGCTATTCCAGATGCTGCTGCAAAAAGGATTGCATGTCCGGGAGTGAGGTAACCTCTTACTAAAACTCTATTTTTCGTTCTAGACATTTGAGCATCGAAAGGTACTTCAAAAAATTGATTAACAGAATTAGCTGTTGCTGATACTAGTCCTGTACCAACTGAACACATTATAAAAGTGTATGGATCGAAAACACCTGGTGCTATTACATAACCACCCATTGTTGTTATAACTACTAAAGCTGTAAACAAATTCTATTGTTATTTATGTCATTAATTTATTACATAGAGCTACTATATTGTAAAACATGTACATACAGGTTAAACGTATTTTTGATAGCATCAGACAGTACTTGTGAAGTTTGGAATAATCCAATTTTATATCCTTCCATTCTTCCTTTTTTCTTTTTGTAGTTTCAAGTGGAATCTCTGAAAAATTGATATTTGATAATACTGCTTCGGGTGGTGATAAAGCTGCGGGTTTTATCCTTAGATGAGATTTAGAATTAGGTGATGTGATCCATGGTTTCTCTTTTAATTTTGGTAATTCTTTTGGTGCTACTTTTGTTGAATACTGTAATAAAAATTATCTTTATAATAATTGCTTTAAATCAATTTAAAAATAAATAAATTAAAACTTACTGTTACAGCGATAAATTTTTGTAAAGAATATGATTTATATTTACAGAGTCTTAAAGGAGTCAAGATGAATATCATGATCAGTTTATAAATTGTTATTAATCAATTGTCATTCTGAAAACACATTACTTTAATGATATTTTAAGTTACATATTTATGACATAACGAGTCAAAAAGTAAAATCTGTTTTACAGCAATGTATAACCTCACCTTTGTAATGTTAAAAAAGGTTATTTTATGTTTGGAGCAATTAGTGACTTATATGCCATGATAATCCATAAGATTATTTATATAATTTAAATCTTTTATCACATAACTATAGATAACTCACAAAATTTTGAGCATGAGATATAAATAAATTTAGACACATGCGTTTTTATATTGCGTTCATATATCAAGTGACACATGTAAATAAACTTCGATCATAATAGATCTCAAAGTCGGCATTTTATTCGAATCTCATCTGGTAAAATTTCTTCAGAACCGTAATACACAGTGGAGTCTTTACATGAACATATGATTAAATCACGTGATCAAACTATACTCAATGATGTATATTTAAATAAAAATTTGAAATGCGCGCGCAATTCAAGGTGCAACAAATCACGATACATTCCTGAATTCAGCCGGATCGAAATTCTAAGAGAATGCATTTTAAAATAACAAATCATTAGATCGAAGAATTAAAATCAAAGTCTGTGATTGGATGTTAGGAAGTTCTGTAAAAGCCAATGAACGTGGCGTAATTGTTAAAGCAAAGATTAACACATGATACCTATCTTGTAAAGCTCTTGGACTTTAATTCGTGACACAACAGACACACACTTACTTTCCTGCTTGATTCGATTCATTCGTCCGTCAATAGACGATTTGTACGTAAGTCTTGTTGAAATTGATAGTCTCTTTATACTATTCTTTAGAATCATATGACAGTTGAGATGGAAAGCAATAAAAATATTGGTCATTTTGTGCATCAGTTTTCATAAAACTAAAGTAAGTAAATAACTCTAATTTTACTTTTTAATCCTTAAATTCCCAACTAATGCTTATGTACATATCTTGTTCTTCAGGTTTCAATCGTCTTCTTGATAATCTCCGTTGTATCTTAGCGGCATTTGGTATGGCGACAGATTAGTTTCATCGTGCTAACCTAATATCTGAATCTTATCATGACAGAAAGTTTAATAAACGAGTGGTTAGCTGACTATGCTGACATTTCATCCTTAGACTTGTCAACCTTTTCCGACACTCTATCACAGGATAATGAGATCGTCCGAGCACTTTATGTACTCCTTGAAGAACGGAGTAAATACAGTGAGGTATAATAAAATATTTTTTTAACGTCTAGAAGAAACGCCGGAAGTCTAAGAATACTTGGTATGAGATTCTCCAATTGAGTGATTCATTCAAATTGCTTACATCATTGTCTTATCTATATTTGTGTAATATTAGCTCATTTATTTATAAAATATTTAGTCTGTTTTTTATTCTTTACAGCTGGTAGATACTGTTTGTAACCAGTTATTCAATTTTTACCGTTCTCGGGAAAGCCAATTACAACGATTTACCCTGCAGTTCGTTCCTACTCTCGTCTTCATTTACCTCAATTCTGTAGCACATGGAGATATCAAGGTATACATACGCATTTATTTATAGCTTTTATTTCCTGAGTAATCAAAGCCTGAAAAATGTTTCATTGTGATGCGCAAATATAACAAATTAATACAATTGTCATTGCATAATTGAAGCTCTCAGTAAATTCATAGTTATCTGAAGAGTCTGTCACGTCAGCGTTAATTATACATAATACTACATTAGATTGATAGCTGAAAAATGGTAATTAAAATGCTAATATAATCAATATGATGTTTTCAGAATTGTCGCTCAGTTGAGACCTTGCTCATTGGTCTTTATAATCTAGAAGTAGTAGATCAGTCTGGTGAATCGAAAACTGTTTCATTCCGATTACCTTCTTTAGCTATGCTATCAATTTATCATGAACCTTCAAGTCTGGCACCAGCTTCTCTTACCGAAAGTGCAGTCCGACGTTTTGAAGAATGCAACTCTAAGCTTGTTAGTTGGGGTCCACTTCAACAAATTGAAACACTTAACGCTCAGAATAGGTTAAAAGTTATGACGGCACTTTTGTTTATTTATAACCAACATCTGAGTTATTTTAGCAAGTCTGCGCTGGAACAATTATGTAAAGTTGCCACTAAGTATGATATTTCATTTGACTATTCTTTATTATTTAATGTGGTATGTAGACAAATAAATAAATTATACATATTTATCTGCAGACTCGTGACACAAGGATTTACAAAACAAAGTCATCATCAAAGATCGTCATATGGTAGCGAATCGAGCTTTGTACCAAGACTTCTTCCACGTATACCCGTGACTAATCAATTTCTCTTGGAGTTATTGCACGGGATTTATTTCGCAATGTACAATGATTGTTGGTATGTTAGCTGCCAAGCAGTGGAAGATATTCACAACAGAGCATGCTATGATGCATATCCTGATGTAATGCTAGTAACCAATGCAATACGTAACTCATCTGGATCTGGACCTTCAGGACCTTTAGCTGATGGATCTATGAGTATCAGTGTAGCTTTGTCACCTGCCACTACAACTCCTACCATATCTAAATCAATGATTACCAACGCATCGTTTCGAACTAAAAAATTGCCAGGTAAATTGATAATTTTTTTTTACTTAGTTTTTTACTTTAGTTTTTAGTCATTGAATGTAATTAATAAGTGATGGAACTTAATCATAATTACGATGGCTTGGCTAAATGTCTCGTTAGACGACCTGGATGCTAATTTATTTGATGCGGAAGAAACAAAAAGTGTCGAAGAAAAACCACGACCTTCTCCAAGTGGAAGTAAACGTCGAGTGTGGCTACGAAAGCACGCACACCAGTCTCTAGATGATGATGATGTTGCTCAATTACGCAGTGGTTCTTCTTCAATTGATAACTCTCGTAGAGAAAGTTTAGCAAGCAGTCATGGATCTCCAAGTCGTATTTCACCGAAAAGATTACGTGATAAAAAACCAGATTCTCTAACAGATCAAGTTATTCGTCGGTCACGAAAAGATGATAGTGATTCATTACAAAATGAAAATCGCCTAAGTGCCGGTGCTAGATTATACCGAGTTCTTGAAGAACAAGCACTTGGCGAAGCTATTGTTGTGTCTATGGACACTTTATATGTAAATGGAATGAAAATGATTGACAGAGGCAAGCCCACGAGTCTCAGCAATACTGGCGCGCTAACAAGCCATTCACGGTACCAGTAAAACCTTGAGAGACCACATTGGCTTCTCTCTCATTTTTTCTCTCGTTGCACAAAAGTAAAGCTTTCAGCTACACCCTGCCGTACATCAAATATTTCTTTCAACACTCAACAAGGATGTGTGAATATTTATATACAAATGTATATTCAAGTATTAAGAGCATGAACTTCTCGATATAATTGATAAAACACTCAAATTATTTTATTTCAGCACGCTTTATATATAGGTTTAAAACAAATGGTCAAAGCTATAGTCACGCAATCGATTCTCACGAATCCACGTTAGTTTCATTGATTTATCATTTTTTAATTTGATTAATCTTTTTCAGATGATATTCCCATTGTGTCAAAAGAAGATCTTAATAGTGGTGAGCCCAAAGCAAATCTAGTATCAATAAGTGAAGAGCAAGATCCGAACGAACCAAATAGAGCTGGGTCAATGCGTCAAAGTAAAGACGGTTCAAAGAGCGGGTCAAAGATCACCAATTTCAGCTTGTCAAAGAAACCACGTGAGAAGGACATTAAAGTATCTAAGAATGGTTATGTAACGACAATAGACAAAGAAAAAAAATTGATAGGACAGTCGTCTAAAGACAATGTTAAAGGTAGTCGAGTAATATTAAATAATGAAAGTGAAATTGATGGTGTTAATGGTTGTACAGTTAAAAAAAAGAATGAAAATAATATGGGTAATGATACAGCAACGAATTATACAGATGGTGAACGACATTTGTCAACAGATAGTACGGATAATGTTGAGTTAGATACTCCGGTAAGTCTTCGGGTCCATAATGATCAAGATCAGCTTGTTTCATCTGTCCAGGTTAGTTCAGTTTAATGCATTACTAATAATGGAATCTTATCAAACGATCTCTATAGATGAAAAGAAAAACGAATAATCAATAATTTGAGAGTTTCTTAATGATGTCTAGCAAGGGACAATGGTTGATTAGTTTTCATGATCAACAATCACTGTTGGCAATAATCAATATAAAGTCTGTATCTAACGTTTAAGTTTACTTACTCATCTCCTAATGGTGCCTAACATTTAGATTATTATCATACATTAATCATACTATTGTTTTGATTCATCATCAATATTTAATAGTGTAAATTATGTAGACACTCATGTGTTGAAATCCCATAATTTTTTTTTGTATAATACATAATCAATTTATAATCACTGCCATCTGGAATAAATTTGTAAGATATTTTATGACGTACATTTCTGTATGAGTTATCAATCATTTTACATGACATATTTTCCAAAAACATACTTCAAGAATTAAAATCATGAACTTGAAAAAAATGTCATGCTAATATCATATTATATTGATCATCTTTGTTAGTTTATTGAGTATATACTACGTCTAAGAGACGTTAATAATAGAGCATCTTATTAGCTCTTTAATGAATTAAGTGTATGTATGTAAAGTATGTTATATTGAAACAAATGTTTTATGCTCTATCCAATTGTATATTTTGTTTTTAATAGATTATCGCTATCAAAAATGAACTTTAGCAAGTAAACTATAAAATTGTTGGCTTTGTCTAGAAAATAATGAATATATTGACTTGCAAGTTTATGTAATTTTTTTGAGGGTACAATATTTTTCTTGATTTGCTTGTTCACTAATAAAAATTGATTCTATACGAAGAAAAAAATTATCACCACCAGTCAATTGCAGTACTTTATAAATTAGTGTATATAAATAGTAATTATTATATTTTATTTTATTTAGATCTATTCTAATAAGAAAAAAAAACTATTTGTACTTATCTGTTAATTAAGACATTTCAATTTGTTAATAATATTGCTCAGTAATTTGCGGATTCTCGAAATCATTCCACTTAATTTTTTTAATTCAATATAATTGTTAAAGTATTTATTTTATTCATATTATCGTTGAAGTTAAATCAATTAGTTAAAATGTGTTTATGTAAATTTATTTGCAAACAATTATTACTACTAAATGAAAAATAACATAAACAATGTCTAGAAATAGAGATGATTTAAAAATATTACTCGAAAGTATGTTACAATGAACTCGTACAATATAGCAATCTGAAGACGATAAAATAAATAATCAATGATATTCTTGTTCTAAACAGTTTTTTTCATATATATATATAACGAGTACAAATATGGAATGATAATAAGAAACATGCCCTGTTTTTAAAAAATAAAATCTTTTACAAAATTGATTCATTTATATCTTAATTTGATGAATTGAAATTTAATGAATGGAATTAATTATATAAAGCGAGTTTTTTAAAGTTGTATACACTAATATTTTAAACTTTAAATTAATATTAATATAGTTTGTGAAGAAATGATTAATGAAAATGAATCGATATTACAATAAATTTCATCAATAAATGGTCCAGTTTTTCCTAAAAATATATATATTAATACTAGTCTAAAAGGATAAATTATATATATATATATATTTTAATCATTAAATCCTTTGGGGATTTGATGCAATATGTGAATTTCACAAAGATGTAATCATAAAATTGAAGATGAAATTTTTTGTTCAAGTAATTTATTATTAAATAAGAATTCAACTGACAAAATTATTTTCATTCTTCAAATGTAAAATACATACCTTAAAACCACTCTTTAATAAAGTCAAACTCTATACAACTTCAATGTTATGTGTTTAATTTTTGTCCAAAAAAAGTTTCGATCCAAAAAAAAATATTCTTCACTTTTTTATAATTATTTAATGATTTCAAGACCTATAATTATAAATGTAGAAATAAATTCGACCAAGAAATAAACTTTCTTCATTACGAGTCTATTGTGATAAAATTTCAATACTCCAGAAAGTTTGAAGATGAACTAAATGAATGTTGGTTTTTTATAGAACATAGTCTAGTTCATATCTTATATACTGGTTCTTTGGATCATTCATGATACGTGGATAGCCAGCTACTAGAGCATCTTGTCCACCAATGTACAATGAGTTATAAATTTTCCAGTAAACATCACGGACTTTCCTAGCTGGATGAAATAATCCTTGTAATGTATATTGAAGAATCTTGATAGGACCTAATGCTACCCTAAGACCATCAACAGCATCCATAAAAGCTTGTACAAGATGAGGCGAAGTTTCGAATACATTGGGCCATACATGATTTAACAGATGAATAAGAGCATCTTCACAACCAAATCCATAAACTCCAAGAGCCATGTGCTTGATTGCAGCACATGCAGTTTGCCGATGCACTAAATCTCTATCCATTAAAGCATCTTCTAATAATGGACTTACAGCATAAATATAATCCTTTCCCATTTCTCCAATATACTCAAATAAAAATGATAAAGATTTAAGGACACCATTTTGAACGTTTAACTCGGGAACTCTATATTCATTCATGAGAGCCGGGAGAACAGTGAATGGACTGCAAGTTTCTGCGACAATAGCAATAGCGACAGTAGTACAGACACGATTTTGACGTTCTTGAACTTTAAGATTATTCAATAGAGTTGCTAGAACATCATGGGGACCAATTGCCTTAGCAATGTAACCAAACGTATTGACAGTAGCTCGTCTAATAGCTTTTTTATGTGCCTTTAAAAGTTCTAACAATTCGAAACAAATTCTCATCCATTCCCTAGCAGAAACGTATTCTGGGCCACGATCAGCTATCCTTCCAACAAGATCAATACAATTTTCTTGAACTTTTTCATGTCTGTTTTTGAGAATTGGTGTGAGTCGTGGTAATAGATCTTTAATTGGTGGAGTCATTTTAGTCATTCCAATAACATTTACAATAGCTTTAAGAGCTCCAAGGATGCTACCAAGTACTTCAGGATATTCTTCACCAAGATATTCGTAAAGAACAACACCTAAATGGCCCATGAGTTTTTCTTCTTGACAAGTTTTCATCACAACAGCAATGCGGGATATTAAATCAGCAGCTTGTTGTCTAACTTTAGCTGATTTATTGTTTAGCCTCCATAGAATGGTACCACAAATCTGTGGAAGATAAGCTTTAACTCGTTTTCCAAGTGTATTAACGATTGTACCGAAACCATTCAACATTACAACATCTTCAGTCGTCTGTTCTTGAAAAGCATATAATATACCATCAATCAACTGTTCTTCTAGTCGTGAATCAACATCAGCTGCTCCTAAATTTCCCATTATCTTCTCAATCGTTTCCATAACCATTTTTCTGTATTGTTCATTTTCATCCTTCAAATCATCAACAACTCGATTAATGATTTCTGAGGCACCTACTTTGTTTGCAATTTCTACAGTTGTGTCAACTAATTGTCGGTAATTTCTCCGATCAAGAGCCATTCGGTGATTCCAGAAATGTTTGAAGAATGGGGGTAATATTTCATCTTTAATATATTGAGCCTCTACACCATCAGTTCCACAACATTGCTTGACTACTTTCAATACTATCTTTTTCATTTCCTCATCGGGAGATTGAAATTCTCGGATAAGAATCAACATTACTTCTCGAGTGTAATAATTTGCATATTCAGCATCCATCAAAGGAATCAAATATCCAATAGCTTTGAGAAAAGCAGCCAAACCTTTACCACGATGAGTTCGAATACCTTTCCAAAGTGGTTTCAAAACAGAATCGAAGCTCTCGATACCATAAGGTGTAGCTGCTTCAGCTAGAGCAGCAATAGCCAATGCCGTAATTGTTCTGACCTTTTGTTGTTCATCTACCAGACCATGTTCAATGATTTCTACAAGACTTTTTAAATGAGGCAAAATAGCACAACCCATAAGAATAGCAATTTGTTGTACTATTTTGATACCAGTATGTCTTGCTTGCCAGGATTTTTTACTCCTACATACAGCTTTTAAGAATGGCAATAGTGAAGGTATACCAAGAGCAGATGCAACGACTGCAAAAGCTCTAGCAGTAGTATTTCTCACATATTCATCAATATTGTCGATATCTGGTCTCATTGTTGAAATCATAGTAGCTAAACCCGCTGCTTTTGCAAGATTGGAAATAATTTCTCGACCTTCAACACGAGCATAATAATCTTCATCGATTAATAAAGGTTCAATTACTACAAGAATTTTGTGAACGTATGGTCGTACTAAATCATCTAATTTGTACAAAATACGATCAATTACTTTAACCAGTAGATGCCGTTCTTGATCTTCTAATGTTGGCGACATCAAAAGAGGCAAAATCTGATTAAAAAGTGGTCCGGCACCGAATTCTCGTGCTTTATCTGTAATCTGTCTTAAAGCTGCTTTTCTCATCGGTGGTGTACCATTTTTTATTTTAAGAAGTAGCTTCATAATCTTTCGTTCTTTCTGCTCTTCTGGACTAAGGGATTCCTCGTCTACATCTACAAGTAGTTTGTCAAAATACTGAGCATCTTCGGGCTTCATGAACGGTAAGTTTCCTTTAGGCTGATTATCAACAAATTTCGCACTTTTATCTTCAGTCTGAATGAAAAATCCTTGAGGTGTACCAGCTATAGGAGTTGGTGTTGCTGTGAGTTTTCTTGCTGGCGTACGAATGGGTATATAACCGGCTGGAGGTTGAAGCACTTTATATCCAGGAGGGAAAAGCGCATCTAATTCATCATCAGAGAGTGGTCGATTTCTCTCATCAATTTCACGTTCCCAACGGTAAGCTTGAAGTTGCTCTGGTGTCATAGACATTAAATGGTTGGGAGTAGGTGTAGCTAAACCCATAGCCTTAGGTCCAGTAGGTGTTACTGCACTGGGAGTCATAATGGTTGTTTGATGAGGTGTTGTCAACGGTGTAGCTGGTGTTTGTGGTGTCATTGAACCAGGCGTTTGATTCGATGGTGTTTCATCCCATCTACTTCGACGTTTTGATGCTGAAGGTGTTGGAGTTTCTTGAATAAGATCACCAGCTACACGATCAGTGCGAGGAGTTTCTGCCCAGCCACTATTGTGTCCTGGAGTTTCTCTTTCAGTTTTCGGAGTTTCATCCCACCGATTCCTTCGACTTGAAATAACTTTATCATGTGACGGCGTTTCTCTACCGGGCGTTACCGCTCCAGGAGTAGCATGACCTGGGGTTGCGTCCCACATTCTCGTACTGACGCCAGGAGTTGCTCCAGGAGTCTCACCTCCTTTCCCATGACCTGGAGTTTCATCCCATCTTACAGCTGCTGGTGTTACCTGTTATGAATAAAATAATTAACTAACTAATTGATTTTTATCAATAATATCTAGGAAACATGATAAAAATGTTAAATTTATCTTACGTCAGTATTATCCCACGAAGTCGGAGTAGCAGCGGTTCCTGCAGCTTTTTTTGCAACTGGAGTATCATCGGTCTGATCCCATCGACCACGTTTTTTTGGTGCTGCTTTTGGTTCACCATTTGATTTAAGAGTTCCATCTTTCGTTTTTTCAATAATTTTCTTTCTCAACTGGAACGATAATTGTCAAATGTCAGTAAAACTTTCAAAAATTAAATCTAAGTTAAATAATTTAAAATATATAAACTCACCTCAGATTCTTCTCCTTTAAGCATCTGCTCTCGCATAATTTCTGTATAAGTTCGGGAACCAACATCTGGAGTTTTACCACCTGTAACCACGAATCAAACGTCACGCAAAACGTAGCGATTAGTAAAAATATTTTATAAAGGTTAGAAATTAATATAATATTTATAAATTTATTTATCTTTCGATTCCCTAGTCCAGTCTAAGATTTTATGATTTATATGCCCCTAATAATACATCAGTTGTAGTTCAGAAACAAGCTACTGATTTCACTCTTACTTTCTTTTTTTCAAAATTGAATATACATCAACAAATTCGGAGTTAATACTAATTTAATATGATAAAAAAACTGTATTTACGAGAAAGTTTAAGAGTTACAACAGTAGCTGAGGGCATTCATAAATACGTACGTGAGGATTAATGGCCACAGGGAGCACTGTCCTGCTCATGTCTTCCACATTGATAAATACTTTAGCCATCTAAAAATCAACTCATTCTCGTTATTAATAATATTTGCATTCAAAACCACTCATACTAGTCAACTGAATGTCTGAAGTAACGCACAAAGCTTGCAATGAATCTACCAAACTTTCCTCTATGATTGATAATTGAATAAAAATTTCAAAAAAGATAAATGAAACGAATAGTACATATCTATATAAATATATGGAAAGTCTAATGTTATTTTGTGAGCAAGCTTTGTCGCAAAATAACTATAATTCAATGTCGGTTTTAACCTTCGACAAAATATCCTGGGAAAGCGGAGGATTCCACATGTGTTGACCATCACTATGATTGGAAAAAAAGTAATACATTAGTATGTATTATAAAATATTTTCCTCATTCATTCTTCACTCAATCGCTCCAAGATATAATTGACGTATTAATAAATGCCGGAATTCAACTATCAAAGCATGATATTAGCGAGTGTACTATTTAAAAAATAATAGAACATTTAAACTCAAATAATGATAGTAAACAATGATTACCTGTTACAATCCTAGCATAACATTATTATTAATTAAAGTTCATACTAACCTTCGGCAAATGGATCAACTCGTTCAGGTGAGATAATCATACGACGGCGTTTTTGACGATATTCATCTTCTCGATCAGCTATGGTGGGTCGTCGTCTATCCGCAAAAGGATCATATTCTTTTTCACTCTGTAAAAAAATGTTTTTAATTTAATAATCATTCAAAAATTGTAAAAAAAAACAATCACAAATGTTCAAAACATTGAATAAATAAATTACTTGAGCGACATCATTGAGTAAGGCAGCAGGAGCTGTATAACCAGGCCTTTTGTTTGTAGCAAAAGAGCTTGGTTCATAATCTTCATCATCAATTTCATCATTGGCTGCAATTGATGTAACATAGCCATCATATTTGTTGTTACTTCCATCATAAATATCCTGATCATAAAATCCTGTTTTTCCAAGTCCTACTTGATCATTTTCTACAGCTGCATTTTGAATTTCCTTTTTCTTCGATTGAATATCTCTAATTTGTGCTTCGATATCTGCAAAAATTAATTCCACCAATTTAATAGTTAATAGTCATAATTATTAATATTTAATATATTGTTTAATAGTAACGAATATAATCGAACGAAAAAAGATAAGTAAAAATTTATGTACAATAACAAATGTACTGATAATGTATGGAGTGTATTTTCATGTGAAACAAATACATAAAAAATTCAAGTTAAGAATTGGAGTACCTTCAAGTGTTCGTGGAATGGAATCCATGATGCGGCTATTGAGTAAAACCTAAACAACGTTGATAGTAATACTTTCACCTAATCCTATTGGTATGAAAGATATATGTAACAACCGACTTGGATTAATTAATTATATATTTATTATCGCTGTTGATATAATTTTTTCACAAATTATTACTAACAAAATGACTCTAATCATGATCAATTGTTCGCCATTTTGCTGAATATGATTTAAAAATTGGCCGCAATATGGAGCTGAATCGCTACAATCTCAGTTGCGCACGCATCATTTATTCTTCAATTTGATTGGCGTAAACTGAGCCAATGAATTTTTTGAAAAATAAACCCGCGAAGGTTGGAAAGCATTTTGAATTGAATTTGTATTTCTATAATTTTGAATAGTTCCTATTTAATAATTATTCAAGAGTTTATTGATTCATTTGATTAATGAACAATTTAAGGATATTAAGGTATATATTGATTGAATTATCTCCTAAATTCGTCTATCTATGATAAATATATTCTGCTACACAATGAACAATGACTCATCAGAGTGATTAAATAGAAGAAAAAACTATATTTGTTGGCACGATCACCGTAGCAACAACAGCCAATACCACTGATCACCCTCGAATCTATTTTTTAAGCTCTGCAAAGATTAATTCTGTTCAATCAATTCATTGAAATGATAAATATTGCGCATCCCAAAGTGATAACTAAACCACCAGTTAATAAAGTTTATACTGGGAAAAAAACAATTAGAAAACCTCAAATTTTAGAAAAGAAAAATAAACAAAAAGAAAATGTGTATAATAGTAATTCCGAAGAAAGTAAATGCATAACATGTGCTGATTGTTCTGAACACGAGGATCGTTCAGACATGGTTATAAATCTTCAATATTGTAATTCTACTAGTGACTGCAACCAAAACATCATTGATTCAGATGTATCTTCTTTTAAACAATTCTGTAATATAATTAATGACTTGGAGCAGACATTGACAAATCATCAGGAAGTTGTTTCTATTGAAACCTGTTGTTTTCCTACAGAGAGTAACTCGGTGAATATTCATGTTAAGTATCTAAGCTAAAATTATTTATTTTAATTTTCTTTCTATTTCATATAATAGTTTAACAATTAGATTAATTTATTTTTAAACTAAATGAACTGTATTACACTTAGATCACTCCAGAAAAGGATGACATCGCTATGGTTCCCGTTGGTTCTACTTATGATGATATTATATCATTTTTGAATACTCTAGAGCAGCATATTCAAATATCTGACACTCAAGATAATTCTACCAAACTAGAAAAAGATTTCGAAAAGACATCTGTTGAATTAAAGTCAGCTGTAAGAAATAATCAGAATTTAATGTGTGAAAATGGTAAGATTAAAGATGAATTAGATACAGCACTGCTTCAGCTCGAAGATCGTGAAGCTACAATTAAACTTCTGAAAGAAGAATTGAAGTCTGAAAGAAAAGCAGCATGTGAAAAACTTGATCTTCAGAAACAAGATCATTCTAATGAGTTGCTTAAACAAAAAAATAAATATCAGAATATCATTAAGCGCCATCAAAAGTTCATTGAGCAGCTTATCGAAGAAAAAAAGACCTTGACTGAAAAATGTAACACTTTGACTCAAACTATTAAAGATATGGAAATAAAGCAGCAAAAAGAATTGAAAATGGCCATTGAAAAACAGTTGATTGAAATACAGAGAACTAAAGAATTTTGTATGGCTTCTGAAAAAATTAGACGAGAACGTTGGTTAGAAGCTAAGACGTCTAAAATTAAAGAGATGACTGTTAAAGGATTGGAACCGGAACTAAGAAACATGATTGATCAACATCAACAAGAAATTCAAGAGATTCGTAGCACCCACATGAAAGAACTTCAAGAAGTAGAATTGAGAGCAATTAGACGATCAAATCAACAGCTAGAACAATTAAGAATTGAACTCACTGATAGTCATAACAAAGTTCTTATTGATGAAAAAGAAGCCATAAGGCTGAGATATCAAGAAAAGTTTGATCAGCAGGAAGATTTACTTCAGTCACAACAGCGTAAATTTTTCGAAGAATTGCAAATAGAAAAAAAGAAGTTTCTTGAAGAACAGGCACGAAGAGATGCTGATAGAGATGAATCTATTAAGCAAATCGTAAATCAAAATCGTGAGAAAACGGAAATGTTGATGAAACAATTTCAAGAAGAGAAACAATTGTTAAAAGCAAATCTGGAAGCTGAACGAAATGCATGGATGGAAAATTACAAAAGTCAGCAAAATACTAAATTTGAAATAGCAGAAACAAGAATACGAGAAGAATGCAATCGTGAACGTGATAGGCAGATTGAGTTAGCAATTGCACGTTTGGAAAAGGAAACACGAGATGTGAAGAATAATTTACAAGCAAATTTTGATAAAAAGTTTCAGAATATGAAAGAAACATATGAAACTGAGTTGGAAGTGTATAAAGACAATGAAAAATTGATGAAAGAAAAGCTAAAGGTAACACAAGAAAAGATTGATTCTCTTGAAATGGATATCCAAAAAGCTGAAAGTCAATTGCATAAATATACGGCAGATTTGAGCGATGCGAATAAAATGATAGAAAAAATTACTAAAGAGCGAGATAATGCCAAACAGATTGTAAGGCAAGAGATTGAGTGCGAAAAAAGAGTACTTATGGATGAAATAACTTCATTACAGCAACAAATTAAACAATTAAATGCTAATAGAGATTCTCATATTTCTCAACTATACAGCAGGATAAAATTGATCATAACACAGAAAGATGTAATGATCAAAAATGTTATGCAAGAAAATAATGATGTTAAAAATAAATGTGAACATCTCGAAAAGTTAATTAACCAGCAACGTAAAGAGTATATATTAAAAACTTTGTAAGTTAAACTTTTGTAAATGAATTTTTAAATCATATTCTTAGAAAACAAATTATTTTATAAATTTATGTGATGAATATTTTGAGAGTGAGCTTTTGCTGCATGATTTTTTATAAAAACAATCAATTTCTTGAAGTAATTCAAATATTTATAATATTAAACTTTTTTCACAATTTGTACAACGTCCTCATCATTGAGAATATGATCTTTTCCAACTTTTTGTGGTTGATGTTTTACAGATGAGCCCCATACGAGTGCACTGTAATTAAGAGTAATTAAAAAATAAGAATTTTTAATAAATAATAATTATAAGAAACTATTTATTGTGTTGATTAATAATAAACTTACTATTTAAACTCTTTAGCAATTAATCGATGAAGTTTATTGCAAAAATCTTCAACTGTTCGCCTATCTCTGTTTAGTACGACTGGAGAATTGTAATCAGGTAATTGCCCCTTGGGTTTTGTATATCTGTGTGTAATAATTCAATTAAGTATCTATTTAAAAATGAACAAAACGATTCTATAAATTTTAATTCATGTGATAGTTTTTATGTACATTCTTACAAGCTGAAGATAATCCCACATCTTTTCTAACAAGTCATCAAAATTCCATTTATGATGAGCAGAAATCGGCACACAGTGTGGAATTTTATAAATAATATCTAATTCTTCGATACTGATTTGATCTATAAATGAATGATTTATTAAAAGTATATCATTTTTATTTATATTGATTAATAAAATAATTACCTATTTTATTTAACAAATAAATGCAAGGTATATAGACACGGTTTCCTTCAATAATGTCAATGAGATCATCAGCACTTGCATCATATCTGAGCGTAATATCAGCATTATGAATTCTATACTCTGATAAGATGGATTTGACAGTTTCTAAATCAAGTTCAGATTGAGCACACTAATATAATTGAAGCGAATGATTACTAATGGCTCGGATGAAAATAATCAATGTTATACAAATAATTCTTACCATTGTTTGCAAATTAATACCTCCTTTTTCCTTCTTCCTGAATATAATGTTAGGTGGTTGCTTATTTAACCTTAAGCCAAAGCCCTCTAACTCATGCTCTATAAGTCTTTTATGTCCGAGAGGCTTTAGGACATCTAAGACAATGAATATTAAGCTGCATGTTCTAGCTACGGCAATGACTTGTCTTCCTCTACCCTTGCCATCTTTAGCACCTTCAATAATACCGGGTAGATCGAGAAGCTAAGATATTAACCAAAAATGTGATATTTTTAATTAACCTGATAAAAATTATGTTTTTAAAAATATTCCTGAAATGAAAGTTATACTTGTATCTTAGCGCCTTTATATTTGATACATCCAGGAACTGTTGTAAGTGTTGTAAATTCATAAGCTGCAACTTCTGAATAAACTCCAGCTAAAGTACTCAGAAGTGTCGACTTTCCAACTGATGGAAAACCTACAAATCCAATTCGTGCATCTCCAGTTTTAGCTACTTCAAAACCTTGTTCTCCACCACCACCACCTCCTTTTGGAGTAATTAATTCTCTTCTAAGTTTTGCTAGTTTGGCTTTTAGCATAGCCAAGTGACCAGATGTTGCTTTATTTTTTTGAGTACGATTCATCTTTAATTGATTAATAAAAAAATTGATTAACAACTCAAAGATTAGTTGTTTAGTAGTAGGATATAGAAGAGATAAAAAAAAAAGAAATTTGATATAGTAAATTACCTCAGCTTCAATAGCTGCTATTTTCTCCAAAATAGTACTCATTTTGATGAATTTTTATTGATGATTGACTAATTAAATAATTCTTTGACGTCTAATATCACTTAAATCACAATACATATGTATAACCTTAAAAGGATATAAGCAGTTTCCACGTGCGTATTGATAGAATTAAAATACAATAGATTACGATTATTTATGGAGTAAAAATTTAAGAATTGATAATTAATACTCTAATAGCTTTTTAAAATATTTTTGTTATCAAGAATAGGATTAGAGATTATTCTATAAAGGATAATATGTTGCCAAAATTAATTTCACGAGCTACTCTGCTTGTTATTATTATGGATTAGTAGCGCCACCAAAATATGATAGCAGAATGGAGTAACAGCATTTGGCGCATGATCAGTAATTTTGCTTACTTCTAAAAGTTCCCTCCAAAAAAGTGAAAAAGTGTAAAGTTTAAAAGTGAAAATAATAGATAATTAACTGGATAGATAGTTTTTTAGTACTGGAGTTTGCGATTCATCATCGACGAAGTAAGTTTTTATCAAACTTTCAATTATTAGATTACGCCAACTTTTAAACTCATGCAAATAAACCAATAGCAACTTTGAACTTAATATTTTTGTTTACATACAAATACACTAATTACTTAGAAAATAATTATTAAATATTATCCTCATAAAAAAATGATTAAAAAGCCATTTTGATCATCATTCAGGTAGATAAATTAATGAATTTTAAGGATAAGAAAACAAATATTTTTAGGTTAAATTTTAATGTTATTTGACAGAATTATTATACATAATTATTTATTTCATTAAAAATACTGAAAAAATTGCTGTTTTTTATAAAAATAATAATATACTAAGATTATTATAATCATTATAATATAGAAATAAATAATAATATTAATGAGAACACTTGGTTAAAATTTCCTTATTCTACAACTTTTTTTCATTGACTATTTGTATTTAGTAAATTAAAAAGTTTTTTATTTATTATTACGATAACTATATAAAGTTATCAATATGATGATTATAAATCAAAATTTTAAAGAAAATGATGAACTGCTGAGATGATACGTTATTGAACACAAAAAAAATTTGATGTAGAACATTGGTAAATGATGATGGAGTAAGCAGACCAATAATTCAATAATTACCACTAAAAAGTTTGTCACAAAAACATTTTTCAACAACTAGCATTAAAAACAGACTAGTTTATATTATTTTGTGCTTTAAAAAATGTTCTTAATTGATTGGCCTGCTTGTGTTGGTGATGGTTAGGTAATGAAAATACAAAAAGCCAAAATATTTATGAGTCAATTGTTTTACTAATATTTATTAATAAACATTTCATATAGATTATTTGAATTTATTATAATTTAAATACGTGTCGCAATTGTAATTTTTGTTTTTTAAATTATTATTTACACTATTCAGTATAAAATGCGAGTTCAAGATTAAATCACACCACTATGGTTGCAATTATTTGAATATTTTATTTGTTTCAATATATTATTTTGTATTATACTTGATTTAGTCATTCAATTTTAGTGTTAGACACTATCTGTCATCGATTAATAATTATCAATGCTTGTACTCAGGAAAATGCGTAGGGGGCAATAGGGCAGTATTTTCGTTATCACTAGTATTGTTGGTATTTAATTCATTAGGGATATCGTTATTTATGTTACAATCTAGACTAAATTTATCGTCTAGTGGGCATTTAATAATATTAGGCAAGTGATTCTGCACATCGGTTTCGGGGCTTTTTATTAATTTATTATTTATTTGTTGATGGGATTGAGCATTTACGGCTTGAGCCTCGGCGTTTTGATGATCTCGGCCATGGTCGGTAGTAGTATTAGTAGTTGAAGTAGTAGGAATAGTAGTAGAAGTAGTATTAGTAGTAGGAGTATTGGTAGTAGCAATAGTAGTAGTAGTAGTAATAGTAGTAGTAGGAGTAGTAAGGGTTGGTAATGGATAGTAGCCGCGTTGTGTTATTGGCAGTTGTTCCGCCGGCAATTGTTGTTGATGCTGTTGATGATGATGGTGATGGTGATGGTGCAGATGATGATGATGCTGGTGGATCATTGCCGGCCTAGGTGATGATAACGGTGGTAAAGGCGGCGGTTGCTGAGGTGGCCGGTGCTGAAGTCCACCCTCCTCACTCGTCCACGGGGCTAATTGTTGTTGAGCTTGAATAAATGCATCACTAGAAAATAACAAGACTATGCGAGCCCGGCAAATATTTTTTACGAATACTAGTGCAGCATGCAAAAGAGACAGAGTCATATGACGAAGACGTAGACGACGTTAGAAACGACGACGGCGGTGACGACGTTGACGAGTGGCTTTTTTACGTAGACGACGATTCGTAGCATTTTTTTTTGGTATTATAAATATGAAGTTTTTATTATTAGGTGAGTGTATAGGAATGCATTAGGTGACAATATTTTCATTAAGAAAATTTTTATTTTCTGTGAATTAAATTTAAAAAAACTGTATATTTTACCATGATTAATACCAGAAAAAATTTTAAAACAAATAATTTTGTTAATCATTAAAAAATATTGGATTAAAAATAAAAATTTTTAGGTGAAAATGTTGAATCCTAATACGCACAAGTGTCAATAAACTTTAAAAGTGTATGAGTAAATATACACATGTAGGATAATGATGGTGACATAAATTAGATGCAGGGATCATGGTATCTATAAACAGCAAGCTTGAACGAGCCTTTAAAACCGAGGTGACCTCAAAAGCTCGCTCGTCTTCCATTGATTTTCTACGAATGACTGGTGCGCTTTGATTGGTAATTAACGCGGATACCTTTCGCTATCGGGCGTTTCGCCCCTAGTGTTTGAGCCTCTGTCAGGATCGGCAGTTTCATAGATTCCCTCCTCCTCGTGCATTTGATGAGAATGCTGGTGCGAATGCTGGTGAGTGCCGTATGGGCTTCGCGACGAAGCTTGGCGGTATCGACCGTAGACGAATCTAGAATCATCGTCGCGACCGCGGCTGCACCTTCTGCTTCTACGCAGGAGGACATACATATTGAGTTCAATACACATTCACATATTTCTGATTTGTATTTTTACTAGCAACCCTAATAGAAATCATTTAGGCTTCTCCAAATTATTCAAGTACTGATCAAAAGTGATGATAATTTATTAGACCTAGTAAGGCTTTTGAATGCCAATCAGATCTTGATCAGGACCAAAAAATATCTGAAAACTGAACTAGTTGTGTAACCTGTGAATAATAAATAAAAATAAATTCAGTTGATTTTTATCAGCAAATAAAATTAGGAATTAAAGTATTTTAAATAATAGAAAACTAAATATTTTTACTATCTCTGATCATCTAGGATTATTAGAGAGTCTGTTATTACAAATCATAAACTTGGAAATATCAACTTGAAATAGTATAATAAATCATACTGATTATTAAGCTTGTTCAAAGAATTTAATTGTGATAATTAAAAATCTTTAGAGCTATTTTAAACAGCTATATAATTGAAACTGTGGATGTTATTTACCTGATCACGACCTGGAGGTAACTAAGTAAAATCAAATTATCCAGAACCTTATTAATGCCTTGATTTTATTTCTACTAGGGAAGCATATGTGTTAATGCTAAACCGAGAGGGAGGGATATAAAACCCATCTACTAATCACTATCAAATAGTTACTAGTAGATTTAGTAGACAGTATGAGTTCAACTATTTGATGAAATGACCATCTTTAGAGCGAGGTGTTATACCTATCAAACTACAAATAAATTATAAAATAATTATCTCATTAATGCTCAAGCAAAATTCAATCAATAATATACTTCTTGTTATTATTGCGGTGTTTTTAAGAAAAAATGATAACTAGTTGTAACTCAGTAACACCTCGATTAAAAATATGCTTATTAGATAAGTTTTGTGTTGGCGTTAATGAGTTAATAGCATAAATAAACATTTGATGAAGCTAATTGAATCATGTATAGTTTCCTTCATGACATCACGTAAGCGTAACTTACCCTTGGGATGATTCACTACAAACTGATGAATCTACTCTGTAGTGACGATCGCCTTCACCCTCAGAAATACGCATATCCTCAGAACCGTTGGGACTCATGTGACGAGCTGAGTGGATTTCCAATTGACGCATAATGTCATCTAGATTACGTATGCGAATAGGACCACAGCTAGGCGGCACATCTTCATCATCGTCGTCATCTTGGTTATCAATGTTGTTGTCCGTTGGTACTTTGCGATACGCATCAGGATAACCACAATCTGCTAAAGATTTGTGAAGCACCTCATCATCTATTAGATTGCCAGAACTTGAAGGTGTACCAGAAATACCTCTATGACTTGATGCATTCCTCAACGCCTCTATTATATTATCGTGGTATCCATTCAAGCTGTTCAACGTTCTCTCGACCATGGCACTATCTGGTAGACCTGCCACATTATTTCCAACATGTTATCTCATTGCTTTTTGCTATTACACTGAGAGAAATATTTCATTCTATAGCTTACTTTTTTGCATTATTATAATTGACTAATTTTATTTAATATTTTTTCACCATTTTAACTACATTTTGGAATAACAGTTAAAATAACAACTTTTATTAGAGTTTACTTTTGATGATAAAATTATTTATTTGTTCATAATATAATTCGTTAAATATGAATTAACAACAGATTTACAACTACTTTATATGTATAATCAGATTTGATTATTAAATATTATTTTAATAAATTGAATTAAACTTCTCAATAAGTAATTAAATGATTTCATCAAATTCTTCGTGATGAATAAAATTTAATATTTTTTTTTTTTTTTCTATAGTCATTGTGAATTCGTAATTTTTTTTTTTCTTGATTAAATAATGGAAAGTATTTTATTCTTTATTTTATTGAAAAGTTCTTAATTAAGTCAAGTTTCAGCTATAGGAAAATGTTTCTCTCAGTATTAATGTCACGAATGTTCAAAGTACGCCGAAAAAAATGAGGAAAAAATTAGCAATCATTATGAAAGTATTCTGATCGTTTGTAAATTTTTCTTCCGAAGATTCGAGTTTTAATTTAATTCCAGCAAGTATGCAAACGAAAGTTCTACGGACTATTCAGGCATTACAATACCATAACCACCGTGTTTCTTTAAAATTCCTTTCTCAGGCAACTTTGTCAGACTGTTCGGAAGATCAATGAAAGACACAATCTCCTCAGTACCTCCATCTTCGTCTTCCATTCCCATCCTTTTCATCTGTGGTTTGTCCCTGCAATTGTAAGAATATTATTATTTTTATTTATTTGTTCTTAACAGTATTAGAAAATGATGTTATATATATTTTAAAGTATTGAAAAAATGTTAAATGTAAAATAACTTTTCCATTTGTATATTAAACATTTTCTGTTTTTTACATTCTACAACTTCTTCTTTGCTACTTTTTACTCGTAGCTACTAGTTTATTTCTTATCTTAACTTTTTAACTTTAAAGAAGGCATACAAAGTTCTTGTTGATTTTTCCTAAGGCCATTTGAACGATGAATAATAAAAACACGATGGCCTACTACTTTCGTATCCATTATTGTGGTTTTCAACTTTTTTTTAAATATCTATATTTTCAGTGATCAAAAACAAAAGATGATAGGATCGTTTTCAATTTTTATCAACTCGAGTTCTCCTCAATTGACTTTTTATCGTTTCCGGTTTCATGTTATTGTATAGTAATAACTCACTTGAGTCGGGATCCATCTGCTGTGACCAAATTGCCTTGCTGTTGTTGTTGAAATAGTACTCGTTGGGCATCAGAACTATGACAGAAAATATTGAAATAAGTAGAGATGGACACTGTTGGTCAGACAAGCAGTAGTGTAGTTGTGATATTAGATTTTCAGAGTGAAATAATTGAATATAAATTTATTGGAAATTTCTAATTACTAAAATGATGAAAGAACAAATCATTCACATACTTAGAAATTGATGGATGAAAATATTTTTAAGTTTAAATGAATTTATTAAACGTGATAAATTAATTAAATCTCGAAATTTAGGTCAAAAGGGTGTTGATAGGTCTTTCAAATGAGCTAACATAGTTTTAAAAAATAATATGCAAATAAAGAGTAAAAAATAAACAATTATTCACTTGTTAAAGTTATAATTTGAATAATTATAGTTAATAACTATTTGAATAAAACCTTTAATTAAATAAATTAATCTTGATGAATTGGTCTTTCATTGGATATTCCATTGGAAATCTAGTTATTCAGTAGAACTATCAAACAAAATACTGACCTGTATGTTGGCATGCTACCGAACGTTAGTATTTTGTTGACATTGTCAAGTACAGCGACCTCAGGACAATGATTACTCGATGCAGTACTGTATGTCTTTTGAGTTGGCTTCTTTGAATATGGTGGATCGTACTTCTGGATAGTACTCTTTCGTCTGTGAATCATCATGTGTTCATTACAACAGACAATTCAAATTACAAAGTCATATTAAATTATCACAACTTGATATAAATATTGATAAAGTGATGTATTATGTTATATATAATTATTATTTAAAATACAAACACTAGAATGAAGCTTTGATACATGCAAATTTAAATTACTGGAATGATATTAGAATTTTGTTAATTTAAAAAATATAAAATATTTTCAAATTATTTTATTACATTGAAATCAATTATTCAGCAAGAAGATTGATTAATTAAAATGTACAATGTAGTAATGAATTTTTTGTTCCAATTAATTGACGGAAAGAAAACATTTTATTGTGCATGATTGCATTCATGGCTCTTTGGCTATCGGGGCTACCATCTAATCATTGATCTCGCATGCGTTTGTTACATGAACAATCAACCAGTCAAATGGTACACCCACAACTGCCCTGATTTTTTTTCCTACCTTTATACGTGCGTATGTATAATTGTATATACATGTTTATTTGCCTTTACGTACGTACATGCTAACATGTACATACATTTATACATATGTACTCCTTCACATTCCAGTATTTATTTTTTTTTTACACAAAGTTGGCACCTTTTTCTCGTATATTGTTCAAATTGAATGATGAACAAAATCAGCTCTATTCGTGCGAATAATTCGTTTAAAGACAGAATTTCATTAAAAAATTATCGTGTGAATTATTTTTATAAAAATATGTATACTGTTTTTTTGTATTTGACAGTTCCTTTTTCGGTAATTTTACTATTCATTGACTGATATAAAAAATTAAAAATAAACTATTACTAATAATATTGTAGAAATTTGATGCATTTTTAAATATTAAAAATAAATATTACCTTCGGCATTGTAATGAAAAGAATATTATTTAATGATAATAATGATTAGAGTATATTTAAAAGAAAAAGTTGTTGAAGATTTAAAAAAAAAGAAGGAGATATGTTAAGAGAATTTAAAAAAAAAAATTTCTAGAAAAAAAGATACAAATATTTAAGTAAAATAAATGACTTAAAGTAGAGGTATTTTTATTGCGATGACTTTATTTAAATTTTGTTAGGTAAAGTTGTTGAATTTATTATACAAGGCGTTAAAGTGCAAAAATAAAGAAAAAAGAGATATGAACTTTTAGATGTCTTGCTTGACATGTAAAGTTTTTTATGTGAAAGGAGAAGGCGAATAAATGTCGTTAAGTTGGCAGGTATATTAATGGAATAATTTTTCTAGTTGACACCTGCTTGTTTAAACTCGTCAAAAAAGTTTTTACGAACTTACGGGCTTGAGAAAGTTATAAAGCTAACACAAAGAATAAAAGTAACAAAAATCTCATATAATCATTTAGTTTTCAAAGCTTTCTAAGGAATATAAAAGTAACTAGCTTTTCACATTACTATAAATAATTTTCAAATTCTTCTTTGACAATAAGATAGATAAAAAAAAAGATCTAAAATTAATAAGTTCTCATTAACAAAAAATTTACTTTGATAATTAAAATAAACGATGCACACCAAGTGAACTAGAAAATTTGTCATTATATTTCCAACACGAAAATTCTGCGGTGGAAATTAGTTATTAGTTAGAATCGCCTGGAGTTGTGGTAATTATTGCGGTAATTAATTAAATAGAAACAGCGGATTCAATCGATAGGAAATAATTAAAAACTGGAGTAAAATAAACTTGAATAAACCAACAACACTAAATTGTACTTGTTGTTGATTATTGCTGAATTATTCAAACTTTCATTCTCCTATTTTCAGAGGTATCATCTTTCTTTCGTTTGAAATACTCTGAAACTCTATATACGTATTTAAGGTGACAAGTTGAAGCTTGTGTGCTAACAAAACTAATCTATTATAAAATGTTAAAAATTAAAATACTTATGCAATAAAAAAGCCCAAGCATTACTATCTATATTTAATGACTAAGCAACCAAAAATCTATAACATACATACTTGTTGGTTTAATGTATTGTTTTCTACATTTGTGTTAACTGAATTGAACATTTTTTAAACTAAATAATAATAGAATAATTGATAGATAACAGTAGGAGATTGGATGATTATCATAGTAATGAAAATCATCTAACAAAAACTCATAAGGGATTATTGAATATACAATGGGATAAAAGAAAATTATAGTGCAAGCATACTCTGCAGGACAAGAGTTTATAGTCATTCTGATAATAATTGAGGGTATAAATATCGTCATAGACGAAAGTAAATAGTTGAAACTAAAGGGAAATTTTACGTTGGCAAATGAAGGCATTACTTAACATAAAGAATATGTTAAATACGAGACAGTGAAATGAGCAGAAGAAGAAGTAGTAGTAGAAGAAGAAGAAGAAAAACAGATATTAATATATAATTAATCAGTTATTAATATATGTATAGAAGAAAGTAATGGATAGTAATTAAATATTTTGACATTTAATTTAAATAATCAATAACGTAAATAAGGACATTTAAGAAATGTTCTACGTGTATGTATCTGCACACTAACCTGAGACAGAGGGAGAAGTTTTTATGTACTACGACTGACCTGTAGCAGAGAGCCATCAGAGCAAATACTACGAAAACACCCCCTACCACCGACATGAGCATACCAACTAAAAATACAGTGTTAGAGCCGTGGTAGTTCTCTGAATAAATCAAATATATTAATTTTTCATTATCCATTAATATTATTTAATCGCCGTATTGACGATTATTTTTAATTAGTAGATAAAGTTTTTTTTTAAATGTTGATTGAAAAAATAATTTTTGTAAGTTAATAAGAAAATTGGTGACGTTGTTTTATCCGCGTTGAGGTGGCAGTTTACCATGATGGTACACACGCATCAGTGAGGTATGCGGGGTGGTTTATGGTAATCCGAGCGTCCCACAGCATGCAGACAGACAGAGATGGCAGTGACAGACAGAAACAGACAAGAAACAGAGAAGCCAATATCAGCACATTTATACAATTACACACTATTGAAAAAATTTTTTTTTCTCATTTCATTAAGAATTTTTTTTTAAAAACCCTTTTTAGATTAATATTAGATCATAGGATTGTTTTTTTTATATATATATATATACAAATATATTAACGTATTATTTTCAATGAAAATTATCACCAGATCTCCTTTATGTGCACTCGCAGACTTTTTTAAATTATTTCTCCGTACGTTTAAAATTTATCTCTTTAGTATTTATATAATTGTTTTAATTATAATTATTAATCGTACATCTGAAAATGATTTTTATTTGGCATCTAGAGTATTCTTTTTTGTCAAAATTTAAGGTTACAGTTTATTGTGATATTTCTTTATTTATTGGTTTTTAATTTGATGATATTTTTAAAATTAATGAAAGACAGGAATGTGTTAGCACAATTTTTTATGCTGTATTATTTGGAAAAAATTAAATTTCCTAGTTTGAGATTGATATTCATGGTCTATTAAAATGTTGCAATCAGAAAACTTTTAGTATTGTTGAAAACATTTATTTATCATTTGTTTTGATTGAAAAAAAATTAATCATCACTTTTTGTCTAAAAAAAATATATATATATATATATACTGAGAATAATATTTATATAACATTTTTATAGTTATTTTAAAAATACAATTGAAATTGTTTTTAATATCAATATTTTCATTTTATTTGAATTAAATTAAATTTTTAAATTAAATAAAAAAATAGTGTGATAGTAAATTCATCAAAAATAAAATAAAATTTCAAGTATTTTCTCTAATAAGAAAAAACTTGATTAAAAGTTATTAAATCAATCTGCCGTTCATTTTTTCATAAAAGAGAATAAAATGTAGGTCATTAACTACAACTTTCGTATAGATTTTTGTATAATTAGAATAATTTTTAATAATATTTATTTCACTTTTTTTTAAAAGAAAAATAATATTTATTAGAAAGAAATCTGAAAAACATGAAAAAAATTGTTAAAAAATATAGCCTGTATTTCATTAATTTTCAAAATAATAAGATATGTATATTGCAATGAAAAATTGGCATTTAATTTTAGTATAAAAACCTATATTTACATATAGGATAATCTCAGAAATGATCTTTCAAAAACTTAGAATGAGCATTGGATTTTTTTCTATCATAATTTAGTGAAATATTGTTACGATTAAGGGCATACAAGCAGCTGGCACATTTGCGTGACCACCATATGTTTCCATACATCAATAATAAAAAGTTCACGATCCATTCTACAAGTACATGAGGCATCAGACGCATTTGTTTACTTTTTTGGTGTTATTTCTTTTGTATCTATTTTTACTGACAGTTTTATAAAAATGCAATTCAATGAATTTTATATTTATATTCATAGTATATTAGTTTCTCCCTTCATTTATTAATGTGTGATTTCTTCTTTCAATATATGAATGTACATATTGATGAAAGATATACATTAGAGAGATTACATATATATATACATATATATATATAATATGATATAATATAATATGTATATATATACATATATAATAGCAGAGATGTGTAAAGACGTCGATAAAATAAATGATGTATACACACACATATACACAAGACATTTTTGAATAAAAATAAACATTGAAGTATATATAAATCAATAAGTCAATATAGAAACGAATACAAAATACTGTGTGAAATAATTTATCTAAAGTTATAGAATAATGAGAGCAATAGTTAAGAAATGTTTTGGCTGCGTGCGATGCCTCCTTCATCATCCATCTAGGCATGATATTACAACTGACGACCACCACAGACGTTGCCAAAGAAAGAACTATATCACGATGACCCACTCGCACACCAACAACATTAAAAAAAACCTTAGCAGAATAAAGTGGGTCCTCGTGGACTAAAAAGTCTCTCACACGTTTTGTTAATTTTATGTTTGCTACTGTACCTGTAGCAAAGTGCCAATAGTGCAAAACAAATGAAGACTCCCTTCACCACACTCAGCAGGATAAATACCATCGCCATCGTGCTAAGATTCGTGTTAGATCCAGATCCTGGAAACATCACACATCAATCTCTAATGTACCTGCCTTCCCCCGGCTTTACTGGATCACATTCTTCTCATCTTCATCAGTTTTTTTTTCAATCTTTTCTTTCTTTTTTTTTTTTTTTAATATCTATATATATATATTAGTGACTTTGAGTCTGCTATTTTTGAAAGAATGAGAAGCAAGAGATGATGAGGAAGTAGTATAGAAGAAGATTAAAATAAGAAATGTTTTAGTATAACTTGGGGAAATATACCACAGTTGATTATTTTTTAATTATTTCTTTATTGTTGAGTAAATTTTGAAATTAAATATTTGTTATTTATTTTATCACAACATTATATTTATAAAATGTAGGAAAAGTGTTTTTAATATTTGCAATTAAATGTCAATTGATTATTTCAGTATTTATTAAAGAATTTTTTAATTTATAAAATATGGCAATTAAATTTATAAAGTAACCCAGTTTTTACACTAGGATGCTTCATAAATTAACCAAAAAATTATTTCCATACTTCCTTACAAGTATTAATAATTACAATTAACGTTTAATTTCAAATATAAATTTTATTTTACGCTATATTATTTTCTTCTCTACATAATTAATTTCTCATTTGGAAGTTATTTCTCATTCCATTGTTTCATATATTATCTGATGAAATATTGTCATTGTAAAATAAAATTATTAAGTGATGTAAAACAATCTATGTAGGTCACTTTTCCTTGATCAGCAATAGTACTATGAAGCAATATCAATTTATTTATATCAATAAAAAGAATTATTTCGATTTAAACTTAAAAAAAGAAATAATAAAATTGAATGAAACAAATAAATGTATGGCATATTTCCCTGAATGGTCCTCCTCATAAGAATGGTGAGGTAAAAAGGGATTTCAAACTCTATTTTTTATTATTATTTGATGTACTGAGTAATTGGTTCCATAACAGCTGTTGTTTCATGGGCACTTTATCGGTCTTTTAGTCAGTTGCTTTACTCGTATAATATTCGAATTACTTAAGTTAGTTTTATCATTATTACGATCATTACATTATTATTATTATTATCGCTATAGTTATATTATATTTTATTGGATAATGTTTGCTTTAGGAAATTGATTTGAAAGGATTATATTAACGTACAGAGACAAATAAAATAGTACAGTATGTGCACAGCTGATGGTATGACCCCTAAGAATACTCAAGCGCCTAAGAGTGTCCGAAGCAAGAATTATTTATCTATCTCATCTTGCTTTTTGTCTTTCAAATTCAATTTTTTTTCATTCCCTATTTTTATTGAGATAAAAATACAGAGAGAGAGAGAGAGAGAGAGAGAGAGAGAAAGATAGAGAAAGAGTCAAAAAAAGGGAAGAAAATAGGGATGTGAGAAAAAATAGGGGCGAAAAAGAAGAGAAAACTAGAGAGAGATTATATGGTGATATTTCAAGAGCACAGAAGAAAAATTGTTGGAACAATCTTTAGGTCGAAGAACGCCTATTGGGAATAAAAAAAAAAGAAGAGAGTGTATATCAGATTAAAGGATGAGATGAGAGTAAGATTATACTATATATTGAGTTTATATAATGAATCTAAAAGGGGTGTATGTGAAATAAAATCACTGAATCTATCCAATTTCCACAGGTTTCTATGTATATAAATTTTAACAGGTTTTCTTCTTTATACTTCAACTGTAAGATTCCTTTATACATATATGTATAACGTTTTTGAAATCAATTTTACGTGACGTCCGGCGTCAGATATTGGTCGACGATCGATCAATAGTATCACGGAAATCCTGGCAACCAGCTGGACCTATTATATAACTAAAAGACTAACTAAATTACATTCAACATTCTTAAATGAACAAAAATGTCATACAACAATATATTTTGTAATACTTGTAATTGTTTTAACTGTTGCCATCTTTGATATCTATCTATTGAAGCTTTTATCAAATATAGGTTATAGTATTACCTGTCTATATCAATTATTTTTTAAAATACTCCTTCTTCAATAATTAAGTTTAATCGTTACTAGACAGAAATCAATTTTGAACTCAGAATGTTTTACGTCTATTCTCTTTTATTTTTTCTCACTCTTCTCTTTCTTTCTCTCTCTCTTTCGTTTTTTTCTTTTCCACTTTTTTTTTTTATAAAAGCATTTAAAGTCATTTAAATTCAATATTGAAGACATTAAATAAAGAACTTATTTCTTACAACGTATTTTTTACTTAATGTTAACCTTAGATCATTAGCAGCTTGAAATTTGTCATTAATGATTCATCGACTGTGTGTTAAAGTTTAGCAAATAAAACTTACCGTAGGGGGTCTCTTTCTTCTGAAGTTTGGTACTGGATGATGATTCAGTGACTTTGCCAGGCACTCCAACAGTCGTTGTAATCGGTTCTAATGTGGGTATATCTGTTTGTATTGAACAGTCTGGACCACTCCAGCCAATGTTACAGTAACATTTGTTCACGTTGGTGCACACCTTTAACAAGGGGATTACGTGTTTACATGTTTACTTGAAGTTTATGATAAAGGAGGCCAGGATAAATTGACTGTCACGTTTAAATAGATGATGATAATTATTTTTGGGCGATTATAATTTAAATAATTTAATTTCATTTTAAAGAATAATTTATTCTTATTTATTTATCAAATGTAAAAAAAAGCAATCCCCTAAATAAACTTGTTATTTAAACATTTAAGATCTATTTATCACTGGCCACGTTTATATCTTAAAGTACTCGATGATAAACTACCAAATAGATGTATAAACATGTAATACTGTGATGCTTTGTAGACGTTGTTTGATCTATGATCATCATATGTATACTTGAGTATAGTAAAACAACCCTACAACTCATTACTTACCCCATTCCCAGAGCACTCCAGATTATTGTGATTAGTTGGACATTTAACCATGTCTGTGTGTGGGAAAACACTTGTGCAAGTTTGATTGATACAGATCTAAAGGCAAATATTTTCAAAGTAAATGAGAAGTGAAATTTTATAAAAGTTTAGAAGAGTGAACTTTGTTGAAAGAATAAAGAAAATATTTACTTACCAAATTCTCGCCACAAGAAGTGCCATCACGAACTAATCCCATTCCTGGCACCTCTAAGCCTTCAACTTTGCTAGTAGCTCTGAAACAATTACAATTATAGCGATAATAATGACAATGAAATTCAACTAAAAATACAATTATAAGAGACTAGGTTCAAGTGAAGGACATTGAAAATATTTTTGATTTATGCTTTTTTATTGATGTTAGTCTGAACTCTTGTTTTAAGTAACAACAGGAATTGTAATTTTATGGAAAAAGAATAAATTTTTTATTCAATTATTTTTTTTAATGAAAAATATTGAATTATCTTGATATTTTATTAAAAATAATTCTTGAGTTTAAGATATTTTAAAATTTTAAAAAGGATTAGAGCATTATTTTTCTATTTATTATTCAAAATCCTGGATTAAAATTCCATAAGATAGCTTGCTTTTATAGGCTCTTATCATAAATCTCTTGATCAATAATCCAATTCAAAGTAATCTGTCTTTTTATATCAAAATTTTATGAAAAAAAAGACAAACAAAACAATAAGCATTCATATAAGTGAAAAAAGTTTGTTTTTTCGAATGTCCCTATTTTATTTCATCAGTAAATATACCCTAAATATATATTATAATATTTATATCAAAAAACTTACTTGCATTCATATTCATTGCCTTGTATTGAAATAATAGTTCTAGTCCATGAATGGTGCATACCATCAATCACAGGCTGTTTGCTTCCCTTCTGACATTGAAGTGAACCACAACGTACATTCCTTAAATATTTACAGATCAATTGAGTGAATTTATTGCATTAAACACTTATGTACATAATTCAATACTACATGATCTTATTTATTTTGTTTTTGTAACTATAATAACAATAACAATAAAAAGTACCACTAGATATCTTAAAGGTAGTATAAAAGTTGGCTTAAGAACACCAAGTCTGAAAACTTACTCGATTTCGCACTTGACAAAGTGTCCATCTGTGTCAGTTCCGCAATGACCATTGATAGAACCTTTAGAGTTGAATTGTTCGAAACACTGCATATCAGCAGCACTACCATCTTCACCCCAAACTGCTTCACACTGGACATCTAAGTCCGGACAATGGCCAGCATAGCAAGAGCTGTGGTTGTTGGCACAAGGTTTTCCATTTTTTTTGTAAACATCTGTTGGACACTGGCCGGTTTCACCAGTACATACTTCTGGTAGATCACATTCATTTGTTGATTCACGACATATATGTCCTTGAGGACGTAACTAGATGTAGAAAATATAGCAGTTTAATCATAATAGCTTAGATTAAATCTATTTACAGAATATCATAGTAATCTCAGTGATTAAAACAGTCTTTATTTCATTGTTTGATAAAGTTATTCTATTGTTCAAAGAAAATATTGTTTGTTTTTTATTTATTATTATTTTTCTTCTGATTTTCATGTTCTACATTCTCTCTAACATTCATTGAAATAATGAAAATTTCACTACATCGATTTTAGAGATATATATATATATATACACATATACATAGTATAGTCACTTTGGAGAGACTAATGCATTCCTTAGTAGTTACCTTACAATCATTGGTACAACATGGACCTTTTGCACATTGTGCTCCTGAAGTGAGTTTACACGTTATTGGGTCACAGCAAGGGTCATACTTTGGACACTCATCGATGGTTCCACAGTCACACTGTTCACCATCATCTATTACCCTGTTTCCGCATGATCTATTCTCCAACTAAAAGATTAATGTTGTTATTGGATAAATAGTTGAAATTTTTGGAGATTAAGCAAGCGTATCTATCATGTCATGCATTTAATGGGAAATTTGTAACATTCAATAGTTTGATGTCTATATATAAATTTGTTTTAAATTATGCACATAATTAAACAGTAAATTATTGTAAATAAATTGCACGATCGATAATTTAAATTTATGATATGTTATTTACTGTTTACTACGATTTTATTTGCTATACAAAAGTAAGAATGGAATGACCTTTATTTATGTTCAATGTTAGCATACAAACATTTAGAAATAGAATATACTAGAGGTTTTAATAATTGTGTTGAAAATAAATTAAATTCTTTAGAAAGGTCAAACAATTATTATGTTATTGACATTTAGAGTTAGAAGATTCGATTTACAGTACTGGAAATAAGAAAAATAGTAAAAGATTTAAGAATTGAAATAGATTTAGTTTTGATAGTATTAACTTTTCAAAAAATAATATGTAAGCTGATAATAATAATTAAAGAATTATAATTTTAAAAGTGATTTTATTATTTAGTTTTATTTTAAAACATAACTGAAGCTTACGTTTGACTTATATCAGAAATAGAGTTTAAATATACAGGAAGGTTAATTAAAATATTTTAATAAAAATTTTTATCACTTCAAAAAAGAAGTTCATAAACATTTTTCTGAGAGAACAGAGAGATAGTTTTCTCCTATTTTATGACAAAACAACAATGTAAATGAAAATAATAATTCAAATCTTTTATACTTTTGAATGAATATAGAATATAATTAATTTTTTTCTTCTTACATTTATTATAAAGAGTTTCTAAATAAGAAAAGAAGTATGACAAAATTCAATATTATTTCTTGCATTAAAATTATCTATATTTAATATTAAAACATATTTTAATTTTAATATAAATTAAAAAGTTATTTATAGATGTAAATACAATTAAGAAGATACGTAAAGCAAGGCAATATAACATCTTTATACTAATCAGTTATGAAATGTATGTGTATCTCTGTGTGTGTGTGTGTGTGTGTGTGGTGTGAGTGAAGGGCAAATAAATCAACATGAATGTGATCAAATCTTGATAAAATAATTTCACTCAGCATTCTCACCTCATTTGGTTTATTTAGAAGACAGATTCCATTGCCGACTTTCAAAGCATCCTCGTAATCGGATTTACTACATTCAGAGAATTTGTAAGGTTGGACATTCTCAGCGCCAACAATTGACTGGGCCATAATACACCCGTGCCAGTCACGACAATGGCAATTTTCTCCTATCAACATACAACAACGTGTTTACAAGTTGAACTTATGGACAGAGTTAAAAGCAGGACATAAAACAAATGATAACGATTGTAGAGCATCAAGTGCTTTTACTACACTACTACTAATACTACTAACTTAGGTCGTCGTGACCCATCCCAATGTTGTGGCCTATCATATGTGCCATTGTTCCTGCTAGAAGATGTGGCTCATAAGTGTTGAGGTCAACGCTTATACCAGCAGATTTCGGGCTGCAAACTGTCTCTGGAACAGCTATCCCTGACTCGCCACCCGCGAAAGACTCGCCTCTGTGAAAATAAGTCTTTTTCTTAGTTTCCTTTTTTATTTGGTAACTTTGATTGTACAATTGAGAAACTTGGAAAAACAAAAAGAAAAAGGAGAGAAAAGGAGGACCGAAATACAAATATAGAAATGTTTATCGAAACGTGAACTAGTTTTCTGATTTTTTCTTATTCTGTTTGTATTCGCACATTCATTTAGACTTAGGAAGAAACCTACTACTACATTTTATATTTGTTTGATAGCAAATGTTCTTTCGTATTTTCTTATCTACTTTTTTTTTGTTTTTTTTTTCTAAAGACTTTTTACTTTTTTATCCTTCTGCTGTTGATTTGATCAATTTTAGAGAATATTATAAATTATTTACAAAACTTCTTTAATTACTTTAGTTATTCAATTTGAATTTAAAAATTTTTTTCATTTAATAAATTAAAGTTTTATGAACTGAAATGTCATTTTTTCTAAATTAGAAAAATACGAAGGGTGTTTGAATGAATAGTAACGAGAATGATATATTTTAGTACTAATAAAAATTATTTTATTCCCTCTCTGAGATAGTCATCGTTATGATTGAACAAACTTTGTCCATTTTCTACGACAAGTTTCATATTTTCTTCTAGGATTAATGGAAATAGTGAAATAGACGTAAAACTTTTTTTTTATCTAACAATAAAAATGATTATTATTATTGTTATTAATAAAAATAACTTCAATAGTTAAATAAATGAAATTATAGATAAAATCAAGATAAAAAAGTATATAGTTTTATAAAAAAAAGCATTAAAAAATTTCAATAATTTTATAAATGAGTAAAAGTTAGACATAAAACATTGAAAACTCATTAAATTTTTTTTTGTCCTGTTACTCATTCTAGTTTATTATTCCTTTAGAAAATTTTTCAAAGAAATTATAAACATTTAAATGACAAATAATTCTACTATTTAAATAAAACACTAATATTTTGAGTTGGAACAATTCTAGAGCTACAATTAGTACATGCTGTAATTTAAAAATTCTAACTCATAGATTTTTATGGCCACATTCAAGTGATATATTCTTTTTTTGGTCAGGCATTACCTACTAAACAGAATAATATATCACAACGTATTTGAAATAATATTTCAAAATTATAAATAAGGAATATAAAATAATTAATCCAATTCAAACTTGATATTAATTTAAAAATGAAATAAATGTTTTGTTTCAACAGATATCTGATATATCGTTGTAATCGTGTTTATTACAACCAATACAAAACACACACTGTTAACGTATACTAAATTTTACTTACGTAAGTAATTGAGTGGTATCCTGTGAAACGTGGTACATTTTTCTCACAGTGTAATCAACAAAGTTTTGCAGTGCACGACCAATCTCCATATTGGAATCAATTGCTGCACGATTTCCACCCATCCATGTTTCGATATAAACTACTGATACTCTTGTATTCAATGTACGAAAATACTAGAAACAATATTTTATTGTTCATCATTGAAAAGTAAATCGGGTATTATACAAATGTTATCATTAAAACTATTATCAACGTAAATACAGTAAAATCCCGATTGATAGTTAATCCTTTGTTTTTCTTTCCCAAGATCAATTATCCGGATTTTCGATTACACCGACTATCCTACGTCTTAATTAACAAATAATCAGGATTTTACTAACGTACTTGATATATTGTTGTATAAGATTAATTGTTAAACAAAGATGTGTATATAAGAAATTACCAAATCAGCAATATTTGCAACTTGAATAGCATCATGAACTACTTCGGATCTTGTGCTACCGTTTCTTCTATCGAACTGTAAAGTAAAACAAATGTTGTGGTAAATTAATTGAATTGATGATATCGAGAAGAGGATTTCTTAATGGAATTGAATAAAATAAAAATTAAATATCGGTATTAAAAATTTTTTGATCTCTTTTAGAGAATATATAAGTTACTTTAAATGAAAGTACATTAAAATTTCACTATTTGTAAACTCATAAATTTGTAGTGTTATCGATAGATGATAGAGCTTTCTTTTTGTCTTGATAGAGAAATAATTGTGAATAATGACTGACCATTGGTACGATGTTAATACGTGACTTTTATATACATTTTTTTTGTCTTGGTATACTGGATTTTTATTACGATTTTTGAAAGAGTTTATTCGACATATTCTTTTTTGAAACATTAAATTTAATGGTTTCAATATAACTCAAAACTCGGAGTTTTATTTTCAATGTTAATTGATGAAAAACATGAAAAAATTCGATGGAACATGTTGAAATTCGTATTATTAGTTTCAATGAAATTTCATACTGAGGCTTTAAAAAGTTCGTCATCTGCGAAAAATAAAGCTTGTTAAACATGGACTTTAATTAAACTAAAAAAAAACTTTTAAACTTGAATAAAAATTCAAACTTGGTTTGTTATTTTTTATTGTAGCCAAATTCATTTCAAAAACAAACATCATTAATTTTGACAAGTCCCATTAATAATAGTACAAACTCTATTTATCTATTCATATTTTGATCAATTTTATATTTATCAGAAATAATTGATGAAAATTTTTAATAAATTGTAAATAAATATTCACTTTAAAAATAAAACTTTCCAAACAATTGAGAGAATTGTTCAACCGTTTATAATAATTAAAAAATATTGAAAAAATAAAAAAAATAGTTTTAAAAAAATTCAACTAATTTTTGTTGAATGCATCAATTTTGTTTAATTGTCAACTAAATTGATTTATTAAAAAACTATAAAGGAAAACTTTTTCCCATGTATTGAAGAGAAAGAAGTATAACAAGTTTAAATTGGACAAACATACCATTGCTTTATCAATGATCATGGCAGTTTCGATATATTTCGTAGCTGCACGTACGTCTCTCTTATATCGATCGGTGATGGTCTCCAATAAGCCGAGGACATGCTTCTGCCGACGGTTCTTCGAACGACGCTCAAGATTTCCCGCAATACCACAGCCTTTGTTACCTTTTGTTCGAGCTTCAAATATAACGTGAGGATGTCTCTGCTAAAAGAGAGGTGTACATATAGTTGATTTTCCTTGATAACTTTTACAACTATTACTACTACCACTACCACTACTACTGATACTTTTTAACTTGATATCTCCATTGCATTACGTACACTGTGATATCTAAATTATCAAATATCTCATCTGCATAAGTGTAGGTATGTGTGAAAATGATGAGCAAAATGCCAACATACGGTTTATCTTGATTTAAAGGGGACCTCAATTTTTCGGGTTAAATAGAAGCTTTCTTCTATTGAAAAAAAATCTATTTTAAGAATCATTAAAAATTTTAGAACACAAAGTGAATTAAAGGTGAATAGAGCATGTGATTTTATTTAAAAATAAATTGGCTTGGGATTTGAGTGAAAAAAAATTTCATAAAGTCAATTATTTCAGTAATAAATTGAAATTTCCATGTGTTTTTTTTTTCTGAAAAATATATTTTTTTTTTCATATAAAATTACTTAAATAATTTTATTTTTTGTTCTTGATTAAATTCTATTACTGGGAAATATGAGAACAAATTTGACTATGGTGAAATTTTTTAGCAGGATTTTTTTTTCCAGATTGACGAATAAAAATTAGTGGAACTGAATCAACTCGACCGTTTAATTAATCTCGTCAACCTACTTGTTTCGGTAGTGTTTAAGTAATTAAATCAGTAATGTGAAAAATTTACTGACCGACAAATCACCACCATAGAATGGCTGAATGACGAACGTCTCATTGCCCAAATGAATAACCCCACTGACGCCATTGCACGTGTGAAAAGCAGCACTTGCACCAGGATAATCTTTCACGGAACCATGATAATAGCAATGCTCGATTTCCTGAAACAAACTCCATTAAAGGCTTCCATCTACACTTCTCGCGTTACATAATAAGAGTATCAACTACTTCATCAACGGAGTACTGAATATACATATTCACCTGCTTTGTTGTTTGTTCGGCACCATTGCTTAAGTAATCCTTTTGCATTAGATTAGGTGCTAAAAGTTGTCTGCAAAATAAAATTATACAGTTTAATATGTATTTATTTATTGTAAATAAACAAGTTGTTGTGTAAGAGGGATTTAATCCTTTGGGCCTCCAGAGGAAAAAGGTAGTGAAAGCATGTCCGTTAAATTGGATCTAAAAGACCCACACGTTTCATAGTCAGATAATTCTATATAAAATTCCGATTTCGCAGTTGAATAATCTCGTAAATTGCCGAAAAATCATCGGTAATTATTATGAAGTAATATTTCACCCAAAAAGTTTTAGCAATTTTTCATAAATTGATTCGTTTAAAAGCTGTGTAAATACAGCTAAAAGAGCGATTATTTATTATGACTTTTGTGTTTTTTTTAACAGTAAATTTTTTAATTTGTTTAGAAAAAGTTTCTTTTACAAAAAAAATAGATAAATTAGTTTAAAAAAGATAAATTAGGAAAAAATAATTGTTTATCTTAGATTAGGAGACGAAATCTTCATTTTTTTTAGATATAATCAAAAATATATATTGTAAATGGATGAATATTTAATTAGAATTATTATAATGATATTTCTAAATTAGATACTCGAAAATAGACTATTTATTGAGATGACAAACATTAAAACGAGTCTTTTTTATTAATTTTTATGACTTTTTTCCTTCAATCTAGGTTATTCCAATTTACTTGTATATTATTCTTATCTACTCGAAAAAATCTTTAAAAATTCAGAATCTCTTTTGAAACTTCTGTGAATATTTTCCAGTAATCAACTTCTGTCAAAGTTCAACTTTGGTTTATTTATAATGAAATCTAATTTATAAATTTTGGATAGAGGGTCAAGTATAAAGATATTTATAAATTCATTAGTGATTTATTTTTCAGAGCAAGTGCGTTATAAAAATATAGTTAGTCTAGGGAGAAAATAAACTATCCTGAAAAATGGTATCCAAACATTACATTTTTTCTTTTGAAATATTTTAATAAATTGAATAATGTATTTAAGTGCAAGATTTTAACTTTTGATTAAAAATCATAAAAAAGCACCAATTAAAAATTACATCTATAGAATATACTCATTTTTCTTGATGAATCTAATAATCATTATTTTAAGAGAATAATTTTATAGTAAATGGTAGACACTTGACAAGAGAAAAAAAATTTCTTTTATTATATTCCATCTCTATTTTGGTCACATTCACAAATCTCGATTAAATTAATCCTCGAGAAATTAAGTCAATTCATACACTCCATTTTTAGTTGCATCATCCGGTAGGCAAAAAACGTTTGATCAATGAGTGACAAAGAAATATATGAGTTACAGATGATGAGAAGAGAATAAAATGGTATTATGTGTGCATTACTGAATAAAAAGAGGAGATAATTTATTTGCTTTCTGTTTCTATTTTTACACCCTGATTTATCAGTGAAATGACTTGACAAATTTTGCCAGGGTAACTAAGTCTGATGAATTATTTATGAATACTACTTACGTATTTAATTCTAAATCTAGGCGGAATTTATGGTTGAAGGCCTTTATCAAGAGAGACGTTCGATGAAAATGTTTTCCAGCCTGATAACAAATGTTATTATTCAAATTTTCTATCATTAAAAGAATAAATAAAAATATCCTCACACTTACTCTTGATCTACCACGACCAGGTTGATATCCATCTCCGTAACCACCTCTTTGAGGGTACTATATCAATAATAAAAATAAAAAATAAAATGTCTCGATTTCAGTGGATTGTAAATAAAAACTTACTATTAAGTGTTGACATTTTTATAGAAATATTGAAATTTTACCTTAGGAGAGCCAGCTTCCCTTGTGGATATCCCCATTTTCTCGTGATGCCGAAGCTGTACCGGATAAATGATCTGATAATTGTGCGCACCAATATCACGTACTAACTCTTGATTCTGTCGATATTCTCGTAGTAATCGTTCGACTTCCCCTACAACATCCATATCATCATCAACTGATCTTCTTGCTATAAAAATATCATTTCAATATATATTTCATTTTTTCTTATAATCATCCAGTATATTATTTATCACACTGAGTAGACGTACGAAATCCTAGTGATTCATTTATTCATAATTTGTCAATTCCATTAAATTTAACAAAAGATCATGACACAACATTCACCAATGAATTATCGAATATTTTTTTTTATATGCCGAAAATCAAATTTTTTTCTCGTCAACTTCAGTCATATAAATGTATGAAGAATTAATTAATTTTAGAATTATATTGTTAATTAATAGTACTTGAATGAAGAGATTGCCAATTTCATCGTGTAGTAGCCATCTATTAATTAATTCATAATGTATATATTTCATCATATCGATTTAATAATTTATTCATTTATATAAAATTAATAAAATGTCGTGATATTTCATTTTCTACAAGTTTTTTTAAGTTTAAATTCTACCAACTTTTTTTTATTTTACTTAGAAAAGTAGTTTAATTAATTAATTTTAATTTAATTTAAAAAAAATAATCATTGTGATTTACTATATAAATATCTGTTAATGATATTTTTTATCACTAATTATAAATAAAATAAACAAACTAAAGAAATCCTTTCTTCAGTGCAAATGAAATATCAACACGAGTGAAATATTCCCGATGTTATGATTGTGGGAATGGAGTCAGATCCAAGTATTTTTCTACACCCTCATCGGAAAAATACTTCTCATCCCTCGAGAACTTGGTTCTCATCCCTTCCATTGATTAAGCACTACCATTTGGGTTAAGGGGAATCCAAACGGAGGGTGATCGAATTTTGATAAAACGATTTTCTCATCATGTATTTATAAATATGAGATGAATATTTCGATATTTAAAAAAAGCTTCGATCATCAAACATATACATAGATACGTATGTATTATAAAAAGCTACTGAACATATGTACATCAAGTAGTAGCATATACTTGACTTGGTGTAGTACATGCTGTATGCAACAAAACTTAAAAAAAGCAAATGTGTTTGAAAAGTCGAAGGAGAAAAAATAACAGCGGAAGCTTCGATGAAAGAAATATAGAAGCTCATCTATAGGTAATGAAACCTAGAGGAATAAGGCCAAGATATATGCATGTAAAACAGCTGAACAAGACTAGTTACAAGACACGCTTTTATTTTTTTCCTTCTTTTCTCTCGTCTTCATCTTATGTCTGATTTTTTTTATTTTTTACTACTTCTTTTCTTTACTAACCAGAAGGAGTCTCTCCTTCACTCCAAAAGGAATCGTCTAAAGTATAGTCGGCTTCTGTAACAAAAAAAAGACAGAAAAACCAATTATTGATCGTATCTTCGTCTAATGGCATCTTAAAAGAATAAAATTATAAAACGATCGAAATCGGCTTATTCTATAAACTTTTCGTTCAAGTTTTTTAATAATAAATTAAATTATTTTTCTCTTGGAAACAATTTAGTTTCTTTATGATGATTTTAGAAAATAAGAAAAGATAATTTTTTAGTACAAATTAACTTTATATTTTTCACTATGCTATTTGTCTATCATTTTACAGTGATTTTATTTTATTCAATTGATATTTGTATTGATTCTTTTAAATTACACTGAAAACGTTAAATAATTGGACAAGGTTTTATCTTACAAATTGATACTGTGTGAGCTATTTTTATTGTAAAACGAATGATGAATAATATTTTTTTTTTTGAAACTTTTATCTTACACGCAGTGTCATTAAACTTGCTGACTTTGTTTATTTGAGTTCAAATGATGGAATTATTTCATTTATACAATTTGACTTTAAGCATAATCCATTTATAAAATATTGGTTTAAATAAAAATCATGAAATTAATCTCGAAAAATTGGATTTTTATTCAACGAATAAATTATAAGCTGAATTTGATAGCATTATTATTAATCTGTATCTTTTATTATAGTAAATAACTTATAAGATATATTAGTGCGGTTATCGTCCCTATTACAATCGTTTTATTTACACCTATCGAGTAATAATAAATATGTGATATTTTTCATTAAACGGAAACGGGATATGTAAAAAATTCGAACGCTTAAAAGATAAAAGAGATAGTGTTATTAATTACAATGTGCCGATATTTTTATCAAAAATTAATCAAAATAATAAAAGTAAAACGATGTGAGTTATAAATATTTTCTCCACCGTTTATTAATAATTTTATGACATCAATAATTTTTGGTGTAATTTTAATCTATAAAATTTATTTTATGATTTATTCATCACTAAAAGATATTTTATTAAAAACCAATGCTGTGAATCATTTTTAATGTTTTTTTAATAATATTTTTACGAGATATTTTTAATGGAATTTAAATTTAAATTTATTTGAATACTTTACAAGTATCTTTTTGTTTTGAACTCTTTATCTATTTCACTCGATCAATTTTTCTTACCTCTGGTCCTCAAAATTTAGTCAGACGTTATCACACTTTTTAACAATATAACTCAAGTGAGGCAATTTATCATCATTAGTAGTATGAGGAGGAAATTTTTTATTCGGGTTACGTTGATTCACAAAATAAGTAACCTCATTCAATAGGTCAAAAGGTTAATTAAATATTTGGTGGTACACAAATATTTTTATCTCTCAGTGGTTGCGGTAAAGATAAAAGAAAAATGGTGGAATGCACAATCCCCTTGAATAATCATCTCTCTTGATTTTTCTCCTGTTCGTCTGACAAATACGAGCGCACGTGACGTGAATTTTCCTCTTTTCACCCTCCAGCGAGATAGATAAATGCGAAAGAGGTAAAAGCAAAACGATCGATAGTAACCTCATAGACTGAGCAGATGACACTACGACCGAGTGACAAAATAAGTACGATAGAGGCCTCGAAAATGAAGAAAGCTTACTAGTTTCATTAGAACTTATATTCCTTTCACGGTATCATCCACAATATCCCACTCTCTTCTCATTTATCCCTCTGCTTTAATCTCTCATTTCAATTGTTTGGAAAATAAAATTATATCTTTCATTAACTATAATCTCAAAATTCAATATCCAACATCATTGAATGTTAATTATTTATTTATACTGCTCTAATTCATTTAGGAAATTTATTTACTAATCTCTTGTGAGAGAATGAATAAGGTTTCATCGTTTAGGTGCTTTAGGATCATCCCCTAGTAAAAGTTTTCTAGGATGAAAAGAATTAACGGAGTTCATTTTTTTTTATCTCTTATTTCTTTTTTTTTTTATTTCCAACTGTTGGCTTAAAATAATATGACTGATATATTTTATTTTCTAGAATTAAATTTATTTATATACTTTAGTCTCTTTTTATTTTATTGTACTTTCAATTGAACAATTTATATAATTAGTCATTAAATTAAATTATATGTAAATTACCATCACATTATTCCCCTTTTTGAAATAATTCATTCAATCAACATATAGTCAAGTAAATGCCATGATTTCATCATTTGTTAAAAGCATCTAGAAAATTAAATAAGCTTGTAGTCGTTTATGTCGTTATAATCATCTCTACTAAATTTATTAACAATTAATAAAATGCTTCTTAGCATTCGTATATAAATTTAATCGTTTCTGTCATAGTAGTTATTATTCACCAAATGGATGGTAAAAAAAATCAATTATAAGTGATTACTAAAATAAAAAAATATTTTTAAATCAACTTTGTAATAATTTCAATTTATGTTGTTTTTATTTCAACTATGTAAATGAATATTGAAAATTATATGATACATGATAAATTAACTTGCTTGTTATTTGTATAAAAAAAAAACTATCATATTAGCTTTGTAATTCATGCGCTTTAATATTTTGCATATTTTATTTGTTTCTATTACTTTGAATCGCTTAACTCATATGATGTTTATTTTTTATCTGTTTTTTGTTGCATTGGATATAAAAATATGCAATTTAACATTCAATTGTTATACATCAGGTTATAAATATTCGATTTATTTATTGATTCAATTTTCCACTTTTATGTAATATCAATAAATTTACATCGAAATGAAGTTTATGTAATTTCTTATGAGATAAATTGATTGCAAAATTTGGTTTTGCTTTATAATTTATATTTAAGTGACAGAAAAAAGATAAAACTACTAGAGAAATTAATAAAAATTATTTTGCATTATTTAAAAAGCTCTTTAAGTAAAATTAAATAAAATTTTATCAAAGTGATAAAAATTTAAACTTTAACTAATAATGAAAAAGAAAATCTTCCTGTCATGTTTTATTTATCTCGGATTTATTTAGAAAAATATCAGATCTATTTCAGTTAAATTAGATTGGACGGCATCATAACTATTATGTTTTATTACAGCTTTCATTAATGCGTATGAATATTACATCATTGAAAGTTAATAAGTTACAGTTCACTCAACAGAAATGATTAATATTACAATTTCAATGATTTGATAATTGGTAATTTAAACGTACATGAATTTACCAAAATTACTGGAACCAAATTTCGAAAAGTTAACCAAGAGTCAATTTCCCTTTAACTTTGCTCAACTAAACTCTCATAAAATATATATGTATATAAATTCAATGTGACATTTCTGATAAAACGTTTAATCTAATCTAACGTGAAAGATCGAAATGAGTCTGAAAACAAATTGGTCAACGTTTCACTATTGCCTTAATTTCATTTCTGTTATCGGCCCATTATCATGTCATTTTAGCTCTTATTAGAGTTCCAACCCTTCTTTTGCTCACTTCCAATGACCGTTACTGATACGACACCTTTTAGCTGATAAAGATCTAGACGCAAGTCAGTAATAAATTAATTATGATTTATTGATCAATAAATCTTTTAGAGAAAAAGAAGATTCTCAAATATGTTAATTACATGATTGATATTCATTTAATCATCATTTGTTTATTAATAAATAAATAAATATTAGATTGATTTCATTTTTGAAAAAGATCATTATGTTAATGGAAGTAATTATTAATTAAAAATCTCAAATAATCAATTATAAATATTGATTTATTGATGCGTTGTAAAACTTCCGTGCATAAAATCTTTCAAGACAGCAGTAAATTCCGTGCTGACGTTGATCTTTAAGAAGGGTCGAGGTTAATTGTTGGAGGTTATACTCTTGCAATTTCAGTTCAAGTCGTTTAAGAACAATAGACTACTTTTCATTATAACTACCCTAAGAAATAAAGTAGTGGGCAGTTAATCGGGTCATGTTGCGTTCTCCAGATGAGAAGATAAAGAATCAAGACCCTTCCGTCTCACTCTTCATCTCGCTTGTGTTCTATTCTCGCTCTTATTCCTTTTGGTGTTCGTTGACTGCGCGAGAGACCCCCGGGGTTGCTCCATGGCAACGAGACTCTCGACACGCCACACCTTGAAAACCACGAGTTTCTACTGGTATTTCATTTTTTATCCAAAATTATTCGCCGATGGACCAAAAGCTCGATGAATTGGAGGCTTGAAAAATTTCAAGTGATGATGATAAAAATAAAATAATAACAAGTTGGTGAAAGAAAAAAAAACAAAACAAACAAAAGGAGATGGTATTTGAAAAAATTAAGAGAAATAATTCATTACATCAACATTTATGACGGTGAAATTGAGAAGATAATTATTCTTCTTGAGTTCTATTTAGAAATAATGAGTAAGAAAAAAGAAATTCAAGATTTTCACTACTTTATTATAATAATAATAATGATGATAATAATAACAAGAAGTAGAAAAAGCAGTAGAAGAAGAGCAAAACAGAAAAAGAAGCAATGACACTTGGCTTAATCGACCAGATGTAATAATTATATCAGATATAAGCCAGAGTGTTGTAAAAAATATTTTCCATTTTTTAGTATTAAAAAATGGGCATAAAAAACAATAAAGACAAGAAGGAAAGTTAGTAACTCGGGCAACGGCCGAGCAACGTCCGGGAATCCCCGCTCGAACTCGTTCCCGGATTAATCAATGAATCGACCTTGCGTAACTAACCCCCGGGAGTTCCTCTGCATTCCTCTTGCCGCACTCCCCTCTTTCTCTCATCTCTTGACGTACACAGCTTCCCACCTCCTGCTCCTCCTCGTCCTCTAGTATTTTCAACTGTGTCGACACCAAGGGGTTGACGTACGTTTACCCCGAATACAATTTATGGGGATCTCATTTGCCACTCGATACTCTGGCATTCCTTACAACTAACTACCTAGGAAAAGTTGGCGACATCTCGAGCAATAAGATACACCGGGTTTCTTCGATTCAAGTTTCAGAGTGAAGATGTTTTGTCTTGTTAGGGCATGGTTGAGTGATCTTAAAATGT